ATATCTGTGAAAATCTCAGTTTTTCTCTGTACTTTTACAACTCCAAAACTCCAACCACTTTTCCTCCTGGAAGTTCTTATGACCCTTATTTTCTCTTTGTATTTTTTGGATCAAAATTAGCTTCTCGATGTGCATGGATATCCCTAACAGGTGTTGATAATATAAAAAAAAGGAATCAACATTTCATGGACCCTCTCTGCACCTCCATAGAGTGTGTTTTTACCTAACAACCACTAGATGGAGTAAAAGATGTGCGTGAAATAACCTGAACAACCATGCTTTGGGGTATTTTCAACTCTTTTAACTAAGTTTGAAACATTCTGCATACACTGAAAACATGATTTATTTGATATTCGTGTGTTATTCATGCACAGTTTTCATGAAAAGTAACTTCTGGGTTATATTTCGCAAAACTTTTTTGTTTTCCTCTGCTGTTTTAGTTTCATGTTATCTTTACGTGCATCTCTTTTGGGTGTCTTGTGGTTTTCAACTTCAACTGTGGGATGTTTGAAGCTCATTGTGCAAAGTGAGTACAGCATGTGTGACTGCTGCTCGGTAGTTCAGCGATGCAAAATCTAAACACTTATAGGCGCAGGGTGCAGAGAGGTTACATAAGTTCCTTAATTACTCGAGGGTGTATTTCAGGCATGACAGAAATTATACAAATCAGTTTGTTTGCTCTTGTTTCCATGAGAAGGCGGGTGTGCTACTATTAATATGAACATGTTTATTTCAGCCTTTTTATTTGAATACACAAGGCTTGAGTTGGCACATTTCACTTCCCTCCTTTTAATGTCCCTCTAAGAACACAGTAGACACACAGATTATATCGGCAGTATTGGATAGGATCTTATATTGATTAATGTCCAGAGAGCTTTACCTCTAATACAGGGAGGATGTTAATCTTGGTTGGCGGTGTTTAAATATAGTGGTTATGAGGATTGAAGTTTCTGCATACAGTATATTTGAGAGTGCGCATGATGGAGAGCTTGAGGACAGTCCCAGGTCTGTGGTGTTTTGCAAGACTAACCCAGGGATTTCACAGGATCTGGAAAGCTCCGCTCCGGAACAGCAGGCGGATCAAACACACAAGCATACAGCGCCCATTGGATCTGATCCACTGCAGCAAGTCAAGGAAAAGCGCTCACAATAATACCGATATTTCTTGCGCATGATGGCGATCTTGAGGACCATCCCAGGTCTGTGATGTTTTGCCCATGCAAGGCTAACCCCGGGATTTCACAGGATCTGGAATGGCTCCGCTCCAGACCAGCAGGTGGTTCAAATACACAAGCAAACAGCACCCACTGGATCCAATCGACTCCAGCAAATGGAGGAGAATGCTCGCTTTATTACCGATAATTCTCGCGAGACTGGACGAGATCTGGCTTGTTTACCCCTGAGACATTGAATGAGAGCGGTGTTGTATATTATAACCCACATCCTACAACCCTACCCCATCCTACAGCTCGTGCTGCGCTGCACCGAATTGATGCGCCGGGCCGCAGTGTCCGACGAAAAAAGAAGCCTTGCGTATCTGATCTGACCACTGGAGCCGATCTGCAGCGGAGCCAGATGTCGGACGGATTGTGTGGAATCACACGTATTGATTAGAATGCTTGCGTATTTGATCCGCCTGCTGTTCCGAATCGGAGCGCAACCGTTCCGGATCCTGTGGGTTTTAGCCGTAAGGTTAAGCAAGTCTTTATCAAACTGTATGGAGACAAGGGAAACATTCTGATGTCTCTCCCAATTAATGCTCAATATGCCCTCTAGACGGCAGGAAACTGTTATGCATCTAGTATTCTTGCAATGATTTTGTTTTTAAGACCTGCAACTGATGTGTGTTTGTGTGATTGTAGTGAAAGTCAACAGGAAACAACGAGGGAGGGCAGCATGTGCAGCCTGTGATGGAAACACAAACCTCATCCTGGGCCAAAGCGACAGATCAACAAAGAGAGGGGTGGAAAACAGGAGGATGGAAGTGAAACAAGGAGGGAGCCTTCCGACTGGTCCACATTACGCCATCATGAGCTCCTTTCTCTCCTTCCTCCATCCCTCCTCCTTCATTGTCTCCTCTCTCCTCAGTATAAGTCTCTGTCAGGTTTTGATTGAACCTGTTTCTTTATTCCTTTCCTTTCTCTCTCTCTTTTTAATCTCTTTACAGTTCATCTCCTTCCCTTCCCCCCTCTCTGTCGTCTTCTCCCTCCTACCTAGCTCCCCTCTCAGTGACCGCTGTGATGACCTTTTTGACACAGTTTTCCTAAAACTCTCCACAGTCTGAAAACAGGGAATGAGGGTGTCTTGGTTTCCGCCACTTTGGTGGGGTCACATTCTGTCAGACATATTTCTAGAGGGTTAAATATGGTTCAGGAAACACTGAGTGACATATGAAGGCATAACATAATCAGCCCTATTTCTTCTGATAGACACAAGACCTGACTGCTTGATCAGATTTTAGGAGTATTCGGACAAACAAGGTTTTTGTTTGTTACCGAATAACTGAATCTGTTGATCACGTCAAACTCAAGTGATGTTTGAAGCTAAAGCGATGCTTGTTTTGGGGTACTTCAATAAGGGCCTGTGTCCACTCTGGTAACACCTATGACTTCAGTTTCAGTGCTATATCGGGTTCAAAGACTTTTGGGGTAAAATCTCAAATCAGAGGATCAATTTGGTTTCTGGTGCCTGTTACTGAGTCGCTGAGCAAAAAGTTCCTCTAAAGGTTTCTGGAGCACTGTAAAAAAAATTGCACTGGAAATGCAACTTTTATTTTGAGCCTAAAACTTGTTAAAAGTTATATTTTCAAACTGGTATTAAAGGGATATTCTGGCATAAAATTATTTAGGGTCAAACACACCATAACACAGAGTTAGACACCCCCTCGAGAGATGAATGTTGCCGACTGCTCACTTCTCTAGTTATACCAACTTAAGTAACGACCGCACGATAGCAATACACAGCGGTCTGAGGAGCCATACACAAACCTCAACCAAAACGCCACTCTATAGACACAAATAATGCTCAGAACAGCACCTAACTTCATCAACAGGACATATAGGGTCCCAGCCAAAGTACTATCCACCAAACATCATTTTAACTTTGCCTAATTTCTTTAGCAAAGAGACTAAACACAACTCACCTACTCTCCTCCAGCAGCCGCTTGTTTGTACGGAGCCCTCTGGGTGAGTCCATCGACTACAGTGGGGTGACGCAACTCAAGGAAGAACATCGTGCGGTCGTTACTAAAGTTGGTATAAATAGAGAAGCAAGTGGTCGGCAACATTCATCTCTTGACAGGGTGTCTAACTCTGTGTTATGGTGTGTTTGACCCTAAATTAATTTTACGCCGGAATATCCCTCTAATGTGAGTCAACAAAAGGTTTTTTCATTCACGACAGATCTTTGAAATCTCAACTACAACAATGTTGATGTGTTTGTTTTTTAAGGTCGGCTGCTTTGTGACTTCAGGTGAAACTCCCACCCAAGAAGTCAAGGATGACCCCAACCCCCGAGGACCGGAATCCTTACGAAACTGTCACCAAGAGGTAAACACACTCATATAATGTGGGCCCTGATGGTTGCAGGGCCCCATTTGCACAGATGAAGGGAGCCCCAAACTCTGCAGGACAGGAGAGGGTGTTGAAGGAGAACAACACCCCCTGGCAGCTCAGAGGGGCCCCTGCAGATTGATGTGCGTGTGAAACCCGCCGCGCCAAATATTGTGCAGTGCGCGGTTGATTGTGCAGTGCGAGCCAGCTGCAGATTCATGCGTCTGTGTCCTGTGTGGGGACTCCCATCTGAACATACGGTAAATTCACCTTCCAGTCAAAACAGAGTTAAAAGGCAAGCTTTGAATGGTGGTCTGACAAGTTGGCCTTTTCACTTTCCTAAGAATATAAAGCTCTTATAATCTCCTGTTGAGATCCAAGACCATCACGGAGGGGAGACGGACCGTAAATGATGTTAAATTGCTTTACAGTTTTTGGACCTTTGTGTGCCTTCATTCGCAAAAGAGGGCACACAAGTCTTTATAGTCTTGGTATAGTGGTTTTCTGTCTGAGTTAGTAAAAGTAGACTGGAGACTTTATAAGGTTTTCTCTAAAGTTAGGCCGTACATTCGGCTATCACAAGACGGCAAACAATTTGGAAAATAAGGAAATTAAGCTGTAGCTGTCGCATTTCAAGTCATCCAAGTAGGAAATTTGGCAAAGAGTTTCCGAAAACAAAGGAGAAAGTGGTAAAATCAGACTCTGGAGTTTACTGCTTCCAAATTTTACACCATCATCCACCAAACTTAGAAAAGAAAAACAAATATTCTCAGATGGATATCAGGAAAAGTTTAAATTTTGACTTCAGGTAGGTTTTGCATTTCTTCTCTTTTATCTTTTCGAAACTTTCCAATAACTTTTGTTTCCTGTCAAATCAGAGAGATCGGGAATCTACATTTTCCGATAAATTACTGTAAAGTGGAAATACAGAGTAAAATGGAATCAACAGACTCAGTCCCGCACAGGTCCAGCGTTTCAGTCCGATGTTTGTCACTTTGGTGAATTAATTCATCCTCACGCTGCCCCATTCACAGCAGGCCCGTGTGTACTCGCCTATACACCAGCAGGTCCCCCCTCCCTCTCGCAGGCGGACATGGCACAGCCTCACAGAGATGCACCGACATTACACATTCACTGCACAGTGCAGTGGCCGACGCAAAACTGCAGGGAGCCAAGCGCACAAGAAAAGAGCCCTGTTTCTTTTAACGTCTTTGATTTGTAAATACCTCTGTCCTTGTGCGACAACTTCCCGGCTTGTATCTTATAACCATCAAACATTTACATGAGAAAGTTGACAAAGGCTGAAACAGCGGAGGAGGCCTCGCAACAAAGAGGCCCATTTATGTTGTACAGTGAGGGAGAGACTGAGAGAGGGAGGGTAGGAGGAGAAGCTGGGAGGAGAGTTGAATTAATGAATTAAAAATGTCGTGAAACAGCGGCTGGGGGAATAGTTTGGGGTTTATATAGAGAGGCGTCCAGGGGGGTCCAGGAGGAGTGGACATCGCAGCCTTCTTTAACTTCTCTCAGCCGGAGAACTCAAACAGGGATCCCTCTCTGCTCTGAAGAAGTGCAAACTGTGCTCATCTGATTACATAATGACCCAGTAACAGAGAGCCAGAACCGGTACTGCCAGTACCAGTGTGCTGGGAGACACTGACTGACCAGCGGCCTCTCTCCTCGCTGTTTTTCCACGCGTTTTTCACGAGGCTTTTTTCCCTTTTAGAAATCTAGGATGGCAATGGCGTAGACGGACAGTGAAAGAAAACAATGCAAACAATGTGATGTCAAAGTGCGGGGGGGTTTAAAAAATGCTGTCAATAAGTCAGAGTAGTTTAATACCGAGAAGTTTAAACTTTTTCTAACTTTTTTCTCCTTAAAGTTTTACGGTATCTTTCGTTCTCATGTCGCACGGTCAGTAGAAAAAGTCAAATCATCAAGTCGCCAATCTGGGGTCGAAGTGAACTTCTGTTATAAGCCAACAGAAAGGTAAGAGACACACTAACATTATAAAATATGTCTTTTATTCTTTAAAATTTGTGTTTTTATTCCATTGTTTTTATGTTCACTTGCTTTGTTTTTACTGGTATCTGTTTCTTCTGGACCAATTTCAATGTCAACAAATGCTCTGGACTAAACATCTTCACAGTACAGCACTGTATTCCTGTATTTCTATATTATTATTGACTTTTTTAGATGTTTTTCCAACAGTACTGCACCTGTTACATCCCAGTATTAACACTTTATTGACTTTCTTATTTTCTGCCTCTTTATGTCCCTATGTAACATGTAACTGAACTTTTTAATGCAAGGCTTCAGGTCCACTTTCAAACGGGTTAGTTTTCTGCATCTACCGTGTTGTTTTTACCTTGCAGATGGATGATAGTGGTGTAAAATAACAGAGAGGCTCTACTGTAGGAATCCTACTGAAATCTAACATTGTGCTGGATGTAAATATGAGAGTGTTTCAAAGTTTTTCCTGATAATGACAATTTTATCCCTCAAATTTTTCTGATTATCGCCTTTGCACCTTTGATTTCAAGTAAGCTAAAGAGGCAATCATGCAAAGATTGTCTAAGCTGTACAAACAGGTAGTCTAACACTTTTAGTAGCAGAAAATACCAAGCAGATAGCACAAAACATGCTGAAAAGAGAAGTTGTTTTGGACCCTTAAGTCTACAGAGTCTGGGCTCGGAAACCTTTTGTCAAAACAAATCAAGTCCTCCCATTCAGGGATCCTCGTCAGCCTCTCTACTGTGGTGAACCAGGTCAGATTTACAGCAGAGAGACAGTCATTTGGAAGAAGACGGTAAAAGTCAGCGTTAAATTACAGCCTGGTTACCAACTGCTGCGCTGCATGCTCACAGTGTTTAATTTCGGTCAATGTCGTAATTCTTTGACAACTTAGGAAGTGAGGACCGTGAACAGACGGATGAACACAGACGTCTTGACAAAAAACAAGAGGGACATTGGTTTCATTTGGATCATACAGCAGGCAAAACACAAATACATGAAGACTTAATATCACTACTTTGTCATTAGAAGCTAGTGATCTAAAAACTGCCACATTTTACACAGGTCCGTTAACTTTCTGGAACATTCATGATTATTCTCAAGAATCGTTGCAGCTCATCTCTTCCTTTTGACATTTGAAGTCAAGAAAATCATCAATTCTGTCCTCATATGTAGTTTAATGTTGTTTTTCAAGCATACTGATGTCTTTGTGCAGCAAAACACTGCTGTTTAAATGGTTTTTAAACTATTGGCAAAGATTTTAATGCAAGCTGAAGAATGGTACAGAAAAGCAGACATCCATCAACACTTAAACAATGCCGGAGAAAGTTCGGTTATCGAACATTTCATTTCTTAATTTGATGAAGACCATTGCTCCAAAACATCTGGATTACTTCACTCTTTGTGGCACCGAGTCAAAGTGAAAGCTTCTTTAGCTGTTGTTTCTTAATTTCCAAACAAAAATAACCTAAAAGGAAATGTTGAACCTTCCTCCAATTTTAAGCAACAAGATTAAAAAAACTGCAGCCACGATCAGTCAGCTTGTTCAGATAGTTCTTATAATCTGTGGTAGACTTGTTTAATCTGTGATTTGTCTGTTCTGCTAGTTGGCAATAGTAACAAGGACTTAAAAGACTCAGCTGGCGGAAGAAAAGCTCTTTGGGATTGTCATTTCTTTGGATGATGAAGACATAGAGACCAAACAGCAGCTCATTTGTATGGCAGTGTGCTTGGTTTGGCTCCAGAAAGTTTGTGGTTTTAGCATCTCGTGTTGGCTGAGCAGATGCCTTCTTGGCGTGAGCTGTGTTGATGTTTAGACAATCCTTTCAGTCCAGTGTGGAAGCTGCTGTGGTGTGGACACTGGTCACAGCCATTCAGGATTTGCTGTATTGAGTCTTTTCAGGGCAGCGTACAGGCTGCAAGGACTTCTTTATGGCTACGGACACTGGACGGGGAGAACTGGTTTGGAGGGATTACCCTCTCCTCTGGAATACTAATGACCGTCTTTTGTCGCCGATCTATTTCCTCCACTTTCACCCAAAGTACCCCTTCCTCTCTCCTTCACCATCCATTTCTCTCCCTCTTCCTTTTTCACTTCTTTTGTCACCCGAAACTAATTATTCTCCCTCTTCTTCCCCAATCTCTGCCCCCTCAAAATGTCAAGCACTGCAAACTCACACACGATCAAACACAGTTGCAAACACACACTCACTTTACGCTCCGTACCGCTCTCCTCAGCCCGTCTAACTCGCTCTCTTTTTTCACTCGCTCGCTCATCCAGCCGTATTTTTCAATGGTGGCTTTTGTCCCTTTCATCTCCTCGAAAACAAAGGATTCTTGTGCACACGGGACGGAGGGAAGGAGAGGGATGGTAAGCCGGACAGAGAGGAAGAGATCTCTAACCTTGAGTGTGGTCGTCAAATGAGTGGGAAAAGTCATTTTTCAAGAGAGCGAGTCCATCAGTATGACTGTCAGTGGAGGCGATACACTCTGCAAATATTGTGTTGGTTACAATAACAGTTAAATAACCCAGTCTGTACATGTCTTCGCATTATTTATAGTTGTCTGAACGAGTATCATTCTTTAAATGTGTTGCAATCATGTTAGCTTCATAGCTTACTGTTTCCAACTTTGTTTAATCAAACACACCACAGTCACCAAAATCATTAAAACACAACAGGAAACTGATCCTCAACAATCCTCAACAAACCCATTTCAAACAGACCAGGTCAAAGTGAGCCAGCGGGTAGCGTGCAAAGCAGAAGCAATATCTATGTTGCAAACAAGTTGCTGAAAAGTTTAAAAGATGTTTCTTCAAAGCCTGGCACACACCAGAAGATTTTTAAAAATCTTTGGACACACTAGAGACTCCACTCATGACAATAAATGATGAGCAATTGGACTGATTTGTTCAACGGCGTTGAACTACAGCTTGGTCATAAAGTCATCCCATTTGACGATGGACTGCATGAATGATCGGTCGTCCCCACACAAATAAGGATTTGTGGATTGAACATGTTTAATATTCATGATTCAAAGTCAGATCGGCTCAGACTTCCGCAGAGCTCAGAGGGAGGAAAAATCACTCCTAACACACCTCACACTTCAGGATTATCTGGTGAGATAATCTCAAGAACCATCCAATTATCAGGCCTTTGCTGACTTTTGTTAGAAGGGTGAATCTGGCCCAAAACTGCCATGATTATCTTGTAGTGTTCATCAGATAGGTTTCAATACCAAAAGCAGTCTTATTGATTGGTTTATGAACTGATTGCCATATTGGAAATGTTGACTCAACCTAAGTTTTGGTCAACCAAGAAACAGGCAAGGAGGTGCTACCACAGTGGATGTAAGCCCCCCTCACAGTTATAATGCAACCACTGGTCAACTCACCACATGTGGCAAAACAAAGACAAGTAATGTGAGTAGTATGGAGTGAAGTGTGACATGAAGCAAAGGGTCGCAGCCAGGAGTCAACCCAGTGACTGCTGTGATGGGGGGGAATAACTTTTTAGTCAAAACGGCCAAAGTGGTGCACCTTTATAAAGGATCCAATGGGGTTTCCTTGTCTTTAAAGCCAACCTCAAGTGGACACTCAGGGAACAGCACTTTTTCTGGAAACTACTCCATTGGTGTAATTTCAAACGTAGAGGCTTAGCTTGCGAAAGAGCTTAAAATGTTCTTGACAAGCTGAAGAAATCCCTCAATATTGACTGCTTTTTACTTTCTGTACTCTGCAGGTGAATAGAAAGAGGAATTGAGAGATGCCTGTGTTTTCCCAAGTCTACGGGAAATAAGTGCAGAAATTGTACCAAAAAGGCTATTTAAGGTGATACTACGTCTGGTCTGGTTATATATTGTTGTTGTGCAACTGGCCAGAAAGAGACATAGTAGTCATAGAGTCACAAAGCTTGGCAGATATATGACCTAGACCTAAAGGAATAGATAAACTAGTACTTGCAGTGAAAAGCTGCACCATGTTGTGTGCAAACCAAACATTCCTCTGGACAATAACTGATGTTGTATTGTGTTCGAACTACTCAAAAGGTCTATATGTCCAATACACGGGTATGTGTTTACTGTATGTGTAGGCAGGAGCCCTGCAGGGTTCAGAGTTCAGCTGGAGATGGACACAGCCAATCACATGGGCCTCCTCTTGACCCCGCCTCCCTCCCTTTTCTCCCCCTCCACATCTTAGTATTCAGAGCACAGACATCAACAACAGATCTCTATTCATTCACTCAGTGTGAGCTCCAGCATGGAGGGAGGAGAGAGAAGGGTCAGAAAGGACAGGAAAGGACAGAGCATATCAGATCGCCCTGCTTCTTCGGCTTTTGTTTGCGTTGTTTTGTTTTTGGTTTTGTTATATTCGCTCCGGAAAGCAGAGGCAGTTTGAGACAAAAGGGTCTATTTAGTCAACAGTGAGTGAGAGTGAGAAAAAGAAGGATGTGGAGAAAGAGAGACTACAGCCCAGTAGAGGGTACAACTGTTAAGAGGGCACAAGGGACGAAACCATATATTGACAATAAGTGTCCATGGCACCCAAGGAAAAGTTGGGGGTGCCCGTTGTGTGAACATACTGCAGACACTTGAACACTGACCCCTTCATCGCATTGTACCACTACTGTCTAACACTCGTGACACTTATGAATTGACAACAGGCACTCTTGAGTAATGAGTAAGGATGTGGATGTACTTGCAACCAACTACATAATTACTGCTCAACTACTCCGATTTGATAGATGGATGACAAATAAACCTGGATGTGCAACTCCTTGTGGGTCTGGTTCTTGTACCCTTTGCAAGTTTGAAAGTTGTTTGGAGCGATCACCTACATCCTAGGGTGTCACAAATGGAAGTTTTAAGGGTGGTATGCTGATTGTAACAACTTCTAGATTTCAAATAATCCACATCAGTGTGTCCCATCTGGTGCAAATGCTGCACAGGTGATGTTTGTCTCCAAACACAAACAGGCCCAAAGTGAGGGTAGAGTGTGAGACCAGCTTTCAGTAAAATGGAATTACGTATTTCAGTGGAAGACCGTAGCCGTCTTGAATGAGATTCAAGACATATCCTTGGGGACCCCTTTTCACGTGGAATAACAGCCACCAGTGTCTCCTCATCTCAATTCAGTAACTGTCTCGTGCAAGCAACACGTGAATGTGCCTGCACTATCAAGCTTTTAATGTGAAAGAGCAGCTGTGCTTTCATGCTGAAAGAAGGCTTTTATTTTGACAAGGCCAGCTGCCTTCAGTGAAAGGAGAAAAGGGGGCTTAAATGGACCACCGTGGACAGCCAGAACACTGTCAAGTTGAAAAACGTGCTTCTAATCCCCTTCTCTTCCTCCTGAATGTTCCACCATGTCATTTTCGTATTCATGTGGTCATAAAATGTTCTGTCTGTTATGCCTGTCATGCATCATGCAATCTTGCATTTGGACTCACCTGCTGTTCACTTTATCTTACTGTCCATCTCTTTCTGTCTCTCCATCTTACCCTCTTTTTTCTTGACTCACCACCCATTGTTTCCTTCCCCTGTCTCCAACCCCCTGCAGTACCAGCCATGACCTCGGCCACCCCACCTTCCTCTGAGGGCTCTTCCCCTCAGAAAGTGTGCCACTCCCAGACACAGACTGACATCACCAAGCCCCTGCTGGGCTCCACTGGGGTGACTGTGGGTGCTGGTGCAGGCAGTGGAGGAAAAGAAGCTGGAGGGCCCAATGCTCTTCGAAGGAGGCGCAGAGTCCTTTCCAAAGACGGACGAAGTAATGTGCGCATCGAGCACGTCAGCGGTCGTGGGGCGCTGTACCTACGGGACCTATGGACAACCTTCTTGGACATGCAATGGCGCTGGAAGTTCTTCCTCTTCTCTGCTACCTTTGCTGGGACCTGGTTCCTGTTTGGAGTGCTTTGGTACCTGGTGGCAATGGTACATGGAGATCTGCTGGGTAAGATGGAAGGTGGGATGAGGGTTTGTGGTGCATGGAGCAGCATGGGTTGGCTCTTTCTGTGGTAAAATAACCCACAATGTCCAAGATTATTTTGTAAAGGGTCAAACAAAGAGGATCCTATAGTACAGTTTCCAGTTACATAATGAGCACAAGGAAGATCTTGCAACACAAGAGAGGGAACAAAATGTTGAAAGCATTGCTTCCCATAACCCATGATCATCTGTTCTTCCCCAGAGTTTGACCCCCCTTCCAACCACACTCCATGTGTAATGGAGGTGAAGACCCTCACAGGAGCCTTCCTTTTCTCTCTGGAGTCCCAAACCACTATTGGCTACGGTTTCCGCTGCATTACAGAGGAGTGTCCAGTTGCCATTGTACTGCTCATCTTTCAGCTGGTTATCACCATGGTGATGGAGATCTTCATCACTGGCACCTTTCTTGCTAAGGTAGTAAGATGGGACAAAACACTCTTTAATATAAATTTTAAAGTACCTTTTCATACCAAAGAGGACTTATTCCTTAAACTCAGTCACCCTAGTAGGTTCACCCTTGAACCACTCATTACAGCTATCAACATTTGCAGCAATCAACTCCTTGGTTATCATGCTTACAAGATTGTCACCATTGTCACTGATTACTACTCCCTAATCTGTCCACAACAAGGTTGTTTAAACAATTTCTTCCTGCAGACTTAAAACCTTTCCAGAAAGAGGACTGATAAGCCCTGTAGATGATTGCTGTGGGTCATGTAAAGTGTTTAGGGTTTGTAGTAACAGGAAACATCATATATCCTTAAATGCCTATTCTTTGACACACATTTTTCTTCCTGTAGGTAGCTCGTCCCAAGAAGAGAGGCGAAACTGTGAAGTTCAGTCAACATGCTGTTGTGTCGAATCATGAGGGTCGACCATGCCTCATGATCCGAGTGGCTAACATGCGCAAAAGCCTGTTGTTAGGATGCCAGGTATGTAGGGCAATTCCAATTGTGTAAAGTCTGAGAATCTCTTATCCAAGCCAGTGCTCACAGCTGGAAAAGTCAGTGTTTAGAAACATGTAGACATCGCTCTTAGATTCTTAGTGGCTGGCACATCAACACTGATTAGGATACTGGCCATTGCAGGTATTAAACCTGGGGCCTTTTGGTTACAGGATGCCTTCTGCAACTTCTTGGCCTCATTTACTGACTCCATCTTGGCTCCCAGGTGACGGGGAAGTTGCTTCAGACATCTCTGACAAAGGAGGGCGAGACAGTGCGACTGGACCAGCGCAATGTGCCTTTCCAGGTGGATACGTCCAGTGACAGTCCCTTCCTCATCATTCCCCTGACTTTCTACCACATCATTGATGAAAACAGCCCCCTCAGGGCATGGGCAGCCAAAGGTAAATGATAACCATCATTTAAGGTTTACGGGCAGATCTGATAGATACTAAGAAGAACACTACTCTTCAATTAGAGGACTCTTTGTTAAGTACCACACAGTGCAAAAAGAAGTCTGAAAATCAAACCTCAGGGTGTAAAATAGACATTTTAAAAACATACTGGGTTGGAAATACCAGGCTAAGATTTGGCAACCATGCTGGGGCACCAAGAACGGCATTAAAAGAGACACATACAGTGCCAAAGTTACATCAAGTTTAAAAGCGGTTAAGCATGTTAAATTCAGCCCAGGTGGTCTTTTTTTTTTACTTGGTCACATTGTAGAAATTTTAACTCAAGTTTTCAATTTCTTATAAATGTGAGATTTGCAGCTAGTATTTAAAATATAAAAACACTGAACCATCAGATTTTTTTTTTTACAAGAGTTCACTTAAAAGGTTTCTTTGATATTTTAACTAAACTTTTGCATGCTCAACTTCTAAAAGGTTTTTCAAACTGGTCACTATTAATATTTGGAATCAATAGGTGTTGAGAGTAGTTGTATTTACAGTACGCTCAGCTAGTATGTGTCTGTAGGTGTGCTGGTATTTACGGTCATGTGCTTGGCTGCCTCTAAGTGTCCAGAGTTGGGCTGGATTGGCACTGTAGGAGAGAGAGTTTCATTCTGGCTGGAATGTGTGTGAGAGAGAGATGGTCAGAGACACCCCTCATTAGAGCACAATGCTGTACAGTCTGGGGTGCTGACACGAAGCCTGCGCAGATCCACTTACAGCGGCGCTGAAGCTCTTGAAGGCATCAGTGCTGACGGACTCTGATCGCTGTGTTATTTACACTTGTAAGTCTCTTCCTAGCTTTTTTAGCTGTAGGGGGGAATTTTACTTCTTAACATTTCTCATCAGAGGGCCAAACTAGGGATGCAAATTCAAAGTATTTTCTGTGACTGATCTTTGGAAATGTTCAGGATCATTTATTGATTCCTGTTTAGATTTTTTTCTACCAAATGCACTTTTCCCAGAAGTCAATTATTTTCTGCAGAAACATACTCGATGTAACTGATGGTATTGTATTGTATTCATGTTCAGTGTCCGGCTTTCCGCATACTTGTTCTTCTTGATTAAAAAGGATTTCTACATGGGTGGGTGTCAGCCATGAACCAGCTTACTTTTAGTCTGGCGGCAGAAAACGCAAACTCAGGAAGCATTGGTGTTGCTGGTATGATAATATTTGCCAGCTTTGCCATTCCAAGAAGAAACATGCTGAACAACCAAAACTCAAAGCTGATCGGTGAATGTTATATGAGATACAATGTGCTGATTGTCACTACTTAATGGAAAAAGAACAAAAAATGTATGTTCCAGTATGTTCTTAACAATCAATTTCTCTGTTCTTGGATAATTATTAGTTTTTTATTCAAACCTTCAAACCAATAAAATCAAAATTGACCCTGTGACCAGTGCGTCCTATGGACATCTGGTTGTGTTGTTGGCATGCTTAACTTCTGTGATGTACATACCATTCAACATATGGTTCTTCTCCACTTTCAGGAGATGGTTTCTTCAAAGTTAAATGGACGACAGCAGAAAGTTTGATTTTCATAGAAAACGCTCCGTCTATCACCGAGATGGACTAAAAAAGTCCCCAAAAAAGTCCACAGACTTTCTGGTCTCATCTTTTCCTCCTCCATGCCTTCAGTAGAAGTAAAGCTTGAGCTGTGAAATACCCAAATACCCAGCTGAATACAGATATTCATTCACTGGGCAAGGTTGATCACAATAGTTGATCAAACAAAAAAGGCTATTTCTGCTCGAACCAGAGACAGAGTGAGGGGAAATAACATCTCTTTTTCACACCACACACAGCTGTTCTGACTAAATGTGAAAGTGCGTGTTAACACCAGACTGGTTAAAATCACATGCTTAAACCACATGCTCTGTAAAAACCAGAACTTATATAGAATTATTTAAAACAGAATAGGGAAATATTCTTTAAATGTGGTTCGTGTTACATGCCCTGCAGCTGACCTTCTCCTTTAAGTCTTTTAAGAGTAACCAGCTCTTAGACATACATTCATGGTGATTGAGCACACTATGCTTTAAGCGCTTCATGGTTCATCAAACAGAGTTCAACCCTTTCCCTGCAGCGCTGACGTTACTGGTTTGATAAGAAAACTGAATTCAGGCTTGAGGTACAACACTGTGTGAAGCTTTCAGGCATTATGTGAGTTACTAAGTAATGAGGCCAGGGCACTGTGGAGATGGTCTATAGGAGTGCATATATGTGCACCCACTGTTGGAAAACACCAGTAATGACTCATTCAAAGACTTTTTCACTTTCTATGAAACTGTCTGTATGAGTGGCATTTAAAAGAATGCATTGGTGGAGAATTTTCCTCATGCAAGCAGGTAGGGTGTCAAAAAGAAGAGTTCAAAACTAGGACAAACAGGATACAAAGGCGTAGACTGTACCACAGAGACAGGAAACCACGATAGAAAGTTAACAGAGATGTTGAAGGAGGGCATCAGGTTGAAAGGTGAATGTTACATGCCGCTACTTTGTTTTTCACTACTTAATTGAAATAAAATTAAAAAAAAGTGTGTTCCAGTATGTTCTTAACAACCAATTCCTCCATACTTACGAAGGCATCAGGTGATGGCATGATTGACAAGGAGAAAAAATTTTAAACAGAGCCTAACAGACAAAAAAAAGTGACAAGCACCAAGGTTATGTTATTTTTTGGGCAATAAATTTGCAGAGCGTAAGACTTTCAACTGTGGCATGCCGGGTGCAAAGCTAATAAACAGTGTCATGTTTGACGTGCTGCTAATCTGCCAATGAACAGAAAATAGAAAGCATAGTTTGGCTTAATAGGAATGTTTTATTTATTTATTTAGTTTTTAATTTTTTAATTTTAATTGTTTTTTTTTTTGTTTTTTTTTACATATATAAGGCCTTTTGTTTTGGGGGTCATGTGAAAACTCCTAGGATCCCCAAAGTTAGAACCTAAGTGTCAAGAGATTTTCCGCTCATCAACACATTTTGTGAACTCTAATCTCTAAGCTAAAAGGAAATGCCAAAGTTATGACGGTTCATCATAAGCAAGTCTTAGCTGTCTTTCTTAAATTTCATGCCAAAATGTGCAGCAGTTACAGAGATATTTCCGACAATACGAGTGAACCAAATGTCCAGCAGAAGAACAGGTTATGCTTTCTGTGGAGCCATGCTGTTTAGGACGCACAGAAAGATCACCACATATATGAATATACTTTTGTTCCACCCACAATAGGCTGAAATAGAGAATTCCCAATGGCTGTCGTGGTGGTGTGTACATGTGGTTGCGAAACTTGGTGTTTTTTACTCCGGTGGGAGCATTATTGGGTCTGGGTTAGGGGAAGGACTGTTTAGACAGATGACAGAGTCTGCATTCTGAGTGAGGCCTGTTGATACAGGTGTGTGTTTGAGCACATACGTCTGCTAGTGTGTCCTTTGTTAAGGGAGCTCTGTGTAGACGAATGACGAGTATATTCTGCATATATAGATAAAAATATGTCAACTATTCATCAGTGGAAAGCCTCAAACATGCGGCAGCTTTTACTTCTGTGTGTTTTCAGTTTGCAGAATTGGGTTGTGTTTGTGTTAGTGTCTGTGTCAGATCCGGTCAAGTGTTTGTGGAAACAGTCTGTAAGTGGGATGTTTTTGTATTTTGGAAATTTCAGGATGTGCGTTTGCTTGTGAGTGTGTGTGAATGTGTTTTGTGTCTGTTTTGTCGTACTCACATTGATATCTGCCTTTTTTTATGAATTAATCAACCCTGAGAGGACCCCAACATAAAGGGGATAACCAATTTTGAACCAGCTAACTATCGACTAAAACAAGCAAGATGAAAGTAAATGTTGAACTCAATAACCTTTAAACTGAATCGTTTTTGTTTACACTAAAGTTGAAATTTTGTTGTTATTCCTAATAGAGAATAATAGTAATCATCTAGCTAATGCTATCTCTGTGTTGTAGCTCTGGTTGTTTCATGTGTTTTCTTTAATTTGATGGATGCCCCTTTACTCAGCTCCCTAGTCAGGTGAGTCAGTCATTTTAAGCTGTTACTCCTCTTTCTATCAGGTGGTGGTTGGACAGACCCCGAGCTGGCTGACTTTGAGCTGCTGGTGATCATGAGCGCCACGGTTGAGCCGACCTCTGCTACCTGCCAGGTTCGAACGTCCTACCTTCCGGATGAGATCCTCTGGGGATACGAGTTCCCCCCTGTTGTCTCCCTGTCCCCCTCAGGAAAATACGTGGCAGATTTCGCATTTTTCGACAAAGTGGCCAAAACCAAAACCCCACCACTTTTCAAGCAGGCCCTGCCTCCGAGTCCACCCTCACAGGCGTCTCGTCGCCATGGTGGCAAGGAGGACGGGATGGACCCAGAGAAGATGCGGCTGGAGGAGAGTTACAGGGGGGAAGAGAGGGGGAGAGAAAGGGGACGGATCAGAGACAGCAGCCCACTGAGTGTGCGCATCAGTAATGTCTGAGGGAGGAGGTGAGATCAGAAAGTTGATGTGAAAATACACACAGGAAGAAGCTGCTCAACAAAGGAAGCCTGCGCACACTCGAACTGTGGAAGGTGAACACCTGGATGCCTTCTACGTGCAACAACCACAAGAACTGCTTCTTTAACCACATGCCTGTCAACAACATGCTGAAGAAGGCCTGCAAACAAAGTTCAGCAGGAGCAAACCCAGTACAACCCAATGTACAAAAGCTAAACACAACACCAGGTCATTTGTATTCATCTTATATGATCAGTTCTGTCAATATTTAAGCTGCAAAAGTAATACACCTTTTTTTTTAAGAAAAGTCAAAAAGGGGAAGGAAATACTGAACCAGGCCAAGTTTCCTCCCCTTATGGTATTTTTAACCCATTTGAGAAAAAACACAAGACGTTAATTTTGACAAACTGACTTTATAAGATGAGTTTTGCAGTCAAACTTTTATATTGGTGGTACTTACTGAATCAAAGTACTGTTTTCTTTCTTTTTCATGAATGGGAAACCCTCAGTGCTTTGGAAAAAATACTGGAACCATTCTATTTTTAACAATGGATTTTAAAGGAATGTATCATATTATATATACAGGATAGTTTCTAACACTGTCACTGGATGCACCAGGACATATTGTGCTCGATGGTATGAATGTCTTTTCTTGTTTATTCGGGTTTATGACTGACTAGTAATATTACTAAAAGCACTTTAACTTGAAAGAAAAGTGGCATTTCACACGAGAGAATAACTGAACTAACTCTGATACCTAATGCACTGTAATAAATGATTAAATCTTGATGCTACGTTTGCTTGAAAATGGGTCATTTTGTAAATGTCATAATTCTGTCTGTATGAACCACTGTCTTATGTACAGTACGTATATGTGTGTGTTAAGTACCTCTGTACAGTGCATAAAGATGCGCTGATATTACACTTCTTTAAATACAACTCTGTATTTTCAACAAGCCAAGTTACTTGTTTTCATGCACATTATTTTAAAGGTATTTTTTGTTGTAGCAGTCAGATTATAGAGGGAAATGCCCCCTTGCTCAGCCCTTGATCAGTGAAACTACTTTAGCATAAGAATCTCTTCCCTTTTAGCCTATCTAAGCCAAATATCAAATACAAACCCTTTGGGCACAACAACCACTCATCTTTAAAGCCTCCCATTAAATATGAAAATGGCTCTTACAACTTTGTCCACTCTGAGCTTCTGTATACATACGGCGGTGCAAGATAGCGGCCTCCATGGAGAAGGGCCCTCTCTTACAGGTTCATTCAAATTTTAAAAATACAAAATGATTTTTATGTTTAGGTATACACTCATTTAGAAATACTCGTGAATTTACAATATCCACTTTCCCCAAATATTTTTCTGCCAGATGCCGCTTAATATTACACACTGCAGCTTTAATGTGAAGTACATAACATCTGCTTTACTGCTGTGATTTCTCAAAACAAAGGTGTCCATGAATTCTAACCATACATGACTTGAATCAGCTGGGGACATTATTTGGATTATAATTCCATGTTCTTCCTCCTATAGTCATTATAAATCATGAGTGATGCATCAAAATTATACCAGATTTTGGTCGTTTTTCAAATTGAGAAAAATAAATTCCCTCAAAATAAAAGAAATCAAATTTTTTAAGTGAAGGAATGGGGGAGCATGATCATCAGTTTTAGATTTTTAGTAGGCCTATAAGGTGAAGTGCCACTATCAGAGAAAAGATCTGCTGCTCTTGATAAGCCCAATGAATGAAAGACAAAGACAGAAAATGTTTCCTATCATTTTGAAAGAAGTTTTAAAATTCAATTGAACTTACTGAGAGACTGTGCTTGTTTATTATACTTCAGAGCCCACTTTAAACTGTCTATGGATCGATCATGAAACTGGAAGATCACTGGCCTAACTTCTGAAGTAAGCACTATTTAAGTGTCTTATGTAATAAATGTCTTATTTACACCATTTTTATGTGTGAGAATCTAACTGAATCATTTCTCTCATGAGTTTTTATTTATCATATAACTTAAACTGGTAATTGAGTAATGATATAATCAATAAAATAATTTGCTGTCTTGATTTCAATAACTGGCTGGAGCAGGACATCTGAAAGTCAGAATAACAACTATCTAATCCTTACAAAGTATTTTGGTTTATGGTTTTATTGTATTAGGTAATGCAACAATGGATTGAATGGAAGACTGAACAGGTTTTATGTTTGGTTCAGTATATACACAGTCTACTGTACAAACCATTTGATGTCCAGTTCTGCCCACATTTCGACCCCGTCCATTTTTAGGAACTGTATATAGAGATATAGAGCAACACCACAACTGTGGGCTGTGGCCCTCTAGTGGCCCATAGAGGTCATCAGGTAAGCTCTGAGGACTGATAAGTCTATTTTTAGAACTGATTATATTTATTTTAACTTCTTGGGTTGCTTTTCAGTTATCACATATTACTGCAAAAGCATTTCACAAACAGAGTTATTTCACAAGAGGCAATAATTACTTTCACTAACTTTTTAATGTAACAAAAATACTTTTTAAATTGATTTTGCATTTTCTGTAGTACTTTGCACCTCATTAAATATTTGACAAAAATCCTTTTTGTTTATTATGAAAAAAACAAACAATTTTTTTTGTCTTCTTTATTCAAGTTCTTGATATATTTTTGTATTTTGTATTTTTGAACTCTTTATACAATGTTATGGTCTTAATTAAATATTCCATGTTTTATGGGGTTTTTATTTTTAGCTTCAGCCTAGGTACGTGCGCAGTTTGTTTTTGACGTTCAATGACATTGTTCGATCCTAAAACACTTCTTAAACTAACCGTTAGGGGTCCCTGAACCTACCAACACACTTGAAGAGCTTCAAAAACATAAACGTAAAATTGATAAATTCATTATGTAGGTACAGTGAGACTTGTGCATTTAGAGCTACTCATTAGATAGGAACATTTCAGTGAAACATAAAACAGAGTCAAAGATACTTTAAAAAGTTAGCGCTACCTTTTACCATTTTTTCATGGTCATTAAACTCATCAGTTGACGTTAGCTGCGATGGGAGGAAGAAGATGGAGGCCACCGTTGAGGGCGCGGAGAGGAAAGAGGGAAAGGAGGAACTTCGGAGTCCCCATATTTGAGAAGAAAACGACAACAGCAAGTATTACTGCTTAGGAGACACTTTTTCCACCAAGACTCGGCTCTTTTGACTAAGCTTTATAGCCCGTTAAAGTCCGTGTTTACCGAGATAGTAAGCTACCTGTTAGCCGGCTACCTGTTAGCCGCTAAGCTAGCGGCAGTTACGATTCAAGCCAACCGTTTGCCCGGCGATACTGTTTATATGGTTACTTTTACATGCTTCTGCGGTAATTAATTGTAGTTTTTAGTTTGGTGCGATCACGGTCGTACACAAGTTAACCGATTTGTATGAATGTTTTTCGAGTTAGAACAAGATTTTAAAGTCATTTTTAATTTAGAGAGCTAGTCAGTGAAATACATTTGTACTGTTGTTGGGACCAGATATGTGAAACGAACGCTATTTATCCACAGGCTGTAGTCTAAACAAGATCATAATTTAGGGAATATACAGCAGTGCTATTGTGCTATATTTTGTTTGTTTTTAATCATAAACTAAGTGTAAGTCAATATTTAGCCAATTGATCCCCTGATATTTTTGTTCATCTGAGCAATAAAAATTTACTTTGGATGAAGAGGAAACCCCCACTGATGCATCTCTTAAGCAGGTAATTTTTCTTTTCGCGTAACACACGCAGCAGCTAAAATTAGATAAAGGGTTTTTTGTGCCCTTTAAGTATAACTGCACTTAAATCTGGCATGTGGAAAACACTTGGGTAAGTATACATCCTTTATAAAGTGCATTAGGTACTGCAATCTTCACTGCTAAGGGCCAGCAGCAAGGTTTACCTACCTAGGCTGAAAATCTCATCTCTTTTAGCACTAATGAAACCCCATTTTTTTTAAAACTCTGCAATAACCTGTGCTTATATTTACCCATTATTACATTAATGTTACAGTATATAAGTTGTAATAACATGTTCAAATGCAAAATCATAAACCATGATGCCAAACACCTGCACAGAAGCTCTTTGGTTTCAACCCTTTAAATAGAAGATTTATGGTTTAAGCAATGCTCAGTGCAAACTTTTAAAAGTTTGCACTGAGCATATACGTTGCCTTGATATGTAGTGTCTCAATCAAGGCTGACTATGAGCTGTAGATAGAGTTGTCAAAGTTGTAAAATTGTAGGCTTGGAAGAGTACTGTAAGTGTGTGGGCTGTCTAAACATAAGAAAAAAAAAAGAGCACACAAATAATCAGTCATTGGAAATTACTGTTGTAGAGTTAGTTTCATTTCCTGCTTTGCTTTCAGCACCAAGTGGCTTTGCAGCTGCAGAGCCCATTTTAAACTGTGTTTCCTGTTTATCTCTCACTTAATTTAACCCTGAATGTAAAATGCTGCTGCTTTTTAGCTGTATGATTATTGCAGGTAAGGTGATGATGTTATATATTATTTCATATTTAACAATTGAAGTTTTTTCTGTGTAAAATTTTATTTAGCATTAAGCTTTCATGGTAAATACAATTTAGTGAAGTCTTATTTGCCAGTTAAAATACTTGTATATTTGTATTGACTTTGTTGGTTTGTAATGTGTGTTTCTCTCTTTGGTGTTGTAATGTAGCAATCTGGCCCTTGCAGTCCTAGTCTTTCTCATGCATGATGTTTAAACAAATGTGTGTTAGTATATGCCTGATTACAGAATTTGATAGAATGCAAAACAATTGTTACCTTTCTAAAGTTTGTGGTTTAGGAACAAGACAGCTAAGTTAAGAAACAACTACATTTTTACTATTGCTTTGTTCGAAGTGCAGCTACCGTTATTCATTTGCTGAAAAAAAGGATGGATTAAAAAGAAGAAAAGCTAGGGAAGGGATTGAATTCTGCATCTTTGCTCAAAAGGAGAAAGTTGGCATAGTATATCTGCTACATGTCCCCTTCTCTAAGGTAATATTAGATGATGTGTTTGAGTCACCTTCTATTAACTATATCTAATTGTTCACTTCAGGTATCAAAGCAGAGGATCCACTTTATGGACTGAAGAGCAGCTTATTGTGTCTACAAGTTAAAATATCATCACCATTCAAAGACTTTCACTGGATGGTTAATGATACAGCCATAGTTTCTGGAAATGACACCAATCCAGTCTATGAAGAAAAAGTGGATTATAATCCCAGAACTCGTAGCTTGTGTATCAAGAAACTCACAGAATGGGACAGCGGTGTTTACAAAGTTTCAGTTGTTTATCCAAATTTCAAAACGTGGAATGAGAAATACAGAGTTATAGTTCAAGGTAAGTCCAATATACTGTCCTTCTTTATTTTGATTTTGATTATTATTTGAAGAAGTACTTATCATCTCGGCTTGAAATACTCTTTTTTTAAAACTCTTTTTCATCTCTGGCCAAGTTAATCTTGCTGATGTTGTTTTACCCCATGTAAAAATTGAATTGTTCAGCTCTGCCACTTCCATATAAATTGTGCATTGATGTATAGTGCAGTAATGCCCACATGTTGTTACTGTGTTATGCAGTTGTCTTTGACAGGTGAACTGTCCGAGGTTTGTATGGATACAATTGGTAGATGATTCCAATAAGTGCCACTAGAGGGTGCCAGCAACTTACTTATAACTGAAATGTATCTGCATATGTTGATGTTGCAGCACCTGTTCCTGAACCAGTTATCAGGGTGTCACTGATGGGCTCAAATCTGTCTGCTGGATTCTGTAACATGTCAGTCAACTGCTCTGTCCTGGGTGACTGGTTGTTGGCCTCCTGTGATGAAAACAGCTGCAGAACATCTCAGAGGTCATTCAGCAAAGTCAACATCACAATCTTAGCTCAGAACAGATATGTCATCTGCAGAGGACACAACCATGTCAGCTCACGCAACGCCTCAAAAAGCATTGCAGAAACATGTAAATATGCTGTACCACTTACTCAGTGACACCACTGAGGTTCACATTTCAGAATATTTACACTCCACTACTAGTTATGTCAGTATCTGAGATGTTTTTTATGTCTTTTCAGGTAATGGCTTTTTGGATACTGAACATCAAGAGACACCACAGCCAGCCAACATAATATTGTTAGTAGCAGTTGCTGTAGGGGTTTTTGTTTTCTTTGCTGTTGTTGCTGTTCTTGTCTGTTTGACAAAGCAAAGGTATTCAGCAAAGTACGATCCCAGTCAGGTAAGCCGCATTTACTATGCCATATTCAAATTGACCTTTTGGGTCTAACTTTCTATGCAAAATGAAAATTTTAATGACATGATGATGGGCCCTTTATCAAAACAAGTGAAACTAACAGGCTGCTTGCACAGTTGGTGCATGCACACTGCAAAAGTCTTTAAATGGTTGCAATGAAATACTTCTTAATGTGAAACCAAAGTATCTTAGGTGTTGTTTATTTTATACTTGATTGTTGTTTCACATACATGTAAGTTAATATAAAGCCTGTCAATTCACCCCAGCGACAACCACAGAGCAGAGGTTTGTCCTCCTCTTCCTCTCAACCTGAGGCCCCTTATGAAAACATGGATGTCACACAGCCCAGCCAGACTACTGGTCCTACAAGCTCACAGGTGGGGTCAGGATCAAACCAAAGCCAGCCAGTGGATACTGTCTACAGCGTTTTACAGCTGCCACATTTGAATAACTCTCATGGGAAACATGACACAAATGGACATGAAACGGCACAAGCATCAACTTCAGAGTCTGGGGAGGCAGAGCACCACAAACAGGTTGACACAGTGTACAGCGTGTTGCAGAAGCCAAAGAAATAAACATGGACCTGTTTGCTCGGTCTGTTGGAGAGCCCTGTCTGAGAGTGGAACTGATGGTCATGGACACTCAAACACAATTCACAATTTACAACTGACTTATCTTTTACTTTACTTTTGAAATTCTACATATCAGTTGGTTATCTTCAGGGTCTGACATTAATTTTTTGACTGGCCAAGACTGTAGGTAGATCCTCCAGTAGAGTATATTTCTTTGAGATGCTTAAGTATCAATTTGAATAAAAACTTTGAAAAAGTACTCAGAGCAACATTTGTGAACTGATCATTAGTCAACTATTCTAAACATGCCTCACCAGCTTTGGCTGTATTTTTTACAGGTGCATAAAGTTAGAGAACTGTAATTTCAGCAGGAATTGGCAAAACTTCCCATCACTGCACATTTGTAATGCATTCATTTACCATTGAGTGAGTACAAAATGCACATTTAAAGAGGCAACTTCTTCCAAAAAGACACTTAGGCAGAAAATAGGACAGAAATGTAGGTGATCTTCATAAAATGATGCAGAAAAAGTGTAGCAAATTTCACCAGAATGCAGGAAATAGTGGTCTATGTTCATTTCCTGTCTTGTAGTTTCTGCTAACCACCTTTCATTCCAGGCGAACATACTCTGTGCTCATGTTGTCGAATATTCCTGTGCAGTGTTTATCTCTTTGTGTATACAGAAGGAAGAAAGATGAGGACTTTGATTTATTGCTCACCTGGCGTGGTTGGCCAGTTGTAAGTTTGATATAATTCTTCAGAATGAACTTTATCAAGCAGCAGATAATGGAAATAATTTTGGGGATCAGGGGAATTATGGTTTTTGGGAACTTGCACAAAGGAATTTTTCTGGTTCCAAAATTAAAAAAACAGCTTCCACAGTCCATCCAGGGTTTGATGGAAGAAAGTCCCAAGTGCTTTTTCTGTTCTTAAATTAAAATACATAGGAAGTTCTGTCAAGTTCAGATCTTAGATTGGTTACTTTAGTCATTTAGCATCAAATGTCATGTTGTCTACACTGTTGCTAATGTTGATTATTCATTGTATAAATCATTGCACCATAGGAAACTTTATGTTGCTACCTAAATAAGTGATCTTTTTGGTGAGTATCTAAGGATATCTCAGGCCTGCCTTCCTAGAAAAGCCTTCTCACAGCTTTTCTTAAGTTTCAGAAGTCATTTCTGGCATTGCTGTCTGCACACTTGTAGAACTGGACTCATTCAACAAGGTAACATTGCTTACGGCATAAATGAGATACTATTAATTTACTTATTGATCCCAACCTCTTTGATTGGGGGGCTTGTAATGACAGTATGTTCTTTGTCATAGGAGTCTTACTCTATAGTGCTTCAGCTACCTTCACACTTCCATTTATTATTGTTGCAGTGACTGTGTTTAATGTTTCTGTTTGTGATTCTGTTCATGCATTGAGTAACATTTGGCAAATATACCACAAAAAACTGTCCTTGTGCTTCTGCCTGTTACTGACCAACACAGCAGGGTGAAGTGTATTTAGTTGTGATGATAGGAAAACTGTTCAATATTTTTAGTTTTTGGTTGTTAAACAAGTTGAGTTCCAAAATGGCTACACTTGTAATCAGACTCAAATTTCTAACCATCTTTTACTCACCCACATCAGTCTAATTTTTTTATTTTACTCTAAATTATTATTTTTCTACAGTCATTGTTTTGCTTTTTGACCTCAAACTTCTGCAGCAATATCCTGTCAGGCCTGTGCAACAGATTATCTGAAGTCGTTTTTTCATCTTTGTAAATGAAACAGTTTCAGCTTTGGTAAGGTTCAGTCGCACTGTCTTCTCCCATGTCTACAGCTGCAACCAAGCTGTTAACCAGAATTCCACCACACTGACAGAGTTTGCACGTCCCATGCAGAGATCACTAACCTTTTTACCACACTACTCTGGCTTCATTTAGTCAAGCAAGCTGAGAGCATGAGGAAATTCTCATGTAAAAATACAATTCTGGAAAAAAAAACACAATTTGGTTTGTGTTGGAATCATGGTATGATTTTAAAATTGGTCTTAAGGGTTCTTGATACACAGGAAATTGTTATTGATTTTGATACTGCAGGCAGAAACTTTTTCATGATAGACTCAAGCAGGAAGCATAAATATGTCAAGTTAGTTGTGGTTAACGTCACTGTGGGTGCTTCAATTTCGTGTAAAAAGGACAGAGATATTTAAAAGATATGGTATTGTCACATTTAGTACTGTGAAGCTTGTCTCTCTTTTCTGCTTCAAGTGCTGAATATGAAGTCTAATGTTCAATCAAAGTAAAGCAGTGGCACCACTTACTTTTGGATGTAAAGATGAGTCAAACCTTGCTCTATGTGATGGGGTTATTCAGTAAGTACTTTAGTGCTAATGTTAAGGACTGCCAGAGACTTTAATTTTAATAAGATGACATTTCAGCAGGATTGTGGCTATTTAGATAGCGGTACTGATGTTTTTTGTGTATTGCGTGTGCAGTAATTGTATTAGATTATTATTGAACTGTTTCCTTTTTTTCTATTATATTTTTTCTACAACTAAAAGATTACCTTTGCTGAAATGCAACAGCAACAGTTAAGGCAGAATTTTATCTAACCCAGTGGGAAACATGCTGGGACATCCCAGCCAAAACTCAAAACATTAACTACCTATGGGGAAAGGTGTCACTGGTTTTAATTTGCATGCTCTGGTCCAATGTCAGCAAGTATGAACTAAACAAAGCATTACATCCTATTGTCATCATCAACACTTTATACCTTTGCAGATTTTTATCCCTGGCTGGTGCTCTGAATGGTGGAGAGAGACTGGTTTCACATGAACGATTCCCACTCACACTGAGACTAATAATGTATTCTGGTGCGAGTCTGAAACAGGAAAGTTCAGCAAATATTTAAACTCTTTAGTTCAGTCCAGCCTGAGAGCACAAACCAGGACTTTTCCATTGGTCCTGTAGATGACCACAGTGATACTCAACATCATCAGTATGATACTCTACTCCATGGTGAGCAGTGCATCTTCATTTTGTGCATAAACACAAGATGACCTAAAAAAAATATGAGGATCATTAATTAGATAAATGCAAAAAAGGATTAACTACTTATCTCTGTTGCTGTAAAGGTGACGCCTGTGTCTATGAATTGATCAAAGAATGGGAAGACTATGAAAATGGTACAGTATAAACCTTTAGTCCACACACAGAGGTATACAACTGTATAAGACATGGCTAGCTGATTAGTAGTGATGAGGTTTGAGATTAACTTTGTGTAATTGTGATGATAGGTAAGTTTTCACTCTAATAACACTATTTTACAAATGTTAAATAATTTTCAACGTGAATTTCAGCAATACTTCCTCGTGGATGTTACAGTCCTGTAATAAAATGTCATATATCAGACATTTAAAATAAACATTGCTATGAAGATATAAGAAAATAGCCCAATTTAAATGTGTTTTTGGGTTACCTCGTCTATTCAGTGGCCCATAGACATTTGTGTTGTACTTCATGATTTGCTGATACTGGTTGAAGCAAGTTGAAAATACCTCTTATTTCATTACTTCTATTTACCCTCATATCTAACATTTGAGTTTTCTAGTACAGACTATAAAGCCTTTGCAGTTTTCTTCCTCCTTTTTTGTAAATAGGCTTGATTTAAAATTTGTTTTTGTGAGTGAATTAAAAAAGTAAATGGATATTTTCAATGCAGCACTCCTTTACTTTTATACTTCCTGAGTTTTCTTTTGTTTTAGTGACATGTCACACATTAATAAAACATCCTCTATTGCTAAGCTACTAACACAGGAAGGTGTCAGTCAGATTGTACCAGAAGCCACTTGTATAGAAAGGAAGCTGCCATCATTCGTCAAACGATATTTTTAGATCCTGTAGAAGATTGAAGTGTTAAGATATTTAAGATAACATAAAAAAGAAACCGAACTTTTCACCCAGAGTCCCAAGAAACCTGGTAACTGTCTTGGGTGTATACAACAAAAGTTTCGTCAGTGGCAAACCAAATGAGGAACAGCTTAAAAAGATTAGGATTTTAGATCTACGTGGATAAAACAGTCAGAGGATGTAAATTGGATCTCGATTTTGTGTCTTTGGCTCTAATTGTTAAATAATTCACTTAAGCCTGTGGTTGATCAACAGTATGAGAAATGTTAGGAAGGTACCAGATATTAAGATTAATGGTATTGACACAAATGTGGCTATCTCATATATAACCACTATAGTCACAGCAGGCCCAATTTCTTCTCCCCACAATAGTCCTGCTGTTTTTAGTCGTCCTGGGAATACAAAAAAAAAATGTTTTAGAGAATGTGCCAATGAGTGAAGTCGTTATGCATTTCTGCCACCTTTCTGCCTACTGGATCTACTTTTTAGTAGACAGGAAGCCTGAGCATGTGAAGTCAGGTCTGGTCAAAGCCACTGTGGTTGCTTGAGTTTTGTGTTGAAAAAAGGGGTAGAAAGGAAGATGTTTCTGAGAATTTCTTTTCACACATTTCTAATGCAGTGTGACCTGTCTCTTCTCTTTTTCCACTGTATCATCAATGCCTAGTGGACATTATTTTAGAAGCAACACAGCGAAGCCTCACCCAGTTGTGGGGTGCGACGATGGGACAAATCTTGCTTTGTTTGCTTAAGTTTTTCAGTGAGTACATGATTACTTTCTTTGTTCTTTTAAGTATCAAAAAAAGAGGTTTTTTTTGTTTTTCCAACATTCTAGAGACTGATGACAGTTAATAAAACAGGATCAGATAATTAAATTACTGTCAATGTATCCTCTGAATAACCAGTATTTGTGTGGCATATGCAACTATGTGCAGTCTGTTAAAGTAAAAAGCTTTAAAATTTAAAAATTAGTGTTTTTGTTTATTTTTGAAATGTTTTCATTCATTTCCTAACATTTCAAAGTTACAAAATAACATCATATATATGATACCATTGTTTTATGATACTTGACTAAGTTGAAGATGAAACTTCAGCCTGATTACATCTTTCATTATTGCCTGGTAAAACAGTAATCTCTGATTTTAGTGCTGAATACGCTCCGCTATGGACTGGCTCAAGGTAACTTGTTTTCGCTCTTTTTCAAATTGTTACCGATATACAGCTGGATTTTCTTTTGCATTCATCTACTTATTCTTGATAAGAAGATGACTGAAAAGGGTCAAGAAATCTGATGTTTGAATGCATCGCTTCATGATCTCTTCCCAACTCTACTCTAAATTCAATATAAGTTATATAAAGCAGGTGGTTCAAATCGTCTTACTCACTTTAGATAGTGACAAGTGCCAGCTGCTGTTAAAAGTCACGGAAGTCAAACTTGTTCATGATTATTAATATTTTCTTTTGTTTTGAAAAGATCATACAGTCTTTGCTTTAAATTCTTCCTATGAAAGCTGTTTGTGTTTCTTAAGACCTTCATGATACCAAACTCTGTTTTACACTTTTCTTTGAGGCCATTAAAAAGCATAATGATTGTATCATTAATGTCAAGTTACATCCATATAATTTTTAGACTTTTCATGTAGGATAATTAGCATTAGGATTGTTAAAAGAAGATTTTGATGCAAACTATTCAATTTTATGACTGATTTTTAAAAATCCTGTTTTGATACTAATTGATTATATTCTTGTGTGAACAGATCACACTGCTCATGTGACCCTTAAATCCAACTGGTCTCAGGTATTCTGGGGTGAGAAGGTCACTCTCAGATGTGAGGTTGAGGGAAGTGGAGACGCTCAGTGGTCGTATTATTGGAATACTCCCTGGCAAAACACACGTTATAAACAAAAGGAATACATTATTGACTATGCCACAAACACTTATAACGGAGGATACAGGTGTAATAGCAGACGGGAGTCCCCTCCACCATTTATACAGACAAAGTGGAGTGACGTCTTTCAGCTGACAGTAATACGTAAGTTGAATCATGTTTTCAGTCCATAAAATGTTTGAACTGTTTTCCTGTATTTAAATTAAACCATAAACACCTCCAGCTTTTACAATAATGAAGGTATTTGCTGTGAGTTCTGTGACAAGTTTACTTTGGACTTTCACACGAAGACAAAATAACTTAGTAAGTCAATTACATGATTATTTCGCTTTTTAAATAAACTGAAAAATATATAATACCATATATTATATATTATATTATTATAATTTGATATGGCGTCTTTGAAGCTCTATTTTTTTATATAATTATTAAGAGTCAGTAGTTGATGGATGAAAGTCTGCATGTATTTTTACATCAGTAGGTGTCATGTTTTAAAAACACTGATGCTTTTTGGTTGAACGATCATTTTTAAAGAGCTCCTCTAAATGTATTAGAGAGACATGACCGTTCTTCCTGGAATTAAACTGATGTCCATAATTGTATTGTTATGCCACACTAAGAATACATTACAAGTGTAAGTCTCATAATTCCATAAGTATTTCTTCTTCATTGGAGCTGTCCTGAATGAATCAGAGAACTGATGATTAAACTTCTTTGATTCAAATTAAACAGCACAAAAACCAAAGGCTGAACTGAGTGCAGACAGCAACTCCTTTCCAATAGGGGGCACTATGACTCTGACCTGCAGTGTGAACCCTGCTTCATCTGGGTGGAAGTTTTTCTGGTACAAAGCAGAGAGAACATCTGAAGAGCAGGTCACACAAGAGGCCAGTTACAGTGTCTCACGAGGAGGAGAGTACAGGTGCAGAGGAGCGAGAGGAAATCCTGATTACTTTACTGAGTACAGTGAATCCATCATTATCAACACAATTTGTGAGTTAATCTTCAGATAAAGCATTTTAAAATCATGAATTAATGTTTTTTTGTGGTAGAAAGCTAACTTTTTTATATATCATTGTCTTTCAATGGAAATCCCTGATCATGAACAGCATCAGAAAGAGCTGCTGTGACTCGAGAACCTGAGTGGTCTGAAATATACAGAGGAGAGAGAATCACCCTCAGATGTGAAATAAAGTATGAAGGAGGTATTCAGTGGGATTATGAATGGGAGACAACTGGTTGGAATACATTTACAAAGCAGAGCACAGATGCTGTGATCAGTGGTACTGTTGAGAGTGGTGGGACCTACAAGTGTAAGGGGAGAGTCAAAACTGATCAGTACACCTCAACAGAATGGAGTGATCCACTCACACTGAGAGTATCAGGTAAGATGGAGACTTTTTTTGTCGTTATTGAAGTTGTGTTTTTTTACTTTAATAAAGTGTCATGAACAATCAGGTTATTTTAATGGGTTTATATGTAACAGTACCTCTGAAAATTAATCTTCACATGTTCTTGTTTTTCAATCAAACAGCACAAAGACCAAAGGCTGAACTGAGGGCTGATAACACAAACATCCCAGCAGGGGGCAGTGTGACCCTGACCTGCTCTGTGACTCCTTCAGCTGGTTGGAAATACGAGTTTTGGTTCCAGCAGGATGGAATGTCCAAACTCCTGACACCAAGTGACATTAGCTCTGATGGAGAAATCCAAGTCTCAGATGTGGGACTCTATTGGTGCAGAGGAATGAGAGGAAATCCACCTTTTGTCACAGAGGACAATGAAAGGATCAGCATCAACAGGATCAGTAAGTCTGGAGTTTTTGACATTTTCAAGTCTGGATTTGAGGTTAATTTTATTTTCCTTCCCTGTGAATTCTTGAAATTTAACAGATGCCAACAAGACTGTCGTGACTCTGAACCCAAACTGGTCTAAAATCGACTCTGGAGAGACGATCACTCTGAGATGTGGCATGAAAGGTGGAGAAGATACTGAGTGGGAGTATGAGTGGAAAACAACCAGCTCCATCAAACCTGATAAACAAAAGGAATACAGAATACTATCTGCATATTCAGCCCTCAGTGGAGACTATCAGTGTAGGGGCAGGAAAAAAAGTGACAAGTCTTTGACAGATTGGAGTGATCCTGTTACTTTAACAGTAGAACTCTGTAAGTCATGTTTCTTTCTCTGTTGCTTTATTGATAAAAGTTTTAATTTGTTGTGTTAAAAGTTCATCTTTGAGGTTATTTGATGGTTTCTCAAAAAACTTTTTCCCAACAGTTAAACCAAAGCCTGTCCTGACTGTGTCTCCATCATGGCTGAGTCCTGGAGACTCAGTGACTCTGACCTGTGAGGTTGAACACCCATCAGCAGGATGGAGGTTCATCTTTTATAAAGCTGTTCCTAAACTACCAGGAAACTCCTACAACTTTGAGCTGCTGTCTGGGAGCATCAATGGGACTGAAGAGAATTCTTCCATTGTTGATGGTCAGACACACACAGCAGGATATGTGTGCAGAGCTGGAAGAGGAGATCCAGTGTCTTACACTGAAGAAAGTGACCCAAAGTTTGTCTGGTCTAGAGGTCAGTTTGTTTTTGCATTAATTTTTTTGAGGAAATAATCATTTTTTTATTTAATCAACAAACTGCCCCATAAGAAGTGAGAGACATGATTGATCCTGACGACTTTATGAACTTCCCTCCTAAAACAGCATGAAGTCAAAAATCCCGCTGTTTGATTTGATTTCTGTTTTTAAAACATTTTCTGTGTTCTCTTTGTTTTTCCAGATTTTCACCCATCAGCATCTCTCAAAGTGATTCCTGACAGAGTGCAACACCTCCTGTCTGACTCAGTCTCACTGCGCTGTGAGGGAAACTCGACTCAGTGGAGAGTGCGGACTTTTGTGGAGGGAAAAATTCTGATAAGCTGCTCTAATCGGTGGATAAATGTTGAGTCTTTCTGCATAATCCCCAGTCACAGCTCCACTAACAGTGTGTTCTGGTGTGAGTCTGAAACAGGAGAGTACAGCAACGCTGTCAACATCACCAAACTGAGTATGGTTTATTACATTTTCTTCTTGTTGAATTTGAATTCATTGATAGGATTGTCCTAAAGGTGTAGTTATTGGCATTAAAATACATGTTGGTTTATAAGATCCTGAAGAGACTACTTAGTGGGGTGTCCACATTAAAAAAAAGAGCAGCTGATATTCTTGTTTTGGTGTATCGTAATGAAACTGTAAGATCTATCCTCTTCATTCTGTGTCTGTTTACCTGATCTTTGACTAAAACCTCTTGACTTTGTTTGTTTTACAGGTAACTATATCATCTTGGAGAGTCCTGTCCATCCTGTGACTGAAGGAAACTCAGTTCGTTTAAGCTGCAACTTGAGAAGCAGCGATAAGACTTCTCCTGTATTTTTTTATCATAATGACAAACTCATTCAGAAAGACACCAGAAGCGAGCTTAACATCTCAGCAGTGTTGAAGTCTGACGAAGGCTTTTACAAGTGTCAAATCTCCGGAGAGGAGTCAGCACAGAGTTGGATGTCAGTTAAAGGTGGGTGACTCTTTTTTTCTATAATCAGTTTCTGTCTGAGAGAGTCCAGTATTTGTGGTATTGCTACTTTTTTATATATTTTTTAATTGGTAAAAATAGTGGTTCTTAATGTAAAAGACATGCACTAATCTAGGGGATAATCTTTTTGAGTAGTTGGCGCCTTATTCTGGACACTCACAACATACAGTCAATGAAAAAGAAATATAGTGAGGCCCATTGCTGATCCTTTTTTAAATCTCGATATATCAGTCAGTACTATTTCTCCAGAAAAAAGTTAAAAAATGTATCACTTTAAGAAAATTAATTTCTAAGTTTTTATCACTTTTTTTTTTACTCCAGCGGTGCCCGGTTCTGAGAACTCTCCATTTCAAGTGATCGTCGTGGTTGTTGGGCTGATTTGTGGGATCATCATTATGACTCTCTTGGTTTTCATTTATTGCCACAAACGGTTTTGTTGCCTCAGAAGGTTGGTCCAACTCTCTCTTGTGTTATTTTTAAACATAACAGCAAAATATTCTGTATTTGATGTTCCTACACGTGACATATTTTGACTCTGTAGCTCAGTCCAGTCTGAAAGCACCAACAATGACGTTTCCATGAGTCACGTAGTTGATCAGAGTGACAATCAACAGGATCACTACAGTACTCTACTCCATGGTGAGCATGTGATCTTGATTTTGTGTACTAAGTCCAGTATGAATCCATTATAAGTAACTTAAGAAGACTTGGAGACCTTGAATGAACCACATATGTGACTTTGACTTGATTTTTGCTGCTCTGCAGGTGATTCTTCTGTCTATGAAAGACTGAGAGTCTCTGAAAACATCACAGCTGGTAAAATATTGTCTATTACAGTATACTGCTGTATAAGCATTTTACTTGTTTAATTTCTTTGCATGTGCATTTTGCAAGACAAATAATGTTTAAATGCAAAAAAAATTGACGAACAAATGATTTCTATTGCTGAAAGGTGACGCTCATGTCTATGAATCAATTAACGGCTCTGTGGACTATCAAAATGGTACAGTAAACGCATTTGATTTACATGCTCTCTAAAAGAAGTAGTTGTATATAAACAGTTTACAACAGTGAGGCTAGCTACCAGCCTTTATTAGAGAGCATTTTTAATTATGAAAACAAGCTTGATTGTGTTCTTGTTTCTTGTTTCAAACCTACACTTTTTAAAGCTCCTGTGAGAAACTTTTAGTTTGTGTCAGTTTTAGCGCCCCTTGTGACTAAAGCATTTGTCCTCGACATGCTTTAGTCGTGTCGTCTGAGAAAAAAAACAATGAGACCCTGTTGATTAAGAAAGTCAAATGTATTTTCTTTAGAGGTTACACTCAGACTTACCCCCTCATAGGCATAAAAATTACAGTGTAATTAATCTTTTTTTTTAAGGTACCAATTATTTCAGTATCAGCTTTTGTGCTCAAGGTTTTAACTTTTTGTGTTTTTCTTCCAGATCCAGGAAGACGCTGATTTGAAAACAAAAAAAACTTTCCTCAGGACTGTTTTGTATTTTGTCTCAGTGTATCAAACTGTGCTTTTTACAATTTCAATGTCATCCACTTCCTTAAGATTAAGTGTAAAGGATAATATAATTATTGTTTTTTAATTTAATTTGATTGTTTTGTTGATATTTGTATCTTTTCACATTTTCTACTTTGATACTGAAGAGTTTAGCTCACCTATTAAAATCAACTCAGTTTGTATTTCTGTCCTGTAATATTTTGAACTAAGAATTATACCTGTTTTTTTTTTATGAAAAATTATTATTATTAATGTGAGCATCATCAGTCACTCCTTATTGTATTCAATGTCCCATAGATACTCAAATTCTAATAAATGACAAACTGATACTGGTTGGTGCTCGTGGCTTTGACTGAGCTGTGAGAATTATTTTCTATTTTTCATGATTGTGTTATTTTATATGGCATTTCTACTCATACCTACCTTTACTGTTGTGTAAATATGAGATGAATTACATGAACAAATGTGCATTTAAATTGAAATTAAAGCTTATATTGTAGTTCTGTCTCCTATTAACTGCACAGCTTGTCCTCAAATGAAATCTAACTTTATTTATATAGCACATTTCATGCAAAAAGAAATGCAACAACCCCCACCGAGACCCCACCCCAGCATACACATACGCACGCATACACAGCCAGGTCAGGAAATGTCAGAAGGCTGACTGCACTAGAGGCTGCTCACGGCACAGGGCTGTGACACCTTCACCAGGGCGCGCACCCCGTTTCAGGCCAGTAAGGGGCCCACAGCAGCAAGCACTGCTGCAGACCACCACCTGGCCGAGCTGAGTGCACACCCTGAGGCAGAGAAATCCCAGACAGAGCCAGTCACAGCCCCCAGTGCAGGTGGCCACCACTGAGGAAACACTGGAGAAACGCAATAAAAACATAAACTACATTGGCTAAGAACATCAAACATCAAGACTTAAAAAGTAATATTCAAAGGTCAGAGCAGCAGTTATTCCTTTTGTATACTTCCTGACGTTGTTGTAAGTTACTATGCTGATTATTCTTCGACCGCAGTGACATGTCACACCTCTGTGAAACACCCCCCACCCTGAGAGCAGAGCTGCTAATTCAGGAAGTGGTCAGTCAGGCTGTACCAAGTGCCTCCTTTATGAAAGGGGGGCTGCCATCATTTGACTAGAGATATTTTTATACCCTGTAGAAGATCGAAGTGTTGTGGTGCTAAACTCGTGCTTAATCATGACGTGTGAACTTAAAATCGTGTGGTGAAAAACTGTGGAGTTTGAGCTTACTTTAAAAGATGAACAGCAACTGCGGTTGTTGGAAACCACCCTAAGTTATCTGGTCGATGATGTCAACATGCAGAAATAAGTTACAGCCAGAAATGATTAAAAAAAGGAAGAAAGGTTGAAGAGGAAATGAGACAAGATCTTGGATCAGTATTTGAGAAAGAAAGAGTAAAAATATAGCAGAGAAGCTTCTTCTTACTCCCGTGAATGAAGTCATTCATTTAATCAACAGTTGGTCTTTTTTTTTGTCTCAGGCCGCAAATCTGTTGAAAACTGTGAAAACTCTTCTATGATCTTTGCCAAAATCTTACTGTGTCTTTACTTTAGATTAATTATTATCTAGAGCAGCTCAAGCAGCAGTTATAGTGATATCTGACTACTTTAAGTCCCTTTCAGACCTCCACATGTAGACAGGTACATAATGGATCCCAGACAGATTAGAAATTTAAACTGCTAACTTTTTTATGAACACATGTGGTCCTCTTGTTCAAAGACATATTATTACCAAAGTTTTTCTTACTAAGTTTAAAGAAGAGCATAAAAGTTTTTATTTTGGTGCATGTGTGAAATTATTCATATCTGTGACGCACACATTTCAAAAACAAAGTTCAGACATTGAGCACAGCATGTACCAGCAAACACTCGATCAATAGGTTATTAACATAAGATAAAATGGTCACAGGATTTGTTATTATGCATTAATTGTTGTTTTTCTTCCAAGAGTAACCTTTTTTTCCCTCCAGACCGTCTTTTTCATTCAGCAGCACACGGGAAGTACAAACGCAACAGATTTGCCACGGTTTGAGCTGCAGCTCAGGCTCGGTGTGAAAAGGGAAGGAAGAAGAGAGGAAGGAGAAGCTTCTGAGAAATTTTGGTTCGCACAGTTTGAAGAAGAGTATCATGTCTTTCTTCTCTTTTTCTGTCGCGTTATTATTAATTCAAAGTGGACGTTTAGTGTAGAAGGAAAGCAGTAGGGTGTTGGAGGCCGTTGTGGATGCGAGGATGAGTCAAACCTTACGCTGTGTGCTGAGCTTTTTCAGTGAGTAGATAATTACTTTTCTCTTTTGTGACTTTCAGAGGGAGAGTCATGTTTCTGTGAACAAGGTGGTGTTTGGGGAAGGAAATTCACTTGTTTTAAGAAACAGCAGGAGCAGATGAAGTTACTGTAAATGCACTGTACAAATAACGTGTGTTTTGACAGTGTAGATAGAGTTAATCCTTTACAGTTTTGTCATGTAAATGTGTCATTGAAATGTTTTTATCAGTTTTTTACCTCTTTGAGTTTCAAACAATAAGATTATTTGACAGTAATATGAACAAAGTTTAGCTAAAATGAAACTTAAGCTCTTTTAATCGTTGCCTGATAAAGTCTATCTTTTTTACAGTGCTGAATACACTCCTCTGTGGTTTGGCTAAAGGTAACTCAATTTTTCTTTATTTAGAAAAATACCTTTTCCTACTTTCTTGACCTGGACAATCACCTTTAATCACAACTTTAACTCTTTTCTTGACTCTTGACTTTTCATGTTTTTACAGCTCAGTATTTCCGTTTGCTCTATGCATGCACACTGAATGCTTCACCCATCTCCTAGAAGATGATGCTATTACAAGTATTTCTAATGATTTTAACAGTAAACAAAAAATAAGACAACAATAGTCGGATGACTTTAAGTGCATCACTTGTTTGTGTTTTTCCCACACTACTGACAGCAGTCTGCCCTAAATTCATAAGCCACAGGTTATGTGAAGCACCACAGTTAGAGTTAAGCATAAGTATAAGCCACTGAAGACAAAAGCAGTTTCACACTTTTAATAAATGATTATTTTCTCTAAGATTCTAAAAGTTTTATAATCCAACTTTGAATTCTTGCTGCTCAAAGCTGAAGTTTTTTTTTTCTAGACTTCTGTTATTTTTTTATTTCTCTTCAACGTCAGCTATTTTTAATACTGCTTTAAATGTTGTTGTATTATCGCATCAGTGTTGTCAAAGTTGTATCAATAAACCCTTTTTTACCTTCTCTGCAGAACATCAGACATGAAGATCTTATCAAGAAATATGAATGTTAATTATTGTTACGTTTTATGATTACTTTTTTAAAATAATTTTTGTCCTGATTAAGTAATCCTGTTTCACACTTTTCTTTGAGGCCATTAGATGCATTAAAGTTGTATCATTGATATTATAGTTAAATTTATAAACTTTTTTGACTTGTCCTGCAGAATGATTAGCATTAGAAAAATTAAAAAAGGTTATGAAAAAGTATTCAAGTTAATTAGTTTTTTAAAATCCTATTTTTATACTGATGGATTATTTTCTTGTGTGAACAGATCCCACTGCTCATGTTAAATCCAACTGGTCTCAGGTATTCTGGGGTGAGGAGGTCACTCTCAGATGTGAGATTGAGGGAAGTGGAGACGCTCAGTGGTCGTATTATTGGAATTTTCAGGGGCGAAACTCACAACATAGACAAAAGGAATACATTATTGACTCAGCCACAAACACTAACAATGGAAAATACAGTTGTTTTGGCACACGGGAGTCCCCGTCGCCAAATATACAGACAGGCTGGAGTGACATCTTTAATCTGACAGTAATACGTAAGTTGAATCATGTTTTCAGTCCTAAAAATGTTTAAACTGTTTTCCTGTATTTAAATTAAACCATAAACACCTCAAGCTTTTACAATAATGAAGGTATTTGCTGTGAGTTCTGTGACAAGTTTACTTTGGACTTTCATCATGGAGACAAAATAACTGAAAAAGTCACTTACATGATTATTTCGCTTTATCGGTGTCATGTTTAAAAAACACTGATGCTTTTTGGTTGAATTGTCATTTTTAAAGAGCTCCTCTAAATGTATTTTGTTTTACATAAAAAGGGTCTGATAAAGACATGACCGTTCTTCCTGGAATTAAAATAATGTCCATGATAACTCATTTTTATTCCACAGTGTGAATACATTACAAATGAAAGACTAATAATTCCTTATTCATCGGAGCTGCCCTGAATGAATCAGAGAACTGATGATTGAACTTCTTTGATTCAAATTTAACAGCACAAAAACCAAAGGCTGAACTGAGCGCAGACAGCAACTCCTTTCCAATAGGGAGCGCTGTGACTCTGACCTGCGGTGTGAACCCTGCTTCATCTGGGTGGAAGTTTTTCTGGCTCAATGCAGGGAGAACGTCTGAAGAGCCGGTCAGAGAAGGTGCCAGTTACAGTGTCTCACAAGGAGGAGAGTACTGGTGCAGAGGAGCGAGAGGAAACCCTGATTACCTTACTGAGTACAGTGAATCCATCATTATCAACAGAATTTGTGAGTTAATCTTCAGATAAAGCATTTTAAAATCATGAATTTATGTTTACTGTGGTAGAGATCTCACTTTTTTATATAATTGTCTTTCAATGGAAATCCCTGATCATGAACAGCATCAGAAAGAGCTGCTGTGACTCGAGAACCTGAGTGGTCTGAAATATACAGAGGAGAGAGAATCACCCTCAGATGTGAAATTAACTATGAAGGAGGTATTCAGTGGGATTATGAATGGAAGACAACTGGTTGGAATACATTTACAAAGCAGAGCAAGAATGCTGTGATCAGTGGTACTGTTGAGAGTGGTGGGACCTACAAGTGTAAGGGGAGATACAAAACTGATCGGTACACCTCAACAGAATGGAGTGATCCACTCACACTGAGAGTATCAGGTAAGATGGAGACCTTTTTTTATTGTTATTGAAATTGTGTTTTTTGACTTATGCCCAGCGTCATAAATGATCAGGTCGTTTTTATGGGTTTATATGTAACGGTAGCTCTGAAATTAATCTTCGCATGTCCTTTTTTTTCCTCAATCAAACAGCACAAAAACCAAAGGCTGTACTGAGGTCTGATAACACAAACATCCCAGCAGGGGGCAGCGTGACCCTGACCTGCTCTGTGACTCCTTCAGCTGGTTGGAAATTGGAGTTTTGGTTCCTGCAGGATGGAACGTCTCAAGTCCTGACAACAAGTGACATTAGCTCTGATAGAGAAATCCAAGTCTCAGATGTGGGATTCTATTGGTGCAGAGGAACGAGAGGAAATCCACCTTTTGTCACAGAGGACAGTGAAAGGATCAACATCAACAAGATCAGTAAGTCTGGAGTTTTTGACATTTTCAAGTCTGGATTTGAAGTTGATCTTTATTTTCCTCCACTGTGAATTCTTGAAATTTAACAGATGCCAACAAGACTGTCGTGACTCTGAACCCAAACTGGTCTAAAATCGACTCTGGAGAGACGATCACTCTGAGATGTGGCATGAAAGGTGGAGAAGATACTGAGTGGGAGTATGAGTGGAAAACAACCAGCTCCATCAAACCTGATAAACAAAAGGAATACAGAATACTATCTGCATATTCAGCCCTCAGTGGAGACTATCAGTGTAGGGGCAGGAAAAAAAGTGACAAGTCTTTGACAGATTGGAGTGATCCTGTTACTTTAACAGTAGAACTCTGTAAGTCACGTTTCTTTCTCTGTTGCTTTATTGATAAAGGTTTTAATTTGTTGTGTTAAAAGTTCATCTTTCAGGTTATTTGATGGTTTCTCAAAAAACTTTTTCCCAACAGCTAAACCAAAGCCTGTCCTGACTGTGTCTCCATCATGGCTGAGTCCTGGAGACTCAGTGACTCTGAACTGTGAGGTTGAACACCCATCAGCAGGATGGAGGTTCATCTTTTATAAAGCTGTTCCGAAACTACCAGGAAACTCCTACGACCTTGAGCCTCTGTCTGGGAGCATCAAAGGGACTGAAGAGAATTCTTACATTGTTGATGGTCAGACACACACAGCAGGATATGTGTGCAGAGCTGGAAGAGGAGATCCAGTGTCTTACACTGAAGAAAGTGACCCAAAGTTTGTCTGGTCTGGAGGTCAGTTTGTTTTTGCATTAATTTTTTTGAGGAAATAATCATTTTTTTATTTAATCAACAAACTGTCCCATAAGAAGTGAGAGACATGATTGATCCTGACGACTTTATGAACTTCCATCCTAAAACAGCATGAAGTCAAAAATCCCGCTGTTTGATTTGATTTCTATTTTTAAAATATTTTCTGTGTTCTCTTTGTTTTTCCAGATTTTCACCCATCAGCATCTCTCAAAGTGATTCCTGACAAAGTGCAACACCTCCTGTCTGACTCAGTCTCACTGCGCTGTGAGGGAAACTCAACTCAGTGGAGAGTGCGGACTTTTGTGAAGGAAAACATCCTGATAAGCTGCTCTGATAGGTGGAAAAAGGTTGAGTCTTTCTGCATAATCCACAGTCACAGCCCCACCAACAGTGTGTTCTGGTGTGAGTCTGAAACAGGAGAGTACAGCAACGCTGTCAACATTACCAAACTGAGTATGGTTTATTACATTTTCTTCTTGTTGAATTTGAATTCATTGATAGGATTTTCCTAAAGGTGTAGTTATTGGCATTAAAATACATGTTGGTTTATAAGATCCTGAAGAGACTACTTAGTGGGGTGTCCACATTAAAAAAAAGAGCAGCTGATATTCTTGTTTTGGTGTATCGTAATGAAACTGTAAGATCTATCCTCTTCATTCTGTGTCTGTTTACCTGATCTTTGACTAACACCTCTTGACTTTGTTTGTTTTACAGGTAACGATATCATCTTGGAGAGTCCTGTCCATCCTGTGACTGAAGGAAACTCTGTTCGTTTAAGCTGCAACTTGAGAAGCAGCGATACGACTTCTCCTGTATTTTTTTATCACAATGACAAAGTCATGCAGAAAGACTCCAGAAGTGAGCTACATATCTCAGCAGTGTCAAAGTCTGACAAAGGCTTTTACAAGTGTCAAATCTCCGGAGAGGAGTCAGCACAGAGTTGGATGTCAGTTAAAGGTGGGTGACTTTTTTTCTCTATAAACAGTTTCTGTCTGAGAGAGTCCAGTATTTGTGGTATTGCTACTTTTTTATATATTTTTTAATTGGTAAAAATAGTGGTTCTTAATGTAAAAGACATGCACTAATCTAGGGGATAATCTTTTTGAGTAGTTGGCGCCTTATTCTGGACACTCACAACATACAGTCAATGAAAAAGAAATATAGTGAGGCCCATTGCTGATCCTTTTTTAAATCTCGATATATCAGTCAGTACTATTTCTCCAGAACAAAGTTAAAAAATGTATCACTTTAAGAAAATTAATTTCTAGGTTTTTGTCACTTTTTTTTACTCCAGCGGTGCCCGGTTCTGAGAACTCTCCATTTCAAGTGATCGTCGTGGTTGTTGGGCTGATCTGTGGGATCATCATTATGACTCTCTTGGTTTTCATTTATTGCCACAAACGGTTTTCATGCCTCAGAAGGTTGGTCCAACTCTCTCTTGTGTTATTTTTAAACATAACAGCAAAATATTCTGTATTTGATGTTCCTACACGTGACATATTTTGACTCTGTAGCTCAGTCCAGTCTGAAAGCACCAACAATGACGTTTCCATGAGTCCCGTAGTTGATCAGAGTGACAATCAACAGGATCACTACAGTACTCTACTCCATGGTGAGCATGTGATCTTGATTTTGTGTACTAAGTCCAGTATGAATCCATTATAAGTAACTTAAGACTTGGAGACCTTGAATGTACCACATATGTGACTTTGACTTGATTTTTGCTGCTCTGTAGGTGATTCTTCTGTCTATGAAAGACTGAGAGTCTCTGAAAACATCACAGCTGGTAAAATATTGTCTATTACAGTATACTGCTGTATAAGCATTTTACTCAAGTTTAATTTCTTTGCATGTGCATTTTGCAAGACAAATAATGTTTAAATGCAAAAAAAATTGACGAACAAATGATTTCTATTGCTGAAAGGTGACGCTCATGTCTATGAATCAATTAACGGCTCTGTGGACTATCAAAATGGTACAGTAAACGCATTTGATTTACATGCTCTCTAAAAGAAGTAGTTGTATATAAACAGTTTACAACAGTGAGGCTAGCTACCAGCCTTTATTAGAGAGCATTTTTAATTATGAAAACAAGCTTGATTGTGTTCTTGTTTCTTGTTTCAAACCTACACTTTTTAAAGCTCCTGTGAGAAACTTTTAGTTTGTGTCAGTTTTGGCGCCCCTTGTGACTAAAGCATTTGTCCTCGACATGCTTTAGTCGTGTCTTCTGAAAAAGAAATGAGACCCTGTTGATTAAGAAAGTCAAATGTATTTTCTTTAGAGGTTACACTCAGACTTACCCCCTCATAGGCATAAAAATTACAGTGTAATTAATCTTTTTTTTTAAGGTACCAATTATTTCAGTATCAGCTTTTGTGCTCAAGGTTTTAACTTTTTGTGTTTTTCTTCCAGATCCAGGAAGACGCTGATTTGAAAACAAAAAAAACTTTCCTCAGGACTGTTTTGTATTTTGTCTCAGTGTATCAAACTGTGCTTTTTACAATTTTAATGTCATCCACTTCCTTAAGATTAAGTGTAAAGGATAATATAATTATTGTTGTTAATATTGTTTTTGTTATTTAATTTGATTGTTTTGTTGATATTTGTATCTTTTCACATTTTCTACTTTGATACTGAAGAGTTTAGCTCACCTATTAAAATCAACTCAGTTTGTATTTCTGTCCTGTAATATTTTGAACTAAGAATTATACCTGTTTTTTTTTTATGAAAAATTATTATTATTAATGTGAGCATCATCAGTCACTCCTTATTGTATTCAATGTCCCATAGATACTCAAATTCTAATAAATGACAAACTGATACTGGTTGGTGCTCGTGGCTTTGACTGAGCTGTGAGAATTATTTTCTATTTTTCATGATTGTGTTATTTTATATGGCATTTCTACTCATACCTACCTTTACTGTTGTGTAAATATGAGATGAATTACATGAACAAATGTGCATTTAAATTGAAATTAAAGCTTATATTGTAGTTCTGTCTCCTATTAACTGCACAGCTTGTCCTCAAATGAAATCTAACTTTATTTATATAGCACATTTCATGCAAAAAGAAATGCAACAACCCCCACCGAGACCCCACCCCAGCATACACATACGCACGCATACACAGCCAGGTCAGGAAATGTCAGAAGGCTGACTGCACTAGAGGCTGCTCACGGCACAGGGCTGTGACACCTTCACCAGGGCGCGCACCCCGTTTCAGGCCAGTAAGGGGCCCACAGCAGCAAGCACTGCTGCAGACCACCACCTGGCCGAGCTGAGTGCACACCCTGAGGCAGAGAAATCCCAGACAGAGCCAGTCACAGCCCCCAGTGCAGGTGGCCACCACTGAGGAAACACTGGAGAAACGCAATAAAAACATAAACTACATTGGCTAAGAACATCAAACATCAAGACTTAAAAAGTAATATTCAAAGGTAAGAGCAGCAGTTATTCCTTTTGTATACTTCCTGATGTTGTAAGTTACTATGCTGATTATTCTTCGACCGCAGTGACATGTCACACCTCTGTGAAACACCCCCCACCCTGAGAGCAGAGCTGCTAATTCAGGAAGTGGTCAGTCAGGCTGTACCAAGTGCCTCCTTTATGAAAGGGGGGCTGCCATCATTTGACTAGAGATATTTTTATACCCTGTAGAAGATCGAAGTGTTGTGGTGCTAAACTCGTGCTTAATCATGACGTGTGAACTTAAAATCGTGTGGTGAAAAACTGTGGAGTTTGAGCTTACTTTAAAAGATGAACAGCAACTGTGGTTGTTGGAAACCACCCTAAGCTATTTGGTCGATGATGTCAACATGCAGAAATAGGTTACAGCCAGAAATGATTAAAAAAAGGAAGAAAGGTTGAAGAGGAAATGAGACAAGATCTTGGATCAGTATTTGAGAAAGAAAGAGTAAAAAGATGGTAGAGGAGCTTCTTCTTACTCCCGTGAATGAAGTCATTCATTTAATCAACAGTTGGTCTTTTTTTTGTCTCAGGCTGCAAATCTGTTGAAAACTGTGAAAACTCTTCTATGATCTTTGCCAAAATCTTACGGTGTCTTTACTTTAGATTAATTATTATCTAGTGCAGCTCAAGCAGCAGTTACAGTGATATCTGACTACTTCTAAGTCCCTTTCAGGCCTCCACATGTAGACAGGTACATAATGGATCCCAGACAGATTAGAAATGTAAACTACCGACTTTTTCATGAACACATGTGGTCCTCTTGTTCAAAGACATATTATTACCAAAGTTTTCCTTATTAAGTTTAAAGAAGAGCATAAAAGTTTTTATTTTGGTGCATGTGTGAAATTATTCATATCTGTGACTCACACATTTCAAAAACAAAGTTCAGACATTGAGCACAGCATGTACCAGCAAACACTTGATCAAGAGGTAATTGACATGAAATAAAATGGTCACAGGATTTGTTATTGTGCACTAATTGTTGTTTTTCTTCCAAGAGTAAACCTTTTTGTCCCTCCAGACCGTCTTTTTCATTCAGCAGCACACGGGAAGTACAAACGCAACAGATTTGCCACGGTTTGAGCTGCAGCTCAGCCTCGGTGTGAAAAGGGAAGGAAGAAGAGAGGAAGGAGAAGCTTCTGAGAAATTTTGGTTCGCACAGTTTGAAGAAGAGTATCATGTCTTTCTTCTCTTTTTCTGTCACGTTATTATTAATTCAAAGTGGACGTTTACTTTAGAAGGAAAGCAGTAGGGTGTTGGAGGCAGTTGTGGATGCGAGGATGAGTCAAACCTTACGCTGTGTGCTGAGCTTTTTCAGTGAGTAGATAATTACTTTTCTCTTTTGTGACTTTCAGAGGGAGAGTCATGTTTCTGTGAACAAGGTGGTGTTTGGGGAAGGAAATCCACTTGTTTTAAGAAACAGCAGGAGCAGATGAAGTTACTGTAAATGCACTGTACAGATAACGTGTGTTTTGACAGTGTATATAGAGTTAATCCTTTACAGTTTTGTCATGTAAATGTGTCATATTGAAATGTTTCATCAGTTTTTTACCTCTTTGAGTTTCAAACAATAAGATTATTTGACAGTAATATGAACAAAGTTTAGCTAAAATGAAACTTAAGCTTGATTGAAACACTTTTAATTGTTGCCTGATGACGTCTCTATCTTTTTTATAGTGCTGAATACACTCCTCTGTGGTTTGGCTCAAGGTAACTCAATTTTTCTTTATTTAGAAAAATACCTTTTCTACCTTCTTGACCTGGACAATCACCTTTAATCACAACTTTAACTCTTTTCTTGACTTTTCATGTTATTTACAGCTCAGTATTTCCGTTTGCTCTATGCATGCACACCGAATGCTTCACCCATCTCCTAGAAGATTAACTAACCAGAATATTGATGCAATTACAAGTATTTCTGATGATTTTAACAGTAAACAAATAAGACAACAACAATAGTCGGATGACTTTAAGTGCATCACTTGTTTGATGTCTTTCCCACACTACTGACAGCACCCTGCCCTAAATTCATAAGTATAAGCCACTGAAGACAAAAGCGGTTTCACACTTTAAATAAATGATTATTTTCTCTAAGATTCTAAAGGTTTTATAATCCAACTTTGAATTCTTGCTGCTGAAAGCTGATTTTTTTTTTTTCTAGACTTTTTTTGTCTATTTTTTATTTCTCCTCAACATCAGCTACTTTTAATACTGCTTTAAACTCTGTTGTATTATTGCGTCAATGCTGTCAAAGTTGTATCCATAAACTCTTTTTTACTTTATCTGCAGAACAATAGACATGAAGATCTTATCAAGAAATATGAATGTTAATTATTATTACGTTTTGTGATTACTTTTTTAAAATCATTTTTATCCTGATTAAGTAATCCTGTTTCACACTTTTCTTTGAGGTCATTAGATGCATTAAAGTTGTAGCATTGATATTATAGTTAAATTTACAAACTTTTTTGACTTGTCCTGCAGAATAATTAGCATCAGAATAATTAAAATAGGTTATGAAAAAGTATTCAAGTTAATTAGTTTTTTAAAATCCTGTTTTCATACTGATTGATTTTTTTTTGTGTGTGTGTGTGTGAACAGATCACACTGCTCATGTGACCCTTAAATCCAACTGGTCTCAGGTATTCAAGGGTGAGAAGGTCACTCTCAGATGTGAGATTAAGGGAAGTGGAGACGCTCAGTGGACGTATCGTTGGGGTTTTCGAGGGCAAAACACACAAGAGAATCAAGAGGAATACATTATTGACTCAGCCACAAGCGCTTACAATGGAGCATACACATGTATTGGCATACAGGAGTCCCCTTCACCAGTTATAGATACAGAGTGGAGTGACTTCTTCCAGCTGACAGTAATACGTAAGTTGAATTATGTTTTCAGTCCTAAAAATGTTTAAACTGTTTTCCTGTATTTAAATTAAACCATAAACACTTCCTGCTTGTACCATAATGAAGGTATTTACTGTGAGTTCTGTGACAAGTTTACTTTGGACTTTCATCATGAAGACAAAATAACTGAAAAAGTCACATGATTATTTCACTTCACCGGTGTCATGTTTTAAAAACACTGATGCTTTTTGGTTGAATTGTCGTTTTTAAAGAGCTCCTCTAAATGTATTTTGTTTTACATAAAAAGGGTCAGATAAAGACATGACCGTTCTTCGTGGAATTAAAATAATGTCCATGATAATTAATTTTTATGCCACACTAAGAATGCATTACAAATGAAAGTCTGACAATTCTTCATTGAAAGCTGCTCTGAATGAATCAGAGAACTGATGATTAAACTTCTTTGATTCAAATTAAACAGCAGACAAACCAAAGGCTGAACTGAGTGCAGACAGCAACTCCTTTCCAATAGGAGGCGCTGTGACTCTGACCTGCAGTGTGAACCCTCCTTCATCTGGGTGGAAGTTTTTCTGGTACAGAGCAGAGAGAACATCTGAAGAGCAGGTCACACAAGTTTCCAGCTACAGTGTCTCACAAGGAGGAGAGTACAGGTGCAGAGGAGCGAGAGGAAACCCTGATTACTTTACTGAGTACAGTGAATCCATCATTATCAACACAATTTGTGAGTAAATCATCAGATAAAGCATTTTAAAATCATGAATTAATGTTTATTGTGGTAGAGATCTAACTTCGTTTTTTATATCATTGTCTTTCAATGGAAATCCCTGATCATGAACAGCACCAAAAAGAGCTGCTGTGACTCAAGAACCTGAGTGGTCTGAAATATACAAAGGAGAGAGAATCACCCTCAGATGTGAAATTAAGTATGGAGGAAGTATTCAGTGGGATTATGAATGGGAGACAACTGGTGTGAATACATTTACAAAGCAGAGCACGGATGCTGTGATCAGTGGTATTGTTGAGAGTGGTGGGACCTACAAGTGTAAGGGGAGATACAAAACTGATCGGTACACCTCAACAGAATGGAGTGATCCACTCAGACTGAGAGTATCAGGTAAGATGGAAACTTTTTTGTCGTTATTGAAGTTGTGTTTTTTGACATTACTGAAGGTTTTTTTTTTTTTTTTTTTTAACTTTAAAACAGCTTTCATGAATGATCTTGTTGTTTTTACAGGGTTTGTATGTAACAGTACCTCTGAAAATTAATCTTTACATGTCCTTTTTTTTCTCAATCAAACAGCACAAAAACCAAAGGCTGATCAGAGGGCTGATAACAGAAACATCCCAGCAGGGGGCAGTGTGACTCTGACCTGCTCTGTGACTCCTTCAGCTGGTTGGAAATACGAGTTTCAGTTCCAACAGGATGGAATGTCCAAACTCCTGACACAAAGTGACATTAGCTCTGATGGAGAAATCCAAGTCTCAGATGAGGGACTCTATTGGTGCAGAGGAACGAGAGGAAATCCACCTTTTGTCACAAAGGACAGTGAAAGGATCAACATCAACAAGATCAGTGAGTCTGGAGTTTTTGACATTTTCAAGTCTGGATTTAAGGTTTATCTTCATTTTCCTTCACTGTGAATTCTTGAAATTTAACAGATGAAAACAAGGCTGTTGTGACTCAGAACCCAAACTGGTCTAAAATCTATTCTGGAGAGACGATCACCCTGAGATGTGACATTAAAGGTGGAGAAGATACCGAGTGGGAGTATGAGTGGAAAACAACCAGCTCAAGCTCCTTTCAGCCTGATAAACAAAAGGAATACAGAATACAACCTGCATATTCATCCAACAGTGGAGACTATCAGTGTAGGGGCAGGAAAAAAAGTGACAAGTCTTTGACAGATTGGAGTGATCCTGTTACTTTAACAGTAGAATACCGTAAGTCAAGTTTCTTTCTCTGTTGCTTTATTGATAAAGGTTTTAATTTGTTGTGTTAAAAGTTCATCTTTCAGGTTATTTGTTGTTTTCCTCAAAAAACTTTTTTCCAACAGCTAAACCAAAGCCTGTCCTGACTGTGTCTCCATCATGGCTGAGTCCTGGAGACTCAGTAACTCTGAACTGTGAGGTTGAACACCCATCATCAGGATGGAGGTTCATCTTTTATAAAGCTGTTCCTAAACTATCAGGAAACTCCTACAACTTTGAGCTGCTGTCTGGGAGCATCAATGGGACTGAAGAGAATTCTTACATTGTTGATGGTCAGACACACACAGCAGGATATATGTGCAGAGCTGGAAGAGGAGATCCAGTGTCTTACACTCAGGACAGTGACCCAAAGTTTGCCTGGTCTGGAGGTCAGTTTGTTTTTGCATTTATCTTTTTGAGGAAATAATCTTTTTTTTAAAATTTGATCAACAAACTGTCCCATAAGAAGTGAGAGACATGATTGATCCTGATGACTTTATGAACTTCCCTCCTAAAACAGCATGAAGTCAAAAATCCCGCTGTTTGATTTGATGTCTTTTTAAACATTTCCTGTTGTCTTTGTTTTTTCCAGATTTTCATCCATCAGCATCTCTCAAAGTGATTCCTGACAAAGTGCAACACTTTGTCTCACTGCACTCAGTCTCACTGTACTGTGAGGGAAACTCGACTCAGTGGAGAGTGAGGATGTTTCCAAAGGAAGAAATCCTGAGAAGCTGCCCTGACTGGTGGAAAAAGTCTGTGTCTTTATGCACAATCCCCAGTTACAGCTCCGCTAACAGTGTGTTCTGGTGTGAGTCTGAAACAGGAGAGTACAGCAACGCAGTCAACATCACCAAACTGAGTATGGTTTATTACATTTTCTTCTTGTTGAATTTGAATTCATTGATAGGATTGTCCTAAAGGTGTAGTTATTGGCATTTAAGTACATGTTAGTTTATAAGATCTTGAAGAGACTACTTATTTGTAGGTTCACATTAAAAAACAGAGCAGTTGATATTCTTGTTTTGGAGTATCGCAAAGAAAGTAACATCTATCCTCTTCATTCTATGTATGTTTACATTAGGGCTGAAACGATTACTCGAGTAACTCGAGTAACTCGATTAATAAAATTCCTCGAGGCAAATTATATGCCTCGAGGAATCGTTTAAATCCGGAACCATGTGCAGCGCACGGTGTTTGACACGGACGGTTATTTCTGTTGCGCAGCAGCGTGCTCTTTCCGCTCCTTCCGCTGCCGCGCGTTTCATAGACATAATAAAAGGGTAGACCCCGCTGGGGGTGCTGCGCAGCGAGAAATGCGGCCGCCATCTTGGTCAGGTCAAGCTTCCCATACGCTCCGGTCAATCATATTCATTCATTCAGCGATGCCGGAGCACTGTGCGGCGTATTCCTGTGCCAACAGGCGGACAGCAGAGAACAGGGCTCAAGGAATAACTTTTCACAGTTATGATTAAACGTTTTTTAAACATTACACTTGACTGTAGAGTCATTTGTAGGCCAAAGAGGAAGACTATCGGTCAACTCCAAAAAGGAAACAGCATTTGCGAACAGCTAGCTTATTCACAATAATAGCAACTTTGGTTGATTATCAACAGATTTGCATTAGATTGAAAAACTTTTGTTTGAGAGAGGTTCTAAGAAACGTTAAGAAATAAAATAGAAAGAAAAAGGAAGAAAGTGAGCTCTGTTTTATTATCTGTTTTATTAAAGATTTCTTTGTGGTGATCTCCTGTTTCATTTTGAAGATTTCCTAAGGACAAAAACTTGAGGAAGAAGTGGGAGATTGCTGTTAGAGGGAGAAATTCGCAGCAAGTGATTCCTCTGTGCTGTGTAGCCAACAAGCAAATTGATATGTAGCTTAGATGCTGTCCTGTCATGCTGTTCTTGTGTTTAAATCTTTTTGATATGTAGGCTATATATTTGTGTGTATTTTCCAGTTATTAAAATAGTGCTTCTATATGACATTATTTGTGTGTGTCTACAAATGGATAAATAAAATTAAACTATATAAAAAATTATAATCAAATCAATATATATTGAATTGGCCTATTAATACCGCCAGTTATTAATAATTATTGAGACATAGCAGGAACCTAGCTCTAAACCTAAATATATCCTTGATTAATTGTTATACTATAATACAGCCACTGCTGCCATGTTCTAAAATATCATTTTATTCATTCTGAGTATTTGAAAACGCCAAAAAAAATATGGCCTCTATCATGCCTCTTTGAATGGCGTTTGCAGAGAAGAAAATTACGTAGTATTGAGCGAACTATGATTCATTTAATGCGCTCAGACTTCATTCCGCCGGTTAAACAGCGGTGCAGAGTGAGGCGGATGACCGGACCAAGATGGCGGCCGCATTTCTCGACAGCGCCCATTCGTGGTAGCGGCCGATGCGGGGTCTATCTTTTATTATGTCTATGGCGCGTTTGGTTCAATCATGGAGGGAAACGAGGACAGACAGAGAGAGGAAGAAAGAGATGACACGCAGAGGAAACGGCAGAAAGTGTCTAAAGTGTGGGACCATTACACACTGAAAAGGAAAGAAAACGCCGTGCAGTGCGTTCACTGTAAGGCGGAGTTGGCGTTTCACAACAGCACGTCGTCAATGCTGCAGCACCTTAAAAGAAAACACCCGGTCCATGCATTAAGTCCGCTCTGAGGCAAACTTGATTCAATGCAAAGTATTACAGTGAGAGCAAAACATTTCTTATCCGATTACTCGATTAATCGACAGATTAATCGATAGAGTACTCGATTACTAAAATAATCGATAGCTGCAGCCCTAGTTTACATTATCTTTGACTAACACCTCTTGACTTTGTTTGTTTTACAGGTAACGATATCATCTTGGAGAGTCCTGTCTATCCTGTGACTGAAGGAAACTCAGTTCGTTTAGGCTGCAACTTGAGAAGCAGCGATAAGACTTCTCCTGTATTTTTGTATCATAATGACAAAGTCATTCAGAATGACACCAGAAGGGAGCGAAACATCTCAGCAGTGTCAAAGTCTGACGAAGGCTTTTACAAGTGTCAAATCTCCGGACAGGAGTCAGCACAGAGTTGGATGTCAGTTAAAGGTTAGTAGAGAGGAAATATTTATTTACCTGAAAATTGTGTCATTTTCAGTTATTTTCTCTGTTGGTTTAATAATAATGGTTCTCTCTGAACTAAACAGTTCAGCATCAGTGTGACAGCCCTGATACATTATGAATGGCTTATTTTAGATATTTACAGTAGCTGCGTTTACATGGGCACAAATAATCAGACAAAATGCCCGATTGGAATAAAAATGCGTCACGTAAACATGTTGATCGGAAGATTCTGATCCAATTCCGCTCAATCGGAAAGAAATTGTATTCTAATTGAGAGGGGTGGTTTACGCACCCACAGTACAACCTTTCACAGGACAGTAAAATGAGTGCACAATGGCGCCATCTAGTGACAACATTTAACAGGGTGGAAAACTCCTGAATTGGATGGTGTGAGCCACTACCATGTTTATTGGTTTGTTGACAGCACAGGCATAAATACTACTCTTCTTTGCGGTTGTTTTAGCAAAATCAGACAACTCTGGGCATGTCCAAATGCTTCTAATCTGAATTAAGCTTGGTGCATATATACACACGTCATGATCAGATCATTTGATTTTGCATCCATACAAACAGCTGATTGAGATTGACCGATCCCTTAAATTTTTAATTGGATCAAGAAATTTTGCCCATGTAAACATGGCTATATACTGCATGAAGAAATGGACATTAGCGAATCTTCTATGTGCATGAGTGTGGCTGTTTGTGTGTTCCAGATTTGTTAAAGTTTTCAGATGTTTTTAAATGTTAGTTTTTTGGTTTTTGTCTTCACTGTGGCTAAATCTAACATGACTCATCTGAACCCTATTTTCACAGCTCAAAGAAAATTTTATTAAAGTTTGTTAATAGTTGTGATTTGTTATCACTTACAGCAGTGCATGGGTCTGGCCACTCTGTATTTCCTGTGATTTATGTGGTGGTTGCGCTGATTTGTGGACTCATACTTCTAGTTCTTCTTCTGTTTGTATGTCGCTCCAGACTGGCTAAAAGTGAGACCTTTTTCTTTCATTATTAAATATTCAATGTTTTATACTCTAATTATCTCAAAAGCATTTATTTACTGTCACTGAGAGTGGTGTGACAAACTTGCAATATAATTTTTGTTTTTTTTTTGCAGGTGCATGCTGTATCAGGTGGGATTGACTCTCTCTTCTCTAATTTGAATATAGCCGTATCATCTCAGTGGTCTGCAACATGTTTTAAATGTTATTTAGGTTAACAAAGTCCAAGAATCAAGATTCAGCAGTAGATCATGAGAGCAGCCAGGTCGGAGCCCATAACAGTGAACACTCTTCTCCCCCTGCAGGTGAGCATTCAACTTGATTATGTACAGTTATATATGAGCACACACTCAAGAAGATCCATTGAAAACATCTGCATATAATTAATATTACACTAATGACATTTTCCTGTGGATTAATATCATCACTCTGCAGGTGACCCCTGCCTGTATGATGCAATCAAAGACTCTGGAAACTCTGCAAATGGTACAGATTTCACCTTCCTACAAACATTCAGACGTCAAACTCTTACTTAAAGTTACATTTTAGCTTGTAGTTGCCTTTTACTTGGTCAAGCTGGTAGAAAGATACCAGCCAAAACTAGATCGTGTAATTCTATTATTGACTCACCTATCATTTTGAAATCAACTTACATCCCTTCTTTAACCACAAGTGTAAAACTTTGCAGCATTTGGCAAGTTACAGTGTAGAGGGAAAACTTTCTTCAACACGCAGAAACCTCAAGCAAGACCAGACTCATGTTAGATAGTCATCTGCCACAATGGCGTTGGAGTTAGAAAGAAGATAGAGGGGAAATGCAGAGAGAGAGAGAAATGAACAGAGGTCTAAACCTATAACAGCATAACACAGACCTGAACGTTTAAACCCTACTCTCAAAGGTAGAGAGGATGTCTGTCTCCCTCAGATCAGGTTTAGACCCCATTCTGCTGCTTACAAAGACCCAACACCAATGCACATGGTGAAAAATATAAAACACTCCATTTTCTCTTAATTGGATGATTGGCTGAGTTGCTGCAGTGGCAAAGCTAGCAGACTCCATTCTTATAGCGACATGCAGTGTTTCCCCAACATTCATTCAGCAGCAGCGCACTGAAATTTCACATGATCCCAAATATCAATGCTCAACTAATGATTTCTACGCGCATTGTATGAGCACAACATCACACGCCATTATTTTCGACTTGTTTTGAGTCATTAACAAATCCTGTCGGACTCTCCTCCATCAATGTGAAAGGTAACGTTCAAGCTTTTACACGGACTATAAAGCGAGTAGCACGGGTAACGAAATGTAATGTGAACGTAAAAGCGTAGCTCTTTAAGCGGCAAGAGAGTGGGGGTGACAACGAAAATCCCCCCCGCTTCGATATGACTCTGTACATTTTATTTAATGTTGGCCTAATACTCTGTAACACTCCATACCAATTCATCTAAATTTCAGATGCAGGCCAGTCCCAGGAAGTTACTTATTCTCTGCTTGAACTTAAAAACCTGGGGCAGAAGGGTGAGTACCTCAAACACACATTAGGGGAAAGTGGGGTAAGTTGAGCCACCTCCTGTTGCTTGGAAATGGTGAAAGAAATTGATCATGTGACCAAATATTTAGGAGATGGGCATGAATTCATGGAGTCTGTGAAGGTTAGAAGCACATGGGTGAAGGGGTTAGACATTTATTTTCACTCTTGAAAGTGAATTTAGTCTGTCATAAGTTTTATTAGAATTGTTTTTCAACCAAAAAAGATCATTTTAAATTTGTTTTATGCATCAATTGTGGTATCTATGAGCTACAACATGAGGTCAAAAACCTAGCATAAAAGTCCACCATTTTAGCTCAGAGGGCTAATAAAGTCATAATAGTAGTTCCGGGGTAAGTTGCCTTGCCTTGATGTAGTGATCCGGAATATCAAAAATGGCTCATCTTACCCCACTCTCCCCTAAATAACAGTAGTGTATTTCTTGATGTCGTTTGTGGTTTCATTTGATCTTCTCACCAGGGAAGAAAACCGAACCAGCTGAGGACACTGTTTACTCTGATGTGAAGATAGGAGCAGCAGGTACAGTCACTTTAAACAGTTATGCTTAAAGTTAGTAATGAAAAAAATAAAAAATAAAAAATGCAATACCAACCATCTTGCTTTAAAATTCATCTCAGCTGGAGCAGTACCTGAGTACTTCCACTAGGTGTCCCTAATGTATTTTCCCCTCACAGAAATAGCATAAAGCCATCTGCATATTACAAATGTTCCTACAAACAAAATCTCAGATTTACTTTTTGTTTTAGATGATAATGTCACGTACGCCCAAGTTAGCAGCCACAACGCCGAGAAAGGCAACAAAAAGAAAGGTGAGAGACAAATTAATGACATGTTGGCCTTTGACGCAGCAAACTGCACTAATACAATCACAGTATTATGGATGTTTCATCATCACTTAAATGTGTTTACCTCCTTTGGTGACTCACTCAGACTTGCTACAACTTTTAAACTTTGATTCTGAATAATATGACTCTAATTGAGCTGCTCACTTTTCTACTTTCAGGAAACCCAAAGCCTGCACTGACTGAAGAACCACTTTACTCTGAAGTCAAACTAGGTACAGCTCAAAATGATAAAACACTCTTACATGACTTGCATTTCAGGCTGCACGATATTGAAAAAAACTAACATTGCAATTTTTTTCGACCCTGCGATATATATTGCGATATTAAAAAATACTGGAATTTTCACCAGGTGATCTGAATAGCACTTTATGTTATGCTGCACTGCTGAAATCTTGAGGACGGTTAACCTGCACTTATCTTACCTCTTTTTGTGAATGTTAGTAGAATGGCCTCTGTCTGTCTCAGAGATATTTTTAGCTTTTATTGTGCTGGGACTTGTTATCTGATGGAAGACACAGCCGCCACAGAACAGGTGTTTGGTGATGTCATCCTTCTTGTAACAGAAATAATTACAGATAAATGATGTTGCTTTTCTTTGTACCAACGAGCCTTCATCTTCGGCTGTTAGTGACGTTGCTTTTCTTTTTACCAACAAGCATTGATCTTCGGCGCTAAGCGACGTTGATTTTGTTTGTACCAACGAGCCTTCATCTTCAGCGGTTTCCTTTTCATTTTGCGGTCCTTGATGTTGTGCCGAGAAACACCGAGGATTGCATGCACCTGGCAGAAACGCGCACCGCTTATAGTAAAGTGGTCCACGGAAAAATACAATTTAAAACCCATACAATTCTTATTTGTGGGGCTAAACAGTGATGAGTTCTGTTCCGACAGTAATTCTCAGCGGACAAGCGTTTCTCGACACAACACGCGCCAGGACTCACCCCATGTGTAGGACATGTGCAGGGGCGTGGTTTCCTCCTTTCTGATTTTGATTGATGGCTGGCAGGCTAGACTGATTGGCAACTGAGTAAAGAACGAATGTGATTGGTGGATCACTGCACAGCACATGCAGAGTCACATGCAGTGTATCTCAATAAGCTACTCTTGAAATTACCCTATGTTCACACTGCAGGTCAACTCCGATTTTTTAACCACAGTGCAATTCTGATTTTTTCAAATCCGACCAAGGCCTCTTTTGTATGTGGATGTAAATCAGAAATGTATTTGGTGTGACTGCAGTGTGGACATTTAGGTTGCGTTCATCCGACCTATACGTCATCTATATGCGACAATCACCATTGTTCAAAAAACACAAACAGGTGCGGAAAGCAATGGCGGACAAGGGAACGGAACGATTGACGTGACAGAACGTCATGTCCTGCTTTGTGCGCATGTGGGTCACTTCACGGACTCATTCCATTGACATTAGTTGCTGCATTAGTTGTTGTAATGTGAAAAACCGCACAAAAAGATCGGATTTAACAAAAAATCTGAATTGTGCATCATAACCTGCAGTGTGAACATAGCCTTAGATGAGTTCCTTCACCTCCAACATGGCATCGCGATGACGATGCTCAAACGATATATCATGCTGCCCTCCTTGCATTGCTAAAGTTAGTGAAACAATGAAGGCGTACTGAGGCTACTTTTGCAGCTGGTGTCCAATACAGCAACTTCAACATCTTTGTAATCTGGTGACATAAATTTAATCTAAAAACAGTTTTTTCAACAACCTGCACTCTTTTTGTCTTTGTTTTTCCTTCAGGTCATTAAAGGTCAGTTTTGACAAACCAAAGGAGGGGATTACGACGTGATAAATACATCCTTGCTTGATGAGCGCTTGCAGCTTTAATGTGATAAAAACATGCGCTACTGAAGTATCAAACAGTTTATCTGTTCAGTTTATGTGAAAATGTGTTTTTTTTTTTTGTTTTTTTGCTTTTTGCAGAGATTAAAATGTAATTTTTGAGTGGTAGCACTTATTTTATATACTTTTCTTTACTGGCACAGACATTTTCTTTTGTAATATAAATATTTGAGATGCAATAAAATAAAAAGTGGAAATACAAGAACTAGGATGTGTCCATAATCAATTTTTATGAAAACAGAGAAGACTCTGAGTCCACAGGTATATCTGAAAACCTGAAAAAAAAGGGCTAGAAAGTGTTTTATAATGGGAGATAACGGTATGAATTTACTAAGGGTTTCCTGATACAACTTTTCTACTTCCGATATGATACCGATATTGTAGCCTTCAGTATCTGCTGGTACCGAAAGTTTTGCACTCAGCTGCATCGTCTTTTTCTGACTTTAACGAAATATAGTGGAGTCTAAAATGGACTGCTTGTATTGGAGTGCTGACATCGGAGATTTTAGATGCAGGCTGACATAATCTGAGATTTGTTTTTGGTTGATATTAGACCAATATCCGATATCAATATCGCATCGGGACAGCCCCTAGAATATACTGCCACACCGGTTTGAATCATTGAGTGGATGGCAAAGGGAGTCAATAGGGAAACATAGCCAAACTCTTGGCAGTACATTAAACACTCCTAAACTTCAGTTCTGTTATATTGCAAACCCGAGAACAAGAGTCCAGCTAGAACTAACAAGTCACAGAAATGTGAACATCATCCAAGTATGAAAACTCTTAAAAAAAAACAAGTCTCTGAAAAGCAGTTGATTAAGCTTTTGGCCAGTCATAACATGCTGTGAGCCTGTATTCTGGGCAATCATGTTGCTGCAAATTGCGAAACAGCTGTTCAGTTCACTTTAATGCTGCAACAGTGTGTAATCTATCAAAAGTTTATGGTCATTTATTATTTACCTGTGAGGATTTTTGTGACTTCCGCAGCAAAGATAACCACAGCTTACTGTGTCAAACAGATGAGCGTCAGAGCAGTGATGACTAAACAGTCTAAATTAAAACATCATCACAACTTTTAGTGTAAAGAGGAACTTTGGCATGTTCCATAAAGTCATGCTGATAAAATGTGAGTTTTTTTTTTTTTTTTTTTTATCTTTGCCCCCTTCTTGGTATAACAACTTTCGCAACAGGATGTTAAGCATTGTAAGCCAATCATTTTCTCCACAGATCATCAGAACTCAAGTTGTCGTAGCAGGCTGTGCACATTTCCAAATTATCTGATGACATTGATGAAAAAAGGGAAGGAAAGAGACGGCTGCGTAAAGACACATGAGGTCATAAACATATTAGTGGCAACCACTTCCCACCTTTTTGTAGTCTGTCATCGGCTTTCAAACTTTAATGAGGAAATACTTGACAGAGGCAGTGCTGCTACAGTGCCAGCTGTGAAGATGGTCCACACTTTGCTCTGTTTGGCAGTGTTTCTCAGTGAGTACATGACAATTTTGATCTTTTTGCAGACACTTTTTAGAGAGTATTTAGCTGTAATGTGTATTTGTATACTTCTCAATTTGAGGGCTTGGTCTCTGACAGTGCTTTATTAATGTTAATTAAATTTGGATTTGATTCGAGCTGATCAAAGTTGAACCGAGACTCTGACTGATATTCAGAGTTTTCCTCTCAATATGCTGATTTTAACGGGCTTTTTATCTGTATTTCAGCACTGAATACTCTCCTCCGCCGTGGACGTGCTGAAGGTGATTGCACAATTTTCCTCCACTTTTCTGTGGTTTATTTTGTCAGTGCGTGTGACATTTTAGTCTGTGTACAAAAACTAAGAGGCATATGATTAATGACGACCTAACAGCGTTGCACAAAGCTCATTCTGGCTTGTAAGTCTAGAGCCGCAGTGTACAGTCAGTTCACAGTTAAAGGAGCATTAATTGTTCAAAGTCAGTATTAATAAAAATAATGACTCCAAAGCGCTCAGGCTAAGGTCAAGAAACAATGATTACATATAGGCCCCAAACATCTCACCTCTTCAAGTGAATATTATTCCGACACGACCGTAAAAACTGCATCTATAAACAACCGTTTATATTAATGTTGAAGGTACAGTGTGTATAAAAAGGGAATATTAAGTGTATTAATGCCTCTTGCTCACCACTCCCATCAGTGAAGTCACGGTGGCCTTCGAGGACAAAAAGCTCCTGTGATGTATGATGAGTGCAATCCTCCATTTGTGAAGTTTTAAACCAGCAAAAAGTCTTCATCTACTTCTGTACCAGCTTAGAACTTGTCTTATTTTGTTTCAACAGATAATCCCAGACCTGTTCTCACTTTGACTCCATCATGGCCAAGCCCAGGAGCTCCAGTAACTCTGACCTGCAGTATGAATGACTCAGATCCAAGATGGAGGTACTACTGGTTCAAGGCTGTTCCCAAACTCGCACATTATTACACGCATGTGCCGCTGAATGACAGCGCTGGATCTGAACGGAATACCTACACTGTTAAAAGTCAGACACACACAGCAGCTTATGTGTGTAAAGCTAGAAGAGAAGATGCAGAGAACATGACTCAGCACAGTAGACCGCAGTTTGTTTGGTCAAGAGGTGAGTGTTTTTTATTTTACTTTCAGGCTCGGATGAATTTACATGTCGCTTATTCTTGACCAACTGTTTTTTTTTCCTCCCCAGATTTTAATCAAGCATCAATCAAAGTGAATCCTGACAAAGAGCAGCACGATACCTCAGAGTCCATCACACTGAGCTGCGAGGGGGACGATACTCAGTGGAGGGTGATGCGATGGACCGAAACAGGCCACTGGTCAAACTGTACCGCCTGGGGTACAATGAGAGGGTCGACATGCAGCATCAAAAACCACACGTTAAAAACGGCGGTGTACTGGTGTGAGTCAGGATCTGAAAAGTTCAGCAATGCGGTCAACATCACTTTTCAACGTGAGTGAATTTCTGACGTTATTCTCAAAACTCAGATATGAGAATAAATGACTCGTTGCATCTACCGCGGAAACAGGCGTGTGGTGTTCTCCAAGCATGCGTGATCTAGCATTTGCATTCACACTCGGGACATTTTCAAGAGTGCTGCTCGTGTGTAAAAGGGGGGGGGCGGTTGAACTTGTGAGTGAGTGTGATTCAGAGTCTGTAGTTTCACAAAGTAAAATGTATTTAAGTGGGAATATTTGTTGTGCAACAGTACAGTTCCCTTTAATCGTCCTGAACACTCGTGAGGAACATACTTTTACAAATCATCCCTTTTTGGTTGTTTTTCTGTTTTAAAAGCCTCCACGTCTAACGGCTCCTCCTCTTCTCTAACGCTGATCATCGGACCGGTTTGTGGAGTTTTAACTTTTCTTCTCCTGCTGCTGTTGTGCTGCGTCATAAAATCAAAGAGTAAGATCCTTTTTGGTTGATTTTTGATGAATTACAAACTGTCAAATGTCAACAAATGTCTTGATTTTTTTTTTTTTTTTTTCTTACAGGAACACGCTTAACCGGGTTGGTAAAATCCCCTTCCCTCTTGCTCTAAAAGTCAAATATATACTCCAAAATGTATTTTTACAGCTTCTAACACTGTTTTTGTGTATTATACTTTCAGGATAACAAAGTCTGAGAGAACCAAACAGAGCCCTCCTGCAGAACTAAGTAACCACAATAAAACTCAGCCCAGTGCGCCATCCTCCAATCTCAGAGGTCAGTCTCTCAAAATAATCCAGATAAAGCTTTGATTCGCTGTAGGAGGCTTTATCATTTTAACAAACCCAGTTAAAATTTAAGGGGATTAAAAATCTGTGAATACTTTTTTTTTCTGCATTTTTCAGATTCAAGATGTTGGATTATAAATCATAATCTCCCCTGAATCTTTGTCTTTTTTTTCTTTTCTACATTTCAGCCCCAGATGACTCGGTCGATGTCACATACTCTCTGTTAGAGCTTAAAAACATGAGAGGGCAAGGTAAGTACTCGCTTTACAAGGAGTCTGATAGTCTATAATAAATTTTAAAAAAACAGTAAAACTTGTCACAGGAGTTTTAAATACTCAATAAACTCAGTCCGTGGTGTTTTTGGTGAACGTCTCTATTTATAGGGAAGCCTTGTACAGCAGAATCAGATGAAACTGTTTATTCTCAGGTCAAACCAGGGACCCCTTTTGGTAAGAATCAACCACAAAATATTCATAAAAATAATGGAATTAACATTTGAACTAACATTGCACATTCTCTCTTTCCCTGATTTTTTTTCAGGTCCATGAAAAAAAGTTTTTTTTAAGTTTGTCATACATGTTTGTTTTGCTTTGTTTGAGACATGCTAATGCATATGTTTAGTTTTTACCTGAAGGCAATTTGCACTTTTAGAAGATTTGTCCTTGATGATGTTGATCAGCAATAAACTTTTTCTATTAAATGAAACTGTCGGACCTCTGCAATACTTTTTATGTCTCTTATGTCTTTTGTTCCTCGCTGTCCACAAACAGCAGATGTGAAAATGTGCAGCATTGACTTTTAAAACTTAAACCCAGAAATGTATCAGAAAACTTTTACTGTCTAAAAAGAGACATGAGTCTTAGAGTCTTGTCAGTTTACTGCGTTCATACTTTTAAAGGAAATCAGCCCACTTAACAGTTTTGAAAATAAACAGGAAACAGGAGACTTTGATCATTATCAGACTTCAAACTGACACCTTCAAATGAGTTTTTTTTTTAACCTAAGAGGTAAAAAAAACTCAGAGCTTTGAACATAAACAGGGTGAAAGCTGAATATGAAGTCGTCAAGTTCTTATCTTATTCATGTTTGACGCTCAATATCCAAACCTCTTTCTCTCCGTGGTTGGACACACATTGGAGAGTAAATTTAAGGAGACCTTTTTGTGGCAATGATAAACTATGTGAATAACAAACTTCTTTAGCAGGCACTTCTTCTGAAGTTCCATCTGAGAGAATATTCTCATCAAAACTATTCATAAAATCATGTTTTAATGGGGCCTTGATACTCACTTGAAAGAAATATTGAATAGTGAGGTCGATAATCTCAATTTACAAAAATGATGTAAGATGATAAATTGTAAATATAAAACAAAAGCTAACAAAGTATAGATGAAAACTCTTAATCCTGATGATGTAGAAGATAAAAGAGAGAACTTCCTGCATAAATGTGTGAATATAAAGAGCCTCATTTGACGCAGATTTAAAGACAGTGCTTTGAGTTTTGCATCCAGTTTCTCTCTGAACCTCAGTACCAACCTGAGTTTATTCCTGGTTAAGATGTAAAAAGTTCTCTGCCATCCATAACTTGACATCTAAAATACAGCTAAAAGGACTTAAGTTGGCCCTGCTTCATCAGGAAACACAGTATTATGAAGCTGTGTGTCATCTGCATACCTGCGACAGGTGATAACATAAAAATGTTAAAAAGCCATAGGACCTAAAACTGACCCTTGGAGGACACCAGGGGCAAATCATTCCCTAACGTCTTGATGAGATGTCATGATATCACTCTTCACTGTAACTTTAAGTTTTGAACGAAAAAGAAAAAGATTGTGTGTGTCACTTCTTGTGTGTCACAAACTTCAACAGTGGTTCCAAAAAACTGAGTTCAAATTTCATCATATGTTTTTTGTGCGAAAGGGGAACAAAGTGGATTACAAATCACTGAGCTTAAAGTTGGGGTGCGGCGTTAAAATGCATTTGTAGGCAGAGTGTCAGAGTGTGAAGGATGGATGTGAAGGAGGGACACCCTTTCCTCTGCGTGTTGTTTCTTTTCTGTAAGTACATCAAAAACTTTTATAAAACTTTTTTTTTAAATGTATAAATCTGCACTTTTTAAAATTTTCTACCAAGTGTTTTTTTTTTTTAATTTTCTTCAGTTTCTCTGTGTTTGATGGATTCAACCTGTACAATTGACAGTATCCACTGTTGGCAGAATCAGAATCAGAATGTCCTTTATTGTCATCATACAAAAAGTACAACGAGATTGGAGAGCTTCTCCTTTTCCAGTGCAACAGACAAGTAGAAATAAGGTAGTAAAAGTACAAATAGTCGTAAGAAAGAAGGTACTATATATACAAGACAAGAATAGCAATGTATTACTTAATATTTATATTTAGATGAGCAGAAGTGCAATTTCCAAAGATTTGACAGAGCTGAGTTCAACATAACATTTTATTTACCATACGATGAAAATAAGGGTGATATGGTAACTAAAATTTTGCTTTGCTCCCAAAACTTTGATTTAGGTTTACTCGTTTTTGCATCCTGATTTTAAAGTGAAAAAAAAAAAAATTCCTTTTTTGTATGCAACTTAAAAAAAATTGTTTGTAATCAATGGCCTACATTTGGGGGAGTATTTTGTTTTATAGTCTGACATAGAAAATTTTGATTTTGAAAGGAAACTAAAGGTTTTCTGACAACTCTGAAGGGGAGTACTCATTAATGATTATCACTGTAGGTTAATTAACTGTGTTTATGGTCTTTTTTCTCTTAGGTCAAACACATTTTTCAACTTCCATATCAAGTTTTCAGTTTGAGATCTAATATAGTTTTCATCTTTATTTCAGTGGCAGATAGACTCGTCAAATATGGACATGCTGAAGGTGATTTCAAAAGTTCTCTGTTTGTTTTTCTATTTATTCAACATGTTTCCATTACCCTCACTCTTGCTCATTTCCTTTTTTCTCTCTAAGTGTTGAAACAAACTTTTTTTGGTCTGTCTGTGTGCCAAGCTGCGGTTTCTCCTTTTTTGGGGTTATGCAATAGTTTTCAAGGAGAGAACAGAAGCTGATCAATATTATGATTCAGTGGTCACTTATTTTATAATTGGTTGCAAGTATAGATTTTAGAAGTGCGTTTGTCTTAAATTCCCTCTTCTTTCAATAACACTCTGTAAACATTTAGGAATCAGAGTCTTCTCCTCTCTTTATAGAGGTTGAGAAGCCGTGTCTATGATTTCCAAATTTTTGATTTGTCAGATCGCAGGATAGTTTTTTAAGTTGCTGATATCACTGGATCTTTGTTTCCTCTTGGCATTGGACAGTTTCAACCTAAGCTTGTGGTTGCAGAAACAAACTGTGGTCATACACTATGATTTCTGGAAGTTATTTTGAGGTGTCATGTCTGTTCATTATTACACTGCTGCCTGTAGGCCCCAAAATCAGGGCCAGTCAGTATTTGTCTTCAGTCTTGTCCTTTATGTCCAAAACCTTTCTCAGCCTCTTTAAATAATATCGTCATCTTCATTTTGCACAGTAGGGACAAAAATCACCAACTGTTGAACTTTGTCAATGTGTGTTTTCTTGTTGTTGAGATCAGTTTCCTACAAGGCTGTCGTGACTCTAGAGTTCAATTGGACTCAGATATTCAGGGGTGAGTCGACAACTCTCAGATGTGCGATCCAGGGTGGTGAAGGCTCTGAGTGGCAGTATGAATGGATGACTCCCACGTCTAACACATCATCGCGCTCCAATGAGTACAAGATTGAAAAAGCAGCTGATTCAGACCGTGGAGACTATTTCTGTCGAGGTCGACGCAAAGGACGAAATAATTCTACCACAGATTGGAGCGAGGCAGTCACACTGACAGTTTGTAAGTGACACCACCATGTTTATCTCAGCAAAGTCTGTAGAGTTTAATAGACTGTATTCCCATGGCGGCCATCTTTTACATGACGGGAAACTCGTATATTATCACTTTTTTTATGGTATTCCAGGTCATAAGTCGTATAAACACAGATAACAGAGCGGAGATCAAGTCATGCTTGAGCACAGCTACTGTTAGCATTCAACCACTTCCTAGTTAATATTAATGTTTGAAAATCTCAGATCAGCAAATCTCATCTGCATTTGACAGTAAAACATCTGCAAAGTCTAACTTCTGAAATGTCTTTCGATATCCTTGTTCTATATCAAACAGATCCGAAAGCAAGAGCGAAAATAAGTACAGATAAAAAAGACATCCCTGCAGGGGGCAATGCAATCCTGACCTGCTCTGTGAACCCTCCAACGTCTGGCTGGAAGTTCTTCTGGTTTAGAGGCCAGAAATCCCCTAAACCAATAAACCTACAAGACGCTATTGTCCTTTCAAGTCACCAAATCAGTGTTTCAAACGAAGGACCCTACTGGTGTAAAGCTGAACGAGGAAGACCGGTTTACTCAACGGAGAACACTGACTTCATTAGTCTGAACAAACTCGGTGAGTTTTCAGTATGATCCATAAAACGGCTAAAAACATATCTACAAATCAGTTATTGGTTTTATTGACAAGCTGTCTCTCATATGACCAGTCACAAACAAAGCTGTTGCAACCATACGGCCCAAATGGCCTAAAATATACAAAGAAGAGCACATCAACTTCACGTGTGAGATCGAGGGCGAAAAAAACTCAGACTGGAACTACGAATGGAGAGGACCAGACGCTTTTAGACCCCCAAGGATACCAGAAGTCTTGGTTATTGCATATTCGTATCACAGTGGAGATTACAGCTGTGTTGGTAGGAAAAAAAATGAACCAACAACCATGACAGCATGGAGTGATAACGTCCATCTGAGGATATTTGACTGTAAGTGACACCATCAGCAAACAGAATATCAACTCTGTATTTTGGCATTTAAAAGCTCTGGTTGATGTGTCATGATGCTCAGTCTGAGTCAATGAATTTTCCAACAGATATACCAAAGCCCGCTCTCACTGTGTCTCCATCCTGGCTGAGTCCTGGAGGTTCTGTCACCCTGGACTGTAAGGTTGAAGATGTGTCTGCAGGATGGAGGTTCTTCTGGTATAGAGTTGTCCCAAAACCATCTAAAAACTCCAACAGATATGAGTATGAGCTCCTGCCTGGTAGCAGCAGTGGGACTACACACAATCTTTACACTGTTCATGGACAGACGCACACGGCTGGATACGCGTGCAGAGCTCGAAGAGGTTACCCGATGTACTACACTCGATACAGTGATCCAGGGTTTGTCTGGTCCGGAGGTAAGTTTGTGATTTTTTCTTTTTCTCTTTTGCTCCTTTACTGAAGTTCCTTAATTTCTACAAATTAAACATGAGAGGTCAACAGTAGGATTAAATTATAAATATGGTATTTGTCTTGATCTCAAAATGTGATCTTCCAAACTTTGTCAAATGTTGACATTAAAGGCAATTAAGTCCCTCTTCTTGTTAAATATGAATCCATTATCTTAACCTCAACCAAGAGATTTTCCAATGTCTTCTGGACGAATGCTGCGTTCCAGTTGTACTCAGAAGTCGGGATTTCCGAGCTTCGAGTCGAATATTCATCTTGAACGCCCCCCTTAAGTCAGACTTCCGACTCAGAAAGTCGGACAATCCTCACTAACCCCGACTTGACAACAACGTCATAATCCAAGATGGCAGCACAGTGCTTCAACAGTAAAGAGTAACAGTGAAGCACTCGTAATGTTTTATTTATTAGCACTTCGGTTGGAATTATTTACAACTGGTGTTGCTAAAAACAACTAAAAGCCGCTGACAACCGATAACAACTGACAACCGCTAACAACCGCTGACAACGGCTAACGACAGCTGACAATTGTAAACAACAGCTAACAACAGCTAACGGTAGGCGTCCATCTTGGTTTTCCGACTTGTTTACTGGGCCCCATCAAGTTGGGTGTCACGTCATTCCTAGCTCCGACATCAGACTTCCGAGGTAACTGGAATGCAGCATTAGCCAGCAGGTTATCCTGTCTGCTCACAAAGTGAATTAAAAAATATTGTTGGGAAAAGAAACCTAAGATGAAGTTTGTGGTGTCTCCAGTCTTGTAATACCTCTATTATGTTTTTCATCGCATTGTTTTTCTTTTAGATGTTCAATCAGCGTCTCTTTCAGTCAGTCCTGACAGAGTGCAACACTTCAACATCGACTCTGTCACACTGAGCTGTAGGGGAAACTCTACCGAGTGGAGAGTAAAGGCATTCAGTAACAAGAACTACTGGCCTAACAACTCTGATTGCGAGACGATGGATGGTGCAACATGCAATATTGCCCGAGTACGGGGGGATAACACAGTGTACTGGTGTGAGTCCGCATCAGGGGAGTTCAGCAATGCAGTCAACATCACTGCAGACAGTATGTTTTCTCTGAACTGGATGTGAATTTCTTTCCTGGTGAGCCATTGCTCGTATAGCGGCAAAAACCATCTACTGTGATTTTTATGTATGTTACAGAAAAAAGCATGATCCTGGTGAGTCCGGTTCATCCTGTCACTGAGGGAGATTCTTTCACTCTCGGCTGCAAGATGGAAACAGGAACATTTGACAGTGTGGTGCTTTTCTATCACAATGACAAAATCATTGGAAATGACACCCGAGGGGAGTTGAAAATCTCTGCAGCGTCAAAGTCAAGTGAAGGCTGGTACAAGTGTGAATCTGGGAAAATGCAGTCACCACAGAGCTGGGTGTCAATAACACGTGAGTACCATAAAAAAAATTGCTTTTAAAAACACCGAAACAAATTTAACAGAAATCAGTCAAGTTCTACTTAGCATTACTTACACGTAGACAGGTTAGTCCAACTGGAATGGCACCGAACAGAACTTCTCTTAGTCAGGCTAACACGCCTAAATAATGGGGATAGTTTTCAGAACAGTAATCCAGGCAAATTACCCAATTAAGCTCCAACCACAGCACGAATTATCTACCCATGTAAACACACTGAATATTCCGCTATTCCTTTAAACGACAACAGTTTTCGATGAGGGAAACTTCAGACTGATGTGTTTCGTAAAAGAGATAAGCTCAGTTTCAACCTTCTGATTTCAGCTGTCTTTGTTACAACAACCCTGGCATCTTCATCTCTAGTTCTCGGCCTTGCTGGACTAATATCTGGGATTGTAATTACTGTTTTGCTCCTCCTGTTTTGCTACCACGAAAAGACCAAAGGTGAGACAATGCTGCTTTAATTCAGTCCAAATGCAATAAACATTGTTTTCACAACACCATCTAATGACGTCTTGTGTTCCTACAGGTTCGCACAGGTTGGTACATCGTCTTTTTCTCTAATTCTGAATTGAGGAAACATTAGATGCCATGTTTTAAGAGTGTGACATTTAACATATAACTCCTTGTTACAGGACTTTTGGATGTCTGAGCACCAAACAGGGCTCTGCTGTAAATCCAATTGCCAACCGTGATGAAACTCAGCAGCATGTATACTCTTCTCTTGTCCACGGTCGGCCATCTAGATTTTTACAAAAGCTTTCAAAACTATTTTGTAATAGGTTTTTCTTTTGCTAACAAACTTTACAACTTTAGGATTTGCCCCAGGAAAGTTAGAAGTTGGACGTATAACCAGCTTCATTCGCTTTCTGCTTTGTTTCCTCTGCTTGTTGTTAAACTTTGTGGAAATATGTTCTTCCTACAATTTACAGCTTGAATTTGACTTTTTGTGACTTTGCTGCAGGTGACATTTCTATCTATGAAACCATTGACCCCCAAAACAGAGGTAATGGTGCAGTATCAACTAGGATACCCATATGTTATCGTGATTATACCTGATAGAGAGAAATAATTATGAAACCCTCTTTTTCAGGAGAGACCGTGTATGAGAACAGTGATGCTATGCGCTCTTCAGCACAGCTAAGAGGTCTCAACAAATGTTAAATAAATGTTAAAAATGAACCTGATGGTCTTCATCGAATACCGCAATGTCCCTTAAAATTCACGTTTTTTTTTTAATTTCATTCTAGAGCTGTGAAGAAGAGTGCATCGTCGGTGAAGAAAGAGAGACTCGACCAAAAGAAAATTGGGCTGCATGACTCTGTCAACCAAATATCAGATACTTTTGTTTTGCTACCATCAAACGCTTCAAGTTTGGTCATGTTTTGTAATTTTAGGTTAAGTCAGAGCGCGACCGTCATTTCTGGGGAATTCTGGATGTCTGACAGCGACTGACTTACTTGCGTTTTTACTGTAAATAAACTACCTTCTTTGGTTTTGGGCTGTTTTAGAAAAAAGGAACTAATGTCAGACTTTCGGAATCCACATGGCATGGCTTCAAGATGGGTCATGCAGCTTTGCTCAATTTATCACTCGGATGACGTTGTTACAGTTTTGTGCTACTAAGACTCAAATCCTGATTTCCAGGACTTGGATTTAAGCTTCAATGACTTGGACTGGAGCACATAAGACCTTGGAAGTTGGAGAGGAGGACTCAGACTTACTTATTTATGAAGACTATTTTAATATTTATGTTATTTCAGACAAGGCCCTAATCATTTGTTCAGTTTAGAGAGAGACTTGGTTTATGTATTTGTATTTTATAGTCAAGTAAGTGTATGCGCAAGTTAGAGCTCCTGTGAGTAATTTTTTTGACGCTCATGAAGTACACTGTAATTCACATAAATGCCTCTTTATGATATAAAAGCTAAAGAGAAAAACAGAAACCAGATCAGTAACTTTTATTTTGTGTTTTATATCATCTGAAACCTTTGAGAGAAGATCCCGTTTTTGTCTTTTTTTGCTTGAAATGTTTACAAATGAATTGCCAAAATTCATCAGGATGAGACAAAGTACTTTAGCATGTAAAGGACAAGATGAGCAAACACTGCTTTGTCCAATGGAACAACAATAACAGCCTCTAAGTAGACTCAATCCATGGGTGTAAGAAGTTTGTTTAGTTCAAATTCTGATATATTCAAGACTCAAAATTAATTTTCATTCATATTTTTTTTTCCTTTGTTTTGTGTAAATATATAAAATAAAAGATGTTGTTCTCCCAGCCCAAAGCAGTGCAACAGAAAGACAGCCAAAGTCCATATTTACATGACATCAAACTAACTGTACTGATCATCTAGATCTCCAAGCACTCTGACCTACCCATCCAAAAGGTACAGGTTCACACAGTCAATGTCTTTTATAATGATAATACTTTTACTATGATATTAATATTAATACTGAGGACTCGACTCTGACTCGTCTTGAAATCTCTTGTGACTCAGACTCGACTTGGACCTGAGGTTTGGTGACTGGACTGTAACACTGGGTTGTTATTCCAGTGATCCTCTTTATGAGCTCTAAGTATTGTTGTCCATGTACTGTGCTTCTCTGTATTTAGTCATCATTGTTGGCTTGTTTCAAAAGTTATTCTGAGTTTCTGAAGTTTCTTAAAACATTAAAAAGATTTTAAATATACTTCTTACTGCATATGCCTCAATGTCTTGTGTATAAGTCGCAGAGTTTTACTACTGTCTTTAAGGCTGTGTCGAGTTGCACTAATGAAGCACCTGTGAAATTATTCTATCTTCAATACTCTGTCAACTCTTTATTAATATGGTAAATATCGTACTACAGTAAGCTCATTTTATCCAGTTGTGCGTTCTTGAACTTTTTAGTAGGTGGTGGAGGGGACTGTTCGTGGCACATGGCGGTAAAGTTTCAAGCAACACATTTTGTAGGTGTTAGGTGGAAGTGCGATTTCTTTATCTTACACCACCAGCTAATACACGACTTTTTTCTTCTGTGGTTGCAGAAAGTTTCAAAGAGTGGGTCTGGATGTTGATGGCAAAGTCGAAGAAATTCTGTATATTTGTGCTTAAAGGTCAAGCAAGAACTGGGCTTATAGACAAATCAATGACTAAGTACTTCTCCATGCTCATGTGTTTTTCCAGACATAATGTTCATACTTTATATTTTCTTTGAGTTGGAATATATCTTTGACATTTTTAAACCTTGTACACTCTTCCTTTTTTGAGCGCCAAATTTCGATTATCATCTTTTGCAGATGATACTCAAGTATTTTCTGATCAAATCTCTCCATCTTTAACTTTGCAGAGTGTCACAGGAAAGTTGTGCCTCACCCAAATGTGAAAAATATAAATTCAAACTTTGTTCATTTGACCTATTTTTTACACAAAATGTTTTTTGATTGCATTACATGGTTGATGGCTTTGATCACTACAACTTGCATCGCTAGTTTTCTTTCCCTACGGAAAACTAGGTCCTGGGGATTTAATAAAAAGAAGAAATAGTACAAAAGAGAGCTGCAGCTGTTTGTACCACACCTGTTCCACCTTTAATTAAAAGATAAAAAGTCTCTTTTATAGCTCTTCTAAATAAAAAGATTTAAAAGAGCATAAAAGAGATTTTCCCTTTGGTTCAGGCAGAGAAGCCAAACATGAACACCAGCATAGAGCAGCGTGCGATACATGCTAACAAGCTAAGAACAGTGACCTCAGCTTCCTGGTGCGGTTTTATTTAGACCAAAGATCTCCTGATGTACAACAGAGAGCTCTTCGCTTCTACAGCAGAAGTTTTAATGACGGTAAAGCATGAGTGGTGGTGTTTGGTCTGTCTTGCTCATTACAAGTAGGGCTTATGTTCAACGCAGCACTGCCACCATGAGTCAGAGCATGTTAGACCTGGATAATGCGGTTGGAGATCCATTTCCTCTCGTCTCAGTTGAGCTGAAACCGGCCTACATCATTCACGACCCTGAGGTTGAATATCAAATGCACTGACAGACACCAGCAGGGCTTTTGCACACAGCACTGCCATCATGAGTCACAATATATAATCTACAATTACCATCGACAACAGCGACCTTATCTCCTTTGAATGCCCTGCTGCTGATCGATTTCACTCCTCTCAAGCTGCTCTACACTTGAGGACACTTCTGGAAACAGTTGAAAACATGGACTGACCAATGAGTCTTTGACAGAGTGGTGCTGAAGACCTCGCAAACCCTTGATTCAAACAAAGACTGTGGATTGTAGATAATGACAAAATCTGCTTAGAATCAATGCTAAGATATATTTATGTATAATGAAGAAATTCAGTTTCTTGATTTGAATTGACTTAAATTTAAGTCCTAATCTCCTTTCGGCGAGTTTATCACTTTTGCCCAGACTGGCCGCCCCTTCCCGTTTTGGTCGCGTTTATGATTCATCGGCACAGAGCTGACAGTCAAGAAGAGGAAACAGATGTTTCTTTCTGCAGAGATGGTTGACGGTCACCTCCAGTATTTTACATGCTTTTTCTCATTCAGTGCTGCTCTGCTGTTTGAGATCCTCCTCTATGGTATGTTTGTCTTTGCTTTCCAATACTAGATTAGAAACTCTGGCATTATCGTGAACAAATAATGAGAGAGTGAAAATGTGATTAAGAAGAACTGTAAATGAAAGTTAATGAATCTGTATAAACACTGATGTTCGATTCATATTTTGTATTCCCTATAAATAATTTGTTTTGTTGAATTGAAGAGAACTTCATCAATACGGATAATTTTGCTTTTGCAGCAGTTGCAAATGAAGAAGTGACATTTAACTTGATCGGAAATAAAAGGTACACAGCTCTGTGTGGTTTTTGCTGCTGCTTCACCACAGAAAATAAACTACAGGAACTTCTGGGTCTCTATGGTGATATTTGCCACAAGTACATTTTGAAATAATGTTTCAAAGCTCAATTTATTTGATAGGATTGACTAAAACTGGACTTTCAGTGAATGCCAAGCCACTGTACGTTCATTTCAAAGTATTTTAAAGTTACAAAAACAGCAAATCAAAGGCACTGATGACTTTAGCTATCTGTAAGGAAGCAAACGGCCCGTCACTAAAAGGGTCAACACGTGTTATATTTTCTGCTTTCCACTTATTTTCTTAAGTGTCTCATAGTGTCACTGTCAACTTTGCAATGACCAAGGTGACTTCGTTTTCTGCCTTTACTTTTCAGATGTCGAGGCTCAGAGTTGTGAACACGTCTACCATAAAAAAGTTGGAGACACTGTGGAGTTGCACTCATGCTTGTCATCATTTGAAAACCTCACCATGGCAAAGTGGAAATATGGACCGTTACTTATTGCACACAAATATAAGGATATTGATGATGAAAAACAGTTTAAAGGCAGACTAAAACTTGATCCCACAGACTTAAGTTTGACAGTGAAAGATCTGACTCTGAAGGATGCAGGTGATTACCATTTTATTTCAGCTGGAAAATCACAAAATCCCACCATCATAGTCACTCTCAAGGTTTATGGTAAGACGTCTTTTCTCTGTTTGGTCAAACTTGTTTTTTATTCTTAAGACCTAATTAAGTATTTTATCCCTCGACCATGAAGCTACTCAACTAAAACTGCCATTATCCTTTTACTTCATCAGTATATTTACATTTACATCTACAGTCTGAGCACAGTTAGGCAATTTACTGTTATGTCTCTAACTATGTCTTCTCACTCTCTCTTTAGCGTCCATAACTAAACCACCTGTTCTGACTGATAACTCCACTTGGAACCCCCAAACCAACTCATGTACAGTTTTGCTGGAGTGCAGCTCAAGTGAAGGCAATGTCAGCTATAATTGGACTGTAGGTAATCAAACCAGCAATGGCTCCAGGCTGCAGCACATCATCACAGGGCTAGGTGTGGAGACTAACTTCACCTGCATGATCTACAATCCTTTCAGTGAGATGTCAGCCTCCAGAGTAGTGAAATGCAGCAGGTGTGTGCAAAAGATGGGAGGATACAGAGAGCAGTCTCTTCTAGTCCAGAGTTAATCCAAGAAATTTAGTTTTTGGTTTTACTATTGACTGCAAAACCTTAAATCTTAGCAGGTGTTTTTGTGCTAATGTCTTCTTAGCTTAACTTAAGTCACATTTATCAGACAAGCTTAGAAAAAATGTAATTTTTGAAGAAACCAAACACCAAAACAAGACCTGAATTGCTTAGAAAAGAAAACTAAATTGTATTGAAAGTGTTTAGTATCTTGAAAAAGTAAATTTTTCGGAGCTTGTTGGGTTAATGTGGTTGAAACTAAGTCACTTGCTGAGTTTTTGCAGTGTTTTTAAATCAATTTCTCCTAGAGTATCTTCATTTTTCCGTAACACTTCGATAATCATGAGGACTTCAAGAATTCTTGACGGTCACAATCCAAATCATCTTTCACACTTTACACATTAAACATTTTAAGTTAAAAGCTTAATAATTTCGATCACGTTTTTTGATGCCATCTCTTTTTTTAACACAGACCATCGATTGTTGCAGAGCCCGCCCCCTCATCTCTTGTTGCTTTGACCGTCAGAACAGTTTCTGGAATTTTACTGATTATTCTGCTGCTGTTCTTGCTGCTTCGCTGCACAAAGTTACGGGGTAAAAACACCTTTTACGAACACAGATCATTAAAATTCACATAAATTCTTAAATAATGAAACTGATCATCGTCTTGATTTTTCTGTTTCACAGCTCCATGCCATCGTAGGTAAGTTGAGTCTTCTCTTATCCTCAACGTCATGATGACTACATCCTATTTATTCATTTATCAGTCCTTTCTGGGAGTCCCTGAGCTCCATCATGCCGTAGGTGCCTCTCCACCTGTCCATCTCTGTATTTCTACATCTCTTCTCTCCCCTCTCTAAACCCAAAGCAGTCTCAGCAGATGAGTGTCCAACATCAGTCCGGTTCTGTTTGAGGTTTCTGCCTGTTAAAGGAAGGGTTTTCTCTTCACATGTGGTTGAAGATGGGATGGGAGTGGGTCTGCTCTTAAAGGATGGGGATAAATCTGATCCTGTCTAAACATTGTTTTTGGGGGAATAGAGTCCCGACCAGCTTTTTGCAAAGGGTCTTGGGATAACGCTTCATGTAACTTGGCGCTGTATCAAAAAAGATGACTAGACTGATCCATTTTTCTTGCTGTCACTTCTACATTCAAGAGTCGACCAATCTCAAACTGTTGATCAAGATGAAATTCAGCAGCCAGTTTACTCCTCTCTTGTCCATGGTCAGTCTTATTTCCATTGTCAGTAATGTTTGTCATCCCAGCACTTGTTTAACAGGCTGTTTTTATTCAAGAATTCAGCAAAGAAAAGATGTTGTTAAATGGGAATATCTCTGATTTGTAGGTGATGTCAGCCTCTATGAAACAATAAGAGGCTCTGAAAATGCCCAAACAGGTACTGTATGAACTTTAAACATGGAGTTTTTCCAAAAAGCTAGTAGCCACAATATAACTTAACGTATGTTTTTGCAGGTGGACAACCGGATAATGTTACTTCTCCATCAGCTCACCATTAGGACTTTTACAAGCTTGCTAGTAAGTACACTGAATGAGACACTTTAATAGCTGCAAGATCCGTGAAAAGTTGCAGGTGTTTGTGAACAAAGGGAGCAACTGTCCTCAAAAACAATGTGATTTTGAGCTCATGCAGTGATTTCCACTGCAGAGTCATGTCTGTTTTTAATCAAGTTTCACCTAAGGGCTCCAAGATCTTGGCTTTATAGCATCAGTTGTTGTCCATGTCTCCTTTGTTCAGAAATTTAAATAAAGTTAATTCACAAGTTTATCGCCCCTGATTGTTGTTTCAGTTGAATATCGGTCACACACTGGCTCTGAGCAATTATACGTACATTTTAGTTCTTAAGATGTTGGATATTGTATTGGGGTGTTGTTGAATATCTCAAGTCATTGTCTCTTTTTTCCTTTGCTATAATCATACCTTTTCATTTCCAATTAATTCATCTTTATATGATTTTTTCTGATTTGTTTGCAGGTTCATAAAAAGCACGTGCATCATCAACGAAACAGAAGAATCTCCTTATTCATCACACTGACTTATCTCCCATTACATATGTTCAAACTCTGACAGCAGTTACTGCATTGCTTGTGCACTGTGTAAATATTTCTTTTATACTTTTTAAAAATATTTTTGTATCTTTAATCTTTTGTATTCTGCTTAGTACTTATTGCATGTTATTTGTACTTCTTTGGGTTGAGCGGTCCTTCTCATCCAGGGCATTTCATTGCATTATTGACTATGTTTAACCTGCATATGACAAATAAACCAACCTTGAATCTTGAATCTTGAAGTGTTTTCACAACCATACATGTTACATGGGCAGTTCTTACAATGTGAACAGAACCAAGAATAGTCGCAGGTTTAATATTTAGGAGTGTTTGCAAGTGGTGCCAATGAAAAGAGTAAAAGATGGTATATATTATATTTCTCGCAGAAAGCTGAACCAAAATAAGAACAAACTGACTGAATATTAAATTTGTGGATTGAAAAATTATACATTAATTCAACCAAAAAGCAAAGTCCCTCATATACCAACAGTTAGCAGTGCCTATTTCGCAACAGTGTATTCTTGTAAATCTGCTTGTGCATCAAATTGATGAAAAATCTTCCATGGCAACATCCTCTTCTGTTGAGTCAACCATCTGCTGGATCCTCTATATGAAAATTGTGCCATCTTCTGGCTGAAGGCCTCATTTCTGTGATAATATTTGAGTCAAACTGGTGATCATCTGAACTCAAGCAACTTGGCAGCTGAACTGTGACACCAGGAACTGAGAAAGTGGTCACACCTACAACAGGTAATGACTTCAAGTTCCGCGTACAATTACAAACACAAGTTACCATGTGGCTTTAAACTCATATTGTTGAAGTCTTTTCAGTCTTGATCTAGAATAGTGGTCTACGTAGACACTAATGGAGGATGTCAGTCATATTTTACTCTGCTCAGTTTTTCTCTGCTCAGTTTTTCTCATGCAGCCATTTTTAGCCACTTGGTGGAGCCATGTGGTTTTATTTTCTGTATCTTGACACACATTGGTTCTTGTGGTTCCTGTACTTCTATGCTACTGCAGAGACAAAGGCATGAGCATTTTTAATGAATTCATCTATAATGAGCGATTTATAAATTGTCTAAGCAATTTACAACCTCAAACAAATAATTATTTTTATGCCAAACCAACATGATGTCACAGTATGAAGGTATTGTTGTATCAATTGGCTCATTTCAAGTGGATTTACCCAATTCAGTGTGGGGCCGGAGACAAAAAAGTCCTTGTCTTGGTCACAAAGTGAAGACCGTAGCGTTTAGCATTTTTCATCTAATTACGTTACAAAGATAAGAATCGCCACATGCCAGTGATTTAGGCTTACATTCAGACAATGTGAGCCAGCCAACTCAATCATATGGAGAACAGTGAAAGCTTTAGATTTGTAATGAACCTCAGAGCTCTACGGTTAACAGTATCCTGAGAGTGAAGGCTCTGAGACGATGCGCGCATATACAAAAATATACCACAAGTCTTTTCTTTTCAGCAAAGAAAAAAAAAAACAGGACTTATTTCTGACGTAGAAGCACAGCCGTACATTTAACTTCTTTACAAGTTGCTGTATATGAAGTTAACGGTAATTATCGTCTGCATACATTTGAAAATTTGCATGTTACTACATAATAAATTATATTTTGTCTCACTAAGCCTATTTTACTCAACTATTCAAATGAGTGGCCTGGACTTGTTATAAATACTACCATATACATAATGAATTTATGCCTATGTACAAATCTTGGCTGTTTGTGAAAAGATAAAAAGACCAGGGGTTTGTAGTAAACATGTCGGTTACATCTTTGTTCTGTTTCTTTATTGACTCACTGGGTAGTGTCACTTACAGTCAGTGTATCACTTCTTCTTTCGAAAAATGCCCTCAAACACGTTGCTGTTCCTAGAAGCAAGACCCAAGTCATACAGCTGTTTGATCGTTAAGAATCGTTCAAAGTAAAAACTGGACACTAACAATAGATTAGATGAGGTTTGTTTGAAAAATTTCAATTCCTCTGATTTTTAAAGACACCAAATTTATATTTTTGCTCTTAAACTCCAAGAGAAACTCTGAACAAAATACTCAATAATTTTATTTCCCCAATTCTGCTGGATATGAAAGTCATATTTTTATCAGACTTAAATGTCATATGATACCATGTCCTTGCTTTTACTATTACCTACCAAATTAAGGAGTGGTCTCTGCATCTTTTATTTTACCTCCCACAGAAAAGTTAACAAGACTAAAAGTCTAGATCCAGGTTGAAAGTTATGGCAAACTATGTTAGCATATTAGCCAGTGAATTCCAAGAACCAAACCAGTTCCTGAGGTCAGCTCAGGGTTAGGATGACAGAAGTGAAAAAGACTTTGTACAACACAAAACTGAAAAAAGAATTGCAGCAATCCAATAAAGATTTCTTCCATGGAAGTATAGACTTTAACCTGTGGATCATCAAACTGACTAGAATTAATTAGAAGCTGATTAAAAAGTAGATAAATCGTTGAATCAGGCTCTTACGGTACTGGAAATGGTACTTGTTATTCAGGAACGTCTCCCAGTAAATCAAGAGTCAGACTAAAACCAACTTTTATTTATCTATTTATTTATTTGTCACCGAATGTATTGACATGGGCAAAATGATGTTGGTTATTGTCGTAAATTTCGGTATCGGTAAATATTCGGTTTATCGCAGAGAGAGAAAGTATTGCTCTTCAATTAAGGAAAGTGTTGGTTCAGGCAGGCCACAACTCTTAGCTGACTCCAGTGCCAGTTTTGTAGTCACTTCCCACTAAAAATGTAAACCTTAAGATTGTTCCACAAAAAAACAACTTATCCAAACTTGAATGCCACTTTCCCTTGGAAACAAATTGACAGCCCCAAAAAAGATGCTGACTGTTGTACTCGAGGATAAATTAAAAGTTTCTGAGATCGTCTGACATGATGCATTGAGAAAAGTTTCATGACATTTCACCGGTGTAACATTCAAAGATGTAGTACAAAAGCTTTACAGTGAGAAAATGTGGTGAGTAAACTCTCCGAATGACAGCTCTCGGTTTCGGCTTTTGCGTTGTTTCTATTGCATTGTGGGTGTCACGATAAACAGGCCTCTGTGGATTTCAAAGTAAATTCACTGTGGTCACCCACATTGCATGGCACCCACACATAAACACCCTGAGAAGCAGGTCTTATTGGTCATGCTGTATCTACTTTGTCAAACACGATCAGGTAAAGAAAAAAAGTGCCTCTGCTCATGCACCATGAAGTCTTATCACATTTTTGCAAAGTTAAAAGTAAATATCCATTAAATAAACCTCCTCAAACATTAAACCCTGTAAGTAAACCTGAAATCTTACTTCGGGGTTGAGTTACTGTGAGTGACCATGTCTACTACACTTCCTTTGTACCCTTAGCATATGATAAACATAATGTCATGATGAACTTGTTAATTTATTCAGTGATATATGGTGATCATGAGACTACATCGTAGTTACTTCCTCTTTCACAGTAGCATCATTATTCACAGCTAATGTGCGGCAAAGATAGCCTTTATCTCGATAACAGGGTAGTTTACTTCCTCCAAGGTTCAAAAATAAACAGTAAATTCTGCGAAAAATTAAAAACATCACAGACATGACCGTTCAAGCCCTGACAGACAAAGTGCAAAGCAAACTGCAAAGACCGATAGTGCTAATGACCCACTTTGGAGGAACAAAAGTATGAACAGCTATCACGTGTGCAGGATGTTTAAAGGGTAAGGACAAAAACTTTTAAGAGGGAACCATTATTCAGAGAGACAAAGACATAATGATATACCCTGAGTACTGCCAGTGTAGAGGTATAATGCAAGATTCCTGTGATTTGGGTTCGATTCCTGGGCAGTGCATGCATCCTCATCCAAATGATGCAATCCAATTTTCAGGGACCTCAGACTAAAAGGTGCTGACACTCATCCCAGCCAGTTTGCACCTTTTTAAAGACCATCCCAATGCCAGTTGGAGGTTTTCTCCGCAAGGTTTCAATCAAGAATTTAAAACCTGCCAACACAACCACATCGTCTGCATAAAGGCCTTGACGCTTAAGGCCTGGCTTTGCAAGAGCCTTTGGAAATTCACTGGCATCCCTGACCCTTGCCAAAATATCTCTGAGTGGCCCTGAAATCTGTGCATTTGCAGATTTTTTCCATTGAAGGGAACCAGGCGCTGCTGGTGTAGTGGTATCATGCAAGATTCCCATTCTTGTGATCTGGGTTCGATTCCCAGGCAGCGCATGTAATTTCTGAATTTCCATAGGGTACTATTCTTTCTATGTACCATCATCCAAATAGAGTAATCTGCTTTTCCAAATAGATTACCATGGTCTCAGATTTAGAGTTGCTGACCCTCATCCAAGCCACCATCCGAGTACCTGTTGTAGCTCCAATCCTGAAACCCCACTAGAACCGCTTAACAACCACATCATCCTCACACAGGAGCAGCGAACTAGTCAACCTCAATGCAAAAATCTTGCAGAACTTGTGGGAATTTACTGGCATCCCAAAACTTCTCCAAAATATCTAAGTAGGCTTGGAGTCTATTTTCTGCAATTTGGCCACCAGGTTGAAAGAGTAAAAAGGTAAAAGTTGTGATGATGGGACGTGGTTAAGTCCTTTCTGCTTCAGCATCGTCAAATGTGGACGACAGATTACATTATCTTTTCCCTTTAATTATTAAGTGGGTTAGAAATGACTGTATGCTTAAACAGTGGATCTGGTTAATGCATTTCTCTTGGACTGAATTTTTGTTACCGAGTAATGTTCGCCTGTTATGTTTTCTTTTTGATTTTGTTGTGTATCATCATGTCAGGCCAGGTCAAATGGCTCTTCTGCTCGAAAGGAACCTCCCCACTCTCCGCCCCCTCTATTTTCATGTTCAGAGCTAACTGGCAGCAGCACTTTTGATAGACACGTAGAGGAAACAGACGTTGTTCCTTCATCTGCAGAGATGGTTGGTGGTCGCCTGCACGGCCTGAGCTGCTTCTTCAAATGCAGCGCAGTGCTGCTTCTTTCAGTGTGCTTTCATGGTACGTACACCTCTGCTCCTCTTTTTTTTAAAAACTTGACTGTTATTGGTATCGTTATTTCAAACTGGATGCATACTACTTTCATGCACTTCGATTATGTAGGTCAAGATTGCACAATTGGCTGGAAGCATACAAGTCAGGGTAGGAAATGACGTTTGTTTCCATGGAAGATATCTGCTTTTGTAAAGCTTAAAAGCAAAGTGACATTCAAGTAGAAACTGTGAAGACTGCAAACATGACATTTTAACTAGTTAACTAAGCACAAATTTGGGTGTGGAGACATTCGCCTTAATGACAAATTTAACACACCAGAGTTGAAATATTTACTCTTCGCTTAAGTTGCTTACCATTCATCTTAAATGAAACTAAATGTTCTTGTTGTGCTTGACAAGGAAGGAAAAACTGAGCTTCGCTGTGGTGAATATTAAGCAGAATCTGGTTGTGTATTTAGTCATGGAGTGGGGACTGTTTTTGTAGGTCAGCAAGTTTTCCGCTGCTTCTGCTATACTGAAACTTTCTAAACTTTGACACATCGCAAGACAAGCTGATCCTTTCTGTGTCGGGAGCTTCCTCTTTGTTTTTCATTTTCACCCATACTGGTTTTTGTTTATTTTTATAAAGCAAATTGTTGTCACTATATAATTAAAATATGGTTTAATTCTGATCCTCATAGCTGGCTATACAGTACATTTTTTTAACATTTAAACAGGAACAAGGGGTGAGGTCCTTTTCCCGTTCAGACAGGAACAAGGGAGTGCAGATGTTTCTAGAGAATTTGCAGAAGTAAAGCGGTACATGTGAGGGTTTATTAAACACGTCAATGTTCTATTGAAAGTTCATAAATGGAGACCATAATTGTTTTAGCATTGTGTCACTGTTTCAATATGCGTGTGTACACCTATTGAGGTTCACCAATAGCCTTTCACAAGAAGAATAGCCGCATGATACTAGGCACGTTTCGTAAGAAATTACCGCCACCAGTGAAGAGCAGTATAGGTTTGCACTATTGTTTGTTATACTGAGTCTGTGGTTTCCTCTCTTTCCTTTTTTAAGTCAACATTAGCTGGCCTGTAAGTTCAAGCATACCCACGTTATTATCTCCAAATCTGACTCAAGACAGTGTTATCTGATATTTGATTATCTCAGGTGAGAGAGCCTTACTTACTGTGGTTAACCAAAAGTTTGCTTCATTGCTCAAGGAAACCAGCCATGAGGGGAAGTTGATTTCTCACAACTCCATGCCATCTGGGTTTTTATGACGATGATTCACCTGCACTCTTTAGTTTTATCAAACCAAAACAATCACTTACAAAAATAATCGTGTGTCGTCTGCATATAGTGAAAATGTTCTGCATTTCCCCCCTTCTTTGTTGTCCAACTTCGTAAAATCTTGCACAAGGAATTTTTGCTTTAAATCAATTTTGGCGCTCCTCTCTGTGGACAAAGTGAAAACAGGCCTGTGTCTTCAGCTGCTTGTCGGGAACCTACCCCTTCACACCAGCATTAGGTGTTAAATTTCACAAGATACAAATCTGAAATCTTGTCGCTCACGCTCGTGTTTGCTTTTGTTTATCTTCAAAAGGCATCAATATGTATTTCATTGTATTTTATAAAGGTGAAAAAAAATTCCTCAGGAGTTTTAAGTTGCAGTAAATGAATTTTGAATTACTGTATCTTCTGTTTTGATCCTTTAGTTAGACAGAAGTCTGAGAACTGAAACGCAAACTTTGCAAACCACACCCTGAGTCTTTGATATCCAGTTTGTGTCTGATACTGTTTTGAAAAGGCTGATGCTGATGCATTTGCTGTTTAAATTGTAACAAGGTGGAAGGAAGGCGTGTCACTTCCGACCGTAGCAGAGTAAGGATGTTAACAAGAAGGCTTGGAGAGAAGGGGCAGCTGTAGCTCAGTACAAGAGTCGGATGTCTCAGAATCAGGAGGTTGTGGGTTCAATCCCAGGTCCCACTGTCCACATATAGTGTCTTTGAGCATTAGATATATATAGAGAGCTACTATTAATCTGGTCTTAACATGGGTGTATGATCAGTGTCTTTAAATTGTCACTGAGAAAAACTTAATCAGATTTCAGTGTCTTCAGCTGATGTCTTTAAAGATATTTTTCATAAACAAATACACAATAGGTTCTTGTTTTTAATTTTTGCTCATTTTAATCCAAGTGTCACTTGTTGTCTCAAATATGATATCAATCAAATTTAAGGGAGAAATAAAGCTCACTTCAGTAAAATTATACTTTGTGTCTGTGTTTCAGATCTGGAGGCTCAGAGTTGTGAACACGTCTACCATAAAAAAGTTGGAGACACTGTGGAGTTGTCCTCATGCTTGTCATCATTTGAAAACCTCACCATGGCAAAGTGGAAATATGGAGGGTTAATTATTGCAGACAAAAATAAGGATATTGATGATGAAAAACAGTTTAAAGGCAGACTAAAACTTGATCCCACAAACTTCAATTTGACAGTGAAAGACCTGACTCTGAAGGATGCAGGTGATTACCATTTTATTTCAGTTGGAAAATCACAAAATCCCACCATCCTAGTCACTCTGCAGGTTTATGGTAAGAACCTTTTGTTTTTTTGTGTTTGAAGTGTGAAATAACTTTATGAAAACAACCACTATCAGAGCCTGTGTCCACTGACAGCATTTCTTTGCATTGCTAAGCACAAAAACACCTTGTTTAACACCTTGGTTCAACTTTTGAAACAATGGCAGGAACACCATCATTACTGCTTCCTAACCATCCATTGAAAGGTAGAGAAGAAACCATTTGTGGTTTATCACATGCCAGACCTGTTTTTCAAGGGTTTGATTTCTACATCTAGAACTAGTCCTGATGTCAGGGCAAAATACTTTCAAATTTTTAATTTCCTTGAACAAAACCCACAAAGGAGTTCATAACTAACTTTAAGAGCACTGTGAAGAAAAGTAGTGGGACATTGTTTGTAACCTATGCAACACTCAGTTTAGAGCTTAAAATTCAAATTTGTGGGTGCTGCAAAAGAAATGCTGTTGGTGGACACAGGCCCTTGACCTTTTGTTCTTTTATGAAATTTATTTTCTTTAAAATGTTAAAGAAACAAAATCTGCTTAAGTCTTGATATAAATATTTTTTACATTTGCTCAAATCCATAAGAATGAAGACTTTTTAAACATTCAGTCTGATAATTTGGTGGCCATTTTTACTGTCTTTTGTACGGTTTTTCTTGAAGTGCTGAAAACATGGTTTCCATAAGTTATTAGATATTCTTCATCTCTTTTTTAAACTCTGGTTGACTGAGTGAAATCAAATTTCTTTTTTAAGAATCAGTTGAAAAGTTTATCTAAATTTATAACTAGGATTTGAACGATTTTGAACTCAACAGTTCGAATGTATTTCATTTACTCAACTATAGTTTTTATGATGGCCTAATTCTGCCAGATACACTGGTTGGTGTTTCTTGTTTACAAACAGCTTATTTCTCCTTCACTGTTTTCAGTAAAATTGTCCATCCCTCCTTTAATTTCTGGGTTTCCTCATTAGAGTCCATAACTAAACCACCTGTTCTGACTGGTAACTCCACCTGGAACCCCCAGACCAACTCATGCACAGTTTTGCTGGAGTGCAGCTCAAGTGAAGGTAATGTCAGCTACAACTGGACTGTGGGGAATCAAGCCAGCGATGGCTCCAGGCTGCAGCACACCATCGCAGCACAAGGTGTGAAGGCTGAGTTCACCTGCATTATCTACAATCCTGTCAGTTGGATGTCGGCCTCCAAAACACTGGAATGCAGCCGGGATACACAACAAATAGTACCACAAGGTAAAAAGCAGGTCCAGCAAAGTTATGATGGATAACTAGTTCAAACATACAGCAGTGACCTCTTTAAGACTCCATCATGGTAACTGAAAATACTGTCATTTGCAGGCCCAGTAAACAGTTTGATTCTCATAATTGTGGGTGGATCCATACTGGTGATTGTTATCATTACCGGAATAGCTGTGATTTGCCACTGCAAAAAAATTAAAGCAGGTAAGAGTTGGCTCACTTTTTTCATCCTTTTCAGATGTGTCAACTCACGTAATCTTTGAACAAAAATGTATATGGCAACATGGCTCATTTCTAACCACGCAACCCTCTGGTAATAGAAAGTGAAATTTCAGGGAAGAGGAAGTCCTATTTTGAAAACTGGTGCAGACAGAGGGTGGGGAAAAAATGAGTCAGAGAGCTAACGGCGGTTTGGGAAAGTGCTTTTAAAAAAAACCTGGTCATTAAAATGTGTCAGAAAACTTCCAAGAAAGTCATTTTCTTGTCCTTTAAGACCAGTGTTGCTTATGCATTGAGAGGGGTGAGCAAGGGAGCTGTATAGTCTGGATCTGACCACATTTAACAGGCTTTGATGGCAAACACTGGCTTGACTGACAAATAGTTTGATTTGAAAACAGTGATGATGTTTCTTCCTTTTCATACAAATGCTTCACTTCCACGTTTCTACAGTAGCTTAGGGCAGACAAACTAAATTTTAAATTTAGTCAGTGACTGCACAAAATGCTCTGGCAAAAGAAAGTGTAGCTGTTGATTGACATTTTGAAGATAAAACTTGACAAGGGAGGGAGCAAACTCACCATGTATCACAGGAGCTTTTTGTCCTCAAAGGCCACTGTAGCTTCACTAACAAGAGGGTTGAGCAAGGGAGCATATCTATCAATAATAGCTAGATATTGCTCAATATTTCAAACTCTGCACACTGTAATGGACTATGACAGCAAATAACACAGATACTTTGATTTTGGTTGGACTTAACATGCTAATACAGTGGTGAACGGTGTCGTAGAAGGAAAAAAATCAACACGCATTCACAAATTTTCACACACTCTTCAACTGTAACTCATGTTGATCATCATCCTCTTCAAGAAGACACTTCACTGTGACATTTCAGAGTGAAACTCTCAAAAGTGACCATTTTAACCGTCTTGTAAAATATCCCAAAAGCTCTTTAATGGCGCTGTCATATACTCAGGATGGCAATCTGCGACTGTATGTAGCATCAGCAAGAACTTTTAATGTCTTTCTTGAAGACTCCATAATCAGGCAACTGGACTGTGTAGAGTTGAGAAGACGTTTCGACTCTTATCCAAGAAGCTTCTTCAGTTCTAATTGTCGCTAGTGTGAGGAGCACTAGCAACATTTAGAACTGAAGAAGCTTCTTGGAGAAGCTCAACTCTACACAGTCCAGTTGCCTGATTTTGGAGTCTTCAAGAAAACCATGACCTGGATGAATGAGAATCTACATGGACAACTTTTAATGTCCTTAGATTGCTGTCCTGTGACTGTCCAAAACATTACAGACTTTAAAACCTCATTTTGACCACTATAGCACTTTCATGTTGGTTGGTTTTGATACTTTTACATAGAGAAGAAGATCCAAAAAGACAGAATATTACACTTTCCCTCCTATTAGGCAATTTTTAATCCTGTTTTTGCATTATTATTGCTAACTCAATTTTACCTTCTCATGTGTTTCTTTATTGAAAATCACCCACAGACAACAACACGCTCGATAACACCATATACGCCGACATCACTGAAGTAGCGACTGAAGATGTAAGTGAGCTCATGTGGTTATTGTTATTAAATAAGCGTTCACTTCATGTTTGATAGATACTTCAGTTTCTATTGTCTTCATTCTGTTGTGCATGCTCCTGTTACTTTACAGGGACCTACATCTACAATGAAGCCATGCTCAGTGTATGAAACTATCCAAGATAAAGAAAACCAAGTCAGACCTGAGGTAGGGATCTACTTCGTATGTCTTTTTTCTTTGTTTTCTCTTGCGCTCGTGAGTTTCTGTGTAAGGGGTAACATTTACCGAGTGGTTTTACAAATTAGACTTCAAGCAGAGAGCTTTTAACTGGTTGTGAAACAGACTAAAAAGGATTCAGAGATCTTGTGACTCCTGCCCTGCCATTGCTAGAATATAATGGGTGGTGTAGCACTTCCGATTCCGTTGACAGGCAATGACGCGCCGATGGTGACAGCAGAGGTTGAAAGTTCATCAAATTTGGTGAGAAATGCTAGCAGTGGTTCTTAGCAGCCTTTAGTAGCAGGCTGATGATTCTCTGTTGTAATTTTTAGTGTCTTTAACCACTTTGAGGGGGTGGGTGTCAGACCAGATGATTTACAGGAAGATGAAGTAACGGCATTAGTCACTTTTTTCCATGACAGTTACTAACATTGAGTCAAACATCTCACTGTTCAAAGACAAAACCTGGCTTAGTGCGGACCAAGAGATGAGGGGCATCAAGACTTAAGAATTGTACGCCCCCACTATGCTGCCATTGTTTGGTTTCCAGGACACTAGTTTTGTGTTCGCATGTTGCCTTTGCAAAAGCGTGAAAAGATGTCATGTTGAGTTCACCGCAGTGGAAACACACAGTTTATACTTGACCACCACATTCACACCCTTTCTCTTTGCATACCAACTTCATAGCAATGTGGGTACCTAAAAGAGGTCTCAGAGAGTGTCACAGAAGTGAGTGGGAGAAAGGCTTGATTTGTGTCTCTATCCTCCCATTATGCAGAAAGTTGAAGAACTCAAAGTAAAGGACTCAACGGTATATTGATATCGTCCTTACAGTCAGAGCCGGCCCAAGCCTCAATGGGGCCCTAAGCAAAATTTGATTTTGGGGTCCTCTGTTTCCGCCAATAATATTGATTGTGATCATTCACACACCCTCACAAATCTCTTTGAAGGAAATGTCCTTTTGTCGACATTGTTTTGCCCCACATCTACCTACGCTTTGGATGCTCAGTGCACATTGCACAGCAGGAGGCAGATAACGGTAGTGGAGCTTTGACATATCGACAGTAAGAATCATAGGCCTACATCAGCAGCAGCACTAAAATGTCTTTATTTTATTTTCACAATAATATTTGATCAGACAGAAAGCATCACTCATACATGCAAGAAATAAAACTTTTTATTATTATTTTTCTTTGATTGCTCTTGGGGGGCCCCCTACTGGCTGTGGTGCGCTAAGCAGGTTCTTAGTTCGCTTATGTCTTGGGTTGGCTCTGCTTACATTATGGTCAAATTAGCAACTGTGGTGCGTTATACCTCTGTATTACAGACAAATGTAATCTAGTTACATCGATGCGTTAATCAAACTCTGGATGTGTGTAATCAGGTTAACGCTGGTGTTGCCTCTGCTAAAGAGAATTAACCACTACTTTATGGTGTTTGGGCCAATCAGAAGTAGGAAATACAAGAATAATGTGTGTTTATTCTTATTTAAAGCTCCAGTGAGGAGTTTTTGGTATGAATGAAATAGAATTTTTGACTTAAAATGTTCACAATTTGACCGTCAAAAGCCAGCCAGGACTTTAAGCAGCAAGGACAAGACAAGTAAAGGCTGCTCTGTCCACAGGGGGCGCCAATATTGACATGAACCAAAAGTTGCTAACAGAAGCTTTAAAACCCCAAAAGTTACAAATATCTTACTCCCATCCAGGATTAAGAGTCGTTGGTGAAGCTAGCCAAACTGATTTCTAAGATGTATCTGTGTGGAAATAACATAACAAGTGACTGAGATTGAGAGGAGATTTTAGACTGATTGTGACACTGATGTTTCTGTTTCTGCCTTCCTCTCATCCAGCCCCTGACCATCTATGACAAGATCCAGCTCAGCCGCATGAGAAAGCCCTCCGTGTCTCCCTACCAAGAGGTCTCCTAGATGGCACGAACTTTTAGATTGTCCTCAAGTAAAAAGAAGAAAATAAGATCCACGGCTCAAAGCTTCACAAAAACAAAGCACAAGTCAAAAGTACTTAATGTTTAAACACCACAAAGTCACGCTACGAGGTGGGAACAGTTTTCTGTCAGTTTGCACCAATTAAACACACTTGTAAATTGTGTAAATAAAGAGATTATATTATCAAAATGTTATGTTTTTTTACTCTTGGTCACATAAAGTGCAGCACATTTACTATGAATTTTTTAGTAACTTTTTAGCATTTGATAGTGATTATACTTTTGTCAACATCTCACTCTTTTGTAAAAGAATAAAACAATCATTTAAATTAAAGACTTTATTGCGGCTTGACTATTGAAACCTGAATAAAACTGCACTGATTGAGCTTCTGATGCAGTTTCAAAATCCAGGTCCAGATCAAAAAACGTTTTTGCTCCATTATTGCCACGTGAACAGAAAATAACAAGGTTTATGAGCTTTTTGGAATGGTTAACTTCATACTTCAGTCTAATTTGCAATGACTGACCAACACTTCCATCCAGACTGGAGTAAGAGGAACTGTCTAAATCCACCATGTGTGGGATGTATCTCATAAAAGCACGTCTGACCTGTTGTTGATGAGAAATGTATTTGTTGCCGTTGATTTTCACATTGGTTTTCACACCTGAACTTCCTCAGATCAGAACAATAACGGTGTGAAAAAAGGTCATACTTCCTGGACGCTCTTTGACTTCAGGATGCCCAGAAGTTTAAAGACATAAATAAGTTATTAGTGTTTGTATCGCCTCTATATGTAAGAAATTTGTTTCTATTTTAACAAAATAAACCAATAAAACTTCATTTTTGCTGTAATGATTGAAAATTATAAATGTCATCTTTATGTTGACGGGTCAGCTTGAGAGAGAAAGAGAGGTACTTTATTGACAGACTCAAGGTCCATAAACAAAACTATAAATACAAGTAAAAACACAAACAAACAACACTAGATAAAAAAAGACAAATCCACATTATAAAAGACATCTAAACCAATGTCTCCACCAGAGAGACAAAAAATAAAATCCTAAAAGCAACATTTAGCTTCTGTAAGCTTGCCTTTTTATACCTCATCCAGAGGAGGGCAGTATAAAGAGGGGTACAATACACCCTGAAGGGAGTTATCTTAACACTGTCAGAGCGCATAGAGAATCTACGCACCAAAGTTTTAGCCTGAGCATAGAGCAGCCGGCACTGTCTAAGTCATCATTGTCACACATATTATCAGTAATGCAACTTCTTATGACTGACTCGATCAAACGCTTTAGGTCCATCAATAAAACCTACAATAACAGATGAGTTATTCCTTCTATTCCTTCTAACAGCCTCTTTTATAGCATAAATACAAAAGCCAGTACCATGCTTTGCTTTAAAGCCAAATTGATTATCGGAAGAATCAATATATTTAGAAATGCGCCCCAAGAGAACCCTCTCCAGGACCTTAGATACCGCACTAGCAAGCACAATGGGTCGGTAGTTGTATAAGTTTGCCACTTTACCAGTTTTATCCTTGATGACAGGCACTAAAGTGATAGAGTCATGAGATACTAGTCCAGTAAAACAAAAAGAAAGATGAACTGCAACCTTTAGGCAAGCTAACTTGAGATGTTCTGCTGTAATTTGATCAGAGCTAGTAGCTTTACAATCACTGAGATGTAATATTGCTTGATAGACTTCAATGGCAGTGAATCTATCGATTTAACTTCCAGCAATTGTTCACATTAAAAAAGGGTCACCTTTCACACAGTTCAGTAAATCATGATAGTGTTGCCTCCATAACTCAGCAATATTATTATTAGAAACTCCCTCTATTGTACATGGTAAAACAGCTGTTCCCTTATTTAGAGCTCTTACATCTTTCCAGAAGTCTAGGGCATTTATTAGAAAGCAGATTTTCAGCCATTGAATCTGCTCTCATTATATGCTCATTTCTACAGACATAACAAACAGCATATTTAAATCTTGTGTTAGTAAGTTTCTTGTGATCCAGGGTAGGTCCCTGTCTGGGTCGACCTGCCAGAACCCAAGCATATCAGCCTCCTTTGCTGCAGCGTGATTTGCAACTACATATTTATTCCAGTCAGGTTTAATAGTGTGAGGTTTCTTTGAGAGCACAAAATATGATCTACGAGCCTCCAGCATTTCCTGTGTGATATATCATTGCAATTTAAATTTGAGCACAACACAGAACTATTAGTTCAATACAGCTCTCCCAGAAGCCCATTAGTTTCCTCATAGTAAGACACTAAACCCTCATTAGTGAGTTTAGCCCTGTCCAATTTCAATTTCGGCCTATTTAGCTCACAGGTCAGATTAGGAAGACTATCAACATCCTGGCGCATGACAAATGGTATATGATCAGTTGATGTCTCATACAGCATACTCACAGACTGCAGGATAGAATGAGTAATGTAGGAGTAGCAACTTGAGGGTAAAATCTGTTGACTGGACAATATCAAGTTGTTATCTTCAAAAAATTGCATCATATGCCGAGCAAACAGTGAACCTCCATCTGAGATACCAGCTTTCAAATCTCCAACGATGAACACGCTTGTGCAATAATTCTCATAGATAAATGAATTGACAAAAGCAAGGCAGTTCAGATATTCAACCCCATTGCGTTGACACTCAAAGGGTGTATAAACATTGATAACGATTAGCTCTTTCTTTCCAATAGTAATCTGCACAGCAATACACCAGTCAACTTCTGTCCTGAAAACCTTGAAGGGGTCCAACTTTGTATGCCACAATTCCACCTTTCACCAAACCCAAAGACAAGTCAATTGTTGATTCATCAGCTCCAAAAAACTGTCATTAAATGTGTTCAGCTTCCCAAAATCTTGTTAACTTAAAAAAGTTTTCCTGCAAGCACAACATGTCGCAGTTTTGTGACAGTTATCCACATAATGCGCCCTGTCCCCTGCGCTTCTTCCAACACGCAGTCCACAACAATTGAAACAATTGAGACAACGCTACGATAGCCCCATCAACTTCTTACATGCGCGGCTCATAATATCGACATCATTACATTCAGCGCAAACTTTAAACGAACTAAACCTGTTGCTCGCAGTGATAATGCGTTGACAAATAACACCACGGCCAAGCTTTTGCTTTAGATTACTCCTCAAAGTCCCCGCATCAAGACCAGGGGTAAATCTGGAGGCAAAACACTCACCTGTTTAGTCCCAACCGTTGTCCCCTTCTTCCGTGGCACATCCGTGCCGACGATAGGCGAACTGCTTCCCCTGTGCAGGGCTGTCGGTGCGTTGCCTTGCTCGGGTGGTGGCCGATACCTTGGCGTGGCTCTTTTGATTCTTACCCTGCTTCACAACACCACTCGATTTCGGTGAAGTAGCCAATGACTGGGTGTTGTTGATGCCGTCGGTGAAGTTATACTCCCCGGTATCAATATCTATGCTTTATACAAGGCAGAAGCTCCAGCCCGGGCGATCTCACCGGTGCACCCCGCGTCTCTTGAGATGTCCCGGCTTCAGATTAAGCTCGCCAGCAGCGACTCTGCGGTCGGTGGTCGAAGTAATCTCACGCGGTCCATCGCCAATATCAGCTTGGAGATTAGACACGTCCATGTTGTTAAAAGTCACAGGTGGCAGCTCATCCAGGTAGTGAGGGTCGAAGCGCCGAATGTTTCCCCACACTCATTCAACACTTTTAAGCAACTCTTTATGTTATCTATATCCTTGTGGTCGCTCTTGAAGGCCACACACCGCTGTTTGGCGCCACGACAGTGCCCTTCTCGACGTCTCAATCCACTTAGTTTGAGTCGGGAGTATTTTAAGCTAATAAGACAAGTTCATCATGATTCATAATTTTTATCTTGACTGAGAGGAACTTTACAAACTTATCCTCAACGACTTTACCATCCAGCTTCTCATAGAATAGAGGTTTCAAACGGGGCCTATTAAATCCAAAAGCCAGCGTCTCTCTACACGTACTAGCCGCCATCTTGAGAGGAAGAAGCGGCCATGATAGCACGAACTCATGACAGTACTGTGAATCTCAACTCAACTTTATTTGTACAGCACTTTGAAACAACCACAGCTGAACAAAGTGCTGTACATGAATAGACAAAACAACGCAGACATAAAAAAAAAACAAAAAAACAATTAAAACAATGGATAAAATAAAAGCAGAATTAAAAAGTAGAGTATAGTTTCAATGTTTTTAAAAGGTAATTTAAAAACATAGAAACATATAACTAAAAACAAACCATAAAACTCTACAACCACCAGCCCCATGAGCTTCTATTCATGGGGCGCCCTCTTTATCAACTTAACTATAATTTTTTTTAACAGTAATTCAAAAACATTTGCAAAAATAAACTCACAAACAAAACTACCAAATTTCAAAGAGTTTATTCTCTTGTGTGCTCTCCTGAGGTATGACACATTGACATTGATATGCATTCTGCACCTTGAACAGTGTTACTACTGTAGGACATATACAATGTGCCATAAAGTGAAAAAAGTAACAAAAAATTAATCAAATTAAAGAAAAACACAAATATGCAAATACAGTCAGAGAAAATACATGTGAAAAACACAGAATCAATCATAAACAATCTTTAACTAAAATATTTTAGTTTACATCACATCACTGTTTAATTTCAGCGCATATTTACAGCTGTGTGTACAACAGTTTTACATATCTATAAATAAGAATACATCCTGTTTCATCAAATTAAGCAGACCTTATTTTTGTATTAAAAAAATTAAAAAGAGTCAAACATTTGAACTTTTTGAAATGAGTTTTGAGGTCTTACCTTAAAAAAGCCTTTTATAATAAGAAATGCTGGTAACGCTCAACATGAATTCAGCCCTTTATAAGCCCATTTATCAAAATGGTGATATTATGTTTTGTTCATATTTTGAAAACAAATGTCAAGTTAAATTAGAGGATGTTGGTGGTACACTTGAGCTAAAATTCACATGTCAAGGTTAATGTGTGTTTAACTTGAACACTTGTCACATTTACAATGTGGAAATAACAGAATAAAAAGTCACAAGACTTTATCTTAATGTTAAAGTCTTGGTTTGTGGAAGTATAAAAAGTTCTCATCCTGTGTCCCGCCTCAACAGATGCTCATGTACCTCGTTTTAATAAATAGAAAAGCAGCACACTGTTTTCAGAGACGGTTATTCCAAGTCAGAGCACCAAACACTGCAGACACCTTCATTCTTTTGTTTTATCCTTCTGTCTTTTTGAAACTTCAGAGTCTTCTCCAGCTGACTGTAGGGAGGGAGATAAACTGTTTTATCACGAAAACTTAACATTGTGTAAGTTTTAACCCCCTAAACCCTCAGACATTTAAACAGAAACAAACTTACCTTTTGGGTTATAATGTTTCTTGATCTGGACACAGTTTAACTGTAAAACAAAGATTATTGAAATACATTGATGAAACCACCGGAATAACTTTGGCTGATCAAAGAGCAAGAGACAGAAAAACAAACAAAAATGGCCTCATAGGTCTCGATTTGTGGCCTAAAGATGGGGATCAGGGCCACTTTGAAAAATAGAAACAATAGGATTTTTTATTTTATTAATTTTTTTGTTTAGAACTTTCTTCACGAAAACATAATAATGATAATAATTTTAAAAAACTTCAGAATTCTGACATTTTTAAAAAATATGGTCATTAGCATGTTTCTTTTCTTACAAGTCAAAGTGAGACAGAGGTCCCCAAATTACTGTCTGTGTCCTCTGTATGCTTATCAAATCACTTTTCACTGAAAAAAATCTGAAGTTACCAACTTTTGACAGTCAAATGCGTCATTTATTGTAAATATTTTACATGGAAACTGTAAAAACAAGGTTGTTCCTTCACCTGCTTGGCTGACACCTACCCCTAGTTCTGGTTTCAGGCATTAAAAATTAAAATAAAACGTCAATCTTGTCACTGGTGGTCTTATTTGTTTTTGAAGGTCATAAATCATTATATTAAAACCTTAATATTCATTTCAGAACATTTCATCTATTAAAAAAACTCCTCATGGGCGCTGAAATAATGGTTTAGTCTTACCTTTGAGAAAGTAGATGAATGGTAAACAAAGAAATCCCACAAAGAATCCAACCCAAAAAAATGAAATGTCATGACACCTTGGTGGGGGTGGTTTGACGTCTAAAACAAAAAAAAATAAGAAAAATAATTCAGAAATACTGAAGTTGAGTTTGTGGCACCATAGTAGCATGTATGTATATGTGGAGTCCACTATAAACTCACCATCACACTTTAAAGCAACGACATTTGAGCTGTTTCTCATATGACTGCTGGAGATGCAGGTGACTTCAGCACCATTGTGAGTGGTGTTCAAAAATACTACAAGATTTGCAGAGTTGCCATCAGCATCAATCTTGTTGAAGACATCCACACTTGAGGATCTTGTCTGCCAGGAGAAGTGGACGTCTTTGTCTGATGAAGAACAATCCAGAACAATCCAACAGCCGCCTTCGACTGGCGTCTTGCTGATTATCCAAATATTCGGTGGCTGAAGCCGCTCTAAAGGAGTTTTTTTTAAAAGTTAGTTAGTAGATTTGTGGATAAGTATCTTAATTTTGTTCAGAACATGACTTTTCAACAGCATCCAATTTCCTTCATCCTTTATCCTCTAACACACTTTCATCGTCTCTATCTGCTCGAAGAGCTGAATCCTCTACAAGCTAACAGCTCAATGCTTTGCTACTGTTGACGTTTTAATTATAAAGGTGAATATTTCACTTAATAACAAATATGCTGTGTCTAAAAGGCAATACCAGGCTCAGTTTTGAAGCCTCTAATACCATTTGAATCTGAGTGTCGCAATGAATCCAGCAATATCAAATATGTTGCGCTAGCTAACTTGGAAATGCGCTAAATATCACCTTAAATCTGACAACACAACCGTGAGTTAATTTTCATAAATTAAAGGTCATTTCTGTCCCAAATGAGTGACCCTTACTCTTCACTGTAAGATGGATTCTGTTAGAGCTGTCCTTATTCTCAGTATTGGTGAAGTCCACAGTGAACACCATGTTATCCTTCTCAGTCAACCGGTTAATCGTCAAGTCACCTAAAGAATGAGATTACAAATCATTAAAAGTGTATCATCGACATAGAAGGAGAAAATAATCACCCTTTGACGCAGACAGGAACAAGGTTTGTCTCTCACCTGTGGTGGTGTTAAGACTGAGCCTTCCTTTATATCGATCGAGCCACTCAGTGTTTTCTACGCCATCGTGATAGGTCGCAATCAATGTGGTATTTGAGAATATAGACCACTCGACTGAGGAGAATTTCCAAGTTGGATCGGCTCCTGAAGGCAGAGTGATGTTCCCTCCAAGGTACCCCATTTTGTTAATGGGAGGTTCGGCATTGCTGATGCTACAAACAGCTACCAAATAAATAACAGTGAAAGCATTATTACAACGAGAATTAAAACGAAGACAATTAACATTTTAAGAAAGAAGCTTATCCCCAGCGACGGATAAATTACAGATGCTAATAAGAAAGAATATAACTTCACGCGTTTGAAACTGCTCAATTTTGGTCTACAGTGGAGTAGGAGGGCCAGATTAAAAAATATTATTTTCGGTATATATTTAAAAAAAAAAAGGTTGAAATATTTCAGTCAAATTAAGACATAAAATAATTTCTTACAAATATACAATTCTTGTAAAATCATGTTCTTACAGGACTTATTTGGTAGTAAAATTGTTTTTTAACACTTAGCGCAAAATATTTTTATGGGACTTATGTAACTATAAACTATAAAGAAACAGAATTAAGGTTGTTTGAGCCGTATACTCTCATCTTGTGAGTAAACTGGATCCTGAGATATTCATTGAGGAACTACAACTGTGAATTTGACTACTCACTGTATGGAAATTTGTTTCCTCTAAAAAAGACCCCAGTTTCCTGTTGTATTTGGCAAGTTTACATGTTTGCATTTCGGCATAAAGTTGTCAAAATATTTCAGTAAACAGATCAATCAAATCAATATTGCTGTCTCCGCTGCCATACCATGTGCTCAGTATGGTTCAGATAGTGGTGGGAGAGGGTAGAAGAGGGCTTTATATGAGGATAAAAAATAAAAACACCCAACCCATGAGGAATAAAGCCAAAGAACTTGACAGATTATACGTTAACTTTCATTCTCAGGAAGTTTAGGGTGCTGTAGATCACAGACGCTTCACCAAAGAGTCTATTAGTGATCCTCGTTCTATTTCTAGAACCAGGAAGTCTCTTACTTTGTTGTGTTGAATCTTTTTTAACTTGTTTTTTTATTTTTAGATGTTCAAATTTAAGCGTATCCAGCTCTCTTAAATAATAACTTAACCAAATTTAACAGGACTTACCTTGGAGAAGTAGGAGAGAGACAGTTAGTCGTTTCATCGTCACTCATTTACAAATGGAGAAAAACACACAGATGGTTCCCCTTCCTGTATGCCTGGGCGCATGATACTACGTCAGAAATTTGTGAGATACAAAATTACTGCAATACGTAAAATTTCAGGATGATGAATTATGCTTTTACTTCCAGAAAAAGGTTAAGACAGAATTTTTTCAATCTCATTCAGAAACATTTTCTTTCATATGTTTCACTTTTATTTTAATCCAAGACTAAAAAACCTTTAGGTTCATGATCAGTTTTTCAGTAAAATTTCTCCCAAGCACATTGCGTAGGAGGTGTTATATTGTTTGACCGCGATGAATGGTGAATTTGTCATGATGAAATACATAGGCGGGTTTAAAGTCTTCAAAGTTACAAGAAACTTCACACCAGCTTCTTTGCTTCTTCACTTCTTCCCACACACAAAAACTCGAGACATCTTGTGACTCACACAAGACAAAACATCTGATGAGATCATTTAGTACAAAAAAAGGGGACCTTGAACTCAGCTGAATACAAAAGAAGTGTGATGATATATCTATAAAGAGGAAGTGTTAGGAGCGTAGTGTAAACCTTAAAAAGCTGCATCAAAATGTACAGGGTTTAAAGAGGGACCCAAGTCTTTATCTGAAGCACATATACCTGTATGATCAACACAAATTTAAGTGGAGGTGAAAGTATTTCATCAAAAGCTCAGTAGATCTTTCTAACAGCCTGGTTTAGGCTCACGTAGCTCCATTCTTATGAAAAAACAGACCTTTATGACGGTATCTGACGTTTCCACTCTTGCCTCTGCCCCCTATCTTCTCCTTACTCTGATTTAATAGCTGTACGTTCCATCTCTTTAGCGTTTTGTCATTTCTTTGCAATAATTTTGGTTTAATCAGTCATATATACACTTGAGAATTCATTACTACTTCATTTAACTGGTTGTAGTTTGTGATCGTTTTGGCGCTGTGGGCAGGTGCCAGGTCCTGCTGGAAAAGGAAGCTTCACGCTCGACCCATGACAACAACAAAATAGCACTAGTCAGATTAACAAACCCTCTCTGCAACCGACATGAGAAACTGAGTTAAGGAAAAAGCCTCTAAGGCCACTTTAAGACGGAAACGGTCTCCATAGAAAACGGAAAAATGTAGTTTCGTTTAGGGGGGTCCGTTTAGACAGCAACTGCATTTTCAGGAGATGAAAACGTAACAAAGTGAAAACCCCCTCCAGAGTGGAAATGTTGTAAACGCTCTGCTAGTCCTGCTTTTGTCGAAAGTACAAAAACGCTGAAAACAGTCAAATCTGTGACGTCCTGGCTCACGCTTATGACATCATAGCCATGCGCAACTTCCTTGAAAATAACAACAACAACCATGCTAGACATTAGAGTCGCACTGTCGTTATTACTGAACGGACAGGAGCTCGATTTCGACCTGTATAGAATCCTCACGGATCACACTGCTCAGCAGAGGAGGCGTCTGAATTATTTGCATCAAATAATTAATGTGCCAATTGGTCAGCAGAGGGGAACGGAAGTAGAACGGAAGTTGTTTTACATATGCGTTGTTGGTCTATATGGGAGCACGGTCACACCGACACGCACCACCTAGCGACCTGGCATGCACATTACAACGTTTTCAACCACATTGCGTTTTTGTGTAGACACAGCATAAAAACTGAAAACGAAACGGCACTTTTCTGTTTTCTATGGAGACCGTTTCCGTCGAAAAGTGGCCTAAGATAGTTGGCGGCCTGCTAGTTAAGCTAGCATAATGTCATACAGTGAGGTGATCAGACATACCCGATTTCCGGGGACAGTCCCCAAATTGGATGACCTGTCCCCGGCTAAAGCTGTTCCAGGTTATGTCCCTGATGTTAGCGTTTCATGAATGAGAACAAAAAAGTTGCGTGTAGACTAGAACGACAGTTATTACTGTAGCTGTGTAGGTAGGAAGCACAAGTAAGCATGTTGCGCGCAGTCCTGAACAAGATTTTACGGGGGGTTATTATGGGGGTGTGTGCTGGCGCTAAGTAGTATCAAAATGTTGTCTTTGATCACGCAGCCCAGGAATTTGGATGTTCCTGGATTTCATTACAGAAATCTGGTCACTTTATCATACAGTGTCGCCAAAATCTACAGCAGAAGTTTAAATTTTTACAATATTTGAAGTACAAACCGAAATATTACAGAGGGAAGGAGTTTCCCAGGCATATCGGAGATCAGGAGTTTACAGAAGTGAAAGGAACGTTTCAGTAGTGCAGTGCAATGTGGGTGCTTTTACACACAAGTATGTAGTGCTCAACAGAGAAATATAAACCAGGCTTATAGGTGGTCCCAAGTCCAAAGTGAAGCTCATGTTCAGAGTCAGAAACCAAAACTGGTAATGCGCCCGTGTTGTGTTAAAGGTACACTTGCTGTCAGGTCTGTAGTGTTCACCACTTCTGCTCCTGGAACCAAAGTAATGAAAAAATAAACATAACCTCAGTTAAAAGTTAGTGTCCATCCAGAGTGTCTTCATGCTTTTATTTGACTGAAAAATTTCCAGGTGTTGTGTTGAAGCAGAAGTAGTTATTCTCTTTTTGCTTCAGGGAGAATCCACAGGGTAGCGGCATGCTTTTGTTGACTTTTTCATTTGAGATTCTTCCCATTTGTCGCCTACAACGTAAATTTCAGCTTAACTGGAAAAGAGAAGTAAGACTCACAAGTGTGAGGCATTAAATAGGTCAACAGTACAGCCTCCCTGCACACCCACACAGACCTCAACTTGTTAGATACTACAGCAACCTTTGTGTTGGCTTTCACTTCATTTAAACTAGTAAGAAAAGTAGCTAGGTTAAATGATGGGATTCGTGTTAACAGTGTTAAAAAGAGCTTTTTTTTTCCCTGTAGTGTGGTGGTGAAGAGAGGTTAGCAGGAGTCAACAGCTGGTTGATGTTTGTTCAGCAAAACTCAAGAGGAACTTCAGCTTGTCAGACGTGTTGTCTGTCAGCAACATGATGATTCAGCGGTGTCAACCAGAGAAATATGAAGAGCTGTGTAGTAGAAAAAGACACACTCTATCTCGATTATGCCACCCCACCCTTCCTTTCCTCTGACAGCTATCCACGCCTACACTGACGTTTCCGACTGAAGCTTCATGACAAATTTGTGGCTTTTGGGGTCTATGAACTCCTCGCCGAGGCGCAGGAAGGGAAGAGGCGTCACCGTGACAACCAGGGAGAAGTCCAGGCGCCTGAGGGAAAACACTTGGCCCTGGCGGAGAGGTGCTGTCACAGGCTCCTCGCTCACTAGCGTCCACTGGCGCCCCCTGTTGGTGTCCAAGTACTGGAGTGTGGGACCTGGGCTGAGGTAACGCTCGAGGAATGCCTGGAGGAACACAAACACAACACTGGCTAACAGTGGCAAAAAGAAACGCTGTCTGGATGATTGAGAGGGATAAAAATGCAAAATAATACAAAACAAGACAAAAAATCTCTCTATATGCAGATGATAAACCGTTTTCAGCTGATTCAACATAGATTCAAAATAAACTAGAAAAGCACTCGGAGAGCGCAGACCTCCGCCAAGCAGCTCATGCCCCCCTTATATTGTGATTCACACCAAAACTTTTACTGTTACGTGTCTTTTATTAACTTTATTTGTGTTTAAACTGGTATGTTCACTGTTCATAATGTTCCTAAAACAAGAAATGCCCTGACCGCGATTCGAACCCAGGACCTTCTGATTGTGAGGCGGCAGTGCTAACCACTACACCACTGTACCACCTACCTACACCACTGTGCCGCCCATTGCTTATCTTTCAGCATTGAAAATATCAACGACACCCTTATTTTTGTCGGTTCTGGATCACAGTATCCAGAATTTTGTCCGGATCACCACCAAAATTTAACGGGATCCTCCTGGGGCTGAGACAAACAAACAAACAAACAAACCAACGCTACCGAAAACATAACCTCCTTGGCAGAGGTAAAAATACAAAGAGGCGACTGTATATCAACCAAAAATTAACTCTTAAGTATGAAAGAAATTCGATGAGTGCCACAGGAACTGCTCTCCTAACCTTGGGCGTCATGTTGTGCGAGATGCAGAACTGCAGGTGGTTGATGATGCTCTCCATGCTGTGGTAGCACTGCTGCCTGGTGGCGCGGAGGTACTTCTGCATGGCGCGCGCCATGGGGGCAAAGATGGCCTGGGCCGCCTCCCTCGGGTCCATCAGTTCGCGCGGGTGTTTGGGTGAAGACACAATCGTCTCTTCCTCTTGGTGACGCCTAATGTGGGTGAAGGCTTCCTCTACTGCCACCACCAGTCTGGGAGGAGAAGTGGAGGAATGAGTGAAACGGAAACATAGACGGATTAATATGGACATGTTTCTGTGCGGGTTTGCTCCTACCTGGCCCTCCGTTTTCGGATCCTCCGCTCCATCTCTGCCTCCTCGTAGTAGAACTCGTTGTGGGTGTTGTCTCTTCTCCGGGCAGCAGCGGCGATCATGGACCTGGACTGACCTGTGGAGTTGTTGGTGCTGTTTTCTGTGGACAGAAAAAGCAATCTGGAAGGCAATCTACAGGAAATGTGAGAAAAATACACCCTGACTGTATGTCAAGAAGAAAGAGATAATTATGCAAGACAGATCACTCTACCTTCCCCCAGATTGTAGATCTTGAAGGCAGACATCTTCTTGGAGAGAATGGACTTGGGCAGATTAAGCAGGGCAGGGTTGTAGACCGGGAAGTCACAGTAGTACTGGTCCAGAACCCACACTGCTGCTCTCTGAATACTGGGTAGCACCAAGAAAGGGGAACAGAAACAAATTCACAAATATTAAAAACACAGAGCTGCTATCAGTGAGTATCAGGCTGTAGTAATTGGCAGATTTATCACCAGATGGCGGAAGTGGCCAACCACAGCTTGGCTGACAGAGCCCGATGTCTTGTGAAACAGCTAAAGTGCAGTCATGGTGCGGTCAAGACCTGTTTTTACGAGACTACACTATGACATTTTTGATCATACTATACTATGATATTTTTAACATACTATACTTTGAAATTTTTTATCATACTATACAATGATATTTTTTTATCATACTTCATCATGACATTTTTTAACATACTATACTATGAAAATTTTTATAATACTATACTATATTTTTTATCATACTTCATTATGACATTTTTTTAACATAATTTACTATGACATTTTTTGTCATACCATACTATGACATTTTTTATCATTCTATACTATGACATTTTTTATCATAATATACAGACATTTTTTTTTTATCAAACTATACAATGACTAACAATACAAACTAACAATTTTTTATCATACTATACTATATTTATTAACATAATTTACATAATTTATTAACATAATTTACTATGACATTTTTTATCATACTTTTCTATGACTTTTTTTCTAACATACTATACAATGACATTTTTTAACATACCATACTATAACTATAGAGTTGATTATTTTATCTTAACACCACAAGAGTCCATCAATCAATCTCTGTGGACTTCAAAAGAAAAAAAAAAACCCCGGTGTGCAAATGCAGCCGATGGAAAAACTGCAGTTCCTCAAGTGTCCACAAGAGGCTGGTCCCAAAAGCTACAGACACCCATTATCACCCATTACAAGTCTATTTCAACAGCAAAATTAAACAGACTTAAAGTCTTTTAGAAGAGGAATCTTTATAAGAGCAACAAAATCCAAAATTAAAAACTTTAATGATGACAAAGATAAGAAAAAAGTGAGATATATTACTGATTTTCAGATCACTAACCTGAGACATCCCACGTTGTAGAAGCGGCTCACTCCATCTGTCGTCCTCACCACCTTCAGACAGAACACAGGCTGCAGGTGTCGGACCTCCAGCAGAACCAAAGCCAGGTACTGAATAAACAGCAGGGCGTCCACAAGGGATGCTGCGTATCCCACAATCCCCCTATAGTCTGTCTCCTTGGAATCCAGCACCCGCACTCCATAGAAGAGCCAGTAAGACGCCACAAAGAGGAAGACTAACGACAGCAGCAGACAGCGGAAGATGAAGAAGCGTGGCAGAGTGGCTCTGGGCGGGCGGAGAAACAGCGCCCAGGTGGAGATGAGGAGGATGAGGAGCTTGAAGGCTAAAGAGATGTAAAGGCCTTCACATGGTGTACCGCAGGGTTCCAGTGTGTCCCGCCACAAGAGCTGCGGGATGGCCAGGAAGGCGAGTGGGGTGAGCAGAGCAAAGAGCCCCAAGACGGCGCCCAACACTGGGCCGAGGTAACGGCGGCAGTCCAACGGAGAAGAGTCCTCAAGATCCTTTGAGATCCGTGTCAGGTCTTCATTTGAGATGCTGTCAACAGAAGTGCCGGTGACCACTGTGGTGTCATCCTAAAAAAGAGAGAGGAGGAGGACACGTGTAAGAACTGTAAATGAAGGTCTAAGAGAGGTTTAATCAGATTTGTCTCCTCTTACCCTGTCATCCCCTCTCGTGGATTCTGCATCCAGGAGCGGCTCTCCTGGAGTCTGGATCGACACCGATTTGTCTCCGCGCAAGGTGATGTCACGGTTCTTGGAGCGCTGCCTGTCCCTCCTCTCCCTGAAGGAAAGGAAATGATGAAATCAGAAAGAGTGAGTCAACCATTTATGGACATGGAGGCTTGTTTTATTCAGTCTGACCCCCAATTTCCTCCGCATTCGGAATAGCTACCAAAGGACCGTATCCACCAATTGTAACTGATCGTAACCAGTACCGGCGCACCCATAACGCTTGGTACGCTCAGAGCGTAGGGCCCCACACGGCCCATTACGTCAACAGCGTTTAGGGTTAAAACAAAACAAAACAAAAAAAACAACAACAAAGAAGCGCTTAAAAAGACGGGCTGTTTTTTTTAGCTGCTCTCGCACCATTTTTATGCTCTAAAAGTTAAAACTAGTGTATCGCCAATTTTGTCGCTGATGATCTTGTTTGCTTGAGGATATCATGAAAAGGCATTGATCCAAAATATAATCTATTTCATTAATATTAAAAAAGTCCTCATAGGAGCTTCAATTCTCTGTGTCTATAACAAGAGTGAGGGGAAAGACTGCTTTGACTACCGACTACTTTGTCAGAGTAGCTGTACACCTCAATGTGTACGAACAAATACCTTTGTTTACGTTAATTAAACTGTTACTCAGCAATCGGACAGTTTTTCCCCCGTTAGTCAACCATTAGTTAAAGCCCTGTCAGTAATCCTTAATTATAAAAAGTCCTACCTATGTTTGCGGGAACTTCGGGAGTGGGACGACTTGTAAGAGTAGCCCGAATACGTCGACTCGTTGTCCATGTCTGAGGCTGGTGGTGGGCGGGGTTTCTGAGCCCCTGCTGCCCCCAAGCCGCCTCCTTTCTCCCACACCACGCCCAGCTGACTCTTCCGATCACTGATGGACTTGGAGGAGAGGGACAGAGGGAGGCGCAGCAAGTCCACTTTACTCCTGAGGGAATCTATTTTGGAGGCCTGGGAAAAGAGCGGAGGAAAGAGACGAAGATAAACGACAGGAGTAGTGAGTCTTGGAAAAGACGAGGACAGTGTGAGAGTAGAGGGGAGGATCATTTGTCATATCAGACAGAAGTGAAAGCACCGCAGAGGGAGACAAACCAAGAAACAGCGACGGGAAGAGAGACAGTATTGTTGCTCTGTTGGCACTCTGCGGTGTGTGAAAGCGTCTGTGTGTGCTTTCAGTCACACAGGACGTAGTTGGACCCTTTCTTCTACTTTGAGGGAGTTTTTATGAGCCAACTCAAGTGATTTGGACCTGAAAGTGCTCTAAACCAATAAAGGGCAATTACGCCAACTTCTATTCTGGGCTGCAAGTCTCCGGTGTGCACGGCACGCACGGGTAGTGGAGGCAGAACATCAGAGCGGCTCAAAATACTCCAGTTTCAAACATGAATGGTTCAAAGTCGAAATCCCCAAACCGACTCATTTATTATTTTAACTGATGCAGAAAGTTATTGTTTTTTTTCAGTGTTTTGTTTTGGGTCCATGTGCGATACATACTTGCTCAGACGACACATTCCTCAACTGTCCCCTGTGGTCTCCCGGGGCAACAGAGCTCAAACTACTACAATGGGGGATGAATGGGAGGCTAGGGGTGAGAAAAGACAGAAAGGGGGTTGTTGTCACAGCAACCAGGCCATCCATCTATACCCCCTTACACACCCCCGGCACACAAACTGTGACACTAATCATTCACCAGGCTTCAGGACGGACAGCATGATAAAATAAATGTCGTTTTATTCAACATATCATCATTTCATCGCCTTCTGAGTCTCACAGATGTGGAGAGGACGCACATGTTCCTAAATCGAGGTCACCAAAACCCATAAAAACTGGATCTGAAGTATCAGGAGGGTCATGGTCGACTGAATCCTTCCATCTAAGTGTTTTATTTAGAGCCGAGCGAGTGTCCTTCTCTCAGAAATAACAACCCAGCTCAGAAAAAATAAGCTGCTTTAAGTGTTTTCCTCTGGTTTGAGGTTCGAGGAGGCTGAAAAAGGAGTCATCTGAACAGGGTGTTGTTTATTAAACAGTGTCATCTTTTTTCATTTTCCATTCCGAGTTTGTTTTCTTCACCGGGTACTTTCTAAACCGACAAAAGAACAAACAGACTCCTAATGTAATAATGAAGCTCCTCAGGCTGTCAATTTGGACCGTGACCTCCTGTGTCCATCTCCAACAGTTTACAGAAATGTCTCTCATGTGATGCACACATGACGGACTCCTCAGCTGGGACGCTTCGCAGGAGGAACAACATCATCTAGATTCAAAGTCGTGTTTTTAGATGAAATCCTGCTGAAGTGGAGATGCTCTGCTGCAGGCCCTGAGAGACTCAAAGGGAGTAGAGGAGAAATAAACTCAGGGTTTAATTCCAGGCAAAAAAAAAATGCACCCAACCATGAAGGAGGAGGCACAGCACCATCTCCTGTGGTGACAATATAAAACATTTAAAACTTCCTCATTACGTTTTTAAAACAGGGTCACAACGCTCACTGTACCAGACAGGATGGTTCCCAGTTAAAAATGGAAATCCCACTGACCTGACAGCCTAGATTCTCCTGTGATAAAATGAAATTATCTTGGGGTCTTTGCTGCCTGCAGCGAGCTCAGATTTGAAGAGTCATTCACAAGCTGAAAGTGGGAATCAACTCTTTCAACATCAGTGATGGATCCAAAAGATGTTTTTATGTTGTCCTTGAAATAAGTCCAGAGTTGAATGGATATTCTGACGTAAAATTAATTTAGGGTCAAACACACCGTAACACTGAGTTAGACACCCCATCGAGAGCGGTCCCCAATACAGAGCGGTCTGAGGAGCCATAAACAAACCTCAACCAAAACACCACTCTATAGCCACAAATAATGCTCAGAACAGCACCTAACTTCATCAACAGTACATGTAGGGTCCCAGCCACAGCACTAACCACCAAACATCTTTTTAACTTTAACACAACTAACCTACTCTCTTCCAGCAGCCGTTTGTTTGTAGCGAGACCTCGGGCCAGTCCATTACCGACTGCTGCGGGGTGTCACAGCTCAAGGAAGAACATTTATGATAATTTCTTCATGGAAATGCAATCAGACCGAGACGCTTAGGCAGAAGAACTACCGTGTCTGCAGTGTAAAATGATTAATATGGTGATTATTATTTAAAGGAAATAATAATGTAATGATCATAGATGTTCTTCCTTGAGCTGGGTAAGCATCATCACTAATTTGCAAACATGGATGAAAATTCAACATTTCATTGGACTGGTCATTCAAAATCAAATTGTTTACATCCCTTAAAATCTTTTACTTAAAAAAAATTTGAGGTGATAGTTTTTGGAAACAGGGTCGGGTCAGCGTTATCTCTGTTTAGCAAGCATAGCAAAATCAATATTCTACAACAGATATAAACACGGTCGGGTAGTTCAAAATCAAGATAATTATTTCAACACAAAATTTTGCATCCTCCGATATTTAAGAATAAAAAAGACTGAAACTGTTCATTTTTTCATGAAAACATGGTCGGTATCATTACTTGTTACCAGTTATGTTTTATTTCTGATCGGGAATGTTTTTTGGTGCTTTAAATCCATTCTGCATGTTCATTATAAACATGACATATTTTACAAAGATAAATCTGACCCACATCCTTTAGCAGCATGAGTTTGCAAACCAGATTTCCACCTTGGACGGATTATTGTGGTTACATTTTTACCGTGTCAGAAAAACAAAAACTTGTATGCAGAGGGTGTACAGCACACTTTGTTGGATTTCTGCAACACTTAAAGAAAATCTAAACCTAAAACAGAGAGATGGACTGACCCATGCAATGAGCAAATCACTGAAGAGAGTTTTCCATCAAATAGCTAAAAGAAAAACAAAGTTACCAGATTTAAAACTATCATGGTGTAAACATAAAGAGAGTCATGTCTGTGTCCCTCATGTTCAGTCTGAGACGGTCAATCCCATCGACTCCACATGAGCCTCTCCCACTGTAATCAATCACCCACTGATCGATAAAACACTGGGCTGTGAGAGGTTCCACGTGCAGAGTGGAAACAACAAATACTACCATCACGGTGGATAATATCAATATTTTACTGATGATTTTGCAGATGTAAAAACTATTTGGGTGTCAGAAGAAAGAGAACTCTTATTTGCTTTTGTATTTTAGGAGAAATTTCACATTTAAAATTGTTAACCTGCTTCACCTTTGTTAAAACATTTGATTAAAAAGTAAAAACACGCTTGTCTGATAGTGTAATTCCAATTTTAACCCTTTAATGCCTGAAACTATGGCCAGAAAATCCAAATATTTTTGGAGCTGAAAACGATCAAAATGTCCCTAAAATTTAACAAATATATTATTATTTTTTAATCTTGTTTGATACATTAGATGTTTTTGGAAACTAATAAACCACAAGAGGCCATTTTTATCATTTATCAGACTGTATTAAAGTGTTTTTTAGTAATTTGTTAATAATGTTTCAAATATGATACAAAAAGCATTAAAGGGCTAAAATCTCGGTTTAGGTGGAGTTCTGGCTCCTGGGGGCCTCCAGGCCTCAGGGTGGCGGTGGGCCAGCGAGGCGTGGCTGCCGCTGCCCCAAAACTGAACCCCCTAAGAGCATGAGCACGAGCGTGCCTCAGGGCCTCAATAACAAACACAGACCCCCCTCAGCAGGTGCAAAGTTAAAAATAACCAGGAAAGAGAGGAGGTAAAGGGGGCAGCAGCCGCGACCAGGACTCTGTAGTCCGGAGGAAACGCGGAGTCAGACCTGGAGACAAAGCCGAACACACCCAGGATGGAGCTGCGAGGAACAGACACCGTCAACTCCACTCACATGTGAGGGTGAGGCGGAAGAAAGCTTTAAAAAAGATTTGCGTTTGGCACACTGTGCGTAAAATGGATGAAAAAGCACGCGAGGAAAGATTGGTGTTCTATGAGGAAAAGATTAGTCAACTCAGCGTGATAGTTCACACTGGTGGTGAAATTCATCGTTGGTGAATCAGTGATCGATAATGTTCATCAGTCCTGACAGGCGGCTAAAGCGCGAACAAACAGAGATATTAAAAAGTGTTTTGTAATATCACATCAAAATCACGATGTTTTACGCACAGGATCTGTTGATATCTGCACTTTTTTTCACCGGTAACTTCTTCAGGAAAGTCTCACCTTTCTTCCACGGAGGAGAAAGCTGCAGCCAGCAGCACAAAGAGACGACCGAGCGAGTCCAATGAAAGTGCCTCAGACTCCAAATTCACTTTCTACAGCCTCCCATCTGTCTGCAGAGTCCGCGCTCACTCATCCCCGGAGAAACACTTCAGTTTCTTCAGAGTAAAGTTTGTTTTTTATCCGGTAATCTCGGTCCGAAGGTTTCATTTCAAAGTGGAGCAACAAGGTAGCACAAAGAGCTGCAGAAAACCCGCTCCTCATCCCGGCTCTGAGTCCGCTCTGCTGTGGTGGAGTCCTGCTGAGAGGAGGAGAGGAGGCTCCGGGACCGAAGAGGAGACTGTCAGCTTCCGGGGGGAGGGGGGATTTTCAAAATAAAAGACTTATTATTATTGTAAGTAGTAATAGTAGAAGAGGTTTTGAGTATTAGTAGTAGTAGTAATGGGAGGAGAAGTAGAAGTAACTTCCGGTAAGGATTTTCAGAATAAAATGTGATGATTATTATTTGTATAATAATCAGTGTTGTTTTTGTTGACAAAAATATTTCGTCAAATATTTTATCAACGTCCTCTTTTGTTCCATGACAAAGACGTGATGTTGACGAGCTTAACATAAGTCTTAGATGACCAAAATGTGACGAGACGAATGTGCGTTGACGAGACTAGAAGAAAAAGTTAGTGGTGGACGACGAACAGAGTTGCAAATTTCATGAGCATTTCATCAGTCAAATGCTAAACATATATTCGCAGTGTTGTGTTCGCTGACAATGATGAAATATTTTCGTCAACATCATTGTCAACAAAAACAACATTGTTAATAATATTAATAATAAAAATATGTGATGCCGTCTTTTCTCTTTTATATATTTTACCATATTTCGACTCACTGTCTTTTAGCATTTGTTTTACTTATCTCTTCCTATTTAACCTTTTAGGCCATTTATTTTTTTTTCTGCTCATTTTTGTCATTCCATTTTATCATTATTATTTTATAATCATTATTATCGTCTTTTTATATTTACTACCCTGTTTCCTCCTTTCTACATAGAACGGACGCCGTCTGCCTCCTCACTGGGTGAAGCCACTCCAAAGAACAGCACCCTCTGGTGACGGGCTGCAGTATACAGGCAGAGGCGGAACCAAGCTGTCCATAGTATATACAGTCTATGGTTTCTTACGACAGATGAAATTGGCCCTCAAATCGGAGGCCTTGTTTTTAACTGAGCTTTTGTTTTTTTTAAATTTGTTTTTATTTCCATGTCCTGATGTTCTGTGCTTTACGACTGTTTGTCCAAGCACTTTAAACCTGTTTTTTTAAAGTACAAAAAAATAATCCTTATTTATAATAAAAAATAAATATGATTATCATCTTTCATAGGATAATAACACATTATTATTATTGTTATTATTATAAATAATAAAAACCCATTATTATTATTACTATTATTATTATTATTAGAGAGTATATTAGATTCAGGAAAGGATTTTCAAAAATGTGAAAAGGTGTAGATTTAAAATGATGATGATTGTTTAAGGGTAAAGGCTGAAAAATAAAATAAAACAAGGGAAATAAGACCAAAGATCACATCTCCACAACATTTTCATTATCCAGTTTCTTTTTAATCTCACAAACACATGAATCTGAGACATGAGCTCTTTTTTTCCATCTGTGCAGCTAAACAATCTCACCAATTTTAAAAACGAGGGAGAAGAAAATAATTTATACATCCTTTTTTTTTTAAAATCATATCTACAAAAATAAAATCAAATACAGGGACTAAGGCTTTACAGAAAAAAATGAACATATATAAAACAGGTGGGTCTGATCTTTCTATATTACATGAGTGAACAAGATTTTTTTGTTTTTTTCTTAAAAAAAAAAAAACACAAATTAAAAGACAATGAGATGAGACGTGTGTATGCATACAGTAGTTTGCACCATGCAGGAAGTTTGTTTGTTTGTTTGTGCAACTTTTCTTAAAAAAAAGGAATCAGTTGTAGTTTTTTTTTCTCTTTTTTAAGGGGGTTCGAGCCACAATGCTGATGTCAATGTACAAGAGAAACGTATGAACAAAATTAAATGTCGATGCAAAGAAACCGAAGTGTAGAGGTAGAAATCTGAGATGAAAAATGCTGTCTTTAAAAAGAAGGGAGGTGCAAAAGAAAGGCTTACCGAGTCCGATAAAGAAAAAGAAACTGTTCCCTTCAACCCCACAGGAGAGATATTTCACTTTGGTTGAACTTTTTTTTTTCACTTTTGAACAAATTCCTCAAGTTCATACAGGATCATTCCCTCGGATCACCTCATGTAAGTGATCAGTGACTCTTATTTCTTCCTTTTTTTTTCTGTAAAAGTTACGGCTACATCAGCGAGTGTCGAGTGAAGAGGACGAACCCTCCTGTCAGGTGATGATTTATTGTCTTTAGTGGTAAAATCAGATGTATGTAGTGTGTGAATGAACCTGGCTCTGTGTTTGGTTCTGTTACGTTTTAAAGAAAGTAAAAAAAGAAAAACTCAGTAACTCACTTAAGCACCTCTGTGTTAGTATTTGAAACCAGCTCAAATAATATTCAGTCTGTGTGATTTCTCCCAGCTCAATGAAAGGAATAAAGAAAGTAACATGAAAAAAAACCTATTTGAGAGAAACTTTCCAAGATAAGCCTGGTTTATGCCGCCGTGTCGCTCAGGTTCAGTCGCCGTAAACAAACAAGGAGGAACCGCAAACTGGCGACAGAGGACAGACTTTGCACTGACAAGCGTAGAGTCAACACAGAAGTATAAACCAGGCTTGAGAGTTTACATAAAGACGTTTGTGTGTGTTGTGTATCGGAAAACAGCGTCTGAGTTTAGGAAATAAAGAAATATGAACTTGGCTTTAGTGTCAGTTTCTGCTTGTTAAACATGCCTCAAAGATACAACATAAGAAGAAAAAAAAACCCATCTCTTAATGTCATGAATGTCTAGTAGCTTCATAATTTGACCGCATAAAAGAACAGTTTGATATTTTGGGAAAGAAACCTTTAATAGTTGCTTAATTTTAGAGGACACCACCACACCTTGGGTATCAAGTCTGGAATTTGACGCTGTGGTTTGTTAGCTTAGCTTAGCCTTAAGACCAAATCGGGGAAACAGCTTGCTCGATATCAAACAGCTAAATGTTTGCGAAAGATTTTTTTCTCTTTTTTTTAGTTTTGATTGAACTGGTTTAGCGAAACGGCCCAATTAAAGCAGCACAATATTCTAATATAAGATTTTCCCCCTCAAAATAGATCTGAAAAGAAGTTCGACTTATTAACAGTCTTGTTTAGTGGTTGAACGTCAATGCTCATTACAACAGCGGACGATGCTACTTGACTGACTCCTCCATGACTGTAGCTAGCTGTCACAACTACGGCACCGAAAAGAGTCAAGATGGACTACCCGACTATCTTAAAGATATAGGTGATACTTGGATTAAAAGTACTGCTTTGTCCACAAGGGGCGCCAAAACTGACACAAACAAAAAGTCCCTCACTGGGTCTTTAAATGTGACGATTTAATTTTAGAGGATTGTCAAAATGTGTTTCTTGTATTGTTTGAATAAATCTGTTTTCCAAATAAAACAAGAACTGTAAAAGCTGAGCTAGCGACGGCCAAGCTAGTCGTAGCCTCGTATTTCTTGAACAGATACACGAGTAGTGGAGGTCGTTCTTAAAAACTACATTTCCCAAAATGTCAACCTACTCCTTTTAGCTAATTTTAGCTTCACTTGTACTGTACTGCCATGACAGAGCTGGCAGTTTTTTCTGACTTGGACCCCGCATGTTTGTTCGTTTCTCCCTTTAAAAAACAGGAATCCAGGAATCCTCTCTCTGTGGAAAGCTACTTGGTAAAGAGCACAGTCCTTTCGCTGCTTTGGATGTGGGCTACACGGATATAAACACTGCATACGGTACGACCACTGGATGGGGGGAAGGGGTAGAGTTGCTGGTTCACAGTATCAACAGCGGTATCTACACACAAAATCCGCTACAAGATGCACAGTCGAGTGTTAAAGTGAAGACCGGCGATGATATTTGGCAGCTATTTCATTGAGCGATAAACAGCGAAAAATTCAAGTTTCCAGAGTTTGGATCTGTGTTTGTCTGACCGTTGCCTGTCTGGAACTTTCCACCCCTAAAAATACCTTAAATCCTGAAAACTTGTCAGGATCAGATCGGCTGTGAGTGAATCCACTGAGCTTGTTTATGAAATCCCTGTACGCCTCTGAGAAACAAAAAGAAAAATCCGCCAGCATTTCAGTAGTAAACAGCGCAGTAGTGTTTACAGACTTTAAAAAAAAACAAAAAACAAAAATGATGCATTTAAAGATGAGACCGTCACACTGAAGCTTGGAAACAGTCGTTTTGTAGCTTAAATGAAGGTTTAAGGGTATGTTCGTGAGGCTGTCCCCGGCGTCAACAAAGCTTGAGATGAATGAATTGGTTAAATGATATGTGTGTGTGTAAAAGTGTGTGTGTGTGTGTGATATTGGTTTCCTTACCCAGTGCAAATAACCTGAATATTAACAACACAGTCCTTCGGCCGTGGTGGCAGGTGAACTCAGTGTAAAGCATCCAGTGGAGGCAAGAGGGGAGGGGACCCCCAGCAGAGGCCATCTTGGCTCAAATGTAAAGCCGGTGGCGTCTCCAGTCCCTGATCTGTCCAACACAGAGGGGGATGCATTGTGGGTAAAGTGCAGGGGTGATGGGTCCCTTGGATTTTCCTTAAATTAACATTTCAACACTTTTCTGCTCCGCTCCTTCACACCAGCTCTTTAAAGCGTCACGTACGACACAATCCTCCTTCACGAATATCCACCTCCGTCTTTTTGTTTCCACACTTTCAATACTTCCAACTCCGTTTCCCTTCTCTTCTTCGCTCGACTTTTTTTATGTTCCTTCATACTTTTCTTTTTTCTCCCTCGCTCCGTCCTGGACCCCTTCATGCTCTGGAAGAATCAGAGGTTTTTAGCAGACTTGAGAAATCCCGCAGAGTCCGGCCAGCAGAAAACAATCAAATACAGGAAGGAAAGGAAAAAAAGAAAGAGTCATGGTCCATCCTGGGCTCTGTTCTGCTAGTCAGTGCATGCAGGGAGGAGGGGCAAAAAAGGGGGGAGGAGAAGGGGGCGTGGCTGAGCTGCTCAAGTCGGACAGTGTCTGTCCGTACGAGCAACAATGAGTTCATCCCTCTCTCAATATCAGAATCCAGTGGACTGGATCTTGGGTTCAGCTGGATTCCCTTCCTTGCCTGAAAGATGAAAAACGTTAAGATCGGATCTCTCAGGAGTCGTTTTTGCCTTTAAAGATTATTCTGAACAATCTCACCGTCTATCGAACCTCGATCCAGAGACGGTGTTCTGGAGACGGTCGCGGAGTGGCACTGCTGCTCCTCGGACTCCTGATTGACAGACGGCTCTCTGAGGGTTTTGAGAAGCTTGTGATGGGCCCTCTCGATCTCCTGTAGAGACAGAGGAGCAACAGTTATGGTACGAAATGATCAGGTAGAGAGAGGAGAGCAGGAGGAGGAGCAGGTATGTGTGTCTGATAGTGTTTTGTCGTTCATGAACGTTTCGTCCAAAAGGAACTGTTGGGTGAACGACGACTCCAAGACCTGATTCGTTCCTTTCTCAGTTCAGCTGCGCGAGCGTGTCGTGCCGGTCGGGAGTGGAACTGATCAGTCAGACTGCAAACGAAATGAACGACTTGAGACGGGCAGAGAGGCGTAGCGTTGATCACGAACTGCCGAGCACCGGTTCCTTCACTGTGAGGATGAACGTAGGCTAAGGTCGCGTTCACACCTAAAGGTCCGTTTCCTGATACGTTTGTTTTGATTGTTTAACTGGTCCGGTTTGCGTTCACAAAGGACAAACTTAATCGCTCCAGAAAATGGAACCGGAAGTCACGTGACCGCGAATATCATTCGGTTATTGGTCATAAGTTTATGCAGGAATACAAACCCTGCTCTGCTGTCTATAAACTTTCCTGTAAGAAGGATTCAATTTCAGCCGATTTAAAGCAATACGCTATTTGATATCTTTTAAAAAGTATCGGAATCCCCGCTAGAGCTGCTATGTTTATTTAATTTTAATCTCTCCACTTTTCCGCCATATAAAAGAACGACGCCTCGCGCTCGTTTAGCGGGCGTGCTGCTTGCTGCTCTGTTGTTGTGTTGATGGGAACGTCGGCGGCACACAGAGAGTTGAGCTTTTCAGGGCAGGGGAGTGATTCTTCCTTCACAGCTTGGCGAATGAACGACATGTGACACCTAGTGAACGACGATGTGACTTCAGCAGCAGGGGAGGGGAGGGGCTCAGTTAACGAACGAACTCCCGATCAGCGCCACTGTGTCACTCGCTCGTGTACTCCGAAGCACTGACCGATTCAGCGAACGAATCATTTGAACGAATCATTTCATCGAACGGCTTCTAAAGATTCAGTCCAGTCCAAAGAACTGTTCTTCCCATCACGAGTGTCTGAAAAGCAAACAAACTAAGACATCACTCACATGATAACAAAACAAACGCTACAGTCTGCGCTCATTCCTCACCTTCAGCTGGCGCAGTTTGCTCATCAACCCCTCGATCGTGTGAAAAATCTCATCCACATTTTTGATCACGTGACTCTGGTGCCCCGCCTGTGATTGGCCCGTTTCATCCTCGTTCTGTTCCTGTTGCATAGCCTCCGATTGGTCGCTTTCTTGCCCGCAGACGGGCGTCTCCCTCTCTTCCGGCTGCGTCTGGGGCAGCATGTCCTCTAGAGTCTGAGGGAAATGGGTGGCGACGGGGGTTGGCGGGTCTTCGGGGTCGTCGGTGACGCTCTCTCCTTGCTCTGTAGGCATGACCAGGTAGAAAGTGTTCCCTATGCAGCAGGAACGTGGGGGGAAAGACGCTGTTAGGAACTCTGAAGGGAAATATGAGATCAATTTAACGAAATACCAAACTTTGGTTTTCAACTTTTAAATTCTACGATAAAAATCTTTGATAAAAACGACAGCACCTGACCAATTAAGTCATGATTACCCTGTGCAGTGGCCCCGCCTCTCGGCTTTGATGATTGGTCGGAGACATCATCAGTGATGTCTTCAGGGACAGAAGAAGAAGAAGAAGGAGGACCCGCACCCACAGCTATGCAAAGAGGATAGAAGTGTGACAAAGGAAAGAGTGTGTGTGTGTGCGCGGAGGAAAAGAGAGTTAAAGGGTGAGAGAGCCCGTGTGGGATCAGTGCGTGATCGTGTGGTGAGGAGCGAGCGGACAAAAGAAAAACAAATTAATCCATCACCAAAAGTGCGGAGAGAGAACATGCAGAGAGAGACCGCCGTTAAAAAAATAAAACAGATTTGAGCCCAAAAAGTAGAAGATCTTCTCCAGCTCGAGGATCTCAAACCGATTCATCCATCTCCATCCTCTTACCTTTCCTCACCACCTGAACGCTCGGTTGCTCCGCCTCTGTGGGCGGGGCGTCCTCAGGCTCGGCCTCCCATTCGTTGGTGCTGAAGTTGAGCACAGTCTCCAGAGACTCGGGCCGCTGCCTCTCGCTGAATGAGTTCCTTTCGTTGGCCGTCTCGTTGGTGGGCGTGTCGTCCGAATCGTGGCTCCAACCGTCCTCTTCCAGATCTCGAATGATGAGCTGACGGAGCGTCTCGACTGAAAAATAAGACGCAGCAGAAAACACGCTCAATAACTCTGAAATCATCCGAGTGTGTTCGGTTGTTTCGGATTCCTTCTCACCATCTTGTAAAGCCGCCTCAGCCACGCAGGCGGATTTCCTCTCTGATTGGCCTGAAGGCGTCGCCGCTGAGAGCCTGATGTCGTCGTTTGAGGAGTGGCTCTCTGATTGCTCCGTCATAGAGTTATCTAGAAGTTTCAAAACAGCGACAGGTTGAAATTAATCTTCTGTTTTCATGATTACAGACAAGGTCACCATGATCAGTAGGTTTTCGCTTTTACCTGTAAAGACGTTGCTGCCAGTGGACACCGGAGATGCGCTACCGAGACTACGAGAGCTGTGGAAAACAAAAACACAACACACAGAGTGAGAAGATGTCTTCTGGAAAAGACAGGACATGTTCCTTTATATCTGTTTAAAGAAATTCATCCAACTCACGAGAGACGCATGGATCCGTGATTGATCAGGGGTGATGAACCTCCGGCCATCGAGATCGTCTTTTCAAGTAAATCTTTCCAGCTGCAAAACAAGAATCGAAATGTTTGAGTTTCTGAGAGGAGAGGATAAAACAGAAGAGAGGGTGGGACTTCGAAAAGAAATTATGCATTTGAGTTTCCTCAGAAGTCAGATGTCGGCGCTGAGAATGACGTCACACCTGAGTTTCCAGCGTTTCGGTAACCAAGTCGGAAAAAAGCAGGAAACAGGATGGCTACATTGTATTCGGACAGGACAAGCGCTAACATAACTTTCATGGATGTAGCCATCGTGTTTCCGCCTCTGATTTTGCGTTTTTCTGACTTGGTAACCAAACAGCTGGAAACTCAGGTGTGACAATATTTTCAGCTCAGACTTCTGAGGCAACAGGAACGCAGCATAAATCTAGAAAAGAGCGTACGTGTTTTTCTCTGACGATGTCCCGGCGACTAGCTCGTAGATCTGCCTCTCTGTGGTGCTGATGACGTAAAGAGCTCTGTTATCTGGAGGGAAATCACAAAACACGCACGTCAATTCCTCCCCATCAAATAAATTCCGCTGACTTCTTCTTCATACCAGCTTCGACATTCGTACCTGTGGCTACTGAGCGCACCAGCAGCGAGTCCAGCTTCACCAGAGGACTGAACGAGGTCTTGCTGTCCCCGCTGCCTCCTCCGCCTCCACCCAGCCAGCGAGACGGGTACCTGAGGTGCAGCCGGTCGTCGGGGCCCCGCTGCAGGAGGACCAGGCAGTCTGACAGCAGCAGCGCTTGGATCTCTGGAGGGAGGAGGTGCACGAAAGATAAGTACAACATGAATCTGATGATTCTTCGCGCAGGAATACGGGACGCATCAAATACAGACCGATCTGCTTGTCTTTGCTGACTTTCCACGTCAGAGGACCTTCGTGAATCATTCTCTTAGTGGTGAGGTCCAAACTCTGCAAGAGAGACGAGTCAAATCAAACACAACTGCAGCAAAAGACTGTTTGCAGCTCAGCTCGTCTATCGTGTCTGAATGAGTCAAAGAGAAAACACACTCATCGCACAAACCACTACCTTGAACTGAGGGGCGGCGTCCAGCCTGCGTTGGTACTGGCTGAGTCGTTGCCGCTGTTCCGTTTCCCCCACAACCTCGTTCACAACCTGCAGTATCCCACGGCAACACACCAGGGCGCTCTGGAGCGAGGGGAGGTCTGACGAACCGGCTAAACGGCAAACAAGAACACAAACATATTTTGTTTTTTTTGCACGTTCGTCCGTATCGACGGTTGTGATCTGCCGATGTCTCACCCTCTGTGTGTTTGATGATGTTGTCCAGCAGCAGAGGGTACTTGGTGAGTCTCTGCATCTCTGACACCAGCAGGTCTTTGAGCTGCAGCCTCCGACAGTGGGGACTCGCCTCGCACTCCTGAGGGAGAACGCCATGGTGACGGTGAAACATCATTCTCTCTATTTCAAATTTCAAGATGCGATGTCAAAGAAAACATCAGGCGCTGAAGCGTGCGCGTGTTTACCTGGATGATGCTGGCGAAGCGCGGGTCTTTGCGTTTCTTGTTCTTGATGAGCTCCAGAGCCTGAGTCTGCTGGCTGCACAGCTGAGACGCTTGTTCCTGAAACTCGTCTCCAGCTTCACCTTCAAACTACGAACACATAAAACCGTTAGCGTGCCGACGAACTCAACGAATCATGATAATAACGATAATGCTAAAGATGATCCCGCTCACCCTGGCCAGCATTACGTCCCCGATGTGCTGAACGACGGGTGTTTCTCTCCGCTTCTTCATCGCCTCGCACAGACTTGCTGCAAAGACACAAAACAGTAGCCGAGTTCATACGTGCAAAATTTCTTAATCCGATTAAAAATTTGAGGGATCGGAAAAAACTGAATCCACTGTTTATATAGGCGCAAAATCAAATAATCCGATCATGGCGTTCGTATACATGCACCAAGTTTTATTCAGATATGACGCATTTGCACATGTGCAGAGTTAGTCTAATTTCGCTAAAACAACCACAGAAGAAGAAGAGTTGTATTGACGCCTGTGCTGTCAACAAAACAACAAATGCGTTAGTAGCTCACTCCATCCAGTTTAGAATGTTCCCCTCTGTTAAATGTTGTCACTAGATGGCGCCCTTGCGTCACTTATTTTACTGTTCTGTCAAAGGTTGTGCTGTGCGTGAAGATGTGACATCATTATGCTGGATGTACACTTTGTTATGTTATCGGAGGAGCAGACACGGCACCTGCGGTTGTGTTAATAATGAAACCTCCTGAACTGACCTCAACAAAGAAAGAGTGAAGTCAGAGTCAGGTTAGAGGGTTACGATCAGAATAAGTGTTACATGGACTCATTTTGGAATAACGATCGGCATAAACCACCCCTCTTGATCGGAATACAATTTCTTTCCGATTGAGCCGAATTGGATCAGAATCTTCCGATCAACATGCTTACATGACGCATTTTTATTCCAATCGGGCATTTATCCCGATTATTTGTGCCCATGTAAACGCAGCTATAGGCAGAGTTACCAACAGCTGAAATATAAACCGAGGACACTACATTAACATGATCTTATATAAACTCCACAAAGAGAAGTCAGCTGCTCTAGTGTGGCAGATATGTCTTCCTCTTTACTCCGGGGTTTGCTTTAAATTAAAGCCCAAGACACATATTGACTCAGTCAAACTGGAGGCAGAGATTATGACCTCTGCTCGGTATTTGCTTCACTTATTATTATTGACACAGCAGCACAGAGCTCTGAACTCACGTTGACTTCAAACGTATTGTGCAAACAGGAAGTGCAAAGGCAGGAGACGCAGGGGTTTGTACATTTAAGAGCTTCAGCAGCCTGACACGGTCTCAATTTGACGGAGGTAAAATATGAACTCGCAGACTGACCGTGGAGCTCGTACACCTGAGGCAGGTTAGGGAAGATGCAGGCCAGCTCCTCAGAGTTCAGCACGGACCTCATCTTCTGGAAAAAGACCTGATCCAGCACCCTCAGGGTCCGCAGGTGGGACACCTCTGTGGTGAAAAGCTCTGAGGATACCAGAAAGAAAGAGAGTCATCATCTATCAGACTGTGAAGCCTGTATTTGCAGTATGGAGTTGCTGTTCTTGACACGTACCGTAAATGACCGCCTGTCTGTCCACCTCCCTCGAGGTGACGCTGGAGAGGAGATGATGGGGTACCGTGTCCTGCCAGTTCAGACTCAGTTCACACACGTCGTCTTCCAGCGCCGCAGCGTCCGGCAGCAGAGCCAGCGGTGACTCCATGCTCCTGCAGTCACAAGCGCAGCAAGGAAGAGAAACACGGGTGTGAATGCCGACGAGAAAGCGGCGTAACTCAAAAACCTCTTTGACTGATTTCATTTGGAGGGTGTAATGACGCAGATCCACATGATTATAGTTAGCTTTACTGACACTAACCGCTGACCAACTCTGGGGAGGACGAGGAAACTCACCTGCGTCTAGACCGAGGAGTGTATGGGGGTGTAGGGTTCTCTAGAGACCTGAGTGTGAGAGAGAGCGTGAAGCCTTCATTAAACGAGGGGATTTGATTTCCTCTGAGCTGATAATCTTCATCTAAACATTCTTTTCAACGTCTTTTTTAGACATTTGGGAAATTCTGTTTGAAAAAAGTTGATGCAGTCTGAAAGAGAAACCGCCTCCAGGACTGAACGAGTCTGTACCGTGCAGAGCTGCTGGACGCCGAAGACGAGGTGCTGTGCTGCAGCGGCCTGAGCCCCGGACCCTCCCTCTCCTCCCCGCAGTCCTCCATGTCCACGTCGCTGCGAGAGCGAGGGACGGACTCGGCTCCCGAGGCGGTGCCCCGTCGACGGCCTTCTCCGTGGGCTTTCAGGGACTCGCTACGAGCCAGACGCACGGAGACTGTCGGGCTGCGAGAGAGAGAAGAATTTAAAGTTTGCTTTTATTGGTTTATTTTAGTAAAGAACCAGGAATCTTTGCACAAAAAGGCGACAAGGAACTAAAAACAGACATGACTCTGAAGTGAAAAATATCAATGCTGCATGTGCAAAGAGGAACCTCTGTAAAAACTTGATCCAGAAGAGTTTGAAACTTCTACCCTCAGACCCACCTGTCCATGCTGTCCTCTCCAAGGCTGCTGGTGGAGAGCCTCTGAGGGTCCGAGGCGTCCCCTCCCTCCTCCCCCGTCTCCGTGTTATTCTCAAACTGCTGGATGATGTTCCTCACGCTGCCGGGCCGGACTGAAGACATAGATACCATCAAAATGAGCGAGGAGGAAGAAACAAAACATCTACGCTCTGAGCACAAAAAAAAGGTGGATGGGTTTGAAATCAGAATGAAGCGCTAAAAGTGAAAGTAAACAAACAAATACCTTCGGTGGGTGACAACGGGACATGGAATGCTACGAAACAGAATCCAACCAAAAAGAAATCAGAACAAAACACGACAAAAGATCGTCAAATCAAGATAGAAATCTGAGTGAGGAACAAAAGGGTGAACAGAGGGCAGGGAGACATCAATATCATGTGACATGTACAGGCGGGAGCACCACATGTTCATGTTAGCGTGTTTTCAATGTGCTGTGCAGTATTGACAGATTTAACCTGAGCTCATTATCGATCAGGTTCATTAGAGTTTGATGTAAACACGATGAAGTTTAGCATCAATCATTTCTTCATTTTCTTTCAGGGTTCTCTGCATGAGTGTGTGTTTGTTCATATTTACTGGACTGGGATGTGGTCCGGGGTTTGCCGATGTACTTCAGGATGGGGTTTCTCTTTTTATCCTCTCCATCTTTATCCTTCTTGATACCGCTCAGCTGTGGAGAGAGGAGCCATGAAACCAAATACTCACGATCGAAGTTATTTTGACTTCAAAACGATGACCTATGATTCGACATCTGCTTCACCTACATTTACTCAATTTAAAGGGATATTACGGCGTAAAATTAGTGACACCCCATTGAGAGATGAATGTTGCCGACTGCTTGCTTCTCTAGTTATACCAACTTCAGAAACTACCATACGATAGCAATACACAGCGGTCTGAGGAGCCATAAACAAACCTCAACCAAAAAGCCACTCTATAGCCACAAATAATGCTCAGAACAGCACCTAACTTCATCAACAGGACATATAGGGTCCCAGCCATAGTACTAGCCGCCAAATTTCTCAGGCTAGGCCAGTCCATTACGGGCTGCTGCGGGGTGTCGCAGCTCAAGGAAGAACATTTATGATCATTTCTTTATCATTTCCTTGGAGTAATAATCACCATATTAATTGTTTTACACTGCAGACACAGTAGTTCTTCTTCCTTAGCATCTCGGTCTGATTGTATTCCATGAAGAAATTATCATAAATGTTCTTCCTTCAGCTGCGGCACCCCGCTGTAGTCCGTAATGGACTGGCCCAAGGTCACGCTACAAACAAACGGCTGCTGAAAGAGAGTAGGTGAGTTGTTTTTAGTCTCTTTGCTAAAGAAATCAGGCAAAGTTAAAAAGATGTTTGGTGGATAGTTCTATGGCTGGGGCCCTATATGAACTGTTGATAGAGTTAGGTGCTGTTCTGAGCATTATTTGTGGCTATAGAGTGGCATTTTGGTTGAGGTTTGTTTATGACTCCTCAGACCACAATGTTTTGCTGTCCTGCAGTCGTTACTGCAGGAGAAGCAAGCAGACAAGGTGTCTAACTCTGTGTTACAGTGTGTTTGACCCCAAACTAATTTTACGCCAGAATATCCCTTTAAAACCAGCATTTCTGTCTGTCTAACTGGATTATTTCGCTTAATTTAGTCAAATTACTTTTAATGAAATGAGGATAGTTAGATCAGCCCTGAATCACTGCAGCATCTCACATCTAAACACTACTTTTAATGCAACCCAAGCAAAGGAGTCAAAATGAATCAACTCTTCGCATGATTATTAATATTCAAGCAGGAAAAAAAACATGCTCAAAAGGATGTAACATGTTTAAATAAATCACATTCAGAAGTTAAATCTAAATACGCTAGCATGTGGTTGTCGTCTCTCCCTGCTCTCACCTTTTTGGTCTTCAGGAAAGCCAGCCACTTCTCCTTCTCGGTGCTCAGACCTGGAAAAACCTTAGAGTCTCTCAGCTTGATGCCGGAGTGCCGCAGGTAGAGAAGCACGGCCGACGCCAGAGGAGAACTGATGGAGAGGAGCGAGGAAGAGAGAGAGAGAGAGAGAGAGAGAGAGAGAGAAAGAGAGAGAGGGCAAACATGGTGGAGGAGGAGGAGGAACAAACAAAGAGGAGGTGTCGGAAATAAACACAGCGAATCACTGAGACAGGTGTGTGTGTGTGTGTGTGTGTGTGTTCAATCAAACCCTTTACCTTCGGTCCTCTTCATGCTTCGATCTGGAGGAACATAGACAGAAAAACGCCGTTAGCTCCTTCTGCAACAAAACACCAGACTTCCACAGATAACTCTTAAGTTGAATCCGTCTCGATCAAAACGCAGGAGTAAGTAAACGCAGAGCAGCGCAGCAGTCATGTGACAGGAGTGGAGCCGCATGTGTGCAAAGTCAGAGGAGTAAATGTCATGTGGTTTCAGGGTTTGCTGCTGCGGGAATGACCTTTGTTATGGGATGAGCTCCTTCTGTCGCTTTGTCATAACCGTTTTATTGGGCCCCAAACATCTGACCATGTTGCTATGGAAACCTTTTTAACAGTCATAGTGTGCATGTGTTCATATTCACTTCAGGACCTGAGCCGAGTTTGGAAGCCGAGTTTATTTTTCATGAGTTGAAATGCGGGTTAACATCCAGTTTCGAGGAAAATCTGGCGCAAGATTAAAAATATTTTCATGAATTTTTGATGAAAAAAAAAAACTCGTCTTTTATTTCAAAGCTTTTGCATAAAGATGAGTCATCCCGACCAGGAGATGACCCCGATTCACATGAAACGACTTGATGACAAAGCTGCAGACTCACAGTATCTCCCAGAGAGCGGTGACCTGTCTGTCCACCACCTGTCGCTCTTTCATGGGGTCCCCGTCCAGCTGCTGAAGGTCTCCTTCTCCGAACAGAGAGCCCAGACCCATCATCTGCTTATTCCTGTGAAAAAAGTGAATCCACTGTATGTAAGTGTAAAATAATCAAATGTTGGATACCCGTCAACAATAAGAGTGAAAAGGTAAATTCTTGTACAGGTGAGGTGTATAGGAACAAAACTATTGGCTAAATGAGCTTAAAGGAGGGGTAGGCAGGAATCGTTATAGAAGCATCTTTTTTGAGGTGTATATACAAAAAATAACCCTTCTCCACCTCCCCCTGACCTGATTTGTTGTGAGGCACGCTCCATATCCTTGAATAACATTCACGAGCCCAAACAAAGTTAGCATGCTACAATATCAGACAGTAGAAACCAACCAGAAAGTACAGAAAATTGTCTGAATCCTCTTTTGGCCACGACAGCTGACACAAGCAAGAAAACAAAGTAAAGACTGGAGACTCTGGCGGAATAACGGACGCTTAAAACTGAGGTAGACCGGACAAGAGGGCGCTTTGGGATCTTACAGACCCTGTAACCGCTTCAACAAAGTAAGACAAGTGTCTGTAACAGAAGTATTTCTTGTGTGTTGTAGCGCCGCTAAACTGTTGACCTCGGGTCCCGGACTATGTCTCTTTATCCTAGTTGTAGAAGTCCTGCAAACACTGTGTTTGCTGGTAGTCTGTTGGCATCTACAGTAGCACCAATGCTTTTTACTTTCACGTTGACTGGGCTCCATTAGTAATTACCTGAGGTACTCATCTGCATTATATCTGAGTTTAATTGAAAGGAGCTGAGGGTAAAACTGGTTAGCTCGAGGGGTAGTGTTTACATTCAAGATTTCTCCCAAAAATTGGCACTTCCTCACATCCTGCCTCCCCCACCTTCAACAATATCGGCACTCTAGAAAAAATCAGCGATGGTGAATCCTCTAACAAACCTGTAGTCCTGGATCTGGTCCTGGATGTCAGGCAGCACTTGCTGCTGCAGGTCTGACAGAGGCCCTCTGATGTCCTCCTGAGCGTGAAGTCGACTTTCTAAAGACAGACGAGGTTATTTTTAGTCGATCGTGAAGGAAGATCAGATGGATCAGGCTGTGTCTTTTCGAGGTTTGGTTCACTAAAGTTCGGTAATGAATGTGCTGAAATTTTGACCCTTTGTGACAGCCGTGTTTATGTCACAGCTTTTCAAAATAAAAGTCTGGGTACACTTAATATATCTGTGCATGTTTGGGCAAATTTTCTTACCTATGTCAGTGAGATACTCCTCTCGTACTTTGATTTTTAGAGGCTGAACAGGAATGCAAAAGAAAAACACAACAATGCATGAATGTTGAAAACACGCCACAAAAAATACACAACATCAGGTCAAATAAGTCGTTAGCTTAAAATAAGTTGGAATTTAAAGAAAAAAGTGTAATCATTAGTGTTCACATGAGGAGAAATTAATATGAAATCACGTGTTGGCACATACAGCATCAGGGTCCAGGAAATGGGAGCAGATCTGGGGTGCGAGTGTGCGCGCGTCTTTCGGACTGGAGCCCAGGTAGGCCTCCACCGACAGGTAAAACAGCTACCATAGACAGAGGTGATCATGATCCAGGCAAACACAATCAAGGTTACACACAAAGCACATTCTGAAACTAGAGACTATCATCAGAGTGAAAGATCAGGTTATCTCACTCTGGATTCAGAGTTAGCACAGGGCGTTGGCGTTTTGCACCAAATGCGGACTCACCAGGGGGTTGGGGTCCAGAAGCTGTGTGAAAATGTATCTCATGAACACCGTCATGTGTGCCGGTCGAGACTTTAGCAGCTCGATGTCCTGAAACGGACCGTCCATCTGAGAGGAAAAAGAGGAGAATGAAGTAATTTCAACAAAACCTGGTGGAAGTCAAAGGACAAAAAACGGGAAAGTTAACCAATCATCTGTGTCACCTCATTGACTGCATAGCCGTCATCTTCTTCATCCTCCTCCTCAGGGCCGATGATCGTCCTCCCGCCCTGCAGACAAACACACACAGGTTTAAGGAGATGAAAAACACACTAGAGCGCAGGAACAGGCTTCGAAACCACCTGCAGTTTTCATTCTTCTACAAACACGAGCGATAACCTTTAAACTGCAACACTCTCTTTCATGCCCATCCGTGTTTTCACATAAACATACATTTCCCATCTGCTGAATCTCTCCCACTCCAGCTGTGAGTGACTACGCTTTAGCACACTTCTCAAATGAGCCCGTACATTAAATTACATTCACAAGACAGCGCCATCTACTGTCATTGAATTAGAAATCCTTGTTTTTTTACATTGTCTTCTGCTCTGTTGAGCGACTCTGAGTTACTGCAGGGGAAACACTTTCACATGATGATGAGATCAGAGTGATATCACATAGACGCACACTCATTGATACAAGAGCGTACACACACATGAAGTAGGTAATGTGAGTCAAACTGGACCTAAATAAGACACAGAATTTGCAGTTTTCAGTCCATCTTCAATTGTTGGATTGGTTTAGGGTCCCTTTTGTTCAGATTTTAGTGACATTATATACGAGGGACACAGAGGGACATAATTCTGGAATAGCTGTGGTGTTTGGAGATGATCCTCCAAAAAAATGTTTGTGTATTTTCAGTGTTTTGTTGCTTTTGACATTCAATTTTAAGTATTTTTTTTTAAATAATTTTTCAAGTCTAAACCTTCGATTTGCTGTTTTTTTCATCAGTGTCAAATTAATATAAATTTCAATGGTTTGCAAACTTAACTTTTCTGAACTGAGGTGATACTGCTGCTTTTACCGTTTGGATCAGGTCGGAACAGAAATGGGGAAGAAAGATTTGAGATTTTCTGCTCTGAGTTCATGGAACATCTTGCAATCAGACCTGAAACTCCAAAGTACCTCTGAATGTGTTTAAATCCATGATAAATTCTATGACATCCAGGATTCAGGAGTGCAAATGTTTGACTAATCCTGTAAATTCTCTTGACTAATTTTGAAAATTCAATCATTCTTTGTATTCTTTGTATTCTATATGATTAATGTGATTATGTTTGAAACTGTATTTGGATCTCAATGGGACAAACCTGGTTAAATAAAGGTTATAATAATTATAATAAATGGATGAATATGATGGTAAATATGAGAGAGTGCTTTTGTGTCGGGCAGGAGACAGAGGGCTGTGATTTTCAAACTCTTTGAACGTGAATGCAAATGCGTGCGCCAGTCTCACCAACTCAGACAGGATGTGTGTGCCAGAGCCCTGCCGCCTGTGTTGGGGGATCCTGAAGGAGGATGAGGGGGAGGAGTAGGGACTCTCAAAGGCCTGGGGAGGAGGAGGGTGGACGAGTGGGGTAAGGGGGGTGGGATGAGTGGGACCATTACATACAGAAACACATGCATACAGTCTCACTGGTTGTAAGAAAAGACAAATGAGGCTCACCTCCACGTCTCCTTCACTTGAATCCATCGATAGTCGACCTGTCGGAGCACAGAGGACATTTTAACCACGTTTTGGATTCAATCACAGGAAAAAATGAACTTTTTTTTGGACTTTTTCATCTTTTTGAGCTGAGTCACAAACCTTCTCCTGCAATGACATAGCTCGTCCTGGATTCTGATCGTGTTCCCTCCTGTGAGCGGAAATCACAGCATGACTTTATATCAGATATAAACGTTAATTATACATGACAGTAAAAAAAAGAGTCGAACTAAACACTGTTTTTTTTTTGTTCTCCTCACCAGATCTTGCTGAATCTTGACTCTGACTTGGTTGGCTCTCCTCTTGGCACTTTCAATCCGCTCCTCCAGAGATGGAGACGGGTTCCTCAACTGCTCCTCCAGCAAGTCCTGAAAATCATCCACGTCTTGATCAAAAAGCTTTTAAACTTCCCTGAAACTAAATATGCAGACGGGAGTTTGAAGCAGGAGTTCATTTAGAGGAAATTATGGATCCTTGTACCTGCAGTTCAGCTTCTTCCTGCTCCAGCATTTTCCTGAGTATCTGACTTGCATGTTTCTGTACCTCTGGGTCCTGAAAAACAAACGCATGTCAGTCAAATCAGCAACACTAAACAAAACTTTTCAAAGGCGCTTAAACTTCACCATCAAATATGATTTCTGAACACACCTGTAGTGGTTTGGGTCCTGTGATTCTCTGGGAGGGAGTGCTGCCCAGTCCTGAGGGCAAAGGTGGAGGTGGAGGAGGTGGCGCCTCCCCGCCAAGAGACGTTCTTTGATTGGGCGTGAGGTCAGTGGGGAGGGGCTCCAAGGGTAAGGAAGTGGCAGACGGGGGCGGACCTTGTAGTGTCAAGGCGACGTACGTTCCAGCTAAGAGGAGAAAGTCAGATGAGCTTCACAAGTGAACGAATAAACGAGTAAAACAGACAAAATAATCAGTTTTTTTTTTAAAGCTTACATTTGATGAGCTTCACCACCTCCTGATGGGACATGGAGGACACAAGTGAGCCATTCACCTGAGAGAAAAGAACACGAGGAAGTCAGCGAAGGATCAAATAAAAAGACTATACCTCATATTAAGTATTTCTTATGTAAATGGTAAAAACCTTTATGATTCGGTCCCCTTCTTGGACCCCTGCCTTCACCGCAGCACCCCCTACAAACAACGACAAATGCACACGTTGAAGCTCATGTAGAGGGAAAAGAGATTCGCAGTTTGTCGGAGCATCCGTACATGAAACGTCTTACCCGATCGGACATTCTGCACGAGCTTCACTCTCTCTCCACACACTGTGAAGCCGAAGCCGAGCTGGTCCTTCTGGACCACCACACATCTCTGCACAAGACCAGGACCTGAGGAGGGAAGGGAAAATGTATAATAGTGTGTTTTTGAAGGTGTGGATTTAAAGGAGGTGAAGAAACTGAAGGTGAATTTGAAAAATGAACCGGTGCGTTTACCCGTACTCTCAACAGGGAAGTCAAGTGATGGCTCCCTCTGCTGGGCAGCAGAGGATTTGCGCTCTGAGTCCCCGATGGTCAGACTGCTGAGCCTGAGTTCAAGAATTGAGAGGAAAAGAGCTTTTACATTAAATAACACCTGATAAGATTAATAAATAAAAACTTTAAGATGGCTGGGGAAAAGGGGATGAGAAGGAAATGTGTAAAAAGAGGGAGAATGATTGATGCAGAGGGGGAAAAAGAAGAGTGACGGACATGGAGGAAAAGAGTTCAGGGAGGTGCATGATCCCAAATCTGATGCACGAGAAGCAACAAGAAAGCAGAGGAGAGGAAAACTCACCAAGCAGCAAAGGGGCTGAAAGCGAAGCATGATAGAAGAGAAAGAAAAAGCAGATAAAAAGGGGAAAGAGGGGGCAGAGAAAAGAGAGACAAGAAATCACAGTGAAGACCGGTCTTAAAGAAGAAAGGACACAGAGAAAGAGAGAGAGTTCAATTCATCCCCAGGCTCTTTTGACTCATAGTGATTGTGAACGCTGAGAGCAGCCTTGACTTCAATGAGCATATTTATTTAAGGGTGTGTGATGAAAGGACCCATTGTAAACACAGAGGTGATTGGGTGCTATTCCACGGGTTCAATGATTGGTGAAACTTGTTCAAACAGCAGGTAGGTATCAATCCTCTGCTAACCAGGCCCTGTATTTTTTCACTCTGAAACTTTGGACATAGTTTCCTTATCTTCTTCTTCTCTCCCTTTTTTGCATACGCTGTGAGCGAGCATATCCTCATTAGAGAATAACAATGGTAAAACACTAACGAGACAGTGTGACAGTAGACACAACAAGGATCTGTGGGATCTAAAGGTGTCACTGACCCCAAACCCTTGCATAAACTCTCACTGCTGTCCTACCTTATCAGATGCCCTGCTGTCACATGACACACACAGACACAATGATAAGCAGGTGCACAAGAACACACACTGGAAGAACAAAAAAGTCGACAGCAAGAGAAACAGGAAAGACACACGATCAAGGTACAGATGGATCCACGAGACGATCACAAAAATGCAGTGGAGGACTACAAAGTGAGCGTGGTGATGGAAGACTCACAATAACAAACAAAATCAACTATAAAGCATTACGTTTAAGAACCACAGAGTTAGACAGCAGGGGGAGTGTCACAACAAGAGACTTAAGACAGAACAAGATAGTTTAGACAAACTGTGAAGAGAATATGCAAAAGGATGTGACTTTAATATGTAGATTTTACGATAAAGTTGGGCTTGAAATAGAAGCGATAACAGGCATGATAATTTCAATCTTTTTCTCGCACCCCTGACTCAAAGATTTAGCAAATCTGTTGTTAATAATTCAAAGTTTGGGACTTTTACCACTGTCATGTACAGAATTTTGCCCTCCTCTTCCCTGTCCCAGAGGCGTGTTTTATCTGTTCTCAGTAAACAGCTGGTCTGACAAGTCTGTCAACTGGCATGCTGATATGCTGATCTAGGAGCTCTACATTTCTGAGCGAGGTGTTGAGAAATAGTCTGAGTGTAAGTGGATGTGGGGCTCGTACCTGTCCAGTGTAGAGGTGGGCTGGCGGAGACTCATGTCTACAGCCTTGTGACTCTCCTCTGCTTCCTGGTGCGGGATCAACGCTGTCACTGCGCCTCTTTTATCACCATCCCCGTCGCTGTCATCATCATCATCATCTTTGTTTTTATCCTCTGCAGTTTTCAGTCCACACAGTGGGGATCTCTCTTGTGCTTTGATCAGATCTTCAAGCTACTTTGAAGCTGGCTCAGTTGGGACACATTGCTCCTCATGTTCTCATATAAAAGAAAGTGCTGCTAAAACTACCACTCAAATCCCCACGGTATCCCTTTTCACTCGGTTACATTAGTGGTTGTATATAAATACTATCACTGAGGCTGTTAGTGGTTTGATGTAGTGGTGGGAGTGGGAAATGGATACAGGACAGTCTGCTTCCTCAAAGGTCATTAATCATAAATGAATGGCTGATATGTACACATTTTAGTGTCAGAATAAAGCTAAGTCTTTGAGTATCATTCAAAGGAACTGATTCAACGTGTGACTGATATTATAGTAACAGCATAGCGTTAATAATGAATACTTAGTGACAGCTAGCAGCTAAATACTTCACCACAAGATACACACAGTCAGATTTGCCTAAGTGTGCCAATAATCCCAAACAATCTTCTTTAATGACGCTTGTTTCTGTAAAATGCTTGCATAGATTGGTTAACAAGCTAGCATGAGTGCTTACAGAGATTTAACAGCGTTTGATGTCTTTTTATGTGTGTGGAGAATTAATTTCAATTACTAAACAAATAATACACCAATTTGGAAACCCCAGTTGCAATGTAGTCCTCCAAACTGCTTCCAGGCTAAATTAAAAGCTGTGGGTGTTACTTTTTACACGGTTTCTTAAGTTTTATTCGAGGCTTATTTCTAAAAATTCATAACTGATTAGCTCTTTTCATCTGTTTGCTACTTTTGTTAGCTTTTCTCACATGGTTAGGTGTTTTCAGTATAGCACTCTGTACCCTTGCTGAGAAAAGTGCTACAAAAAGAAGTGATAGTAACTATTATTACTGTTATGATTGTAAACAACAGCAAACCCAAACGCTAACCTGCCGTTGGGTTCGCAAAAGAAGCTAGGTGGCTAATTAGCAGATTACCCAGCTATGTCAGCCGTTGGGCCTTTAAAATGACATTTTTTCACAAATAGATAAAAACTGAGAGAGCTCTGAAGCTTCTATGTTGTGGTTTGAGTGATTAGTTGGCTTGGGAATGATAACGACCATCTGAGACGGCCTGCTATATCGAGCTAGCGTTAGCTTCCTGAATTGAGCCCTACCGAAGGCCCATTTTCAGCCCGCGGCATGGCGTAGATGCTGAGGCCGACCGAATGCGCCGTGGGTTCGGCTTTCAGCTGCGCCAACAAGTCGATCTTTTGGAGGTAGCTGGCTAGCTACTAGTTATTGCTGCAAGATGAGAAGCCAGCATGACTTCAGCTGCATGCGAATAAGATGGATATTCAAGTTGTAGAGGTGGTTCAAGATCGTACAAAATCCGGCTGGTTAGATCCCACTGTTTAGGTTTGGTGCAAATTTAAACACTAACGCTGCATGTTAGCCAGGACGACTCCAGTCCTCAGGTATTTTCCTCATAAGAAGACACAGTTATGGAATCCGGATTTGCGTCTATCCCTTCCGCGGTATGGTAGAATATCCAAATGTTAATCCCAATCGTTGCATGTGTTATTTCCCTTTTTAATTCCAGTTCTTGGAATAATGATCAGATGTGTTGTTATCCTGCTGTCCTGACTGGGTGCTGATCCACCACAATGTTCTTAAGAAACAGGGAACTGCAGCGCTCTCGTCTGGATGGACTGTGGTACTGAAGGCCATTTTCCCTTCTGCAGTATTGTTGCTCACTGATACAATGAATCATTGACCTACGAGAGCCAAGGGTCTCGCATTCGTACATTTTTTCCTACTCTCCGATAACCATGAAGTTCTGGTCTATTCTTGAGATCTCATTCTAAGGGGGTACTCCCCTTACCCATGATAACGATGGAGTTCTGGTCTATTCTTGAGATCTCATCCTAAGGGGGTACAACAGATCTTCAGGATCAGTGGCCAGCATGTCAAACTTAAAGGGATATTCTGGTGTAAAAATTAAGTTAGGGTCAAACACACCGTAACACCGAGTTACACACCCTATCGAGAGATAAGTGTTGCTGACCGCTTGCTTCTCTAGTCATACCAACTTTGGTAACGACCACACAGCGGTCTGAGGAGCCATAAACAAACCTCAACCAAAAAGACACTCTATAGCCACAAATAATGCTCAAAACTTTGCCTGATTTCTCTAGCAAAGAGACTTAACACAACTCTCTTCCAGCAGCTGCTTGTTTGTAACGAGACCTCAGGTCAGTCCATTATGCGGGGAGACGCAGCTCAAGGAAGAACATTTATGATAATTTCTTTATCATTTCCTTGAAGTCATAATCATTATATTAATCATTTTGCACTGCAGACGCGGTAGTTCTTCTGCCTTAGCGTCTCGGTCTGATTGTATTTCCATGAAGAAATGATCATAAATGTTCTTCCTTGAGTTGCATTACCCCGCTGTAGTCAGTAATGGACTGGCTGGAGGTCTCGCTACAAACAAACGGCTGCTGGAAGAGAGTAGGTGAGTTGTGTTTAGTCTCTTTGCTAAAGAAATTAGTCAAAGTTAAAAAGATGTTTAATTGCTAGTACTATGGCTAGGACCCTATATGTACTGTTGATGAAGTTAGGTGCTGTTCTGAGCATTATTTGACTACAGAGTGGTGTTTTGGTTGAGGTTTGTTTATGGCTCTTCAGACCACTGTGTATTGCTATTGTGCGGTTGTTATTAAAGTTGGTATAACTAGAGAAGCAAGCGGTAGGCAACATTCATCTCTCAAGGAGGTGCCTAACTTGGTGTTACTGTGTGTTTGACCCTAAATTAATTTTACTCCGGAATATCTCTTTAAAGTAAACATCTCACTAAACTTTAAAAGCTGTATAGACCAGATTGGTTCTGTTTGTAACAAGCTTATAATAAATAGGTTAATTACCCTTGAAATCACCTTTAAAGTCAAATTAACATTAACATCCTATTCATGTTTCTGACAGGTATAAACTGTTTATAAGTTTATCTTGAGAACTGAAAAGTGTTTGTTAGAAATGTTAATGTCTTGATTATGTTTTTTATAAAACATTGTAACAGATTTGAAACAAGTCTTTTTGTAGTGTACTCTTATTTTAACTACGCAAAATCATGTTTTTTTTTATTTACAAGTGTTCCAACTCGTGACTTGTGGAGACAAAAAGTACATTTTACTTCAAGGTTAAATAAGGAAGAAAAAAAGTTTATGATCCCATCTAAAGCTTCCCTCTTTGTAAATTACTCTCTGAACTGTATGTGGTATGAGTACAATTTATCCCTATTTTCAGTCTGTTTCCCACGGTGAGGGAGGCGTGACACAGACTCACGGGTAGTGCAAATTTATTTTTTTCTCACTGACGCAATTTGAACCACTCGAGAAGAGGAATTGCTTTGACCTAACGGGGCCCGCAGACGGTTTCAACATATCACCAAATATGGCTGCAGCGGGGCGTGAGATCCGCTTTTCTATGAGGTAGTGGTGGAGGTGAGTGGTGGATGCGCACGGTGCCCCAGGAATTTTACGTTTTGGAGAATAAACATGCAAGACAACGCCAAGCGGAGGAATAGGTAAGACTGATCTTGACATATTTACACAGCTGATTTTGTAGAGTGTTAACAGCAAACATGTACCGTGGTTTATTTATAGAAGAGGGAGAAAGAGGCGATAACAATGGCACGGCTGTAACGCAGTGTAGCCCGCTATTTAAGACCAAAAGAACTCTTTATCGCTCACCAAATATACGTGTCTATTGTTTCTCATTAACAGAACCCACCGTGAAAAGTTAAACTGTCCTCTTTTGTTGGATTTAAGAGCCGTTTGCCTGAACTTTATTCTCTTTATTTTGAAACTTTTCAGCTTACATATTCCCTCACTTTCAGCTTAAACCTTAAGCTTTAGCTTGCAAGTTTAATATTAAGACCCAGGCCTTAGGAATGCAGAGCATGCACACTATCAAACCAAGAAAAGCAAACTCAAAGTCTGGTGTCCTGCCAGCAGCATGAGTGGGAGGTCTCACACATACATCATTCCTAGCAAGTTCATCAGAAAGTTTTACATCTCTTTTTAGTGGTTGATCAGGCTTGCATGTTTAAATTCTCAGATTTTGTCTAAAACTTTCAGTGAGTGGCTCATGACTGGCTTTCCCTTATGTTCATTACTGCTGTAAAGACCGGATATCCTCACTGAAGTTATTGTTTTAGGAATTTAATCACAGTGGCTTGATTCCAAATGTGATTAAAAGTGCTCAGTGTTTTCTGCCATGTGTCCCTGCTGCTAAAGAGGTGCTTCCTGTATGTGGGTCTCATATCCGAATAGGAAATGTGGTGTTGTAGTTCAGAGCTAACAAAGTTTGCAATATTCAGGGCTGCATTAGCAGATTACATTAACAATGGGTCTCATTTACCAGCGGCTCCCATATCTCCTTAAAACCCAGTTATGCAGCTTAATAAGAAGATTATCATATTCGCCTTAGTTTTACCTACCTGACATTTGAGGTAACAACAAAATCTACAAAACAGTATGTGTGCCTCTAAATAAGGACTCTTACATCAGTGCACAATAAGTGTTTTCTTTAGTTTTGTAAATGTACAGTATACAACTAAACACATATAAAGAAATGAGTCAGATGTGCTAGTCTAAACAACTGGGACTCAATTTGAGAGTTCCTATTTGGAGTTTTTTGACGTATCCTAAAATTTATACTGATTTTTTTTTCATATTTCAAGTTCAAATACAAACTTTATCCTCCACATTTTCAACGAATATTTACATTTCAAATAAAAAATGTCCGTCTTTGTGGAAAAAAGATTAGATAGATAGATAGATAGATAGATAGATAGATAGATAGATACTTTATTATCCCCACTCATACACAGTACACTAACAAAGACAACGACAACAAGAACAAGTGCACCTCTGCAGACCAGCCAACTACAGTAAAACCAGTATAAAACCATTATTAAACCAGTATAAAAAGTTCGATAAATGCAGTAGTGCTAGCAGTGCAATATGTATATAGTTCTGAGGTGCACAGGTCCTCAACTCATTAACAGCAAATAAAAACTTTGTCAAATTTACAAAGCAAAACAAAACCAAAAATACACAAAAAAGAACACATACACTTAAGAAAAACACTCAAATTGAGACCTGACAACAGAAGTGCTCTGTCTATGACAAATAATGATTAAATGCAATATACATTCATGACTGACACTGGTGCATGACACATTACTAGTGGAAGGGCCAATGTTTGTCATCAGGGACAATATCGGCTGATGCTGACTTACTACTTATATACTACTTACATGTACTACTTATATACTTTTAGTTTTTTACAATAAATTCTGTTGAGATTTGAAAAATGTTGATATAAAGAAAAACAGGATGTTCTTGAAATTCCAGTGAGGAACTTTTGGTTTGTGCCAACTTTGGCGCCCCCTTGTGGACAAAGCAGTCTTTGCTTATCATGTCCTTTACAAGCCTAAGTACCATCTTTTGACAAAAACTACCCTCCTGCTTACTTTTGACATTCAAATGTGTTATTTACAGTATGTGTTTTACGTGTAAATTGTAAAAACTGGCTGACACCTACCCTCTCACACTGATTTTAGACAAAAAAATAGGGATATAAAAGGCATCTATCTGGTTGTATAGATAAAGTTTGCTGGACCTGAACTAATCACTTTCACTGTGTGGACACCAGAGGTCACCAATATCACAAGTTTTGATCCCCAGAGTCGGACATAAACTACTTTCACTTCTCTTTTACTGTAAATGAGGGACTTTCCAGCTCCTCTAAGCTCAAACTGAGTGTCTTTCCCTTCCTGTATATCTCCCTTGCACAGGCCTCAGCTTGAAATGCCATTAAAGATTCCTCTTACATTCCTCAGTCCTTACACAACTTTATTTTCAGCCCGGACATGTTGGTAAAAGTAGATCAAATCTTTATTTGTTCAGTAAACAGCACTGATGTTGCAGTTTTTATCATTTACCTCACAGTTTTTCATCATTTAACAAGCTCTTGAGACATGAAAGAAGCTTTTTCATAACAATGTTAATAGTGACGCCAGTGTAACATTATTTTTACATTGAATAAGAGTTTATCTGTGAAGTAGAGATGGGTGTATGACACCAAAGCTCTGAAGCTTGTATTGTGTTAATGAAGTACCAGAGCTTGTATCACATATGAAACGTCTCATTTTTGGTGATATCCAAGGCTTTAAATGTATCTAGCACCTAAAGAACTCTTCAGCCAGTTTGACCACATAGAAAATTTTGTATTAAAACTGTGCGACTGGTCATGTATAGTAAGAAAGTAGGCCACTCATTCAGCTACTTAGCTCTTGACGGATGCATCAAGACAACCAAATAATCAAAATAAAAATTTTTGATTGCATTTTTCTTTCCTGTCTTTCTCCAGATAATGTGACAAACCTCAACAGAAGGTGTGACAAACCGCCAGCTCAAGATCCCACCTGCACTGTAAAAGACTAAAGAAAAAACTGCCGTCCCTTCACTTATTCTGACTTCCTACCATGCCTCCGCTCACATTGCCGACCCCCCAGCTGTTGTGGGTGCGTCTTGCAGCCCTGCTGTTCACCTGCGTGGCCTTCAGTGTTGCAGCACATGGAGCCTATTTACCCCACGGGGGCATGGCTGACTGGTGCATCTTCTGCTGGGCGTTCAGCTTCGCCTGCACCCTGCTGGTCTTACTGGTGGAGCGGTTTGGCCTCCAAGCCCAAGCCCTGGTGTCCTGGTCCAATTTTCCCATCACAGTCGCCTGCTACGCCGCCCTCCTCTGCCTCTCCGCCTCAATCATCTTCCCAGTCTTCTTCCTTAAGGACATGTGGTTCTACAACAACGTTCGAGACTATCGCATCACTTCCACTGTCTTCTCCTGCCTGGCGGCGGTTGCCTACATGGGGGAGGTCACCCTGACTAAAGCCAGGCCAGGAGAGATTTCAGGTTACATGGCGACGGCTCCAGGTTTGCTGAAGGTGTGTCAGACCTTTGTGGCTTGCATAATCTTCATCCTGGTGAGCAACCCAGTCTCGTATGACTTCAACTCAGCCCTCCAGTGGTGCATGGCCGTGTACTGCATCTGCTTTATCATCTCCATAGCTATCGTGATGATGTGTGTGTGCGAGTGCACCGGCAGCCTCCCAATACCATTTTCCAAGTTCTTGTCATGCTACGGGCTCCTGGCAGTTCTTATGTACTTTACCGCTACCATCATCTGGCCCATTTTCCAGTTTGACAAACGATACCAAGGTAGAGGTCAAGCATCGTCTCGACAGATTGCCGTCGCAGTGCTGACTGCCATCAACTTCCTGCTGTACCTGGCTGACCTGGTCTACAGTGCCAGACTAGTGTTTGTCAGTGGCTGAGAGTGAAAGAACAGAAGTGATGTGAACAGAAATAAAGAGGCTAAAGCCTTAGGGGTTAGGGGGGACTTTGTTTTTAAAGTGTAGCTTCAGTGTAACATCGCCAATCAGCGTCTACATGAGAATATTCACATGGCAGCCAATTTAATCCAACGTCATGCCAAGGGTTGGGTGTTTAGATGTCATACTGTTTTGTTACAGGTTTTAAAACGTATAAAATCCAGCATTTGTGACAAATTTATGGAAGACTTATGGAATTTGCAGAGTTTGTTTAATTTTACAGTTAGCACCTGTAGCTGTGGTAGCAAACAGAAAAAAATGGCCTAAATAGCTCCAGGGTGACACCATCCGATTGTCCTTTCAATTTGGGAATAGTGAATCGGCAACGCCTTGTTAACTATGCTGCTCTTACGCAGTTTAGCCCAGTAACACAGTAGCGTGGAACTAAAACAACACTAAAGTTACCAAGCTTGATGTTGTTGTTAGAGGCAAATGGCTGCTGTGTGAATACGGTTAACCACCTCTAATGCCAAACACCGTCCTCAACAGGGATTAAGTCCTAGCTTTAGCAGAATTATCTTGGCTAATGGGAGGATCTGTCAGTCTTTAAATTTCTTCACTTTTTGAAGCAGCGCACGTTTTCAACTCTGCTGATTTGCTTCTTTGTTTAGTCTGTCTAGAGCCCCTCCCCATAAAAGGTGCTAAAACAAAAGGATTGGATCAACACTTTGTTTACCTGCTAAAGTGTTATTTGCTTGTTATGTTACGCTAATGCTTTCAGCTGCATGGAAGATAGCCTTGGTGGTAAATGTACAGTGCTGGCTGACAATAGAAGTTTTCCCTCTCAGATATGGAGAGGTTTCATCTGCAGCAGCTCAAGGTGATGTTTTTGCCAGTTTTAGTCCTCATTTTGTGCAGCCAGTTAGTGTTATGTAAGTACAAAAACAGCCTGATCCTACATTTTCCTTATCCGCTAAGTCATTAAAGCAGGCTTGTGTCTTTTTTTTTCATTTGGTTATTGAAAAAAACGAACATTTCATTTTCATGACCTCTGGGTAGGTCGTAAGTTTCGCATTAGCCTCATTTTTAAAACTTATAATGAGCGTTTAATGATTTTTTAAATTTTATTTCATCAAGTTCATTAAAATTTCTTTGCATCTTAATCAAATTCTTGCTAGCATCATTGACAAGCTAGCAAACTTTAGGCTAATGACATTCTGTCACTAAAATTTGTAATTTTAGTTAAAAAAAAATCAAAATTATTCTCTCAGAATATAAAACCTTCTTTTGTGTACATTAATTCATTTAATATCAGCAAGAGTTTGAGATAAGTGTGCTAATAAATTACTGTGAAATTACTATTTTGTGGACTTGGCACGGACAATAAAATAAGCTTGAGGAGGCTTACAAACTGTAACCAATCGGATCAGGATTTAGGTTGACATGCTGATATTAGAAACTGTTGTACTGTAACCTCATTTCTGCTCATGTGTTTATCCTCTAATGTGAACACAACAGGCAGGGATTTATTGAATGTGAGAAAAAAGCTTTTAAAGCTTATGAATGAAGTCAACACACTGGAGCAGCAAATGAGCATTTCAACATCTGAGGCATACAGGCCCTCTGGTCTCTATGGGAAGGTTCTTAGTCCAAAACTAGGGCACTGTAACTGCACCCTTACAGAATAATGTGTTTAGGATGCCTCTTACTGAATTTTAGGGATAATGTTTTGGATGAAAATGTAGTTTTTCCCTTTTTTTATTGTTACCAGAATATCAGTATTCTAACGTGAAAGAATTAAGTTCTGAATAAAGTTTTCAGTGACAGAAGCTTTTTGGTTATCTCAAGTATTTTGGTCAAAGGTGGTCTATTGTCTTAGTCATTAAAATAAATGTAGTGATGTTCATTACGCAATTACAAAGAAAGATTTTACTCGTTATTTTGATGAACTTTTCACTCAAATTAATGAGCAGCTTGAGGAGCTGTTTTTAAGACCTAGGAGTACCTTTACCATTAAAGTGTACGTGTACTTGCTTCTTAAATACCCTCCATGTCAACCATAGTGATGGTAACAGCGAAGGAGGCTTCCAGAAAGCTGGGTTCTAGGGGGTCTTAAGGGGACAGCGACTTAACTGAAGGGCCTCGGACAAAGGGTGAAATGAGGGTTTTCAAAGACAGCAGCCTGAAACATGTTCAGAGTTTGTTGAACTGTAAATCATGTGACACTGCTAAGAAGTTATTAGAGGGACAATAGAAAGCCAAAAATAAACATAACACTCCCTCTGTAAAACTGACTTCCTTCTTCTGAACTGGGAACTGCCCTATTGACTGTCAACAACTGAAGACGACTCAGAGTCCAGATTCACATTTGCACTTGCCAGTCTTAATCCAACTGACAGACGCTCCAGCGTTACCTCAATTCACAACATGAATGGTAAGTATAAGTCTTTCACTGTTGGTTTTTTTTCAGTAAATAAGTGTAGCTGACAAGATATTTGATCCGTTCAGTACCAAGGAGAATTGTCATCCTGGGCAAAACTGGATCTGGGAAAAGTAGCCTGGCAAACACCATATTTGGAGAGGAAGTGTTCAAGATCGACCATACTTCCAAATCTGGAACAAGTAAATGTCAGGCAGAAACAAGATCTCTTAATGAAAGAAGATTTACTTTGATCGACACTCCTGGTTTCTTTGACACCAAAATGTCTGAAGAGGAACTGAAGCCTGAGATAGTGAGGTGTCTCACAGAGTGCGCTCCTGGTCCTCATGCTTTTCTCATTGTGCTTAAAGTGGAGAAATTCACTGAACATGAGCAGGCTGTTGTTGCTAAAGTGAAGGAATACTTTTTTGAAGAAGCCTTTAGATATGCAACAGTTGTCTTTACTCATGGTGATCAACTTCAAGAGGGGCAGACGATTGAAGATTTTGTCCAAGAGGACGAGAATCTGAGAGATCTGGTGAAGCTGTGCAGCGGCCGCTGTCATGTCTTCGATAACAAATACTGGAACAAAGAGGGTGAATACAGAAACAACCAGTTCCAGATAAAGCAGCTGTTCAAGACAATAGACAAGATGATTAAAGACAATACAGATGGCTGCTACACCAATGAGACGCTACAAGCAGTGGAGAAAGAAATACAGCAAGAGATTGAAAAGATTAGGCCGTCATCTGCAAACATGTCAGAGGAAGAGATCAGAAAGAGGGCTAAAGGCAATGTTTTTAGAAAGCTTTCGACTCGCCTTGCAGGGCCAGTAACAGGTATGCTGCTTGGAGCTTTTTTTGGTGCTAAGATGACGGTCACAGTAACTGTTATATTCACAGGAGCAGTCACACCTTTACTGGTATCAGCTGCAGTGGGAGCAGTGATTGGAGGGGCTGCAGGACTTTTTGTAGCGAAAGACTCAAAGACACCCCAGGAGGCAGGAACAGCAGTTAAAAATGCTGCAAACGTTTTCCGTGAGGAAGTTGCTGATTTTATGGGGGGAATGGCACAGCCTAAAAAGAAGAAAGAGAAGTGAATGACAGGATGAAATTCTTGAGAAAAGGCAACAGAAAGATAAAGTGTCTTCTTATAGCACCAATGAAAACTTACTTCAAATCATCTTTAACCATATAAGTTTGGGATGACTATATTAGATTTAAGGCCTTTAATCAGTTTGCCTATCAGCATTGATTAAACATGTTTTTTTTAAGTAGCTTTTTAATGTTTAAAATAAGTAACTTTGTTGTTGATTGTACTTCTGATAGTTTTGGTTTTTGTAACATTTGTGAGTGTGGTGACAATCTATCTTGCATATCTATGTTGATTTAATAAAGATCCTGAATGTTAACGACTTTATTTGTATGTTAACGATCATTTATTTTCTCCCTTTAAAACTAACTCTCTGTTCACTGACTGTGAGGCCTGAGGAGTAAAAGCTCCCCCTGCTGGCTGTCTGCAGTATAACTCATAGGGGGCTCATAGGGCCTGCCTCCTCCTGCAGCAGGTGGAACATTTCTCTGGGAAGTCTGGTTTTAATAAGTAATTTAGAATGAAGGGTTGTGACATCCTGATTGACAAATGAGGCTCCTCTAGTGCTGTGAGTACTGAATTAGAGGAAGTGGAGGAGAGGAAGCCGCATCTGTAGTCCAACATGTTTGATTAATTTCCAACTTAAAAGATTAAATAACACACTTTTAAGTAATGACTTCATAGTTAACACTACAACTGTAACTAAGACTTAATCAACCTTATTTACACCTGTAACAAAGACCCCATTAAGCTTTTATTACAGCCATTGTGAAAACTTAATCCCTGTCACTCATCATAAACCAATGACAAAGTTACTATGATTCGGGTACATTAATGAACAGTTACTCTATATATTCATTCATATGTGACCAAATTAGCTTTAAATACAAGCTTCAGTAACGACTTTACATGTAATCTGATTATTTCAGTCACTATAGAGTGATAATTCCTTGATATCATATAATATTCTCACAGTAAAGCACTATAATAGTGAAACTTAAAGCATAAGAATAAATAAAACAAAGTTATTTCACATATCAATAGTTGAAACTAAAACTCAAGTTGTGAAATAAAAAAATATATTCGGCATTGTATTTATCATCAGATTTATCAAGGTTTTGTTACTGCAGCACTTCATATTCATGTCAACTAATAGTTAAACTGCACCTTATAAGAGCTTATAAGCATTTATAATGGTTAATATTAGCATAATTAACATTAACTGTTGCTTTCAGACACTTTTAGGTTCTCATTAGAAACTTGTTCGTAGTTCATACATAAATCATCAACATCAAATTGGAGGAGGTCATGATGGGGGGCCACAGCTGACGTTAAAAGCTTAGATTCAACCCTTTCTAGACATTAAATGACACAAAACTAAGTACAGGCTCTAATACCTGCTGCTCTGACTCTGAGTCAGCTTCATGTACCCTCTCTTTCGTTCTCTCTCTCTGACTGGTGTTGGTGGCTGCAGCCCCTCCCATCCTGTTTCTGCGGTTGCTTCCCCGTCCTCTTCGTCCCTCATCTCACAAGCGATGAACCTCGGCTCCACTCAGCATAAAAAAAGGAAGTATGTTCCTCTTTACATGTGAACAGACATACAAACATGGTAGGTTGAAATCTGGTTGTTGGAGACTGTGTTATGAAATGTAGCCTATTTTGAAGCTGTTTTTTTTGTAATTTTTTGACCACCAGGGAGCTGTGAAGTCAAGTCTGTGTGAGTGAAAGTTAAGGTGTCAGACAACTGTGGACATGGACGGTAAGGTCTTATCAATTCTTCCCTGCTTTATGGAAATTTAGGTCAAATTTTTCCTAAATTTATCACAAGTAACACGATAGAGGCTAACTAAGAGGACTGTATGAAGTAAAATACAGCAGTCATGCATGATGCTGTCTGTGTATGTTGACTTACATGAGTGTACTAGGTGATCATGGAAACTACAAATAAAAAAAAGGTCAAAGTCTTTCACTGTTATTTTTTTCTGTGAACAAGTGTAGCTGACAAGACATTTGATCCTTTCAGTACCAAGGAGAATCGTCATCCTGGGCAAAACTGGACATGGGAAAAGCAGCCTGGCAAACACCATGTTTGGAGAGAAAATGTTCAAGATCGACCATACTTCCAAATCTGGAACAAGTGAATGTCAGGCAGAAACAAAATCTTTTAATGAAAGAAGATTTACTTTGATCGACACTCCTGGTTTCTTTGACACCAAAATGTCTGAAGAGGAATCGAAGCCTGAGATAGTGAGGTGTATCACAGAGTGCGCTCCTGGTCCTCATGCTTTTCTCATTGTGCTTAAAGTGGAGAAATTCACTGAACATGAGCAGGCTGTTGTTGATAAAATAAAGGAATACTTTTCTGAGGAAGCCTTTAGATATGCAACAGTTATCTTTACTCATGGTGATCAACTCCAAGAAGGGTGGACAATTGAAGATTTTGTCCAAGAGGACGAGAATCTGAGAGATCTGGTGAAGCTGTGCGGTGGCCGCTGTCATGTCATTGATAACAAATACTGGAACAAAGAGGACGAATACAGAAACAATCAGTTCCAGATAGAGCAGCTGATCAAGACAATAGACGAGATGATTAAAGACAATAGAGATGGCTACTACACGAATAAGACACTACAAGCAGTTGAGACAGAAATACAGCAAGAGATTGACATCATAAAGCAGTTATTCCCAAACTTGTCAGAGGAAGAGATCAGAAAGAGGGCTAAAGGCAATGTTTTTAAAAAAGTGTTGTATCTTTTGGCAGGGATGGCAACAGGTACGCTGCTTGGGGCTTTTTTTGGTGCTAAGATGATGTTCAAATTAGCTCGTCAAACAGGATTTGGACAAGCAACCACAGCTGTACTGGTATCAGAAGTAGTGGGAGCAATGATTGGAGGGATTAGAGGATTTATTGCAGCTGAAGTAGCAGAGACACCGTGGGAGGCAGCAAGAGCAGTTAGAGATGCTGTCAGAGATCACACCACAAGACTCTATGAGCAGGTTACTGGTGCTACAGAGGGAATGGAACAGCAGAAAGAAGAAACACGACAGAAGAAAGAGAAGTGATTGACAGGATGAAATTCTTGAGGAAAAGCAAAAGAAAAAAAGTGTCTTCTTCTAGCACCAATGAAAACTTCTTATATCTTTAACCATATAAGTTAGGGATGATTATCAAAGTTATGGTCTTTAATCAAATTTACAAGTTTGCCTGTCAGCATTGATTAAAATTTTTTTAAATAGCTTTTGAATGTTTAAAATAATTAACTTTGTTGTTGATTGTACATTTGATAGTTTTGATTTTTGTAACATTTGTGAGTGTGTTGACAATCTATCTTGCATATCTATGTTGATTTAATAAAAGATCCTGTATTTTGACAACTTATTTGTTGGTTTTTGCATTACATAATTTTTTGGCACGTCAAAACTGACGCTGTTCACTGAATGTGAGGCCTGAAGAATAAGAGCTCCCCCTGCTGGCTGCCTGCAATATAACTCATAGGGCCTGCCTCCTCCTGCAGCAGGTGGAACATTTTCTGGGAAGTCTGGTTTTTATAAGTTATTCAGAATGAAGGGTTGTGACATCCTGATTGACAAATGAGGCTCCTCTAATGCTGTGAGTACTGAATTAGAGGAAGTACAGGAGAGGAGAGGAAGCCGCATCTGTAGTCCAACATGTTTGATTAATTTCCAATTCAAAAGATTACAGCCATTGTGAATTCCTGTCGCTCATCATAAACCGGTTACAAAGTTACCATGATTCAGGGAGGCTAATGAACAGTTACTCAATATATTTATTTGCATGTGACCAAATTAGCTTGAAATACAAGTTTAGGTAAGGACAACACATTTGATCTGATTATTTCAGTTACCATAGAGTGATAATTCCTTGATGTCATATCATTTTCTTACGGTTCAGCACAATAATAGTGAAAATTAAGGCCTAAAAATAAATCTGACATTAAATTTATTCCACTCATCAATAGTTGAAACTAAAACTCAAGTTGTACAATTAAAAATTATATTCAGCATTGTGTTTATCACCAGAAATATCAGAGTTTTGTTACTGCAGCACTTCATATTCATGTCAACTAATGGTTAAAATGCTCCTTATAAGGCGCTTAAAGCATTTATAATGGTTAATATCAGCATAATTTACACATTAATTGTTCCTTTTAGACACTTGGAGGTTCTCATTTAAAACTTGTTAATAGTTCATACATAAATCATAAACATCAAATTGGAGGGGGTCATGATGGGAGGCCACAGCCAATGTTGAAAGCTTAGATCAAACCCTTTCTATACATTAAACTAAACAAAAACTAATTACAGGCTCTAATACCTGCTGCTCTGGGTCAGCTTCATGTCAACCCCCCATCCTCCATTTGTCCTGTTCCACATATCTCTCTCTCTCTCTCTCCGACTAGTGCTGGTGGCTGCAGCCCCTCCCATCCTGTTCCCACTCTTGCTTCCCCCTCCTCTCCATCCCTCATCTCATGAGCGATGAACCTCGGCTCCGCTCAGCAGAAGAAAGGATGTACCTTCCTCTTTACATGTGAACAGACTCAAACATACAAACACGGTAGGTTGAAATCTGGTTGTTGGTGGCTGTGTTATAAAATGTAGCCTATTTTGAAGCTGTTTTTTTGTAATTGTTTGACCACCAGGGAGCTGTGAAGCCGAGTCTGTGTCAAACAGAAAGTGAAAGTTAAGGAGTCAAACGACTGTGGAGGACACAACATGGACGGTAAGGTCTTATCAATTCTTTCATGCTTTATGGAAATTTAGGTCAAATTTTCCCTAAATGTATTATTAGTAACATATTAGAGGCTAACTAATCTCTTAAGGATTGTATGAAGTGAAATGCAGCAGTCGAGCATGATGCTGTCTGTGTATGCTGACTCACATGAGTGTACAGAAAATCAGAAACCATTAGCAGATATCAGATATCCTGAATCAGAATTCACTACAGAGTCTTAATTGATCTCTTGTAGTTTGGAGCAACACTTATTCTATATTTGAGTTTCAGAGGACACATGAGAATTATACAGCAATAAATCCACAACGAACCAGCTGGCACAGCATATTAGAAAAAAAGACTCTTAAAGTTTTGGTTTTAGTTAAAAACACGAAAGTACAAAGAAGGACTGTCTTGATATCACATTTTCACCTCACAATTATTATGGCAAAAAGTTAATAAAAAAAACTATTTATGAAAAAAAAAAAGGAAAAAGAAACAATTTGCGATGCTTTTATTTTGACATCCTTGCTGTCCTTCATGTAAGTTGCTTCAGTTTCTTTATTATAAGATCATGCTTTTATTTCGAAATGAAGTACATGCCACTCCTGGTAGATTGTGAGTTATTGAAAAGAGAATTTAGAAAAGCCCAAATGTTACATACATTAGCGCCCCCAGGAGAGGCAAAAGGGAGAAAAATATCCCTTATGTGGAAATGTAGGGGTTGCAATCTGTTTCTATCAATATTTTTGCAGCAAGTTATTATGGACATAACTTTTTTTCAGAGTCAAACCCAATGAGAGTCCTCATTTTGGGGGAAACTGGATGTGGAAAGAGCAGCCTGGCTAACACCATATTATCAGACACTGTGATCAACAGCATCCACTCATCCAAATCTGCATCCACTTGTTTTCAAGCAGGGACAAAGTCTTCAAAAAACATCATTATCACTGAAGTTGACACTTTTAGTCCGTTTTTGGATCCGATAGCGAGGTTTATCACAGTGTGCCATCCTGAGCCTCCTGTTTTCTTTATTGTGCTTAAAGTGGAGAAGTTCATAGAGCAAGAACATGGCGCCATCGCCGAAATATTCGAATGGTACTCTGATGTAATCTTCAAAAACGCAATAGTTGTCTTCACTCATGGTGACCGGCTCCCAGAAGGGCAGACAATACATGACTTTGTTTATGAGAACAAGAAGCTAAGGGATCTGGTGAGGAGGTGTGGGGGTCGATGTCACGTTGTTGATAACAAATACTGGAAAAACAATGAAGAGGACAACTACAGGAGTAACCACTTCCAGGTGGCACAGCTGCTCAAGACTATGGACGAAATGGTGACAGAAAACAAATGCTGCTCCTCTTCCTCATGTCCAGAGGCAGAAACTGAGGGGGCAATGATGGGATTGGGAGAGAGAACAACAGAGGAAGAAGACACAGTGATCTCAACGGAACAAGTGGCTGATGGAGATGGTGTGGAAGTAACTGAAAGAGGTGGAGCGTCAAGTCGTAATGCAGAGAAGATGCACAGAGAAGTGGAGAAACAAACAGAGAAAGAAAGCAAAGGAAGTTCAAATGGAGAGAGCAGCAAGGCTAGACATAATACAACCAACGCCAAAGAGGGGGAGCGAGAAGGAAAAGAAGAAGAGGATGAAACAGCAGAGGAGAATAAAGCACAAAAGGAAGTTAGAGCTTTGGCTGGTTTCTCCAGACATCATAGAATTCCACTGGAGATCGCTTTGGAGCTGTTGTGTCCAATTCCTGTAGGAGTCATCAGAGCAGCAACAGCATTGTCTAAGAAAGCAATATCAAGAACAACATCTCCAAGAGAAGAAGCAGAAAGAGCAGAAGAGGAAAAGGTAGGTCAAGACCAAGAGGATGCAGAGACTACAAAGGAGGATTGCATAGAGGCAGAAGGATTGAGACATGTTGTGTGTTTCATAAGAAAACACAAAGTTCCACTGCAGATTGCTTCCTGGTTTTTATGTCCAGCTGCTACAGGATTATTAACAGTCGCAACAATATTAGATGCAACACTGAAAACAAAGAGATCCTCAGGAAAAAATGCAGAAAGGGAAACTACAGAAAAAGAAACATCAGAAGATGAAACAGAAGAAACAAAACCAGAAAATGAAACAAAAGATAAAACAGATGAAACAAAACCAGAAAATAAGACAACCAAAGATAGAAAAGAAGAAACAAAACCAGAAAAAAAGACAAATGAAGATGAAAGGGAGGAGAAAAAATCTGAAAAGGAGACAAACGAAGAAACAACACCTGTAAATGAGACAAAGGAAAACAATGAAGAACAAACAAAACCACAAAAACAGACAACAGCAGATGAAACAGAAGATACAATAGCAGAAAATGAGAAAACCGAATATGAAACAGAAGAAACAAAACCAGACAAAGAATCAACAGCAGATGAAACAGAAGAAACAAAACCAGAAAATAAGACATCTACAGATGAAACAGAGGACAAAAATTCACAAAATAGGACAAATGAAGAAACAACACCTGTAAATGAGACAAAAGACGACAATGAAGGACAAACAAAACCACAAAAACAGACAACTGCAGATCAAACAGAAGAAACAAAACCAGAAAAAGAAAAAACTGAATATGAAACAGAAGAAACAAAACCAGACAAAGAATCAACAGAATATGAAACAGAAGAAACAAAACCAGAAAATAAGACAACCAAAGATAAAAAAGAAGAAACAAAACCAGAAAAAGAGACAACTGGAGATGAAACAGAGGACAAAAATTCAGAAAAGGAGACAAATGAAGAAACATCACCTGTAAATGAGACAATAGAAGACAATGAAGGACAAACAAAACCACATAAACAGACAACAGCAGATGAAACAGAAGATACAAAAGCAGAAAATGAGAAAACCAAATATGGAACAGAAAAAACAAAACCAGAAAAAGAGACAACTGGAGATGAAACAGAGGACAAAAATTCAGAAAAGGAGACAAATGAAGAAACATTACCTGTAAATGAGACAAAAGAAGACAATGAAGAACAAACAAAACCACAAAAACAGACAACAGCAGATGAAACAGAAGAAACAAAACCAGAAAAAGAAAAAACTGAATATGAAACAGAAGGAACAAAACCAGACAAAGAATCAACAGAATATGAAACAGAAGAAACAAAACCAGAAAATAAGACAACCAAAGATAAAAAAGAAGAAACAAAACCAGAAAAAGAGACAACTGGAGATGAAACAGAGGACAAAAATTCAGAAAAGGAGACAAATGAAGAAACATCACCTGTAAATGAGAAAAAAGACGACAATGAAGGACAAACAAAACAACAAAAACAGACAACTGCAGATGAAACAGAAGATACAAAACCAGAAAATAAGACATCTACAGATGAAACAGAGGACAAAAATTCACAAAATAGGACAAATGAAGAAACAACACCTGTACATGAGACAAAGGAAGACAATGAAGGACAAACAAAACCACAAAAACAGACAACTGCAGATCAAACAGAAGATACAAAAGCAGAAAATGAGAAAACCGAATATGAAACAGAAGAAACAAAACCAGACAAAGAATCAACAGAATATGAAACAGAAGAAACAAAACCAGAAAATAAGACAACCACAGATGAAACAGAGGACAGAAATTCACAAAATAGGACAAATGAAGAAACAACACCTGTAAATGAGACAAAGGAAGACAATGAAGGACAAACAAAACCACAAAAACAGACAACTGCAGATCAAATGAAGAAACAAAACCAGAAAAATGAAAAAACTGAATATGAAACAGAAGAAACAAAACCACAAAAACAGACAACTGCAGATGAAACAGAAGATACAAAACCAGAAAAAGAGACAACAGAAGATAAAACAGAAAAAAAGATTAAGAAACAAAAAGATAAAGACAAATCACAAGACGAAAAAGTAAGAAAAAAAGATAAAGAGACAAAACAGGATAAAACTGTTGAAACGAAACCAGAAAAAGAAACACCCAAAGTAAAAAAATCAGAAGTACAAACATCAGGAAGAGAAGACAGAGGAAAATCAACTGCAGAACCAGCGGCATCAACACCTGTCAAACAAAGAGGAGGTCCACTTTCAGCAGTATTCACATTTTTATTGGCAGCAGTATCTGCACCATTGGGAGCTGCATCAGGAGCTGTGGCGTGGGGAGCTGTAGGAGCAGGAGCAGTGATCACAGCAGCAGCAGGATCAGCAGCTGCACTGATGAAAGTCGGTAGTTCAGTGTTGGGAGCTGGAGGAGCAACATCATCAGGAGCAGCTGGAGCAACATCATCGGGAACAGCTGGAGCAACATCATCGGGAACAGCTGGAGCAACATCATCGGGAATAGCTGAAGGAACGTCATCGGGAACAGCTGGAGGAACATCATCGGGAACAGCTGGAGCAACATCATCGGGAACAGCTGGAGGAACATCATCGGGAACAACTGGAGGAACGTCTTTGGGAACAGCTGGAGGAATATCATCAGGAACAGTGGTGGCGGGGATGGCTGTTGCCTTGATTGGAGCAGGGATTTATGTGGCATACAAAATTTATCAGCTGATTGAGTTTTTATTGACCCTTCCTCGACATTTGCTTATCATGGTGCTTGTGGTTGTCTTCTACTCATTGCTACTGTTATCATTTGGTGTGCAGGTTCGAATGCTCGGAACCATCCTCCTGATACTTGAAGTTCTGCTACTCTTTATTGTTTTTGTAATATTAGCAACACCAGTGATACCAGGAGCAGAAACAGTAAAAGCAATAGTAGCAAGAGCAGGATCAACAGCATTATCAATTGGAACAAAAGTACTCTTATTTGTGGCGCAAAAAATTTATCATTTTTCAGAATATCTGCAGACCCAGTCAAGACATGCCAGACTCATGTCCCTTGTGGTTGTCTTCTACTCAATGCTGCTTCTATCATTTGGTGTGCAAGTGCAAATGCTTGGAACAATCCTCCTTATAAGTGAAGAATTGCTTCTGTTTGTAGTGTTGGTGTTTTTGATCATGATATTAGAATTCCAACCATCTGACCCATGTGAATCATCGGTTATCAAGACTTTGGGAGATGAGGATGAAAAATTTGAAGTTACATGATGACCTCCTGACAACAAACCTTATGATTACTCCCCAAAGTTTTGCACAATCCCATCATGCCCTTCCTTGTAAGGCTTTAAACTGGGGTTTAGTTAGTACCATGTCCTTCATTATATTCCTACCACTTTGTACCTTGGAAGGTTCTTCACTACCTTGCAAGCATATTTATGATGCATGCTATTAACATTCTATTAGCACAGTCTAAAACATATGAAGAACAAATTGTCTGAATGTTGTCATTATCTAATGTAACATTTTAAACGTGCACAATGTGACATTGATTTGTTATGTGTTTTCAACTGACTGTATTTCTTTGCATGAAGTTACAATAGGTCTTCCTTGTCTGAATAGTTGAATTTTTACTTATGTTTTAATGTGTTTAGTGTGTTGAATGTAGTAGACATCAATTAAGGATAAAACAGACTTAAGATCTTAAATACAGTGTGTGACATTCAAATAAAGGTAAATAAAACAAGTGTAAGCCACCAGTTTTACCTGTGTGCTTGCTTGGAGTAACAGTATACTCACTGTTATGAAGCACCAGTGTTTAAGTTTTAACCAGAATTTCGTTCCCTTTCAAGGCAGTAGTTAAGTGCTCCTAATTTGGTAAATGCAAATGAAATTATCTCTGAAAGAGTTTAAGGTTTCTTAAATCTCATCTTTACTAAGTCTCGATGTTTCCTGTTAAAGAGGGACTGTGGTATTTTTAGTGGAAATTAGAGCAGCCAGCAGCCGGAAAATGGGCTAAACCATAGTTTTACCAGACAAATGCTTTACATTTACCACTGACAGACTCAAATTGTTATTACAAGTCCTGAAAATGGAAAGGCAAGGGTTTCCAATGCCTTCCATTTGTACTGGAAAAAAAATGAGAAGAGTATTGGTAATGGACATCATTTTTGTTCAGCTTCAAGCTTCCTGGGAAAAGCTGGATCTGGGAAAAGCAGCCTAGCAAACACCAAACTAGGAGAGGAGACATTTAAGGTCAAAGTGTACTTCATGTCTGAAACAAGTGGACATGAGGCAGTATCAAAATTTCCGAATGAGAGAAGCATTATGATGATCGACACTCCTGGACACACACAAATCTGACGAGGATCTGAAGCCAGAGATAGGAGGTGTAAAAGTAGCCACAGAGAAATGTATATTTACTCTAAAGTACACCATCGTTCGATTTTGATGCATGATTTTGTCGTGACTGGAGGTAAAATTTCAAAAGATGAAGCGCTGTGAAGAGTCCCAGAATGCCTTGTGCAAGCCACGTTTCTTCTGCCAGCTCCGCAACTGGTTTGAAAGGGTACTGACACTGGACTTATGAGGTGGGTGGATTTTTTTGGATTTTGGGAGAAAGCTTTGAGTCATCCAACAGCCGATATCATTTAGACAGTCTTTGATAGCGGCTAGGCTTGTAGGATCCTCAGGTCTCAAGGGGAAGTATATCTGTGTGTCGCCTGCATAGCAAGAAAGGAGACTTTGTGGCGCTGAAATATTTCAAGGGGAAGCATATACACAGGAAATAAAATCCTAGAACTAACACCAGAGGTAATGAAAGAGATAGAGGAGGAGTAATTACTGTGGTGAAACTTTTAAAATAACTAAAAATATCCTTATTTGTGTAAAATGTGGGTCAGTGTTTTAACTACTGTCCTCTACTTTGCTCATTCTTCTCACATGGCAGAGGTGTGAGGTTTCCCGACATACAAATACACGGGTTGTTAGTCTGCTCTCTAATAATAAAAATAGAAGTGCATTGTGTGATACTGTCATTCCTTCAGCCTGCTGCCCAGAAACAAGTCAAACAAGTGAAAGATCGAGAGGAGCAAGACAAAGAAAAAGACGCTCTGTCAGGACATCCTGCAGATATAAGTGTTTAAGATTTTACACTTTCTACAGCATGGACGGTAAGTTATGACTACTTTTATTCAGTTATTCTGCAAACACAGAACAATTTATTTTTAACACCAAAACTTGAATTCATTGGTTTGTGTACTTTTTCATGAAAGTTTAATGCCAATAGGTCCAAGTTTGTTAAATAATGTTTGAACTGTTGGTATAATTTTGAATAAGAAAAATAAAAAAATAAAAAAACTCAAAAGGTTGCTGTAACAAAGTGAAAGTATTTCAATCACTGCAGTGTTTAAAAATGAGTCACTAAGAAGAACAGGTTTATTTTGGCAACTACAAGTGATTTTGATTCTATGCAGTGCTTTCCACTACAAATAATGCAGCCTGAGGATCACAGCCATTCAGTTTTAGTTTTTGATTACATCTCCTTTGTACGATTTTCTAGATTTTCTGAATCTTTTATTGACATTTTGTACATTAGGTGGTGATACTTTTCAGTTTTACACCAGAGAGCATGATTTTAGAATTGTTAAACTATTAGCTCTGGTAGTCTCTTATAGAATTATTAGAGACTCAGCCTCCAGTCATGTTTCAACCTGTTGATATTTTTTTTCCCCAGGATGTGTATTTAATAGTGTTACCCAAATTTTTTAGCATTTTGTTTCCCCTGTGCAAACTTTTTTGAAATGTGCTGCTGCAGAAAGAGAATTCAATTTCATAAAACAGTTTACTTTTAATCTAAGTTTCAACATCTGACATGTTTTCTTAGCACCACTCTCAGTCTTTTGTTTTTAGTCAGCCTTTTTACACAACATCCTGAGCTTTTTTCGAAAAGGGTTCTTATTGTGATGAAGAATTACATTTTTTGGTTAACGTGTGCTTGAGATCCCAAAGATCCAAAAACTTGTCTATGGCATTAGTGCTTACAAGAATACAGTAGTGTGTGTATATATGTCCTATAAGTCAGATATATTAGCCCAACATGAGCCTTAATTTAGGTTTACAAAAGCTGACAGTTTTGCAGAATACAGTGTACTACAGTGAGATGTCTTTGGCAAATTTCATTGACAGCAACATAACTGTTTTCCAGAAAACACACGAAGGATCGTCGTCTTAGGGAAGACTGGAGCCGGGAAGAGCAGTCTGGCCAACACCATTTTTGGAGAGACTGCATTTAAAGAAGACACCACCGCCGATTCTGGTACAAGTGAATGTCAAGCAAAAACCAAATCCATCAATGGAAGATGCATCATGTGGATTGACACTCCCGGGTTCTTTGACACAAAGAGATCCGAGGAGGCGATGAAGCCTGCAATACTGAAGTGCATCACTGACTGCTCTCCCGGGCCTCATGCTTTCCTCATTGTGCTTAAAGTGGAGAAATTCACAGAGCAAGAGCGGGCTGTCATCGAAAAGCTGTGCCAGTATTTCTCAGAGGAAGCTTTAAAATATGCCATTGTTCTGTTTAGTCATGGTGACCAGCTCTCTGAAGGACAGAAGATTGAGGAGTTTGTAGAAAAGTGTGACAATCTGAGAAACCTGGTGGAGAAATGTGGGGGCCGGTGTCACGTCATGGATAATAAATACTGGAAGAAAACTCTGCAGGATGACTACAGGAACAACCAGTTCCAGGTGGCAGAGCTGCTGAAAACAATCGACAAGATGGTTGAAGCAAACAAGGGAGGCTGCTACACCAATGACATGCTGCAAGCAGTGAGGAGAGACATACAACAAGAACAAGCGAACATCCAACAGACATCTGCAAACAAGTCACCAGAGGAGATCATGCAAAAGGCCAAAGCCAATGTGCTCTCAAAGCAGCTATTGAAATTTACCGGAGTTACAACAGGAGCACTGCTGGGAGCCTTTCTTGGTGGGGCAATGAAATTAATGAGCCAAGAAGGACCTATGGTAGCACTGGTGGCAGGTGTAGCAATAGGAACAGCTGCGGGAGTAGCAGCAGGGGTTGATATTACAGGTGAGGCAAAAGAAAAGAAACAAACCTCTGTCTAGAGATGGTGTTTAACTACCTGAAAAGTCTTGATGAGGAATAATACGTGCTTTGATATGAATGAGTGATAGGGCTGCTCATTTATGACAAAAATCTTACTCATGGTTATTGAGATTAGTATAAATAAGATGCTTACTATTACCAATGATTTGACATCTGCATCACATGGAGGGAGGGGCTGCACCCATACTCTGCAATATTGCTCATAGTCAATTATATAACTGTGGAACTGTAGTTCCAGCATTCGCTTCATTTCTCAAGACTGGAGGTAGCTGGTTGATTCTAGGGCTATCATTTATAACCACTTTCTTTTTAAAAGCATACAATCTGAATGAAGGAAAACAAAACCTCAAAGAAACCCTGTTCAAAGAGATAAATTTGAAGTTGCTTGGGCGTGTGTGTGTGTGTGTGTGTGTTTTAACATTGGCCTGATTAAACTAATTTATCAATGCTTTAGGTGTTTAAAGTCATGTACATGAGAACCCAAATGGTAAAGTTAGATGGTGATTGTCTATAACGTTGGTTTCTCTGTATAGATTTGGACTTAAGTGTCTTTCACTACCTTTTTTTTTTTTTTTTGATGATAAAGTGTAGTTTGATTTCACATTAGCAATTGTCAATGACCAATCACAGACTTTTTTGTTTTTATGATATTTGATTCTGATGGCATATTGAATTCTGGGTCATATTTTAGTGGTATATTTAGTAATAAGTTAAAAAATGGGAGGCTTTAAGATAGAGTTAATATTTGAAATAGACTTATGTAAGCTATATTGAGAAGACACTATTTAACATGTTTTGATTATGTTATTATGGGCAAATGTGGTTTGTACATGATGTCAAAGAAAATTTTGGGTCTGAGTGTTTCACAATTTTTTTTTCCTTTGTCATAAAATTATCATGGCACAATAAACAAGAGAAATTTCAGCATGTGTTACCAGTGTTTTTCTTTCAATAATTTGCAACACAAACACAATAATGGTGGCAAAGTAAATAGTTTAAGGCACATAATGTATTTGTAGAGAGACTGGTCAGGTAGGACTACTTCAAGTCACACAGAAGCAAAAACACCACCTTTAAGAGAAGTCTCAAAAATAATATGCGTGATGAGCGTGACAAGCTGAAGTCTGATTGAGTGGTAAATGCCTCAAAGGTTGCTGTAATAGGGGTTGAGTTTGATTTTCATATCTTTAGCTTCAGCTAAACAAACATCAGTCAAATATCAATCAAAGTAAGCAATTCCTTAATGTTTTTGTGCGTAAATCAACTTTAATTTGATGCCATTTGGATGTTTTTTAAGCTTATTTTGAGGTATTAAATAAAACACTACATCACTTCGCTGTCTCATTGTCCTCCACTGTGGTTTTCTTGGATAATCTTGTTTGTTTTATGCCACACCTCGGCGTGGAAACACCTCATTCCTCTGCAGCTTCTCGCCCTCACCTGTAATTGTTTGATTAGCGTGAGTCATCGTTTGTTTTCCTGAGAAACGAAACACAGAGGGAGACAGATGAATAAATACAAAACTTAAAGTCTGAATATTCTGACATGGTTGTGCAAATTTAAACTCTCGGCATGTTGGAAACTTTGGGTAACACTATACCAGGGCATAACATACATATATTAGTATCCACTTTCGTTTCACCATTCATCATTAAAATAACTCATTAACGACTTATTCTCTTTGACCATTTTTTATAACTAGTCAGCATTTAATTAAGGGTTTCGCTCTATAACTTCCAGATTACTGCTTATTAATTGCAAATAAGGAAATTAGTGTGTATTAGCTCTGTGTGTGCGTTTGAGCTCATGACAGTTAAATTACCGTATTTATCTTATTAAGGAAGAATGACTTTTTTGTAGTTCTACCACCTTCATAAGCTCTTATTCAGCAAAACATATAAATGTACAACAATATCCTTATTTGGAGTAAACAAACAATCATTTGGAGGTAATTGTGGGATGGCTAACTTAACTAGTTGAATAATATAATATGAATATATATAACAACAAATTAAGAGCCAGTTGGCTGTTAGTATACATGCAAATAGGCAGTTAACTAATGGTTAATAATGTACTTTGAGTTCAAGTCGTCAACCCATGTCGTCGTTGTCATTTTAAAACTGAAAGGTTAAGCGACCGCAAAATATTTTACCCTCCAGACTGATGATACACTTTGCACTAAACAATCATGATTATTGATGTGTGAAAAAAATTGTTTTGATCATTCCATCTGCCCGCAGCCGGGAAACAAGTCAGACAAGTCGAGGCGAGAAATGAGTCAGAGCAAGAGAACAGGAGGAAAACTCACAGGAGAGAAGTGTCGCTAATCTGACTTTTTTCACCCCAACATCTCCACGTTTGACATCATGGACGGTAAGTAAACAAGAACAAATTTCAACATCTGGACTGTAATGTTGTAATACGTTAAAGCTCCTGTGAGTAGTTTTTTTCGAAGCATTAAACAGACTGAATTAAATATGGATGCATCTCTCTGACTAAGTGAAGCTAACAAAACAATCAGAGAGAAAAAATGACGATCTCTATGCAGGTATTTTTAATGCCTGTCATTGTAGGTGTCAAACAGGGATTCATAAAACCTGCAATTTTCCTCAGTTTCAATAGTTTTCTGTATCTTTTTACCTTTACACTAATCAGTTTGTCTGAATTTAAATTCCCATGTAAATGACCGGGACATTCGAAACATCCCTACTTGTGGACAAAACAGTATTGTCTGCTATTGTTGGTCATGAATAGAAAATTGTATGAATTCTGATCTGTTTTAAAACTAGCCCACAAGTCTTTGTCCTTATAATTGGGGTGATATTAGTCATGCTTTGAATTAGCTCGCGATCCCAAGCCAATGGGTGGGTTTCAAACTCAATGACAGTTTTTTTAAGTTACTGAAATGAAGTTGTTCTGTTTCAGCATCCACTACAAAGAGAGTCCTCCTCTTGGGGAAAACTGGAGTTGGAAAGAGCAGCCTGGCTAATACCATATTTGGTGAAACCATTTTCCAAATAAACCACCTCAGTGGCTCGAAAAATCATTCCACTCAAGCAGAAACCAAATCAATCCATGGAAGAAGCCTCACTCTGATCGACGCTCCTAGTTTCTTCGATGCAGGAAGCTCTAAGGAGGTGATGAAGCCTGAAATAGTGAGGTGTACCACAGAGTGCGCTCCTGGACCCCATGTTTTTCTCATCGTGCTCAAAGTGGAGAAATTCACCGAGCAGGAGCGAGCTGTCATCACCAACATACTCGACTTTTTCTCTGAAGATGCTCTGAAATATGCAGCAGTTGTTTTCACTCATGGTGATCAGCTCCCAGAGGGGGTGAAAATCGAGGAGTATGTCAGTCAAAGTGAGGGTCTGAGTGATCTGGTGAAGAAGTGCGGAGGCCGGTGCCATGTTGTCGACAATAAGTACTGGAAAACTGACGAAGACGACTACAGAAGTAACCAATTCCAAGTGGCAGAACTTGTCAAAACCATTGACAACATTGTGGTGGACAACGAGGAAGGCTTCTACACCAATGCCATGCTACAGGAAGTCGAGAAAGCGATACAGAAAGAAGAAGAGCGTATCAAGCGGTCATCAGGGAACATGTCACAAGACGAGATCAGGAAGCAGGCGGTGGGCAACGTCTTCAAGATGATGACGGATAATTCACCAAGAAGATGGATGAAAGGTTTAGCAGCTCTCGCAGTCATTGCAGGAATACTAGCAGCTTTAGCGCACATATTGATTGATTCGAATGTTGGGAAGGCGATAACAGAAGCAACACTTATTGAACAAATTGTAACGCCAATAGCAACAGTGGTCGAAGAAATAACTGAGAAAGTTCCAGAAGTGTCCGAGTCAGTCGGTGGAATCGTAGAGACAGTCACGGATGTTATTCAACCCACAGTGGAAACACCACCGACATTAGATTTCTTTGATATATGCAGTGATTTGTTTGAAAGAATATACGATCCTTGGAACCCATTTGAATAAATGGATTACAGGAGAGGGTGTTACACTGGCTTCAATACAGCCACCGATATTAAAGCTGCCTTTTAGGACCCACACACGGTACCAGCAAGAGGCAAACGAAGCAAAACACTCAAACAAGTTCAATAAAAAATAAAGATTTATGAGTATTTCTGACAGATTCACATTTATTATTAATGATATGAAATTTAAAAGTTGTGGTTTTGTGTTGTTTAAAAGAAGTATGCCAACAATTTTACACAGCTAGCATAGCTTTCCATCAAGAAGGGCAAACTAACGTAGAAACAGCAAAACATGTTTTTATAGTTGTGGGGAGGCTAATGAAAGATTGTTTTGAAACTTTGGAAACCCGCTCTTTCAACTTTAGGTGTGGGGCTTTGAAAGGTACAACTGTGGCATACAATATTGATAATTTGGGTGTGTTGTGACTGACGAAAAGGTTGAATATTTCTGCTTTTGTTTGTATTTTAAAGAGGGTTTTTTGTGTCTTTTACTTTAATGGAAATACATTACTTGATCAATGATGTACACTTCATTTTTTGTTATGTTTTTCTGTACAATAAATGCTTAATGCCATAATAAAGATGTTGAGTAGTCATATAAGGTTTAAGGTGTTTTTTTTTAAATTCCAGTTGCTGGAAATATTCTTAAAATTTTAAGTAATTTTGTTGAGTAGCCTTTCTCCAAACAACAAAATAACTCATGTTGTTACAGGTTGATGCTGGGATTTTAATCTATGACCTGTGTTTTCTCAGACATCACTATGGTGCTACCATGCACCGGTATTGTCCAAGTGGATTTTATCTACTAGAGTTAACATCATGGTTTAAAGTTTGTATATTGTTTGAGACATAATAACCAAAAACAGTGAAATGCAAATAAAATATGCGAGAATATAAGAGTAAGTGGAAGTGGAAATACAGTGATTTCACCATTTTAGAGCAATATCTCCTTAGCACAAATAGGTAAGCACGAAGATAAAACTGAGACACTACAACAACATCCAAAGTCTATTTAAAACAAAATTTTAACAAGTGGTCAATCAATAAAATATAACTGGGGTCAGGGGGATTACAGACTACGTGCATGAATATTACTGAGTACTTTTACTTTTTCAATAATTCTAAGCCAAAGTCTTTAACATTGGTATTTTCCTAATCTTCTCTTTGAAATCCATTTAAAAGAAAATATTCAATAAGTGGTTGTTGATTTTATTTTTATGTATATTTAAGCTTAGGGTTGATTACATGCACAAAATTCACTGAACTGTATTTGGTTGGAATGGGGAATAAGTCCACACATATGAATTTAATGCTTCATATTCATTTATAAAAATAAAAATAACCACACCACTCTTTGATTTGTACAGCTCTATTGTCTGTGACCTGTGATTCCCAGAAGCTCAGGATACTGCTGCCAATAAAAACAAACAAACAAAAATGGAAACACCCCACTTTGTACAGGAATGAAAAGGTGCAGCTGTACATTGATTCTGTTCCTTCAGCATTTTTTCTGTGCTCCTGGCGATTGTTGACGGTTTCAAAGTCATTGCTTTGACTTTTTCTTTGAAGGTTAGCTACTTGGAAAATTTACACCTGTTCTTTTTTATCTGAGAAACAAGTCATTCCAGGCCATATTCCCCGCAATAATGTATCTTAAATTCTTTAAAAACTAAAGAGTTATTTAAAATGTGCATGTTTCTGATATAACTTTTGAAATTATAAAAGCAGTTGTTACATAAAACATGAACTCATGAACAAATGCCTGTCACTCTGCTGTTCAGGACGGATCAACAAGTCAGACTGGTAGAAACTAGAGCAGAGTCAACCACAACTCAAAAACAGGAGGACCAACGTGTTGCAAAGACGGGCCAACATGGATGGTAAGTTGATTTACTTTTAGTTAAAGTAGCAATGGGGATTTTTTCGAGGTCCTCATGCAGAAAAAGGAGTTCCCTCAATCTTTACAAGGAATTTATGGTATCATTTCACTGTCCTACAAAGTGGAGCCAAACAGCGTAGTTAAAATAGTTTGTTTACACTGATTTAAAGTGACTTAAAAACTTTTTCATGTGATTATTTTCAAATGAAACTCACACTGTTTTCTGTCTGAATAGAGCATTGATTGATTGTGTTGCAAGTTAAACATCAACTGAATAAGACAAAGGTTTTTGTTTTAGAGAGATTTGGGGACTCGGTTTGTTAAAAAGAAAAAGTGTCTTAATTTAAATATAAAATCTTGATAACCTGGGAAACTTCTGTCATACTTTACTTGCAGTAAGGTTGTGCAGCTTTGACAGGTTTTCTTGTGGCGCCATCTGCTGGACAAACTGTTACCTTGTTTCACAATTTGATAAGAAGGAAAATATTCACAAATTTTAAAGATTGCCATCAATCTTGAGTTTATTCAAGAATATTAGATAAACTTTCAAAAATGTGAAATTAAATTAAAAATAAGCGATTTTGGGGTCTCTCAAATCCAGGGCTTGATACTAACTTTTTTCACAAGTAGCACATGTGCAGTTGAAAAAGTAAGGAGCACACAAAGAACTTCAGGGGCACAATGAAAATTAATCAAATAATGTTTGTCTTATTGGCCGACCTTAGTACTGTTATTTGAAATCAATTTTTAGGTCAATTGGTCACATGACATGGTAGATCTGCAGTGAATGTCCGTCAGATATCCAACCTAAAACTAACTTCACCACGGTATTTACATGAAAAAACATTTGTTGCCTTGGCTGATTTTTTTACGCGCACATGTGCCTCTAAACACATTTTACAATTCCCACACATCTATTTTTAGTCGCAAATGTGAGTGAAACGGTGGCACTGTCAAGCCCTGAAATAAGTTAAGTTTCGGGGAAATGAGACCCTATTCACTGTGTACAGTTAACACGGAGTCCTTTTTCTCTCACAGAGCTGACTTCAACGAGGATTATTCTGCTTGGAAAATCTGGAGCAGGGAAAAGCAGCCTGGCTAACACCATTTTGGGCGAGGATGCGTTCAAGATAAACCCCTTCCCCATATCTGACAGAAGTCGCTCTTGTGCAGAAACCAGATTTGTCCATGGACAGAGAATCACTGTGATCGACACTCCTGGTTTCTTCGATACAGGAAGGTCTGAGGAGGAGATGAAGCCCGAGATAGTGAGGTGTATCACAGAGTGCGCTCCTGGGCCCCATACTTTTCTCATTGTCCTCAAAGTGGAGAAATTCACCGAGCAGGAGCGGGCTGTCATCGCTAAAATACGCCAAAGTTTCTCTGAAGATGCTCTGAAATACTCTGTGATTGTCTTCACTCATGGTGATCAGCTCCCAGACGAGATGACAATAAAAGAATTTGTCCAGCAGAATAAAAATCTGCGTGAGCTGGTGCAGAAGTGTGGAGGCCGTTGCCACGTTGTTGACAACAAATACTGGAAAGCAGGTGAAGAAAACAACTACAGAAGCAACAAACGCCAGGTGGCAGAGCTGCTCGACACCATACACAGGATGGTTGAGGCGAACAAAGGAAGCTACTACACCAATGACATGCTACAAGAAGTGAGGAGAGAAATGAAGAGGGAGGAGGAGCGAATTCGAGGGACATCAGGAAATATGTCACAGGATGAGGTTACAAACGAGGCTAAAACCAGTACCTTCCAATGGTTAATGATCACGTCTGCAGGTGTTGTAACAGGAGCGTTGCTAGAAGTTCTGCTAGGAGTGGCTTTTACACTGGTATCGACAGAGGGGGGGAAGGCAGGTCTCGCTTCAGCAGCTCCACGCTGGGTACTCGCAGGTGGTGTGAGGGGATACAACGCAGCTGAAGGGGCAAAAAGTCCAACGGAGGCTGTGCAAAAGACAGTGGAGGAAGTGAAGAAGCAATTTATGGTTGCAGCAGATCAAAAGAAAAAAGGACAAACTCGAAATGATGACGGTGAAGAGGGAGGTGGTGGTTCTTAAGTAAAATGTTCAACTCTCAAATTTTGACCCTCTTAGTGCTTTTTGTTGCTAAGTGCTGAAAAACAGAATGACTCCAACCAAACCACAGCACGAATTTAAAGTAAATTGTTTCACTTGCTAACAATCTGACGATTAACGAGTACCATTTTTTTTTTTTTTTAGTTATACAGGGTTAAGAAACAAAATCAAAATCAGTGCAAAACTAACACATAGAAAGATGGATGGTGCGTCTCCTCCTGATGTACAAAAGTGAAGCCCTATATCATGTTTTCTTGACGAGTATTTTTTGATTTGACCCATATTCCATCTGTTAACATGGAGGACGCAGGCTTTATGACATGTCAGTTGGGGGAGCTCTAAATGTGTTGGCTCCAGTTTTGGAGGAGCATTATGTCACCCACCTTTTTTTAAACACATATTAAAAACATAATTTTTACGTACGCAGAATTTAGATAAACTCCAGGGAAAGATTAAAATAAAACGTTTTTTGTGGGTGAGGGTTATATTTGTTTTTTTATTGATCAATCTAAAGGTTAAAAGCTTTGAAAGGGTCATGTGATGACATTGTGATGGACAAAGGACAAAAATTAATGGTCATTTCTCCGTAACTATTGATTCAAAACTTTTTCATGTTGGTGTTCCGCTTCTTTTTATTCTATGTCTTATTGTTATTACTTATAGATAATTTGAGGAGTTCAGGACTTAATGAAGCCAATTAATATTGTGATAATGTGATGATTTTACAAGCTTACTCTTTAAATTTATTCTCTAACATACTCATTTTATAACTTGGATCAATGTTATATTTGCTTGTTTGATGTTGTTACTTACCATATAATTAAACAATCTGTGTGTTGACACCTGTGACCCTCCTGTTTTGTCGCATTGCTGTAAAATTGCCAATATTTCATTACTATACTTTAAGTTAGTTGCTCTTTGAATGGTCTGATGTGATTGATATTTGATGGTGGCTATTAAAAGCTTAAAGTAAACTGATTTTTTTTAAACATGTACACATACTGACTTTTTTTTTTTTTCACCTGCATATTTACATACTCTAGTTTTTAGCTCTGGTTTTCGCTAAGTGGGGTACAAATTACTGGTGTAACAAAGTGTGGCTACATACTATAAAGCATTTGGTAGAAAGAGCCTGCAATGGGCTCTATGCACAGCTCCACTACTTCCTGAACTTAAAGCAGCGCCTTTATTCCTGTCTTACATTATTGGACAAACTGATTAATCCAGGTGTGACTGATTGTTGTGACTACTCAGCAAGCACAACAAGCTGATTGAGGCTTTCACCCGCCTGGGGGATGTGGCCTGTGACTTCTGCTGTGATAAGCTACCAAGTCCTGCCTGACCTGCATTGTGTCTTTCTGTCCTGCTCACCTTGAGCCTCATTACAGCATCTCAGCATTGAAGAAGCACCAGCGGGTGTCAGCTACTGTCCCCTTTGGTCAACCAAAGAAGTTGAGTGCACTTGCTCAGCGTCATATCCAGAGGTTGCCTTTGGTTGTCATTGCTGCAGAGGTTGAAGGGGTGGGGGGTCAGCCTGTCAGTGCTCAGACCGTACGGCGCACACACTGCATCAAAGTGATCTGCATGGCTGTCGTCCCATGAGGAAGCCTCTTCTGAAGATAATTCACAAGAAAGCCGTTAACCAGTTTGCTAAAGACAAGCAGATTTAGGACATGGATTACTGAAACCACGTCCTGTGGTCTGATGAGACCAAGATAAACTTTTGTGGTTCAGATGGTGTCCAGCATGTGTGGTGGCAACAAGGTGAGGGTTACTAAGACAAGTGTGTACTGCCTACAATCCAGCATGGTGGTGGGAGTGTCACAATGTAGGGCTGCATGAGTTTCACGGTTCAACTGCAAGTTACTACTTTTCTAAACCAACAATTTAGCAGAGCTCTCAAGTCTCACGCATTTGGCGTGTGACACACGCATCCCCACCCGTTCACACGCCGCACATTGTATTTCTCCCGCATTTAAATTACCACGGTGACGTCCACCAAGTTGCACCTCTTTTACAATGGAACAGGTAGGAATCAAGTGAGTTACCCCGAGAGTTCAGAAGCTATGTGTCACGCACAAGCCAATCAAATAAAGTATATCTACCAAACAGCCAATCAAAAAGTAGCTGGTGGATTTTGATATCCCATGGTTTGGCTACAAAAGAAGACGGAGATGAAGCAGGTTTCATAAGGACCCGATGATTACAGTAAGTCAGAGACCTACACCTGCAGAGGCCTCAACACCTCATGGCATATAGACTCATTTGATAAACTAAAGTCATTTTCCCCTTCATAAAAGCAGCAATTCCCTCACAGTCTACCTGTTTTGTTTCTGTGGAAAAGATGCATTTCTCATATATACTTTTTAAAGTTCTGATACCCATGACAATGTAATGCTGATGTACCAAAGGATTAAGTATCTCCATGTTTGTGAAACCTTTACTCTCAATGCCCCACAGCCCTCATTTTAACAACTCTCCTCCACAACAGGTAGCTTGACATAAATTTATAACTTTATTCTCGTACGTAATGACTTTAGTCTTGTAAGTAATCTCGAAGTCTTAAAAATGTTGTTTTTTCTCTCTCTTAATGTGGCCCTTATACTCTGTTGTATTTATTAGATTACTAGACTAATAAAATATCTTCAATAACTCTTCACCCTTCAACTAAACACAGCCGCAGCTCCTTTGACAACAGGATAATGAAACAGCAGCAGAACAAGTAGTCCGCTGTAAAAGAGACTTGTACAGTCTAGCGGCTAATCGCAGTGAAGCACCCAGACACACCTCCACACAGACACAGGCCCACAGCTCCTCTTACCCATGACTGAGTGACAAGGATGCAACTCAAATACATGCTCGCTCCCATATTATATATAATATATGCGTCTTGGGGACTTAAAATTCGTTGAAATATTACCGAGGAGATGAGCTAGCTGCGGCGGCTACAGCTAAGGATCCCGCCGCCGCGCCTCTACAGGTGTTTCAACCTCCGCCGTTGCACCTTTTTGAATCGATGAAGGCTTGAAATATCCCTTTAATTTAGGATTTTTTTTCTTCTAAAAACGCTCTTCGTCAATTTCTTCTTTCAAACGTTGCTGTTTTCATTCAGAGGCTCCACAGTCATACCTTCTCTCTGTCATTTTGTTGTCAGTCTGTCAAGGGACGTCAATCAAAAAATAACGGCCATGTCACATGACGCGACCAACACAACGGATTGGACAGATTATATATAAACGCTTGATAGTTTACGCACGCTGTTAGCCAATGGAGACCGACGTCCGCACATGGCGGCCATTTTGTTACGGGACGCTCGCCCACTCATAACATTAAAGTCTGGTGCATGTAGCATTTAAATAACCGAAGATTGCTTAATTTCAAACCAATTTTCGAACGGTTTGGTTTGTAACAAAACTCGGAGTATTAGTTATGTTCCTGCATACTCTATTATAGGGATAACTATAATAACACATAGCAATAGCATATATAAATATTTATTTTCAATATAAATTTATGCCTCATGTTGCCATTTTAGATGTTTTCAACAAACCAAACAGCTTGGAAATCATGTTCAACTTTGTTGAATCGAAGGAGCATTTCTGCCTCTCCAACTAATGTCAAATTGCTGGGTCAACTTTGTCATACGTACTTGGTCTCACTCACAGCAAGCTTGTTAGCCAAGCTGATATACACAAGCATGTCCACAAAGACTCACTTAGACAAACTAAATAAATAAGAAAATTTAAAAAAATAGGCTGTCATACAAGAAATTAAAATCTCGATTGTGGTCTCAGCCTTGACAACTCGCAAGGTCTGTAATAAACAAAGCAATTTGTAATTCCTTCAAGATTTCAGCTAGTTAAGAGTATTTTTTATTAAGCAGATTACTCACTTCCTGTCAGCTACCATAGCGCATACCAGAATGGTGTACTGGAGATGGCTGCCATGAGTCCGCCTCGAGTCATCTAGCCTTTCTTATGTTACTGATGGATCCACAACACTTGATACCAAGCATAGACTGTATATAGAATGGACAGCGTCTGCCTCCCCGCTGGGTGAAGCCACTCCGAGAACAGCACCCTCTGGTGACAGGCTGCAGTATAGGTCATAAATCCCGCCTCCGCCAGCAAAGCTTATAGAGCTGTGGACATACTTTAGAAATTTATTACACAGAATATGAATGTTTCTCCCCCCTGCTTGCGATGTTGACATTTCTGTAAGACTGGTTTTTGCTCAAGTCCTCTTTTTACTGTACAGCTCAATTTTGCTGGGACCAGCTCCAGCCTATGGGTGTACGAAGATTGCTTAGCTCACCTGGGGGATACAGTGTTTGAGCCAAGCGTCATCACAGCGACTCTCTGCGACTCTCCCGCCGAATGCGCACAATGCTACTGCGCAATGTTAGTTTCAGGAAATAAAGAGAAAATGCAGAATTACCAAGAGCTTTTTGGCTTCAAATCAGTATAATGGTGGAAGGCAGAACCAAGTTGTCCATAGTTTATACAGTCTATGATACCAAGTTAAATCAGCAACTCAAGACATAAAATGTGTGGAAATCGAACCAAATTTCAATATGGAACTTGATAACTCAAGCTAATGGCAGACGTCTGAGAGCGCGTTTCAAATTTCAGTGGGAAAAATCGTTTGACATCAGTTTTTAAGAGTAAAAACTTTAACTTAATTATCATGTAGTGAACTCTGAACACCTGCAAAAGTTTACTAAGTCTTTGGGTGAAAAAGCCGTTTTACACGCAGCTGTTGTCGAGCTCAGCTACATGTGACTTGACTCTGCCAAATCCCCAAATTACCACAATTATTTCTTGGCAGTGAAGGCACCGCAGTTGGGCTGCACTCTCGAAAGCCCCACCTCAATGAGGAGAGGCTTCGCATCGATGAGGAAACGAAACTTATCAGTTTGAAAGAGACTGAAAGTTGGTTGTCAATCGCCTTTACAAGGCGGAGGAAGAAGAAGAAAATGGCCAAACATGCGCCAGAGGGGAAACGTGGTTCAGAGCTAGAACCGAATCAGTTCTGCTGTTCGGTGTGTCTAGAGCTGTTCAAAGACCCGGTCACTATTCCGTGTGGACATAGTTATTGTAAATTCTGTATCGAGGGATGCTGGGACCAGAATGAGGAGAAGGGACTCTACAGCTGTCCTCAGTGCCGGCTGGTCTTCAGTCCCAGGCCTGTGCTCTGTAGAAACAACCTGCTGGCTGAGGTGATAACACTGTATCAGAATTGCTGTTGTTTCCAGTAGTATATCTCTAAGTCTGAGAGATGTCAAACCAGTTTTATTTTAGTTAAAATATAAATAAGTAGTTGTCTCATTTAAGTCTTAACTGCCAGATTTTACACTCTTTAGTAACTTATGATTCAAATCAAGAAACTTAAATTATCCAACACAATTGGGAGAATTTGTAATAAGATTTATTCCCTTGTCAACTCCTTATCTGTCAGTAATGGCAGGATTGGTCTCTAGCTTTTTTCCATTGTCTAGACTGATTTAGAGAGGGTGATTTTGATCCTTTATTACTCATCTGCTTTGAACATAATAAGACTAAGAGAAATCAATAGTTGATGTCCCTGAGACTGCGTCTAAGTTTGTGGGTTACAGGAAAACTGCATTCTTTTCCACTATGGAGCTGAGTGCATCACTCCTTGGACTTTGGTAGAGACCTTAGGTAGACCTAAGAGTCATGCCTCTATCATAAAACATGAGTGTGGTATCAGTACGTCACCCATTTCCTGCCTGGTATGCAAACTGTAATGGATCAAGCTTGCCTTTGATAAAGCCAAGGATAATTTCTTTCAGAAAGGATGTGAGAGCTATGGGTCTGTGTCCATTCAGTTCTTTATGCTGTTAAGATTTAGAAAAGGGAATAATGTTGGAGGTTTTCCACAGTTTTTTGGATACGTCCACTGTTCAGACATTATTGAAACAGTTGAGAAAACACCCCACTGAGCTGTTCAGCACAGTGGTGCAATGTTCTCCCAGAGATGGAGTCAGGGCCTGAAGCTTTACGAACATTCACCCTTCTAACATGTTTGGTTGACACTTTCCTGAGTTATTAATCTTTTTATGTTCTAGAACATTTCCGAGGTTAGAACAATTTTCATATATGTCCGCCCTTTTAAACCTACTAAAGAATGAATTGAAAGCATGAGGAAGATCCTTGTCATTTATCCCATTTATGTTAATAAGCTGTTTGGGCTCACAGTGCTATTTCAGATTACCTTTTTATGCTGTTCAACATCTGTAACACTATTAAAAAGTTGATTAACTTGAAGTATTTTTGTTATAAAATATTCTAATTGTGTGATTACTGTGATTCTCACCTCCATGTTTTTTATATCACCCTTAGGTTTTGGAGATGCTGAAGAAAACAAACACCCAGCAGGTTTTTCCTTCTTTCTCTGAGGCCACAGCTGCGACTGCTGCTGAGGCTGGTGCTGATGCTGAAGCCTTCGCTAGCCCTGGGGATGTGGCCTGTGACTTCTGTTGTGATACCAATCCCAATAAAGCTACAATGTCCTGCCTGAACTGTGTGGCCTCCTACTGTCCATCTCATCTCCAACCTCACCACAGCGTTCCTGTGCTGAAGAAGCACCAGCTGGTGTCAGCTACTGTCCCCCTGCAGGAAAAGATGTGCAGCAAGCACAACAAGCTGATGGAGATCTACTGTAGGACAGACAGGAAGTGTATCTGCTATCTGTGTGTTATAGACCAGCATAAGAGCCATAATACTGTGTCGGCTGCAGCTGAGAGAGAAGAGCAACAGGTAGGAACAAAACTCAGCAAAAACACGGCAGGCCTTACTCACCACAATTTCCCGACACTCTTAAGTGAAGATTGAAAGTCAGATTAATTACTCTGTCCTAAAACCGCGGATTGTTTGCACCTCAGTTTTTAGTGAATAATGAGGGCTTCATCTTACAATATGACATTGTTCAAATGCCTTCAGCCAAGTGATGCACATTTGAGATTAAGTACAGCACAAGCAAAGATCTAGTCAGAAGGAAACATCAAGAGTTATCATCACCATCATCATCATCTACAGTACATCCACCGCACCATCTCCAAAGCACCAAACTACCAAGTGCTGAGTTGTTTATGAAGAGCTGGTCTATAGAGGAGATGGGCACAGGTGCTCTCTAAAGAGCTGAGTCTTGAGCTTTTTCATAAAGGCAGAAAAGGACTCAGATCTGAGAGATTGGTTACTTGGATGGTAGAAAGTCATCAATCATGCCATCCAGGTTATAGGCCAATCGCATGAGAAGAAGCAAAGGAAGAGCAAAGTATCATCTGCATAGCAGTGATATTAGAAATCATGAGATTGGATAGTGGTACTGAGTGAGGTGGTATGTAGCAAGAAAATAAGAGGACAGAGCACTGACCCTCGAGGCACCCCTGTTGATGAGCAGTGCGGTTCGGACACCTGTCTTCTCAATGGTACTCCTGGGAGGTAGGACACAAACCACTGGAGAGCAGATCCAGAGACAACCAAGTTTCACACCCATCTTCTCCAAGATAGCATTCATAAATGCATAATTAGATAGCAGGACGGTTTTTTCACACAGACAGCACAAAAAGGAAAATAAAGTGGGATTGTGATTGGCACACCAGACTTTAAAATCAAATTAGCTTTTGGATATATTTTGGAACAGACATAGCAGTGAAATGAAAGTGAGTAAGCTCTCTAGTACCCATAGATTTTGCTCTTACACAAAAATACATCGTAGGTAAGAAAACATTAACGAGTGTGATTTTGTCTTTGAAATCTGTTTGGATGTGTTTCCATCAGAAAGTCTCTCTTGGTGAATAAGGCCTAATAACTCTTGTTCTCTGTAATTGAAATGACAGAAAAGTTCATGAATTGCAGCTGTGCTAAAAATTTCTTACAGAAACAGCTGACTGTGAACCAAAAGAAAGTCCAGGAGAGAGGAAAGGAGAGGGAGAAGGAGCTGACAGCACTGCTTGAAGTTCTGAAGGATTTTAAGGTTCGGAAATTCAGCATTTTTCTGTATTTTTGTTTATTTAGAAGAAGTAGGCTTTCAGTATCAGCAGGTAATATCTTAAAAAGTTAATTACAGGTATCTGCAGATATAATTATCAGCCAAAAGCTGATGCATTAAACTGTTGTGAGAGTGTAGGTGTGAGCCTAGCAGCTGTGGAAACAACCTTATTTTTGCAATCTCCCAAAAAATTACTCACAATAAATGAAGCATTTTTGAGTGTAAAACGTCACCATGATGATATTTTTCTTGCTTTCTTGCTTTATTTGTCTCTCTCTGACTCAATTTATATGTGCTTCACACTGTGTGTGTGTGTGTGTGTGTGTGCGCGCGCGAAGTAGGGTGTGTTTTTTTGTCCACATTTCTCCCATGTGTCTTACATGTGTCTCTGTGTATCTCTTTTCTCACTACTGCCTCTCCCCTGTCCTGTGCCATCTCACTTCCCACAGCTCTCTCTCTGTCTCTCGCTCTATCTATTTTGGGTCATGTTAACTCTACTATCTGATATTCTGTTCCACTTGCTGATGTTATTATGTTATTATTCTATCGGTAAAAATTGAAAAGTAATTGTTTATTGTTACCATATGTCCCTTAAAAACTAAATGTCCTAACTCTAATGGATACGGGTTTGGAATGTTTATGATGGGTGTGGTGTCATAGTCAAGACAATTTCACACTTATACCTACAACTATGTGGGATAATGCTTTGTCTCGGGTGAGGGGTGGCCATCATCATGCATGGGTCAGTGCTGTGCATCTCCCCCTCTGCCCCAAAAAGGCCACTGCTGGATATTGTGTCAGTATTAAAAAATATTGTAGAGGTAGTAAAAAAAGGTGGTAAATTAAACTCCTGTGTAAACCCTGAATATGATCGAATATGATCAAGGGTGTTTTTTCTTCTTTTGAGCTGTCAATTTCCAGTAAATATGTAGTTTGTCATGTCAGTAGATGTCCTAAAAATAACTCGGGTCAACACAGAGCCCACATTGAATCAATACGATTTTATTTATAAAGAAATGCAGCCAGACTTCAGTGAAGACCAGCAGTAAGATCTTTGGTGAGCTGATCTCGTCCTTAAAGAAAAACTGCACTTCACTGGAGAAGCTGGTTGAAGCCCAAGAGAAGAAGGAGGTTGCCCAGGCTGAAGGGCTGCAGTTACAGTTGGAGGAGGAGATCTCCAAGCTGAGGAAGAGAGACACAGACCTGGAACAGATTTCTCATGTTGACGACAACATTCATTTCATCCAGGTACTTGCCGATATCTCACCTCACAGCCTTTCGTCCATTTGTATGAAAGACACCTGCTGTTGTTTTTACCACAACAAAACTGCAAGTTTCTTGACTTTTTTTTATCATAACTGTACTGTGGTCTCTGATTTATTGACTACAGACTTTCCAGTCTCTGTCTGCCTCCTGTGAATCTCCTGACGTACCAAATGGTAGTGTTGTCCGCCCAAAACATACATTCAAAGCTGTGGCTCATAGGATATCAGAGCTTAAGAATGAGGTGGAGGGCCTCGTGAAGAAAAGATGGCCCAGCATCACAGCTGAAGGTGTGTAAGAAATACTAAGAAATGCTATCTATCAGTTCCTTTCAAGTTCAGTGGTGTTAAAGAGTTTTGCTTTTGTTGATAGTGTCTTCTGTGAAAGTTCTGCTGCAACCTGGGCCAAAGACCAGACAGGAGTTTTTAAACTGTGAGTGACATTTTATGTATTTCTATAGCCCAAAAATTGAGTTTTGAAACGTATAATATGTTCATATTTTTCTGCTCTTTCTCCCCTGTCAGTTTGCTGTCCTCTGAAACTGGATGAGAATGCAGTCTCTAAAAACATGACCCTTTCCGACTTGAAGGCAACATGCAAAACACAACAGACACGCTCTTACAATAGTTCCTATCGTGACTACTCATATGTAACAACGAGGATGACAAGTGTAGAGCAGATTTGGTGCATTGAGGCTTTAACAAAGCAATGTTACTGGGAGGTCAGTCTGAGTGGTTATACTTGGTGTGTGGTGGTGTCGTATAAAGACAAAAGCGGTGCATCATCATATCACTCTGAGTTTGGTAAGGATGACAGGTCCTGGAGTTTAGAGTGCTCCAGCAATGGTTGCTCCTTCAGACACAACAACCAAAGCATCAATGTGTCGGGCTCCAAACTCTCCAAGATCGGAGTGTACCTGCATTATTTAGAGGGGATTTTGTCCTTTTACAGTATCCATGGCTCAAGTATGGTCTTACTCCACAGAGTAGACACCACCTTCACTGAACCTCTCCATCCTTGCATCGGGTTCAAGGATGATAAGTCTCAACAAGGTACAGCCTATTATGCAGAACTGGTCAAGAACTGGTCATAACTAGGTTTAGGTTAGTTGCTGTGTATCACCGTCTACCAGGCTGTCACAAACAACCATGTCTAATGTCAGCCATTATTACTGTGACACCAATTAGGCTAGAGTTAAGACTGGACCAAATGATGTTGTGAGCTAGATGTGGGGTGGGTCTAACTAAACCTTGTCCAGCTGCTGTTACAGGATTGATATAGCTGATATTATTGTTGGCTTTAACCACTTAAGTATAAAAACTACAGTAACCACAGTATAAAAATAATCTGTTTAGTTGTAAATAGTTTGGTTTGCTCTTGTTTATTATAAATATGGATATCTGTATATAAATATGGATGTCTGTATATTTCAAAAATGTCAAAAAATCTCCTTATGGGATCTTTAACTATGAACCTTGCCACAGTTCTGTTTCGCGAGGTGTATTCAGAGTCTTACAGATATATAAAGCATGTACACACTTAAAGTTGGAAGTTCCGGTTTGAATCGTATTGTGTTATATTTTCAAACAAATAAAGTTATACCCACCTGAAATTGGCTCTGCTTTTATTTTATTTTTATTTTTTTAGGCAGATGAGCCTGAACTGTCTGACTTTTAGACAACATATTGATTAAATCAATGGTTGACCTTTTAGTTCAACACGTTAAAACACCACAGGAAACAGAAATACAAAGATTTCAGATCATTCAAAGGATGGATTGAGATAATTAAGCTCATAGGGGTATTTTTACACAACTGCCAGGAAGATTTATTGTGATTGTAATAAATCTTAAACTACACGGACACTTGAACCTGTTACATATGGTTAACACAAGGGGGCACAGTTAATGTCAGGAACTAGGGAGTACTCGATAGTGATGGGCACGGCAATTCTTTTAGATGAACTGAATCAGTAGAATCAATTCACTAAACAAAATCGTCCAAAAGAGTCGTTCACCAAATCACTGACTCATGTAGCACTTGGCAGGAGAAGCCTGCAACTCCAACCTCCTGTAATGATACACAGCTGAACGGTTCAGGATTCAGTTTAATTCATAGTTTCTGGGGACACAAGTGTTTGGCTGTGTTGCTTTGGCAAACAGGTTTGTAAAAATTAACTTGTTTATAAGTGTACTCTCCTATGGTATGCTACTTATCAGGTCTGCTCGGTGAATCGGGCTCAGTGAGTGATTCGTGCACTGAACGTTTAGAAGAATTCAAACTGAACATGCACCGTTCCCTCCCAAACCGCTGCAATGATAGGATGCTGCGGGTTTAATGCACTACTTGTTACATGCTGTGTCTTATTGAATGCAAGATGTTGTGGTGGCAATTTAGCAGTAAAAAAAAGGTAGTTTTGTCTGACAAAAAATGATTCCAGAGAGTGCAGTTAAGTGCGTGATTTGTTCACCAAGTGATTCAGACGTCGGTGCATGCGGTCCCTCGTTCACCGGCTGCTCGACTGGCAATGCTGTTACTCACTTCAGCTCAACTGAAGTGAGAAATGAACGAATCACTCGAGGAAGTGATTCGGTTCAGTACGTTCACTTAAAAGATTTGGTTCTTTTGAACGAATCGTTAGCGAGCGACACAACACGGGTTCTCGAGTAGAGAACTCGAGAACCCGTGTTGTGTCTGCGCACGTAAAAAACATAATTTTTACATGCGCAGAATTTAGATAAACTCCAGGGAAAGATTAAAATAAAACGTTTTTTGTGGGTGAGGGTTATATTTGTTTATTTATTGATCAATCTAAAGGTTAAAAGCTTTGAAAGGGTCATGTGATGACATTGTGATGGACAAAGGACAAAAATTAATGGTCATTTCTCCGTAATTATTGATTCAAAACTTTTTCATGTTGGTGTTCCACTTCTTTTTATTCTATGTCTTATTGTTATTACTTATGGATAGTTTGAGGAGTTCAGGATTTAATGAAGCCAATTAATATTGTGATAATGTGATGATTTTACAAGCTTACTCTTTAAATTTATGCTTTAACGTACTCATTTTATAACTTGGTTCAATGTTATATTTGCTTGTTTGATGTTGTTACTTACCATATGATTAAACAATCTGTGTGTTGACACCTGTGACCCTCCTGTTTTGTCGCATTGCTGTAAAATTGCCAATATTTCATTACTATACTTTAAGTTAGTCGCTCTTTGAATTGTCTGATGTGATTGATATTTGATGGTGGCTATTAAAAGCTTATAGTAAATTGATTTTTTTTTTAAACATGTACACATACTGACTGATGTTTTTTCACCTGCATATTTACATACTCTAGTTTTTAGCTCTGGTTTTCGCTAAGTGGGGTACAAATTACTGGTGTAACAAAGTGTGGCTACATATTATAAAGCATTTGATAGAAAGAGCCTGCAATGGGCTCTATGCACAGCTCCACTACTTCCTGAACTTAAAGCAGCTCCTTTATTTCCTGTCTTACATTATTGGACAAACTGATTAATCCTGTGACCTGGCCTGTGACTTCTGCTGTGATACCAATCCCGAAAAAGCCACCAAGTCCTGCCTGACCTGCATTGTGTCTTACTGTCCTGCTCACCTTGAGCCTCATTACAGCATCTCAGCATTGAAGAAGCACCAGCGGGTGTCAGCTACTGTCCCCTTTGGTCAACCAAAGAAGTTGAGTGCACTTGCTCAGCGTCATATCCAGAGGTTGCCTTTGGTTGTCATTGCTGCAGAGGTTGAAGGGGTGGGGGGTCAGCCTGTCAGTGCTCAGACCGTACGGCGCACACACTGCATCAAAGTGATCTGCATGGCTGTCGTCCCAGGAGGAAGCCTCTTCTGAAGATAATTCACAAGAAAGCCGTTAACCAGTTTGATAAAGACAAGCAGACTAAGGACGTGGATTACTAAAACCACGTCCTGTGGTCTGATGAGACCAAGATAAACTTTTGTGGTTCAGATGGTGTCCAGCATGTGTGGTGGCAACAAGGTGAGGAGTACTAAGACAACTGTGTACTGCCTACAATCAAGCATGGTGGTGGGAGTGTCACAATGTAGGGCTGCATGAGTTTTATGATTCAACTGCGAGTTACTACTTTTCTAAACCAACAATTTTGCGGGGCTCTCAAGTCTCACGCATTCGGCGTGTGACACACGCATTCCCACCCGTTCACACGCCACACATTGTATTTCTCCCGCATTTAAATTACCACAGTGACGTCCACCAAGTTGCACCTCTTTTACAATGGAACAGGTAGGAATCAAGTGAGTTACCCCGAGAGTTCAGAAGCTACGTGTCACGCACAAGCCAATCAAATAAAGTATATCTACCAAACAGCCAATCAAAAAGTAGCTGGTGGATTTTGATATCCCATGGTTTGGCTAAAAAAGAAGACGGACACTCGCCAAGATGAAGCAGGTTTCATAAGGACCCGATGATTACAGTAAGTCAGAGACCTACACCTGCAGAGGCCTCAACACCTCATGGCATATAGACTCATTTGATAAACTACAGTCATTTTCCCCTTCATAAAAGCAGCAATTCCCTCAAAGTCTACCTGTTTTGTTCCTGTGGAAAAGATGCATTTCTCATATATACTTTTTAAAGTTCTGATACCCATGACAATGTAATGCTGATGTACCAAAGGATTAAATATCTCCATGTTTGTGAAACCTTTACTCTCAATGCCCCACAGCCCTCATTTTAACAACTCTCCTCCACAACAGGTAGCTTGACATACATTTATAACTTTATTAACGTACGTAATGACTTTATTCTCATGAATACTGACTTTAATCTCGTAACTAATCTCAAAGTCTTAAAAATGTTGTTTTTTCTCTCTCTTAATGTGGCCTTTATACTCTGTTGTATTTATTAGATTATTAGACTAATAAAATATCTTCAATTACTCTTCACCCTTCAACTAAACACAGCCGCAGCTCCTTTGACAACAGGATAATGAAACAGCAGCAGAACAAGTAGTCCGCTGTAAAAGAGACTTGTACAGTCTAGCGGCTAATCGCAGTGAAGCACCCGAACACACCTCCACACAGACACAGGCCCACAGCTCCTCTTACCCGTGACTGAATGACAAAGAGCAAACTCAAATACATGCTCGCTCCCACATTATATATAATGTATGCGTCTTGGGACTTAAAATTCGTTGAAATATTACCGAGGAGATGAGCTAGCTGCGGCGGCTACAGCTAAGGATCCCGCCGCCGCGTCTCTACAGGTGTCTCATCCTCCGCCGTTGCACCTTTTTGACTCGATGAAGGCTTGAAATATCCCGATAATTCAGGGATTTTTTTTCTTCTAAAAACGCTCTTCGTCGCGTTTTTCTTTCAAACGTTGCTGTTTTCATTCGGAGGCTCCACTATCATACCTTCTCTCTGTCATTTTGTTGTCAGTCTGTCAAGGGACGTCAATCAAAAAATAACGGACATGTCACATGACGCGACCAACACAACGGATTGGACAGATTATACATAAACGCTTGATAGTTTACGCACGCTGTTAGCCAATGGAGACCGACGTCCGCACATGGCGGCCATTTTGTTACGGGACGCTCGCCCACTCATAACATTACAGTCTGGTGCATGTAGCATTTAAAAAACCGTAGATTCCTTAATTTCAAACCAATTTTCGAACGGTTTGGTTTGTAACAAACCTCGGTGTATTAGTTATGTTCCTCCATACTTAAGAATAATTTTAACCATGGATTTTCATAAATAAACATTAAGCAGATAGGTAGAGCAATAGCTATAGGCATACACAAACAAGGCAGTTCTATTAAATCATGTAAACATCTAATCATTCCATGTATGTTATATTAGTAATATTTATATTATAGGGATAATTATAATAACATATAGCAATAGCATATATAAATACGTATTTTCATTATAAATTTATGCCTTATGTTGCCATTTTAGATGTTTTCAACAAACCAAACAGCTTGGAAGTCATGTACAACTTTGTTGAATCGAAGGAGCATTTCTGCCTCTCCAACTAATGTCAAATTGCTGGGTCAACTTTGTAATACGTACTTGGTCTCACTCACAGCAAGCTTGTTAGCCAAGCTGATATACACAAGCATGTCCACAAAGACTCACTTAGACAAACTAAATAAATAAGACAATTTTAAAAAATAGGCTGTCATACAAGAAATTAAAATCTCGATTGTTGTCTCAGCCTTGACAACTTGCAAGGTCTGTAATAAACAAAACAATTTGTAATTCCGTCAAGATTTCAGCTAGTTAAGAGTATTTTTTATTAATCAGATTACTCACTTCCCGTCAGCTACCGTAGCGCATACCTGAATGGTATACTGGAGATGGCCGCCATGATTCTGCCTCGAGTCATCTAGCCCGTCTCACGTTACTGATGGATCCACATCACTTGATACCAAGCATAGACTGTATATAGAATGGACAGCGTCTGCCTCCCCGCTGGGTGAAGCCACTCCGAGAACAGCACCCTCTGGTGACAGGCTGCAGTATAGGTCATAAATCCCACCTCCGCCAGCAAAGCTTATAGAGCTGTGGACAAACTTTAGAAACTTATTGCACAGTGTGCTATAAATTACACGCGTTTCAAATTTCAGTGGGAAAAAAAATCGTTTGACATCAGTTTTTAAGAGTAAAAACTTAAACTTAATTATCATGTAGTGAACTCTGAACACCTGCAAAAGTTTACTGAGACTGGGTGAAAAAGCCGTTTTACACGCAGCTGTTGTCTAGCTCAGCTACATGTGACTTGACTCTGCTAAATCCCCAAATTACCACAATTATTTCTTGGCAGTGAAGGCACCGCAGGTGGGCTGCACTCTCGAAAGCCCCACCTCAATGAGGAAAGGCTTCGCATCGATGAGAAAACGAAACTTATCAGTTTGAAAATGGCTGACAATTTGTTGCCAACCGCCTGTACAACGAGGGGGAAGAGGAGGAAGAAGAAGAACATGGCTGAACGTGAGCAAGAGGGAGAACGTGGTTCCGAGCTAGAACCGAATCAGTTCTGCTGTTCTGTGTGTCTAGAGCTGTTCAAAGACCCGGTCACTATTCCCTGTGGACATAGTTATTGTAAATTCTGTATCGAGGGGTGCTGGGACCAGAATGAGGAGAAGGGACTCTACAGCTGTCCTCAGTGCCGGCTGGTTTTCAGTCCCAGGCCTGTGCTCGGTAGAAACAACCTGCTGGCTGAGGTAATAACACTGTATCAGAATTGCTGTTGTTTACAGTTGAAGTATATCTCTAAGTCTGAGAGATGTCCAATCGATTTTTTTTTCCAGTTAAAATAGAAATAAGTTGTTGTCTCATTTTAGTCTTAACTGCCAAATTTTACACTCTTTAGTAACTTATGATTCAAATCAAGAAACTTAAGAAATTATCCAACACAATTGGGAGAATTTGTAATAAGATTTATACCTGTGTCAACTCCTTATCTTTCAGTAATGGCAGGGTTTGTCTCTAGCTTTTTTCCATTGTCTAGACTGATTTAGAGAGGGTGATTTTGATCCTTTATTACTCATCTGCTTTTAACATAATAAGACTAAGAGAAATCAATAGTTGATGTCCCTGAGACTGTGTCTAAGTTTGTGGGTTACAGGAAAACTGCATTCTTTTCCAATATGAAGCTAAGTGCAGCACTTCTTGGACTTTGGTTGAGACCTTAGGTAGACTTAAGAGTCATGCCTCTATCATAAAACATGAGTGTGGTATCAGTACGTCACCCATTTCCTGCCTGGTATGCAAACTGTAATGGATCAAGCTTGCCTTTGATAAAGCCAAGGATAATTTCTTTCAGAAAGGATGTGAGAGCTATGGGTCTATATCCATTCTGTTCTTTATGCTGTAAAGATTTAGATACACAGTTTTTGGGATACGTCCACTGTTCAGACATTATTGAAACAGTTGAGAAAACACCCCACTGAGCTGTTCAGCACAGTGGTGCAATGATCTCCCAGAGATGGAGTCAGGGCCTAAAGGTTTATGAACAATCACTTATTCAATTATGATTTTCAACAACAGTAACACTATTAAAAAGTTGATGAACTTGAGGTATTTTTGTTATAAAATACTCTAATTATGTGATTACTGTGTTTCTCACCTCCATGTTTTCTATATCACCATTAGGTTGTGGAGATGCTGAAGAAAACAAACACCCAGCAGGTTTTTCCTTCTTTCTCTGAGGCCACAGCTGCGACTGCTGCTGAGGCTGGTGCTGATGCTGAGGCCTTCGCCAGCCCTGGGGATGTGGACTGTGACTTCTGCTGTGATACCAATCCCAACAAAGCTACCATGTCCTGCCTGACCTGTGTGGCCTCCTACTGTCCTGATCACCTCAAACCTCACTACAACATTCCTGTGCTGAAGAAGCACCAGCTGGTGTCAGCTACAGTCCCCCTGCAGAAAAAAATGTGCAGCAAGCACAACAAGCTGATGGAGGTCTACTGCAGGACAGACCAGAAGTGCATCTGCTATCTGTGTGTTATAGACGAGCATAACAGTCATAAAACTGTGTCGGCTGCAGCTGAGAGAGAAGAGCAACAGGTAGGAACAAAACTCAGCAAAAACACTGCAGGCCTTACTCACCACAATTCCCTGACACTCTTTTTGATCTCAAGTGAAGATTAAAAGTCAGATTAATTACTCTGTTCTGAAACTGCTGATTGTTTGCGCCTCTGTTTTTAGTCTAATGAGGGCTTCATCTTACAATATGACATTGTTCAAATGCCTTCAGCCAAGTGATGTACATTTGACATTAAGTACAGCACAAGCAAAGATCTGGTCAGAAGGAAACATTAAGAGTTATCATCACCATCATCATCATCTACAGTACATCCACCGCACCATCTCCAAATCACCAAACTACCAAGTGCTGAGTTGTTTATGAAGAGCTGGTCCATAGAGGAGAAGGGCACAGGAGCTCTCTAAAGAGCTGAGTCTTGAGCTTTTTCTTAAAGGCAGAAAAGGACTCAGATCTGAGAGATTGGTTACTTGGATGTTAGAAAGTCATCAATCATGCCATCCAGGTTATGGGCTGATCGTATGAGAATGTGGCAGGATAAAAATTCTGGCTGAGATAGTTGTGTCATTTGGTGGGAATGACAGGAAGAGCAAAGTATCATCTGCATAGCAGTGATATTAGAAATCATGAGATTGGATAGTGGTACTGAGTGAGGTGGTACGTAGCAAGAAAATAAGAGGACAGAGCACTGACCCTTGAGGTACCCCTGTTGATGAGCAGTGCGGTTCGGACACCTGTCTTCTCAATGGTAGCAGAGCAGATCCAGAGACGACCAAGTTTCACACCCATCTTCTCTAAGATAGCATTGATAAATGCATTATTAGACGGTTTGTTCACACAGACAGCACAAAAAGGAAAATAAAGTAGGATTGTGATTGCACACCAGACTTAAAAATCAAAGTAGTTCTTGGATGTATTTTGGAACAGACATAGCAGTTTGTGATGGGCACGGCAGTTCTTTTAGATGTACTTAATCTCTAGAATCAGTTCACTAAAAAGATTAGTTCAAAGATTCGGTCACTAAATCACCAAATCACAATGTAGCACTTGTCGGGAGAGGCCTGCGACTCCAACTTCCTGAACTAAACACAGCTGATTGTATCTGGGACTGGGAGACAAAAGTGTTTGGCTGTGTTGCTTTGGCAAACAGGTTTGTAAAAATGAACTTGTTTATAAGTCATGATGTTTTAAGTGTACTGTACTGTCTGACAAAAATTATTCAAGAGAGTGTATTACAATGCGTGATTCGCTCATCAAGTGATTCAGGTGTCGGTGTGTGTGGTTCATCATTCATTGGCTGCTCGACTGGCAATGCTGTTTCTCACTTCAGCTCAACTGAAGTGAGAAACGAACGAATCACTTGAGGAAGTGATTCAGTTCAGTATGTTCACTTAAAAGATTCGGTTCTTTTGAATTAATCGTTCACGAACAAAACAACACTAATAGCAGTGAAATGAAAGTGAGTACGCTCTTGAGTACCTACAGATTTTGCTCTTACACAAAAATACATCGCAGGTAAGAAAACATTAGCAAGTGTCATATTGTCTTTGAAATCTGTTTGGATGTGTTTCCATCAGAAAGTCTCTCCTGGTGAATGAGGCTTAATAATAATACTCTTGTTCCCTGTGATTGAAATGACAGAGAAGTTCATAAATTGCAGCTGCACTAACAATTTCTTACAGAAACAGCTGCCTGTGAACCAAAAGAAAGTCCAGGAGAGAGGAAAGGAGAGGGAGAAGGAGCTGAAAGTGCTGCTTGAAGCGCTGAAGGATTTCAAGGTTTGGATATTCAGCACCCCAAAAATGTCACTGCTGGATATTGTGGCGGTAGTAGAAAATATTTTAGAGGTAGTAAAAAAAGGTGGTAAATTAAACCCCAGGATTCCTGTGTAAACCCTGAATATGATCTAATATGATCGAGGGTGTTTTTTCTTCTTTTAAGCTGTCAATTTCCAGTAAATATGTAGTTTGTCATGTCAGTAGATGTCCTAAAAATAACTTGGGTCAACACAGAGCCCACATTGAATCAATACAATTTTATTTATACAGAAATGCAGCCAGACTTCAGTGAAGACCAGCAGTGGGATCTTTGATGAGCTGATCTCGTCCTTAAAGAAAAACTGCACTTCGCTGGAGAAGCTGATCAAAGCCCAAGAGAAGGAGGCGGTTGCCCAGGCTGAAGGGCTGCAGCTACAGCTGGAGGAGGAGATCTCTAAGCTGAGGAAGACAGACACAGACCTGGAACAAGTTTCTCATGTTGACGACAACATTCATTTCATCCAGGTACTTGCCCATATCTCACCTCAGCCTTTTGTCCAGTTGTATGAAAGACGCCTGCTGTCGTAGTTTCCACACCAAAACTGCAAGTTCCTTGACTTTTTTATCATAACTGTACTCTGGTCTCTGATTTATTGACTGCAGACTTTCCAGTCTCTGTCTGCCTCCTGTGAATCTCCTGACGTACCAAACGGTTGTGTTGTCCCATCAAAACATACATTCAAAGCTGTGGCTCAGAGGATATCTGAGCTTAAGAATGAGGTGGAGGACCTCGTGAAGACAAGATGGCCCAGCATCACAGCTGAAGGTGTGTAAGAAATACTTTTAAAGAAAGTGCTATCTATCAGTTCCTTTCAAGTTCATTGGTGTGAAAGAATTTTGCTTTCGTTGATAGTGTCTTCTGTGAATGTTCTGCTGCAACCTGAGCCAAAGACCAGAGAGGAGTTTTTAAACTGTGAGTAACATTTTATGTATTTCTATACTCCAAAAACTGAGTTTTGAAACGTTTAATATGTTTATATTTTTCTGCTCTTTCTCCCCTGTCAGTTTGCTGTCCCCTGAATCTGGATAAGAATGCAGTCTCTAAAAACATGACCCTTTCCGACCTGAAGGCAACATGCAAAACACAACAGGCACTCACTTACGATAGTTATTATGGCAGAAACTCATATATAACAACTAGGATAACAAGTATAGAGCAGATTTGGTGCAGTGAGGCTTTAACAAAGCGATGTTACTGGGAGGTCAGTCTGAGTGGTTATACTTGGTGTGTGGCGGTGTCGTATAAAGACAAAAGCGGTGCATCATCATATAAGTCTGAGTTTGGTAAGGATGACAGGTCCTGGAGTTTAGAGTGCTCCAGCAAAGGTTGCTCCTTAAGACACAACGACCAAAGCATCAGTGTGTCGGGCTCAGTATTCTCCAAGATCGGAGTGTACCTGGATTATATTGAGGGGATTTTGTCCTTTTACAGTATCTCTGGCTCAAATATGACCTTACTCCACAGAGTAGACACCACCTTCACTGAACCTCTCTATCCTTGCATCGGGTTCAAGGATGATAAGTCTCAACAAGGCACAGCCTATTATGCAGAACTGGTCAAGAACTGGTCATAACTAGGTTTAGGTTAGCTGCTGTGTATCACCGTCTACCAGGCTGTCACAAACAACCATGTCTAATGTCAGCCATTATTACTGTGACACCAGGCAGGCAAGAGTTAAGACTGGACCAAATGATGTTGTGAGCTGTATGTGGAGGGGGATCTAACTAAACCTTGGCCAGCTGTTGTTACAAGATTGATATAGCTGATATTCTTGTTGGCTTTAACCACTTAAGTATAAAAACTACAGTAACCACAGTATAAAAATAATCTGTTTAGTTGTAAATAGTTTGGTTTGCTCTTGTTTATTATAAAAATGAGTCAATATGGATGTCTGTATATTTCAAAAATGTCAAAAAATCTCCTTATGGGATCTTTAAGTATGAACCTTGCCACGGTTCTGTTTCGCGATGTGCATTCAGAGTCTTACAGATATATAAAGCATGTACACACTTAAAGTTTGAAGTTCTGGTTTGAATCGTATTGTGTTATATTTTCAAACAAATAAAGTTATACCCACCTGAAATTGGCTCTGCTTTTATTTTATTTTTATTTTTTTAGGCAGATGAGCCTGAACTGTCTGACTTTTAGACAACATATTGATTAAATCAATGGTTGACCTTTTAGTTCAACACGTTAAAACACCACAGGAAACAGAAATACAAAGATTTCAGATCATTCAAAGGATGGATTGAGATAATTAAGCTCATAGGGGTATTTTTACACAACTGCCAGGAAGATTTATTGTGATTGTAATAAATCTTAAACTACACGGACACTTGAACCTGTTACATGTGGTTAACACAAGGGGGCGCAGTTAATGTCAGGAACTAGGGAGTACTCGATAGTGATGGGCACGGCAATTCTTTTAGATGAACTGAATCAGTAGAATCAATTCACTAAACGGAATCGTCCAAAAGAGTCGTTCACCAAATCACTGACTCATGTAGCACTTGGCAGGAGAAGCATGCAACTCCAACCTCCTGTAATGATACACAGCTGAACGGTTCAGGATTCAGTTTAATTCATAGTTTCTGGGGACACAAGTGTTTGGCTGTGTTGCTTTGGCAAACAGGTTTGTAAAAATTAACTTGTTTATAAGTGTACTCTCCTATGGTATGCTATTTATCAGGTCTGCTCGGTAAATCGGGCTCAGTGAGTGATTCGTGCACTGAACGTTTAGAAGAATTCAAACTGAACATGCACCGTTCCCTCCTAAACCGCTGCAATGATAGGATGCTGAAGGTTTAATACACTACTTGTTACATGCTGTGAAGTTATTGTATGCAAGATGTTGTGGTGGCAGTTTAGCAGTAAAAAAAAGGTAGTTTTGTCTGACAAAAAATGATACCAGAGAGTGCAGTTAAGTGCGTGATTTGTTCACCAAGTGATTCAGGCGTCGGTGCATGCGGTCCCTCATTCACCGGCTGCTCGACTGGCAATGCCGTTACTCACTTCAGCTCAAGTGAAGTGAGAAATGAACGAATCACTCGAGGAAGTGATTCGGTTCAGTACGTTCACTTAAAAGATCCTGTTCTTTCGATCGAATCGTTCGCGAACGACACAACACGGGTTCTCGAGTCGAGTGTTGCTGATGTTTTGACTCGCTCAGCTCAACAACTTCCGGTTTAGAGAAAACCTAAGATTTCAGCGTAAAAATAACCGAACGTGAGCGAGGCCAGGATACAGAAGAGACCTATGACAAAGTAGTCCGGATCAGAGTAAACATGGCTGAATGTGGGAAGGTGCACGTCGCAGATTCAGATCTAAGTCAGTTCTGCTGTTCGGTGTGTTTGGACAAGTTAAAGGACCCGGTCACCATCCCCTGTGGACACAGTTATTGTAAAAGCTGTATTGGGGGTTTCTGGGACCAGAGTGAGGAGAAGGGAAACTACAGCTGTCCTCAATGCAGAGAAACTTTCAGTCCCAGACCTGCTCTGAGGAGGAACAACATGCTAGCTGAGGTAACAACATGAAATGCTATCAGTCACACTGACAGCAGAAATTAGACTATTGTATTGAGTTGAAATCTATATGCATTGAACCTACCTGTCTATAACTAGTGTTACATCTACTCGGTGTTTACTTCAGCCATAGGGAAGAGTGCATTTTTCATATTTTGGATCACTACATCAAGGCAATCATGGTAATGTCTCTAACTAGTGTATCTGCATATATGTCAAGATGTTGTGCATCCCTGAAAACCAACAGAATGAGTGTGAACATAACTGTCTTGATAATATAGCATGCCAAAAAAGTGGTCTCCTATGTATAGTATATACAGTCTATGGACCCCCTTCTTCACCCCAGTCCTCCGTCACCTTCACTCTCCCTAAATAACAGTCACTTCTTCACATTCATGTGTATTTTTATCTATTATATGCTATTTAACTAGTACAATAATTATTTTTATTGCGCACAACTGTTGAAAAGCTGTTTTGTAAAAAGGCATTTTAACATGAGAATGACTTTAAGTGATTCAGAACACTCATAGCTGTATTTTTGAAAAGAAAAAGTAACACATTTCAACAATCTGAACTGAAACTCTGATCCTCTCATCAGACTCCTTTACTTTCTCAGTTACCCCATAACTACTATTATGATGTTAATGGTCCTCTAAGCTAAAATGGCTGACTTCTATGCTTGGTTGTGGTTCTAATGAAACTTAAGACAGACTAAATTCACTTTCAAGAGTAAAAAATGTGTTTTTTGGGAAATAAATGTCTAACCCCTTCACCCATGTGCTTCTAACCTTCACAGACTCCATGAATTGATGTCCATCTCCTAAATATTTGGTCACATGATCAATTTCTTTTACTATTTCCAAGAAACAGGAGGTGGCTCAACTTACCCTTTGGCTCAACTTCAACTGGTTATAATCTGCTGTCAGAAACGCACAAGGGAAAATACAAGAAGATGCAAGCAGTCAGACTGTTTTTGTTGGACCTGTTAAGCTTGGGATAATCAGAGAGCTGATGGGAGTGTTGAGTGAACAGGGTTACTGACCGAAGTCCTTGTTTTATTGCCTTTAGGTTGTTGAGATGTTGAAGAAAACAAGTACCCAGCAGGCGTCTTCCTCTTTAACTGAGGCCGCTACCAGCCGTTCAGACATCCCCTGTGACTTCTGTGAGACCAATCCCAATAAAGCTACTATGTCCTGCCTGACCTGTGTGGCCTCCTACTGTCAAGATCACCTCAAACCTCACTACAGCGTTCCTGTGCTGAAGAAACACCAGCTGGTCCCGGCTACAGTCCCCCTGCAGGAAAAGATGTGCAGCAAGCACAACAAGCTGATGGAGATCTACTGCAGGACAGACAAGAAGTGCATCTGCTATTTGTGCATGGTAGACGAGCATAAGAGTCATAGTACTGTGTCGACTGCAGCTGAGAGAGAAGAGCAACAGGTAGGGAAAACCTTTAAAGCAACTTGTTGATTTTGATAATGTGTGACTAACTTTAAAATCAGCTCTTAATGAGTTTGCTTTGACAATTTCTTACAGAAACAGCTGACAGTGAGGCAAAAGGAAATTCAGGAGAAGGGAGAAAAGAGAGAAAAGGAGCTGACAGCGCTGCTTGAAGTGCTGAAAGACTTTAAGGTTTGGAGATTTAGTAGTTTCACCACTGTCTGTTGTCTGATAGATTTCAGTCCATTGAGATATGCTTCTTCTTTCATTAAATGTTATTTGAATTTCATTTTAACCAGTAAAACCTCATTGAAGTTAAAAATCTCTTTTACAAGGGTGTCATTGTAAAGCAGCAGCAAGTCCCTACAAAGCTACACACAGAAAAAACATCATTTAAAAATGTAACACATATCCTGAGTCATATAACAGAAATCATCTTTCAGGGATACCAGTTCCCTCACATCCAAGTTCTCTTGTTGCAAATCTCTTGAGAGATTTCTGTCTCTTTCAAAATCTGTTTTTAACCATTTCAAGACATTTTGACCCAAAACAGAGCCCTGTGGCACACCATTTATAATTTCTAGAGGAACAAAGATGATGCCTTTTGCTGTCAGAAAAGTAATTTTCAAACCAGAAGACAGATTGTTCAATATTTTCTTTGAGATCAAAATCTTTCGACAAGTCAATAAAAAGTGCTTATTGTCAAAGGACTCAGTAACATCACTGACCACCTTCAAAACCGTTGTTGTTGTGCTGCTTTATTTACGATCTGACAATGCAAATAGTAAGGACAACCAAAAATCAAAACAAACCTTTGCTTTTGAACAGATGTGCAGCCAGACTACAGTGGACACCAGCGATAAAATCTTCGATGAGATGATCTCATCCTTAACGGAAAAGCGCGCCCTGGTGAAGCAGCTGATATTGTCCCAGGAGAAGAAGGTGGAGGCCCAGGCTGAAGGGCTGCAGCTACAGCTGGAGGAGGATATCTCCAAGCTGAGGAAGAGAGACACAGAACTGCAACAGATTTCCAATATTGATGACCACGTCCACTTCATCCAGGTACCAGCCAATGATCAACTTTATAACGCTCCATCTAAACAGGTACACTGCATGATGCTCATGTTGTGAGCTGACTCTCTGGTGAAGAGTAGTTCTCCATATCCATTGTTTATGGCCAGTGGCTTTGGAAAGTGAAAGTGGCACCCCAAAATATGAGTGCAGATGAAAAGTACACTGACCTCTACTCTGGACTTGAGTAGACCAGCAGCAGATTGCATGGCACCCAAATCCTCACAGATTGGAAAACTTCAAGCATTTTGGATCCTGTGCCTTTTCGATCTTCCTCCAGACTCTGGGACCTTGATTTCCTAATGAGGTGCAAAATTGACTTGCATCTGAAAACCTTTTCTACCCTCCTGTCAACTTTCCATGAATCTGCTTTCATACAGCACTCTGTAAACAGCCAGCCTTTTCAGCAATGACCTTCTGTGGCTGACCATTCTTGTAGAGGGGGTCAATAATCATCTACTGGATAACTGTCAAGTCAGCAGTCTTCCTTACAGGCTGAAACAGAGTGTTTTATTTGCTATATTGCATGTCATATTATAAAATGCCCCAAGTTAAGTAGCTTAGTTGATACTAAAAGCTTCTGAGATGCTTGACCCAGAGTAACCTGGCTAACGCGCCACGCTACTGAGTTTCACCGTGAGTTGTGATGATCATTGAAAGTCTGGACGCTGTTCCTCAGATTCAGCAACCCAAAAATTTATGAACATAACCAAATCCATTTTCCAATTGATATCCAACACTGAACAAACAAGGAAAACGCCGGCAGTTAGCGCCAGGACGGTCAAAATCTTTTGCCCTTCCAGGTCAAACACCTACCCACAACAGTGACATGGCTATCTTTGTTCCTGAGCCCCCCAGACAACAGGACAGCGACACCACAGGCCCACAAAGTGAACTGCACTCATAATTTGTATTAAAGCAAAATATTTGGCTCCTACACCAAGAGAGAAGGAGAATTGAGGTTTATATCCACCTGTAAAGCCAGAAAAGTCAGTGGAACCCTCCTGGCTGTAACACTGATCATGCCTTGCTCATTGGCTGATTCACTTGTCCGTCTTGTGCTCTGTTTAATGTTTGGTTCCCCTTCTCCTGCTGGTACAAGGGTCATCATTTTACCCCTTTTTTTAATCAGGGTGAAGTTTCTTCCTGTTTCTGTTTCTCTGTCATCAAATATGTGAGTGTGCGCTCAACGAAGCTAGAGCATGACAGTTTTTAGTCTTCCTAACTGTACTCTGGTCTCTGACTTTTTGAATCCACTCCAGACTTTCCAGTCGCTGTCTGCCGCCTGTGAATCTTCAGACCTGCCGAAGGTTCCTGTCGTCTATCCGCAACACACACTCCAAACTGTGACTGACAGCATGTCCAAGATGAGAGACGGTATGGAGAGCCTCATGAAAGAAATGTGGCCACAGGTAACAGCCAAAGGTAACTGTAAAGCATGAAAATACATGATAATATAGAGTTGTGAAAATGTCATATTTGAGTCTTATGGTATCTTTGTTTTGTTGTTGTTTTTAGTGTCGTCCATACATGGTTGGATGCAGCCTGAGCCAAAGACTAGAGAAGAGTTTTTAAGCTGTGAGTAAATTTTGAGTGTTTATTTAAAGTTCCATAAATGAAGCATATTCACTGAGATTTGAGTTTTAAAAACTGTCATGTCAACATTACTTTCTCTGTTTTCTCCTGTCAGATTGCCGTCCTCTCAAACTGGATGGGACCTCAGTCTCTCCAGAGATGACTCTTTCACAGAAAAGATTGCGGGTGACATTACATCCAGAAGTGATACCTTTAGGTAATGATTATCCAGGTCGATATATCTTACGGAGGAACACAGATACCGAGCAGGTGTGGTGCAAAGAGGCTCTGACAGAGCAGTGTTACTGGGAGGTCAATCTTCATGGCACTATTTGGTGTGTGGCGGTGTCCTACAAAGACAACAGTGAAACATCCACTTCTCAGTCTGAGTTTGGACTTGATAACAGGTCGTGGAGCCTTGAGTGCTCCTATCAAGGTTGCTCCTTTCAACACAACAATGAAAACATTCATGTGTCGGACCGTCGGTGCTGGAAGATCGGAGTGTACTTGAACTACTCACAAGGAACTCTGTCGTTTTATGGCATCTGTGGTAAGAAGATGACTTTGCTCCACAAAGTAGACGCCACCTTTACTGAACCTGTCCATCCTTGCATTGGGTTCAAGGACAATGGTAGTAACAGAGGTGCTACCTTTTATGCAGAATTGGTCAAGTTATGGAGGTGACTTCTTTCAGGTTAGCATCTACACACCACTGTTGATCCGGCTGTCACAAACTATTCTCTGGGCTCAAAGGCAGTTCTGTCATGCTGGTGTGTTTGAGGTTGTGACATGTAAAACTGTTGAAGAATCTAATAAAGCCTTATCATGTCATGACATGGCTCCAAGCCTGATCAGCAAATAAAGACGTAACGAAAAGTGAAAAGTTTGAGGCTCATCTTTTAAAGGGATATTCCGGCGTAAAATTGATTTAGGGTCAAACACACCGTAACACCGAGTTAGACACCCTGTCAAGAGATGAATGTTGCCAACCGCTTGCTTCTCTAGTTCTACCAACTTTAGTAACGACCGTACGATAGCAATACACAGCGGCCTCAGGAGCGGTCGGCAACATTCATCTCTCGAGGGAGGTGTCTCACTTGGTGTTACTGTGTGTTTGACCCTAAATTAATTTTACGCCTGAATATCCCTTTAAATGACTAATTAGCCAACATAAGGTAACAGATAAGCATTTTACCACTAGATGGCTCAGATTACCTCTGGCTACTTATTTAAGTCTTTTTTTACCTTGTCATTTAGCCAATGTATCGTCATGAATGTATCATCTGTCAATTTTAGAGTAGTCAAAACTCCTATAGAGTTTTCATTTTAACAAAATCCCAGGGACATTTTCTTTAGGTTTTTCAGCACTAGGGGGCGCAGTTCTCTCTCTTCACAGATCTGGCGCCGCTCATGTTGGGCTTCACTCAGTATCTCACCAACGACCAAACCCTGTTGTGAAGAAACGAAACTTAACAGAGTGAACATGGCTGAATGTGAGCAGGAACGTAGTGCCGACTCTGACCCGAGTCAGTTCTGCTGTTCGGTGTGTTTGGACCAGCTGAAGGACCCGGTCACCATCCCCTGTGGACACAGTTATTGTAAAATCTGTCTTGAGGGTTTCTGGGACCAGAATGAGGAGAAGGGAAACTACAGCTGTCCTCAGTGCCGAGAAACCTTCAGACCCAGACCGGTTCTGAGGAGGAACAACATGCTTGCTGAGGTACGTACCTGTTCAGAGTAAAACTACGACATTTTAGAGCCGTTCATTTGAAATGAAAGTTAACGGATTTAAAAAAGATTGAGTTCCTCACAGGCATCTGTTCAGGTCGAAAGTGTTAAAGTTCAAACTCAATAAAATTTGTTAAAACTCCGTTAAAAGTTAAAAACGAAATAAAAAAAATATCCAGTTAAAGCGGTTTTATAAAATTAGTTTTTAAACAAGTTTTAAAAGTGGAAAGCACGAGAAGACATAGGGGAAAGTGAGGTAAGATGAGACATTTTTCATATTTCGGATCACTACATCAAGGCAATCATAGTTTTGTCTCTAACTAGTCAATCTGCATATATTTCAAGATGTTGTGCATCCCTGAAAACCAACAGAATGAGTGTAAACATAACTGTCTTGATAATATAGCATGCCAAATAAAAAGTGGTCTCCTATGGTCAACTCACCCTGTCTATGGGGTAAGTTGGAAATAAATGTTTAACCTCTTCACTCATGTGCTTCTAACCTTCACCGACTCCATGAATTGACGTCCATCTCCTAAATATTTGGTCACATGATCAATTTCTTTTACCATTTCCAAGAAACGGGGTGAATCAACTTACCCTTTGGCTCAACTTACCCCACTTTCCCCCACTGGTTATAATCTGCTGTCAGAAACGCACAAGGGAAAATACAAGAAGATACAAGCAGTCAGACTGTTTTTGTTGGACCTGTTAAGCTTGGGATAATCAGAGAGCTGATGGGAGTGTTGAGTGAACAGGGTTACTGACCAAAGTCCTTGTTTTATTGTCTGTAGGTTGTTGAGATGTTGAAGAAAACAAGTACCCAGCAGGCGTCTTCCTCTTTAACTGAGGCCGCTACTAGCCGTTCAGACATCCCCTGTGACTTCTGTGAGACCAATCCCAACAAAGCAACCATGTCCTGCCTGAACTGTGTGGCCTCCTACTGTCCAGATCACCTCAAACCTCACTACAGCGTTCCTGTGCTGAAGAAACACCAGCTGGTCCCAGCTACAGTCCCCCTGCAGGAAAAGATGTGCAGTAAGCACAACAAGTTGATGGAGATCTACTGCAGGACAGACCAGAAGTGCATCTGCTATCTGTGCATGGTAGATGAGCATAAGAGTCATAGTACTGTGTCAACTGCAGCTGAGAGAGAAGAGCAACAGGTAGGAACTTAACTCAGAATTTTTGGACTCTGGATCAGGTGTGATCATCTTAGACATTTACTCAATGAGTTTGATTTGACAATTTCTTACAGGAACAGCTGACAGTGAGGCAACAGACAGTCAAGAGGAGAGAAAAAGAGAGAGAAAAGGAGCTGACAGAGCTGCTCGAAGCCCAGAGGGATTTCAAGGTTTGGAAATTCAGAAATTTCTTTGCTTTTGACTCGTCTAGAAGATGTAGCTTCTTTCAGGCTTCAGAACATATCTGGGTCAGACAAGTCTTTGAAGTGGAAAGTTATAAAATTTGACCAGTTGATAGCTGGTTTTCACTCTAGTATGTCCAGTAAATATTCATATATCAATGAAGTGTAAATTTGAGGAATGCTCATCAAACACCTATTTAGAACATCCTACAGGTGAGCAGGCTAATTGGGAACAGGTGGGTGCCATGATTGGGTATAAAAGCAGCTTCCCCAAAAATTTTCAGTCATTCATAAGCAAGGGTGGGGCGAGGTTCACCGCTTTGTGAACAACTGCGTGAGCAAATTGTCGAACAGTTTAAGAGCAACGTTTCTCAAAGTACAATTGTAAGGAATTTAGGGATTCCAACATCTACGGTCCATAAAATCATCAAAAGGTTCGGCGAATCTGAAGAAATCACTGCACATAAGCGGCACGGCCGGAAACCGACATTGAATGCCCGTGACCTTCGATCCCTCAGGTGGCACTGTATCAAAAACCGACATCAATGTGTAAGTGTGTAAGGATATCACCACATGGGCTCAGGAACACATCAGAAAACCACTGTCAGTAAATACAGTTCGTCGCTACATCTGTAAGTGCAAGTATAAACTCTACTATGCAAAGCAAAAGCCATTGATCAACAACATCCAGAAACGCTGCCGGCTTCTCTGGGCCCAAGCTCATCTAGGATGGACTGATGTAAAGTGGAAAAGTGTTCTGTGGTCTGACGAGTCCACATTTCAAATTGTTTGTGAAAGTAGTGGACGTCATGTTTTCCGGGCCAAAGAGGAAAGAACCATCCGGACTGTTATCAACGCAAAGTTCAAAAGCTAGCATCTGTGATGGTATGGGGGTGCATTAGTGCCCAAGGCATGGGTAACTTACACATCTGTGAAGGCAACATTAATGCTAAAAAGTACATACAGGTTTTGGAGCAACATATGCTGCCATCCAAGCGACATCTTTTTCATGGACGCCCTTCCTGCTTATTTCAGCAAGACAATACCAAGCCACATTCTGCACGTGTTACAACAGCGTGGCTTCGTAGTGAAAGAGTGCGGGTACTCTACTGTCTCCCATTGAAAATGTGTGGCGCATTATGAAGCGTAAAATACGACAACGGAGACCCCGGACTGTTGAACAACTGAAGCTGTACATCAAGCAAGAATGGGAAAGAATTCCACCTTCAAAGCTTCAACAATTAGTCTCCTCAGTTCCCAAACGTTTACTGAGTGTTGTTTAAAGGAAAGGTGATGTAACACAGTGGTAAACATGCCCCTGTCCCAACTACCTTGGCACGTGTTGCAGCCATGAAATTCTGAGTTAATTATTATTTGCAAAAAAAAAATAAAGTTTATGAGTTTGAACATTAAATATCTTGTCTTTGTTGTGTATTCAATTGAATATGGGTTGAAAAGCATAAGCAGATCATTGTATTCTGTTTTTGTTTACGCTTATCACAATTTCCCAACTTCAATGGAAATCGGGTTTTGTATTTCCAAACAGTATTTTTGCTTCATGTGTGCCAAGAACTGTGAGCTTGAAACACCTCTGATTAAAAAGTTAATTACAAAGAATATATCAAATTTGAACAAATCTTTGTTTGTTTGTGTTTTTACAGATATGCAGCCAGACTGCAGTAGAGTCCTGCGACAGGATCTGTGAAGAGATGATCCTGACAATGAAGAATAGCGTCACTTTGGTGAAGCAGAGGATCGTAGCTCAGGAGCAGGCAGCATTCACTCATGCTGAGCGGCTGCAGCTACAGCTGGAAGAGGAGGTCACCAAGCTGAGGAAGAGATTTGCAGAGCTGGAGCAGGTTTCTCATATTGATGACAACACCCATTTCATTCAGGTACTAACTAATATTCAACCTTGTAACTGATCATTAAGTCCGGTAGGTGAAGGAGTGTTATATGTCCTTCTCAGATGTTGATTTTATTTGAGATAAACATGAGGTATTTGTACCCCTCACCTCTACTGGGCTTTCCCCAGCACAGGGACGTTGTGGCTCCAGCTGAGATTAAAAGTGGACTGATGTGTCTTCAAAAGATTGTGAAACAGCAAAAAAAAAGTGGTGGAGGGAGGAGAGCAGAGAGAGGGGCAACCATTAGGATTTCAGGGTCATGATAAAATACAAGCCAAGGTCTTGATGAAGGATGTTATTTAAAACATGAAGACTGACTGGTTTTTTAAGATCAGAGGGATGGAGAAAGCATGACGAGAGGCTGTTTCTGTGTAAAATGTACAGTGCATCCAGAGAGTTTTCATACCACTTCACTTTTTCCACATTTTGTTATGTTACAGCCTGATTCCAAAATGGATTAAATTCCTTTTTTCCCTCAAAAAATCTACACAAAATACCCCATAATGACAAAGCGAAAAACTTTTCTTAGAACATTTTGCTAATTTATTAAACATAAGACACTCAAATGTTGCATATACATAAGTATTCACACCCTTTGCTATAAAACTCAAAATTGAGCTCAGGTGTATCCTGTTTCCACTGATCAGCCTTGAAATGTTCCTTTAGCTTGATTGCAGTCCACCTGTGGCAAATTTAGCTGATTGGACATGATTTGGAAAGCCACACGTGTCTGTATAAGAGCCCACAGCTGGCACGTCAGAGCACAAACCAAGCCATGAAGTCGAAAGAATTGTCTGTAGACCTCCGAAACAGGGTTGTATCGGCGCACAGATCTGGGGAAGGTTACAGAAAAATATCTGTTTGGAGCTGGCCGCCTAGCCAAAATGAACAAGCAGGGGAGAAGGGCCTTGGTCAGGGAGGTGACCAAGAACCCGATAGTCACTCTGGCAGAGCTCCAGCGTTCCTCTGAGGAGATGGGAGGACCCTACAGAAGGACCACCATCTCTGCAGCACTTCACCAGTCAGGCATTTATGGTAGAGTGGCCAGACAGAAGCCACTCCTCAGTAAAAAGCACATGACAGCCCGCTTGGACTTTGCTAGAAGGCACTTGAAGGACTCACAGACCAGGAGAAACAAAATTCTCTGGTCTGATGAAACGAAGATCAAACTCTGGCCTGAATGCCAAGCGTCATGTCTGGAGGAAATCAGGCACCGCTCACCACCTTGCCAATACCATCCCTACAGTGAAGCATGGTGGTGACAGCATCATGCTGTGGGGATGTTTTTCAGCGGCAGGAACTGGGAGACTTGTCAGGATAGAGGGAAAAATGAATGCAGCTTAGTACATCGAAATCCTTGATGAAAACCTGCTCCAGAGCGCTCGAGACCTTCGACTGAGGCGACGCTTCCAGCTTGACAATGACCCTAAGCACACGGCCAAGAAGACAAAGGAGTGGCTTCAGGACAAGTCTCTGAATATCTTTGAGTGGCCCAGCCAGAGCCCAGACTTGAACCTGATTGAACATCTTTGGAAAGACCTGAAAGTAGCTGTGCATCGACGCTGCTGATCCAACCTCACAGAGCTTGAGAGGATGTGCAAGGAAGAATGGGAAAAACTCCCCAAATCCAGGTGTGCCAAGCTTGTTGCATCATACACAAGAAGACTGGAGTATGTGAGGTGTTGACAGAGTTTTTAAGTGTATTACATGAATGTGTTGCAGTTGTTGACCAAGTTTCTTGTTTTTTCTTTCTTTGTCCTGCTCTGGTCTCTGATTTATGGATTTCTCTGCAGACTTTCCAGTCCCTGTCTGCTTCCTGTGAATCTCCAGACCTGCCAAATGGTTGTGTTGTCCGCCCAAAACATACATTTAAATCTGTGACTGACTCCATGTCTAAGATTAAGGAGAACATTGAGGAGCTTCTGGAGGAGATATGGCCAGATATCAGTACCAAAGGTATGATATGCAGTATACACACATATTGGTTTAATTTAAGCTCAGTGGTACTAATGAGTTTTTTCTTTGTTGCTAGTGTCCTCTGTCAATGTCTTGATGCAGCCTGAGCCGAAGACTAGAAAAGAGTTTCTACTCTGTGAGTAAAGTTGAGTATATTTCTGTCTAGTTGAGACCTGGGTTGTAGAAAAGTCACATTATTCTTTTGTCTTTCCATCAGATTGCTGTCCTCTACAACTGGACAAGAATGCTGTCTCCAAAAACTTGGTCCTTTCACATGGCCACCTGCGGGCAGGGTCCAAGACACAGAAGTACGCTTCTCAGAGCAGTTGGACTGGTTATGCGACTAAGAGAATTACAGGTACGGAGCAGGTTTGGTGCAGCGAGGCTCTAACAAAGCAGTGCTACTGGGAGGTGGATTTGGGTGGTCACACTTGGTGTGTGGTGGTGTCGTATAAAGACAAAAGCGGTACATCATCATATCAGTCTGAGTTTGGTAAAGATGATAGATCCTGGAGTTTAGAGTGCTCCAGCGAAGGTTGCTCCTTCAGACACAACGACCAAAGCATAATTGTGTCGAGCTCTAACTTCTCCAAGATCGGGGTGTACCTTGATTTTCTGGAAGGCACTTTGTCCTTTTATGAGGTCTCTGGCATGGCAATGACTCTACTCCAGAAAGTCGACACCACTTTCACTGAACCTGTATATCCTTGCATTGGGCTTAAGGATGATGGATCTCGAAAAAGCAGCACTTATTATGCAGAGCTAGTCAAGCACTGGTGATCACTTGTATGTTAAAGGGATGACCTACAGTATAGTCAGGGTCTTCTTGTATTTGCACTTACACAGTGAGCTTCCAATGAAAATGGCCTCATCTTGTGAATATATAATTTGGACCTGCAGTAGCTGGACTTTCCAGCACTGAGTAATGGTGTGTGATACATCAAGTTTATATAAAGAATTATAGTATCACAACCATCTGTGCGCACTTCAGTATCAGGAGAGAAGCAAGGAAGGGCATCAGGGGAAACAAACATTTACTCAGTGATTCAGGGGTGATTTCTAAATATGGCGTTAAATGCTCTAAAAACATTGCGATGTTTGCAGTTTGTAGTATCGCACAGCCCTAATTTTATGAAGGAGCTCATGATGAACCACAAATCTCACAATCTCTCAAAAAATTGCACTTCTTTAAAGTCTCACTTTTGATAAAATCTTTTAATTTTTTTTTTCCTTAAAGAGTTCAATGGTGTTAAAAAATAAGCTTTTCAGAAGTTCAAAATAATGTCTATTGTTAGATGATGTGATTTTTGAATGTATCTCAGAGAACTTTTTGACTGTTATTAGTAAAATGATACTCTGTCTCATGCTTGATTCAAATTGAAATCCTTTGTTTTGTTTTAAAGCGCAAAATGGTTGTGTTTGAGTTCAGGAAGCAGTCTGTGATTAGAAACCTAAACATGGTCAGCCTTGCTACAGTCCTGTTTTCAGAGTCCTACAAATCTTGAAGTCTTTTAAAAATATGTAAGTTGTAAAAATCGACTGAAATTACTTATGTTAAAAAAAAATTAATAAAAGGTGGTACCCAATGTGCATTGATACGATTTTTTGGCATGTGATACTGAGGTAAAAGTTGGCATATTAAGAAATAGAGATGGTTACTTTTGTGAGAAATGTCACTTTTTTATGCATTTACATTTTTGGATATTCAGGAGCTTTTTTTGGGTAACTTCAGTAAGAAGATGGTTGAAAAAAATTGACTTAATTTTAGTTTTTTGTTTTTTTTACTGTCAATTTTATTATTCAGAGCAGTCAGAGCTTTAATGCTGTTTTAATATTTGTTTTTAAGCTGTCAGAGAAGGACAATATTTGTCTATTACACCACGTTCCAAATTATTATGCAAATGATTATTCTCAGATTTTCTAAATTGTAAACGCAAATGACAGTCAGTATAATTTTCAAGTCATCATCTGTTAGAGTATAATTTAAAATGTTACTGAACAAACCTCCCAATGATAACAGTATTTTTTTCAAAGACAAAAAACTTGAAATGTACTGTTCCAAATTATTATCCACAACAGAGTTTCAAAACATTTTACAGGTTGTAAAGAACTCAAAATGGTAATATGTTGAATTTGCAGCATTAGGAGGTCATATTTACTGAAATCAAAAACTATTTTAATCAAAAACATCTTTACAGGTCAAGTTACATTTCAACCTTGGACCCCTTATTTGATAGCAGCTTCAAAATTCTTGCATCCATTGAACTTGTGAGTTTTTGGACAGTTCCTGCTTGGATTTGTTTGCAGGATGTCGGAAAAGCCTCCCAGAGCTGCTGTTTGGATGTGAACTGCCTTCCACCCTATGCTCCAAAGGTTCTCATTAGGGTTGAGGTCAGGGAAGGATGGGGGCCACAACATGAGTTTCTCTCCTTTTATGCCCATAGCAGCCAATGATGCAGAGGTATTCCTCACAGCATCACATCACAAGATGATTTTGTTACGGAGAGCACGGTTCTTCTGTTTGTACCATGGAAGAAAGTGGTCAGTCAGAAACTCCACATTCTTTTTAGAGGTCCGTTTCACACCTTCAGGGACCCTAAAAGGCCGACCAGCTATCTCTCCATGATTCCGTCCCAAAACATGACTCCACCACCTCCTCGCTGACATCCCAGCCTTGTTGGGACATGGTGGCCATCCGCCAACCATCCACTACTCCATCCATCCGGACCATCCAGGGTTGCACGGCACTCATCAGTGAACAAGACTGTTTGAAAATTAGTCTTCATGTGTTTCTGGGTCCACTGCAACCGTTTCTACTTGCGAGCATTGTTTAGGGGTGGCCGAATAGAAGGTTTATGCACAGCTGCAAGCCTCTGGAGGATCCCACACCTTGATGTTCGGGGGACTCCAGAGGCATCAGCAGCTCCAAATATCTGTTCGCTGCTTTGTAAAGGCCTTTTAGCAGCGGTTCTCTTAATCCGATGTATTTGTCTGGCAGAAACCTTCCTCATTGTGCCTTTATCGATGTGTTCTCTGAAACAGCCACAAATCTCTTAACAGTACGATGATCACACTTAAGTTTTCAAGAAATATCTAAAGTTTTCATACCTTGTTCAAGGCATTCAACTATTTCACACCTTTCAGCAGCAGAGAGATCCTTTCTCTTTCCTATATTACTTGAAAACGTTGGTCTGCTTAATAATGTGGAACGTCCTTCTTTAGTAGTTTTTCCCTTAACTGAGCTCACCTTGCAAATAAATGATCAAAGGTGTCTGAGATTGATTTCAGCGATCCATAGAACCCTAATTGAAAAACAAAATATAGAACCTTTATGACGTAATAATTTGGAACGCAGTGCATTCTTCTCCAAGTGGCGCGATTCTTCTTCCTTTTCAGCACGAGAGCGCGCACGTCCCTTTTAAGCGTCAGACACAATTGTTCCTATATCAGTGTTCGTCTTCAGTCCGCTCTACTCGACAACCCTGCCATGGCTGACACTCACAGTTACCCTGTTTATTTCGAGTGTCCCGGCCTGCTCGGGGAACAGAAGAAGAAGAAGAAAATATGGTTGTATTTCCTCAATCGCCGAAAATCAGGCGGAGAGGACTGTGGACCGGTGAGGCGCGAGAGCGATACGGTGTACAGCGTTGCCTTCAAATGTCAAACAGGTAGGCCATAATAATAATAACAACAACAACAACAAGAAACTAACATAAAGCTACAAATAACCCCGAATATTAATGTATTTTTCATAATAAGAAACTTGTTGTATGTTGTTTAAGAACTTTGCCTTTTGGGTTTTCTGCCTCTCACTTATAATTTGTTAGTTTTTGTTTCTTCGTATACTTTTTTAAACCGTGCAAAAAGAAAATAAACAATAAACTTATAAGCATTGCTGCACATTACCCAAAAGTCACTTAAAATGACTCGGGTTGGCTCGACAAGATGGTGTTTGTATTAACTTTTTTGTACTGAAATAATGTCAACATCAACAAGTTTACTGTTTAATCAGATAATATCTGAGAGGAGATTCATTTGGTTTCACTTTCGAGAAACATGAAACTCAGTCACTGCTGCACAGGGGCGTATTCAGCAGTTGGTTAGAGGTGGCCATGCCCACCCCCGCTTGAAACGTAATCCTGCATCCCCATGCTTTTTTTGTTTGTTTTTTTTTCACTCTGGTTGACTTTAATACTTTTGATACCTTCAAAAAATAATAATAAAACACCAGTGTCACCCTTTCTGTCTTAGATCAGCAAAGAGTCCTGCAAAGGTCTGAGCATGTTGTGGAGCTTGCAGATGGTCGATTGGTCTTAACAGTGCAGGACACCCTTGAACCTCACACCTCTGCTATCAACACTGAAGCACCAGACTCGGATGTTACAGTTCCAGAACAGGTTAGCACCTCACTTCTTTTTATTCAGATTAAGTCAATTGAAAATTTGTCTCTATAGTTTACATTACATGTGTGATAGATTAATGATGCTAAAGAGACAGTGTACTTCATCATTAGCATATTACAACAAGCTTTATTATGGCTGGAATTAAGTATGGTAAATGGGTAACAAGCAATTTTCATTACATGGTCATCTCTTTTCAACACAGATCCCACTTGATAAAAAGGAAAGTGTTGAACCAGTTGCTTTGGACCAGTCTTGTGCCCAAAGCAGAGTACCCCTGCCTTCCCCAGGGTTAGGACAAGAATTACCAGAACTACTGCAGGTCCATTCTTTGACATCCTCCGCTGAGTCAGCGGTGGAGGTTGAAGGTCCCTCCAACCTCAATGTCACTGACCCCCGCCTGGACTGCCTTGATGACGATGGAGTCATTATTGAAGATCCAGGGTCAATAAGATTTTTCCAAATCTCCCTTGAGGAAGATGAAACCCCAAGTGTCGCAAATTTGGCATCCTCAGGCGTAGGTGAAGTTAACACAACAGTCGCCAGCTACCACCTTCATGAAGGGCTTCAAGTGCTGGCTTGTCATGGTGACATCACCAAACAGGATGCTGACACCCTGGTGAACGCTGCAAACAAAGATTTGGACCACTGTGGAGGGGTTGCTGCTGCACTGAGCAAAGCAAGTGGTCCGGAAGTACAGCAAGAGAGCAACAATCTAGTGGAGTGTTTCGGGAAAATACCAACAGGTGAGGTAGTTGTGACCGCAGGGGGGAACTTGAACTGCAAGTTACTGCTGCATGCTGTCGGACCTGTTGGTGGAGAATCAGGGGGAAGAGAGAGGGCCTTACTTGAAAAAGTAGTCCACTCGGCTTTGAATTTATCAGACATCATGAAGTTGGAGTCCATTGCTATGCCGTGTATCAGCTCAGGGGCATTCGTCTCTCTTAAAGTGTGTGCCGAGGCTATCATGACCGCTGTAAAGGAGTTTGGCAGCCAGGGAGGGCGAAGCTTGAGCACTGTCATTTTGATTGATAACAGGGAGGAAGTGGTTAAGGCAATGCAGGAAGCATGTGACGGGATTCTCACCAGGGTAACCCCTGAACAAAGTGAACCAACTTGCGATGAGTTCCCATTGGGAGCATTTGCAAAAGAGGAAGCTAGAGCTCCTGGAGATGATGAGGGGGAGGGGGGATATGCCAATCTTTATTCCAAAACGCATCTTTGTAAACACTTATTCTGATCGTGTGTCCTCATGTGTACCCTACGTCAACATGACGCAATTCCGCCGTTAGTGAAAAGACGTAAATACGGCGGGATCCTAAAGCAATTGGTCTGTGTCTGACACAGTTTTCTTGCTGAATATAGTCTTCTTGTGCAATGTAGAATCAGGATGTGCCACTGGGCCCACTTAATGATCATGTATGCTAGAAGCAGTACAACCACTCTCAGAGCCTGGCTCAGGTCCAATCTGAGTGGAGGGAAAAATCCTGAATCGGACAAAGTTAGCCGCTACAGCATTTGTTGGTTTGTTGGCAGCTCAGATGTAAATGCAACTATAATTCTGTGGTTGTTTTAGTGAAATTAGACAACTCTGTGCATGTCCAAATGCTTCTAACCTGAATAAAGCTTGGTGCATGTATATGTGGAGTGGATTCAGATTTCCTGATCCCTCAAATTTTTGATTGGATTGAGAAATTTTGGATATGTAAACATGACTAGTGACATGACAAGGCTGGTTATGTCTTTTTCATATTGAATGAAATTTTACTCTATCACTCTACAGGGTCTGTTACGAAGAGGATCGTACTACTGGGGAAAACAGGATCTGGAAAGAGCGACCTAGCTAGCACCATAATTGGAGAGAAATTGTTCAGCACAGATCACAACCCCACCTCTGGAACAAAAGAATGTCAAGCAGAAACCAGATCCGTCAACGGAAGAAGCATCACTGTGATCGACACTCCTGGTTTCTTCGATACAGGAAGGTCTGAGGAGGAGATGAAGCCCGAGATAGTGAGGTGTATCACAGAGTGCGCTCCTGGGCCCCATGCTTTTCTCATTGTGCTCAAAGTGGAGAAATTCACTGAGCAGGAGCGGGCAGTCATCACTGAAATATGCCAGTATTTCTCTGAGGATGCTCTCAAATATGCTGTCATTGTCTTCACCCATGGTGATCAGCTGCCTGAGAAGGTGAAAATCGAGGAGTTTGTTAGTCAGAATAAGGATCTGAGTGATCTGGTGAGGAAGTGCGGAGGGAGGTGCCACGTCTTTGATAATAGATACTGGCAGAATAAAGGGCAGAGTAACTACAGAAGCAACCAGTTCCAGGTTGAGGAGCTACTCAACACAATAGATCAGATGGTGATGGAAAACGAAGGTGGCTTCTACATGAATAGGATGCTTCAAGTTGTAGAGACAGGGATCCAGAGAGAGGAAGAGAGAGTAAGACAGTCCATGGGTGATGTGTCAGCGGTAGAGATCAGAAGAGTAGCCAGAAGCAGAATTAATGAGATTTTGATCCAGCTGGCAGGCATTGGTACAGGAGTATTGGTAGGGGCTCTTGTTGGCATTGAAGTGATGCAAAAAGTAGTCATCAAAGCTCTGAAAAACAATGCAGCCTTCACGGAACTCATTAGAAATTTACCAGCTGTAGGAAGAGGAGGAATTAAAGCAACAGGTCTAGATGCTGCATGTATGGTTGGTGTGGCTGCATTCGGCTTTGCTGCAGCAGGTGCAGTAATGGGTGGAATCACTGGAGGTGAAGCAGCTGAAGGAGCTGCAACACCCATGGAGGCAGTCAACAAGGCAGCCAATGCTGTGACCAACAAAGGGAAAGCTATTCTGCCATGTGACTGATTCACCAGTTCTCTGCTAAGACATGATGGTTGTTTTCAGTCAGGTACATTTTAATGCCCTTTTTCTTTTCAGATTCATTGGGCATCATAGTCCAATGTATGGCGACATAGCTAAAACTTTTACATGTATTTGGCTGCTTACCAGGTTGATGTCTATGTGGAGGAGAGGATATGGTTAACAATTCTACACACAATTAAATTTCACCACAGTGTGAAGGAAATATTCAAGTACTATAACTGAGGGGTTTGCACAGTGTTGCTGGACAGATCCCAGTCAACACTAGGAAATGTCGTGCTGAACTCTATAAGTTATGACTCCCAGGCTGTGATACACAAAACCCAAGTCCATTGAAGTTGGGAAACTGTGATAAACGTAAATGAAAACAGAATACAATGATTTGCAAATCCTTTTCAATCTATATTCAATGGAATACACTACAAAGACAAGATATTTAATGTTCAAACTCATACACTTTTTTTTTTTTTTGCAGTAATCATTAACTTTAGAATTTGATGGCAGCAACATGTGCCAAAGAAGTTGGGAAAGGTGGCAAAAAATACTGAGAAATTTGAGGAATGCTCATCAAACACCTATTTGGAAGATCCCACAGGTGAGCAGGCTAATTGGGTACAGGTGGGTGCCATGATTGGGTTGGATTGCAACAAAGTGAGCTTCCAATGAAAATGGCATCATCCTGTGAATATATAATTTGGACCTGCAGTAGCTGGACTTTCCAGCACTGAGAATTGGTATGTGATAAAGAATTATAATAACGCAACCATCTGCACGTGCTTCAGTATCAGGAGAGAAGGTAGGAAGGGCATCAAGGGAAACAAGTAAACATTTACTCAGTGATTCAGGGGTGATTTCTAAATGTGGAGTTTAATGCTCTAAAAACATTGTGATGTTTGCAGTTTGTAGCACCGCACAGCCCTAATTTTATGAAGGAGCTCATGTGGGACCACAAATCTCACGATCTCTCAAAAAAATTGCACTTTTTTAAATTCTCACTTTAGGTAAAATCTTTTAACTATTTTTTTTCCTTAAAGAGTTCAATGGTTTTAAAAAAAAAGTTTTTCACAAGTTCAGAATAATGTCTATTTTTAGATGATGTGATTTTTGAATGTATCTCAGAGAACCTTTTGACTGTTTTTAGTGAAATGATACTCTGTCTCATGCTTGATTCAAATTGAAATCCTTTGTTTCGTTTTAAAGCGCAAAATGGTTCGTGAAAGATGGCAATGTTTAAGTTCAGGAAGCAGTCTGTGATTGGAAACCTAAACACATTCAGCCTTGCTACAATCCTGTTTTCAGAGTCCTGCAAATGTTAAAGCCTCTTACAAATGTGTACATTATAAAAATCAGTGGAAAGTACTTATGTCAAAAATAATGAATAAAAAGTTGTACCCAACATGCATTAATCCGCTTTTTTTGGTATGTTAATGTCAGATTTATTTATATAGCACATTTAACAACAGCAAGTGGTCTACCAAAGTGCTTTACATTAGAACTAGCCAGTAAAAAACAATAAAAACAATAAAAGCATACAACATATAAAAACAACAATATAGATAAACATAACAAATAAAATACCCAATAAAAGTAGCTATACTTCCCTGAAATCTAAAGTGAAGAGGTGCGTCTTCAGAAGTGTTTTAAAAGTGGAAAGGCTGTTAGCAGTACGCACTGTCAGGGGTAAAGCGTTCTCCTCTAGATTTTAAAAAGGATCAAGTGTGATTGAGTGATCCACCGTTTCAAACGCCGCCGTCAAGTCAAGTACCAGAATCAAGGTTTGACAAAAGATCATTAAAAACTTTTAAAAGAGCAGTTTCAGTGCTGCGAAGAGACTTAAAACCAGACTGAACCAGTTCACAAACATTTGCCTCTTGTAAAAATTCTTGGAGTTGGTTAAAAACAACTTTCTCTAAAACCTTGGATATAAAAGGGAACTTGGATATTGGCCTAAAATTGGACAAAACCAAGGGATCCAAGTTTTTCTTTTTCAAGAGAGGCTGCACTGTGGCATGTTTGAAGGAGGAAGGCACACTCCCGGAGCTGAAACGCCGATTAATGACGGGCAAAACAAAAGACTGAACTGTATCAAAAACCTTTATGTTTATGTGAAGATACTGGGCTAAAAGTGGGCATATTAAGAAATAGAAATGGTTACTTTTGTAGGAAATGTCATATTATGATGCATGCACACATGGATTTTTAGGAGCTTGTTTTGGGTAACTTCAATAAGAAGATGGTTAAAAAAATCTACTTAATTTTATTTTATTTTTTACTGTCAATTTTATTATTCAGAGCAGTCAGAGCTTTAATGCTGTTTTAATATTTGTTTTTAAGCTGTTACATAAGGACAATATTTGCCTATTATTGTTTTCCAAGTGGCGTGATTTGATAACTTCCTCCTTTTCAGCCGTAGAGGGCGCACTTCCCTTTAAAGCGTCAGACACAGTTGTTCCTCATATCAGTGTTCGTCTTCAGTCCTCTCTACACTACAGCGCCACTATGGCTGACACTCACAGTTACCCTGTTTATTTCGAGTGTCCCGGCCTGCTCGGGGAACAGAAGAACAAGAAAATATGGTTGTATTTCCACAATCGCCGAAAATCAGACGGAGGGGACTGTGGACCGGTGAGGCGCGAGAGCGATACGGTTTACAGCGTTGCCTTCAAATGTCAAACAGGTAGGCCATAATAATAACAACTATAACAAGAAACTAACATAGAGCTAAAAATAACCTCGACTATTAATGTATATTTCTTAATAAGAAACTTGTTTTATGTTGTTTAAGAACTTTGACGCACGACATTATGCAAAAGTCACTAAAAATGACTCGTTTTGGCAAGATGGGGTTTATATTTTCATGCTCTTTCACACATAAAAAACGTCAACATCAACAATTTTACGGTTCCATTAGATAACATCTGAGAGGAGATTCGTTAGGTTTCGTTTTCGAGGTAAATGAAACTCCGGCACTGCTGCACAGGGGCGTATTCAAGGGTTGGTTAGAGGTGGCTATGCCCACTCCCTTCTGAACTCTAAACCTCCATATCCATGTTTTTTTAAATTTATTTTCTACCCTGGTTGACTTAAATACTTTTTCAGAGACAGAGTTAATAATAAAACCAACTACTTAGGCAGAGAATTTCAATATAGCAAAGTTTCTGAGTCCAAACTTTTATTAGCTCTGATTATAAACTCTAACTTCTTTGGGACACTTGGAAAAGTTAATTGAGGAAGGTTTAGGTGTTACCAATGTAATACCAGGGCTTGACACTAACTTTTGTCACAAGGAGCACATGTGCCCCTAAGTTGGAAAAGTAAGGAGCATACAAAACTTAAGGGGCATGAAAAATTAGAGAAATTAAATTTTCGTCCGACCTTTGCACTATTATTTTAAATCAATTTTAGGTCAATTGGTCACATGACATCCAAGCTATTGAAGGAAAACAGCCATTTTTGAGAACATCAACCGGTAATTTATTGATGATCCCTTACTCAACACGCAATATTGACAGCAAGGGTGCCGAGTAGATTTAACCAAGCTGCTGTTGCTATTCCCGGTTATGGAGAATGAGAAGACACCGGTAGATCCGCAGTGAATGTCTGTTGGATATCCAACCTAAAACTAACTTCACTGTGGTATTTACATGAAAAAACATTTGTTGCCTCGGCTGATTTTTTTTGGCACACATGTGCCTCTAAATTCATTTACAATTCGCACACATCTATTTTTCGTCGCAAATGCGAGTGAAATGGTCGCACTGAATCCACTTTTATAAAAACTGGTTTTAGGTCAGTAATAGTAACAAAAGCCTGATCTTGTAAAAATAAACTCACAAAATGCAATAACTCATGTCTTAGATCAGCAAAGAGTCCTGCAAAGGTCTGAGCATGTTGTGGAGCTTGCAGATGGTCGATTCGTCCTAACAGTGCGGGACACCCTTGAACCTCACACTTCTGCCATCAACACTTCAGCACCAGACTCGGATGTTACAGCTCCAGAACAGGTTAGCGCCTCATTTCTTTTTATTCAGATTAAGTAAATTCAAAATTTGTCTTTATAGATTACATTAAATTTATGATTAATAAATGATGCTAAAGAGGCAGTGTACTTCATCATTAACATATTACAACAAGCTTTATTATGGCTGGGATAAAGTATGGTGAATGGGTAACAAGCAGTTCTCATTACGTGTTCATCTCTTTTCAACACAGATCCCACTAGGCAGTCCTGCTTCAACATCTCCATCAGGTGGTGAAGAACATGAACTACATCTTGATCTTTACCTCCTTCGATACCTAACGGAAAGTCCCAAATCTTGGAAAGACTTAGAAAAAGATCTCATCTTTTTTTCCTGCTCTGCTCAGCTTTACCCAGAGGAGGGAAGAGTTTTAGTCATAAGGTCAGCTCAACCTGACAATGAAGAAAGTTGGAAAGCTGAGGTAGACAAAGTCTTTGCTAGCTTCCTGTGCCATCATGAGGTGGACCCTCTCAAAGTTGAAGCTTTGCTTCAGTCCTGCTCCCCTCAGACCACAGATCAGGTTAAGGTATACAGCATGGCCGGGAAGGCTGTCGTTGTCGGGGAACGCTCTCTGGTGAACGCGATGTTGATGAATCTTGATAGAGAGGAAAGTGTTGAACCAGTTGCTTTGGACCAGTCTTGTGCCCAAAGCAGAGTACCCCTGCCTTCCCCAGGGTTAGGACAAGAATTACCTGAACTACTGCAGGTCTATTCTTTAACATCCTCCTCTGAGTCAGTGGTGGAGGTTGAAGGTCCCTCCAACCTCAGTGTCACTAACTCCCACCTGGACTCCCTTGATGGCGTTGGAGTCGATATTGAAGATCCAGGGTCAGTAAGATTTTTCCAAATCTCCCTTGAGGAAGATGAAACCCCAAGTGTTGCAAATTTGGCATCCTCAGGCTTAGGTGAAGTTAACACAACAGTCGCCAGCTACCACCTTCATGAAGGGCTTCAAGTGCTAGTTTGTCATGGTGACATCACCAAACAGGATGCTGACGCCCTGGTGAACGCTGCAAACAAAGATTTGGACCACTGTGGAGGGGTAGCTGCTGCACTGAGCAAAGCAGGTGGTCCTGAAGTACAGCAAGAGAGCAACAATCTAGTGGAGTGTTTGGGGAAAATACAGACAGGTGAGGTAGTTGTGACCACAGGGGGGAACTTGAACTGCAAGTTACTGCTGCATGCTGTCGGACCTGTAGGTGGAGAATCAGGGGGAAGAGAGAGGGCCTTACTCGAAAAAGTAGTCAGCTCGGCTTTGAATTTATCAGACATCATGGAGTTGGAGTCCATTGCTATGCCGTTTATCAGCTCAGGGGCATTTGTCTCTCTTAAAGTGTGTGCCGAAGCTATCGTGACCGCTGTAAAGGAGTTTGGCAGCCAGGGAGGCCGAAGCTTGAGCACTGTCATTTTGATTGATAACAGGGAGGAAGTGGTTAAGGCAATGCAGGACGCATGTAACAGAATTCTCACCGGTGTAACCCCTGAACAAAGTGAACCAACTGATGATGAGTTCCCACTGGGAGCATTTGCAGAAGAGGACGCTAGAGCTCCTGGAGATTATGTCAGTTTTGAGATTGTCCGGGGAACAATCGAGGCTCTGAGGGTAAGAACTTAAAAACTTACTGTTGTTGGAAAGAAAGCAACTTAGGAAATATTCCAATACCCACCACATCTGCTCTCATCAGGTTGATGCAATAGTGTCCCCAATGGTCGGCCACAATCCTCTCTCCACCCGTGTCGGCAATGCATTACTAGAAAAGGTTGGACGTCAGCTGACTGCAAGATTCAGAGAGGCAGCAAAAAGGGAAACAATGCAGGATGATACAGTCCTGGTGGAGGACTTGCCTGGACTTCAGTCTGAGGCAGTGTTCTTCCTCAACCTTGCTCCCTGGGATGAAGACCAAGATGGAACTCCGGTTCAGGTACAAACAGCAGATGTGCTTCTTGTAAACATTAGTAAGTAAAAATGTTTATAATCATTCCAAGAAGCATTTGTGCTCTTTTAAAATCTGATTGTTCTGCAGAATGTGCGATATTTGAATTTGTGTTTTTCCATCTCTGCATCCATCTGCACCAGCCTGCACTTCATCTTCTCAATCACCTTCAGGCAGCCAATCAACACATTCTCTGTGAGGATGTTTACAAATTTCTTAAAAGTGGTTGAATTTTGTCCTTCCTAGGTTCTGAGGAGCGGTATCAACCAAATCCTTATTTCTTGTGACAGACAAGGCTACAGTTCTGTTGCTCTCCCAATGCTTGGGGCTGGGATTGTTCTACGTTTTCCCAACAGCTTGGTTGCCAGAGTTCTTCGAGAGGAGGTTCACAAATTCAAGCAAGAGCGGTCCAGCAGAGCTCCGCTCTCTGTCCTGATCGTCATCCACCCCAATGACAAAAACGTTGACGAGGTAAAGGAGATGTAGTATCAAACTCCAAAGATGCAAGTCTTGTCTTTCGTAGGCTTCTGACTTCTTGACAGAAGCAGAACAAAATCCTCATTTTATTTTGATGAATGTGATCAATGAGGGCTTTGTTCACTCAGACTGTATACCATCAGATCAGATTAACTTGTTCAGACATTGCCTGCTTGGTTTAAAAAGCTAGCACCCTTACTGTTGCATGTCAATGTCCACATGCCTCCTTTGGTTGCGTATTGCTCCAGTCAAGTGGATAATTAGAGTTTAATTAGCCAGACAACTCTGTCTTCACTGTCAAAATTCAGCCACAGCCACAAGATGTTATCTGTGCTTGTTTACATGTCTTTCCAGGAGGATTTTGAACTCCAGGAACTTGCAAATGAAGCTCAGCGACCACATCAAGGTTGGTTTTGAATACTTATTTTAACTGTAACGGCGACTAAACTGAGCTTTCATTACAGGCGTGCGTTTTCTTCCGACTGTTATTTTAATGAGAAACTTAAAGACGATTTTCTTGCACAACTTTGTCAAAGAAAGATATTTGAGTGAGTCTTACTGTGGGCACAAAGAATCGGAATAAAGGCCCGGTAGGAATAAAAATGCGTCATGTACACATAATCAGAAGATCCTGATCCAATTGGGGCTATGGGATAGAAATTGTGTTCCGAGAGGGGTGGTTTCTGCCGATAGTTATTCCGAAACGCATTAATGTAAACACTTATTCTGATCGTGACTCTCTGGGCAAAACTATCCCTACTCATGTGTGCTCTACGTCAACATGACGAAATTCCGCCGTTAGTGACAAGACGTAAATATGACGGGACCCTAAAGCTGAATTCTAATCTGAATAAAGCTTGGTACATGTTTATGCGGAGTGGATTGATTTTCCGATCCCTCAGATTTTAATCTGATCAAGAAATTTTGGATATGTAAACATGGCTTGTTACAAGGCTGGTTTTGTCTTTTTCATATTGTATGAAATTTTACTCTGTCACTCTACAGGGTCTGTTACGAAGAGGATCGTAGTGCTGGGGAAAACAGGATCTGGAAAGAGCGACCTAGCAAACACCATAATTGGTGAGAAATTGTTCAGCACAGACGACACCCCCAACTCTGGAACAAAAGAATGTCAAATAGAAACCAGATCTGTCAACGGAAGAAGCATCACTGTGATTGACACTCCTGGTTTCTTCGATGCAGGAAGGTCTGAGGAGGAGATGAAGCCCGCGATAGTGAAGTGTATCACAGAGTGTGCTCCTGGGCCCCATGCTTTTCTCATTGTGCTCAAAGTGGAGAAATTCACCGAGCAGGAGCGGGCAGTCATCACTAAAATAAGCCAGTATTTCTCTGAGGATGCTCTCAAATATGCTGTGATTGTCTTCACCCATGGTGAGCAGCTGCCTAAGAAGGTGAAAATCGAGGAGTTTGTCAGTCAGAATAAGGATCTGAGTGATCTGGTAAGGAAGTGCGGAGGGAGGTGCCACGTCTTTGATAATAGATACTGGCAGAATAAAGAGCGGAGTAACTACAGAAGCAACCAGTTCCAGGTTGAGGAGCTACTCAACACAATAGATCAGATGGTGATGGAAAACGAAGGAGGCTTCTACATGAATAGGATGTTTCAAGTCGTAGAGAAACAGATCCAGAGAGAGGAAGAGAAAGTAAGACAGTCCATGGGTGATGTGTCAGCAGTAGAGATCAGAAGAGTAGCCAGAAGCAGAGTTAACAACGAGATTTTGATCAAGCTGGCAGGCATTGGTACAGGAGCATTGGTAGGGGCTTTTGTTGGCATGGCAGCGTTGGTTGGATTAGTCATCACAGCTTTCCAAAACCATGCAGCCTTCATGAAACTCATTAAAAGAGCCCCAGCTGTAGGAAGTGCCGCAGTAGGAGGAATTGAAGCAGCAGGTCTAAGTGCTGCAGGCATGGTTGGTGTGGCTGCAGGTGGCTTTGCTGCAGCAGGTGCAGTTGTTGGTGGAATCATCGGAGGTGAAGCAGCTGAAGGAGCTGCAACACCCATGGAGGCATCCATCAAGGCAGCCAATGCTGTCATCAACAAAGGGAAAAATTCTCTGAAGTTTAAATAACTGGCAGCTTGAAAGATTTCCCTCCATGTTCATCCTTCTCTCTACCACCTCAGGAAGAAAAAAATCTGGTGTTTAGCTGCGTAATACTTTACAATGCTCACAAACTAGTCACTTTTTCCAGTCTGGAGTTGCACACCTAACTGGCATACATATTTATCATTTAAATATAACACTACAGTCTTATAAGATAAGGATAACCAGGAAACCAGAACAATGAGCTTTAAGAGGCTAAAAGGGGGTCAGTGGCGCTAAGGGGATATGCAGGGTCTGGTCTGGTGGTAGTTTGTTGGTTTGACTCTACAGTGTGACTTGCAACTTATACAATCACACAGTCATTTGATATTCTTTGTAACTACAAATAAATTCATAATGATGCACTTTTATCAAAGGGGACCCAGAGATGGGGACTGGAGTTTGGGACTTGGGCTCACAGGAATTACACACCCAACAATCCTGCACTTTAACTGGCTATTTGCTTTATCATAGATGGGACTTATCACTACTCATTTAGTTCATAAAAAATTGAAGTTGGGAAGAGGGGCTTACATGTTACCACCATGTTGGATTACTTTTTAGCTCACTAATGTTAATATTGGATATAATCAATGCAGAGAGACTCGAGACTTGACTTGGACTTGCAAAAAGTGGCTTGTGCCAATCTCAGAGGGAACCCATGACAGAGTTGAAAATCTAGAAAAAGGTGGAGGGAAGTTCTCAACCTCAAAACTTGAAGACTATGAAACAAGCATGAAGTAAAAACAGTGGGTACTTACCATTAATGTGTACTGTAATTGATCAAAATTGATTTATATAGGGTGTATCAATGATCAAAGCGATTCCGTTTTCTTGTGGTTGTTCGTGCCTCTTTATGATAATTTCTTTTGGACTTATTTACTTTGGTACTTTGGTTGTATCGATCAATTGTTTGTTACAAATCTGTTTTCCTCAATAAAAGCACCATTTATTTAATTAATGTCCTGAGCTATCTGTTTTGTTTTACAGAGTTTACCTTATTGTGGGACCTTTTTCATGCATGCACTGGAACTACTGGTGGTTGTCAGTAGGGGGCGTCCTAAAGCAATCCTTTTACTTGCCGAGGAGGTCAGAGTCACAGCTTTTATGTAGAGTATGAACAGGTGGAGGAGTCTGCAAAAGTTGGATCCAATTACATGGATGTTTAGGTTTGATGAGGCTTAATTATTTCTGTTTGTTGATATCGTCAATCAGTGAAAAACAGCTGGTAAAGGGTCAAAATGCTCTGGAAGATAAAAAAAATAGATTAGTCCGTCCTTTATTCATCCATCAATCAAGGTTCTGATCAACTCATGAGTCAATCTATTTATCAATCTTTTTCCCCATCTATCAGTCTATCAACTATCTTTTCATTTATCATCACTCTATCATTCATCCTTTCTTTAATTCACTACTCAGATAAAAAGGATGGAAGGTAGAATGATGATGGAGTGATGGATGAATAATAGAGTGGTGTATTGAAGAAATGATGGATAACAATAACTTTGTATCAAATTTTCTTCCATCCACAAATCTATCATTCACCTTGCCTTCCATAAATCAATCTATCATCCTTCTTTCCCTCCATTTGTCACGCTATCATTCATTTTTTTAATCCATCACTCTTTTATCCATCCTACCTTTCTTCCATCCACCATCCGGCCTTTTTTTCATCCATATCGTCCACACTTACTTCCATCAATCACTCTATCATTCAAACTTCCTTCAATTCACTTCTCAGATAAAAAGGATGGAAGATAGAGTAATGATAGAGTGATGGATGTAAAAAAAAGATGAATAATGAAGGATAATAACTTTGTTTCCAATTGTTCTTCCATCCACAAATCTATCATTCACCCTTCCTTCCATAAATCAATCTATCATCCTTCCTTTCTTTCATCCATCACTCTTTCATCCATACTTCACACCAGCAATCCACCCATCCGTCCACGCTTGTATCCATCTTTTTTCACTCCATCATCCATCATTGTATCCTCTATCTATCCCAAATCCATCATCCATTTGTAATCTTTTTTAATCCATCCATCTAGCTATCAGTCCATCCATCAATCTGTCCATCCGTCATCCCTCATCCATTCATCAATTAATCCACCCACATCACCATTACCCATTTATACATTATCAGTAAGTAGATCAATTAGACCATCCACCCATGATCCCGGCCAGCCATTCATTAGTCAATTCAACATCCATCTTTTCTTTTACTCGCCAATCTATCATTCATCTTTTAACCCATCCATCCCTTAATCCATTATTCTTTTCATCCATCCATCCATCCATCCATCCATCCATCCATCCATCCATCCACCCATCATTCCAGTCCAGTTAAGCGAAGAGAGACCTTCTACAGGATTCGGGGCCGTCAAAGCAGCAGATTTATCTTCCCACCAAATTGAAATGACATTCAAAGCGTTTACGTCAGAGCCTTTTATCTTTTATTCAGAAATATCTTGATATCTGTATCAGTTTCCTTTTTGAAACCAAGAAGGTTATCAACAACCTCTGAGCGTGGGCCTGCTCTTGAAGCTTTAAAAGTCCCTCTTTGGCTGGAATAACCCTTTAATACAACTCTACACAGATGGAATTCCTCTCTCAACATGTGAAGATGTTGACACACTGCCAGGGCAGAGGTAGGACAGGTAATGTGGACACACCTTCCCCTCTCACTGCACTACATGTTACAGCAGGTATGACAAATCATTCAATGGAGACCGACGGAGGGAAAGAGAGAGGCAAAGTTGTAGGGGGGTAACTTAAGGAGCAGGGAGACTAAAGGGGAAACAGTTGGAGTCTTTTTCCAGCTCCTGGCGCCTTCTTTCCTCTTCTGGGTTTGACACTTGATGGTGAGTCTGCGTCTCTTTTTCATCTGTGTTTTGGTTTTAGTCAGTGACAACACTGCGGTTACACCTGTCAACAAATCACTGCAAACAACTTTAATTCCTGCTACTGCCGCAGGAGGAAGTGAAGACTCTTGCTGTGTGTTTTGTTTCCTGATATTTTCATGATTTTACCAAATGTTCCAGTCTGTTTTTCAAGTATTGATCAGGTTTAATTGGCAGCAGTGATTTATTTAGTTATATGCAACAAGCCATTTGCGCAACAAAGTTTCACTCTGTGTGTTGTTTGCATGTATAGTTTGTCTCTGTAGGTGGAACAGGTTAAGATATGTGCATGAGTCACACAATACACACAAACACACCTTGGGTTTAACAGTCTCAGATGAGGTCGCCTTTTTGTTCAATTGATAATAAAGGCAGAGAAAGGCAAAGAAAGAAACCTTGGTGGCTTTTTTCAGTTAAAATTATAAGATAAATAAACTCAGCAGTACCCATAAAGAGGACAAAAGGATTTATGATGAAAAATAACTAGCGTGTGTTTTATTGGAAGGCCATTGCACAATATGGCAGTTTCCCGGCTGCTGCTGCTTTGATGCCGTTGTCAGTGTGGTTTGACCGGCTTTCAGTAAACACGTGTGGTCACATTTTTTGTCTCTTTCTTCTGCTGAAACCTAAAAGATTCACTTTTATTTGCAAATTTTAATCCCCAAAAACACCCAGAGAGTTATAAGTAGAAGGGGGGAAAAACATTTTGAGGGTTTATCTGAAGAGAGTTAATATTTACTCATTTTTTTAGCATCCCAAAGTCTTCCTACATATTGAGTTTAAGGTTCTTTCACACCAGGAGCGGTTTTTCGTGCGATTATTTCGGACGTCAATATTTTTTTTTGAACCCGTATCCTGTTGCATCGGGCTCGATGTGTATAGTCAGGCGCATCAAATTTCGCCTCCGAATATTTCGTAGTTTCGTGTTCTATATTTGCGTCGGTCCCGGTGTGTCAGGACCTTAAGTATCTAACCAACAGTATTTTTAATTTTTGCTGTTGGTGTCATTCAGGAAAGCTCACATCAGCAACTAGCCTTAAAAATTTTGGATTTTAAAGATGCGCCATACGAGCGATGTTGTATAGTGAGCAGGTTATAATCCAGAAATCATTTATTATCTGGCTACCTACTAGAGACGAGGGCAAGTTGACATGCAATATTAATCCATTTATTTTATTGACTTAAATATGACTCATTCAGGCAATTATAGATGACTCCATGGCAACGGTATTTTCTTATCTGCCTTCTTGCGGGGTTGGGTTGATATCAGTCAAACATGGTCCTTGCTCTCTTTGCTTTTTTTGAACTGATGCCCTGATCCTTGTTTGCATTTGTATATCACAAGACAAATTTGAGTTTAGTTCATTAACTCCAAAAAACTCCCTACTGGAGTTATCACTAAGACTTTTGTCACATTGTCAACAGGCAGAGAGGTAAAATGTGATGATTTTATTCAATGTGTGGGATTGGCATTGACTTTGTTGCGGAGAACTGATTACCATTGTTATGAGGTTTTAACCAATCAGAAACGAGTATTAGCACAGCTGGATAATAGCATGAGATGATGCTAAACAGCTACTTTTAACACACTGAGATAATTATAGCAGTTTTTATCGTTTCATATAAATCTAAACTAGAGTTTACAATAAATACAACAAACTTGTCAAATATATCTAGATGACTTTTTTAATGAACTGATTTCCCCCTTTAAGAGTCAATAAAATGCTAACTCACCCTCTAAATGTAGAACAAACTAAAAGCTTACGGCGTCATCTTTAACTTCTATTACAGCATGTTATAGCACGTACAATAGAAGCGCTACTTAAAGGAGAAGTGTTGATAAGAATTAAGTCTACCTTTGCCGTGATTGGCTCTCCTATATTACCCAATGTGAACTCTCTAACCATCACTGCTAATTACACGGTGATTTATCCTGTAATAATCTATAGAAATCTATAATAACTACACACACTGCCAGGAAGTATCAAACAGGTTTGACACAGGTTTGAGGAGGGTGTGAGTATTTGATTATATGCACAGAAGCACTAACGCTGTGTATTCTGTCAGCAGTGTTTAGGGTGTGCTCCTCAACTAATAGTCCAAATATGTCGAACGAGTGATAACATGTCAATTTCTAAAACTTTTTTTTTTTTTCCAGTTAGATGAAACAGCTGGAGTACATACTGTATATTTCCTGGCAGAAACCCACAGGGTAAATACCAGAGCATGTTGTATTAACTGTTTGATATGAACTCACATCAAACAGATGTTTCTTAACAAATCTACAGCGGTCGAGATAATTATTTAACGCAGTCACAACTACAAAAACAATAATAATGATTATAACTTGATATGACAGCATCTTTAAAGCTCCTGTAAGGAGTTTTTTGACAATATTGATACAAATTAAAAGATCTTCACAGGAGCTTTAACTATCACTTAAAGATAGATTACAGGAGACTAAAATCCCTTTTAAATTCCTTTTAAGATGCTAAGAAATGTCAAACTTGTGAATGAAAGACAGCTAGTAAAGAACAAGCTCTCTGATGCAAACTAAAGACGCATTTGGATCTTATATTTAATTTAAAATTAAATCACTTTCATCAATTTTTATAAGATATAAAAAGAAAACTGAAACTGAAAAAGTCTGAGCATTGTAGATTTTCTAGGTTTAATATCTTTTTCATTTAAGTCTATTATTTGTTGCATTTTTACAGGCAGTAATTTGTAAAAATGCTTTTTATATTAGCATTTAATTAAGCTTTAATCCTCCAAAGAAACCATTTATAGCTGTCCAATAACTTAAGTGGTAAAAAAAAAAGACTTAAATCACCGACCACAGACTCAAGTTCCTTGTAATAAGCATTAATGAGTAGTTAATAAGACCATATATGATGCTTATTTAAATATTATTGTGTCATATGAAAATCTTTTAAGACATTATCACTTATAAGAATTTATTCATCTTTAATATGACACTGTTCCCACTTTAGGCCCAGGAAAATTGTCAGCTGCTTATAACTGTGTAATAAAGGATTAATTAACCCTTACAAAGCATTAATTTTAACCTTACTTGGTCTCATTCATGGTAAATAATATTTAATTAAAGTTAATAACTAATTCCAGTTGTTAACAAAATTCCAGTAAGTTTATACACAGAAATTAATGTAAGTCATAATTATAATAAAGGATTATATAGCGTATCTATGTTGATTAACACTGAATTAAACTCTTATAGCTGTTTATATACTGTAATTTGGATTAAGCTCCTGAGTGTGTAACATGCTAAAAGTTAAATGTTTGCTATTCTAAATCAACCCTTTTAAAGTCTAATTAATGTAAATAAACAACCTAATGATGTTTATGACCCATAAATAAACTGTTAACAAGTTTCTGAAGTGAACGCTCCAGTGTTTTTTAAACATTAATAAATATGTTAATTATGCTTTAATTAACACTTATTTATGTTTATAAGCTGCTTATTAGGTCTTTTAAGTGGCGTATTGACTATTAATCATGCTAATTACAAGAATCTTAATAAAGTGTTACCAAAATGCTTACTTTCTTAAGATTTATCTATTAAAAATGAATTTTCAATAATAAAGAAAAACTGGCTGAGCGTACATAGTATCTCCAGCTGACTCATTGTTCAATTACTGACACAAACACAGTGACTGTTGCAGTCTCCACGTGTCTGGTCTCGTTGCTCAGGAATTAAGAATCTCCGTCAAAACCTGTTACACTTGCGCCACACTCCCACTTTTTCCAAGCAGAGATGCGCATTTGTGTTGTCAAAGTGGAGCCAGAACTAAATGAAATATGGAGTAGGAGTCAGAGGCGAAGTTTCGATGCCAAAAAAATTCTGGAAGAATCATAGAGACGTGTTTTAATTGTTGTTGTCAGGAAGGTCACTGGGTCTACTTAGAGAGCGCAAAAGAAGTATTTTTCTTTTGCAGCACTTAAGTGCAATATAAAAGGTACTTCTCTTCTTTAATTATCTTTATAATAAAGTTTAGATTTAGATTAAAGTTTAAATACTTTGACATTTTCTGGGATGGTGTATTTCTTACATTCAACGGTTATTCCAGTGTAAAATTAATTTAGGGTCAAACACATCGTAACACCGAGTTAGACACCCCCCCTCAAGAGATGAATGTTGCCGTCCGCTTGCTTCTCTATTGATACCAACTTTAGTAACGACCGCACGGTAGCAATACACAGCTGTCTGAGGTGCCGTAAACAAACCGCAACCAAAACGCCACTCTATAGCCACAAATAATGCTCAGAACAGCACCTTACTTCATCAACAGTACATATAGGGTCCTAGCCACCAAACATCTTTTTAACTTTGCCTAATGTCTTTAGCAAAGAGACTAAACACAACTCACCTACTCTCTTCCAGCAGCCGCTTGTTTGTAGCGAGACCTCAGGCCAGTCCTTTATAGACTACAGCGGGGTGACACAGCTCAAGGAAGAACATTTGGCTGGGACCCTATATGTACTGTTGATGAAGTTAAGTGCTGTTCTGAGCGTTATTTATAGCTGTAGAGTGGCGTTAAGGTTTGTTTATGGCTCCTCAGACTGCTGTGTTTTGCTATCATGCGGTCGTTACTAAAGTTGGAATAAGCAGAGAAGCAAGTGGTCGGCAACATTCATCTCTCGAGGGGGTGTCTAACTCTGTGTTATTGTGTGTTTGACCCTAAAATAATTTTATGCCGGAATATCCCTTTAAACTCTCAAAGTCTGCATTAGATGTATTGAGTCACTCTCCATTCTCTCATTTTTTGCAGGAACCAAAAATGGCCCAGATGAACAACATCACCAGATCTTTATTACCTCCCCTCCCTTCAGGTAATGAGACTATTGTGGATAACCCAACGGCCACTGCTGTCGGCGCCCTCATCCTGTCCATCGTCTTCCTCCTGGGCTTCCCTGGAAACCTATTCATTATCTGGAGCATCCTAGCACGAGCCCGAAAGCAGTCCGTGACCACCCTCCTCATCCTCAATCTGGCCATCGCCGATGGCTCACTGATGGGTCTTACCCCGTTTTTCATCGTCTACCTGGTTTTAAAGAACTGGGTGTTTGGAAATGTCATGTGTAAAGTCCTCTTCTACCTGTGTCTGGTCAACATGTACGCCTCGATCCAGCTCATCACGCTCATGAGCTTGTACCGGCTGCTGGCGATACTGTGGCCACAGCGCGTCGCGTCTTTCACCGGCAGGAAGACTGTACTTCGGGTGCTGGCTGTGGTGTGGGTGCTGGTGATGATCGCTTCGATTCCTGCAATGATCTTCAGGAGGGTGAAGCACAAAGAGAAAAATATATCAGTGTGCGATTCCTTTCACGATTACGACAGCCATGTAAGTAATCAAGCTATGCCCGTATTATATGTCCATTTTTGACGCTGGTGTTGCTAGAAAAACATCTGTCATGCACAGATGAGAGAATAACATTAATTCTGATCTGTCTGAGCATGTTGTCACTGATCTCAGCACATGGCTTCTGCTTACTGTGCAACGTCAAGTAGGCCGGCTGTCAAGACGAAACAGGAGTCGGTGTTTTCCAAAGTGCTCGAGGATGCACATTTGTAGAATTCTTTGGAAAAGACACTCTCCACAACTCTAAAAAGAGCGCTGATAAAATCTGAGCTCATACGTGTGGCGGTGATTCACGGTTCACTATAAACTACAGTGTCAAGAGGAAAACCGTAATCACCTCTGATGATCATGGGTTTTGTGACCCTATCTCTGCGCGGGGTTTCCCTACTAATTGTGTTTGGTCAGAGTAATCAGTAAATCTGTCCCTCTCAGCTATTTGAACTTTTCTGATGCTCTGTAGCAGAAACTCTCAGTAATCTACTTAAGTTTCGTAGCATCGTGTTTGGACTGCTTAAGAAGACAGGTGAAAACAATTGCAAGATGCTAGGTCGTTCACTATCAGCTTTCTGCTAACGTTTGCTTACATTTAGCTGTCACCTGGTTTTGTTAAAGGGATATTCCAGCGTAAAATTTAGGGTCAAATACATTGTAACACCCAGTTAGACACCCCCTCTCAAGAGATGAATGTTGCCGTCCGCTTGCGTCTCTAGTTATAGCCATAGTACTAGCCACCAAACATCTTTTTAACTTTGACTAATTTCTTTAGCAAAGAGACTAAACACAACTCACCTACTCTCCTCCAGCAGCCACTTGTTTGTGGCCAGTCCATTACAGACTACAGCGGGGTGACGCAGCTCAAGGAAGAACATTTATGATCATTTCTTTATCATTTCCTTGAAGTAATTATCATCATATTAATGTAATGATCATAAATGTTCTTCCTTGAGCTGCGTCACCCCGCTGTAGTCCGTAATGGACTGGCCCAAGGTCATGCTACAAACAAGTGGCTGCCGGAGGAGAGTAGGTGAGTTTTCTTTAGTCTCTTTGTTAAATTAGTCAAAGTTAAAAAGATGTTTGGTGGCTTGTGCTGTGGCTGGGACCCTATATGTACTGTTGATGTTAGGTGCTGTTCTGAGCATTATTTGTGGTGTTTTGGTTGAGATTTGAGTGTTTCCTCAGACCGCTGTGTATCGCTATCCTGCGGTTGTAACTAAAGTTGGTATAACTAAAGAAGCAAGCAGAGGCAACATTCATCTCTCGAGGGGGTGTCTTACTTGGTGTTACGGTGTGTTTGACCCTAAATTAATTTTACGTTGGAATATCCCTTTAAGAGATGGAGAAGTAGTTAGGACTTCTGGTAAACCGGTAATGTTTTGATTCTTAGTTTTACGTCTTAGTTTCCTCAGGAGGTCATGTGAGGGTGTTACATATAAACCTCCTGACTGTGCTGGGGTTTTTTTTGTACTTCGAATGTATGAGTGATTAAAAAAAGCAAACAGACACGTTAAACAAGTGTCTGACATTAACCCTGTGTTTTCTCCTCCTCTACAGGTTGTCATCCAGTACACCATGGAGCTTGTGTTGGGGTTCCTCATCCCCTACACTATTATCGTGGTCAGCTACATCCGCATCCTACGGCGGATCCGAAAGACCAAGTTTGGGCGACGTATTCGAAGTGAAAAGCTCATCCTCGCCATTGTGCTGACCTTCTGCCTCTTCTGGTTGCCCTACCATATCATCAACATGGTGCAAGTAAGTCAGGCAACCTCTCCAACAAATGACGATTAATAGAAGTTCAATAATTATTGATCAATTACTTTCTCTACTTACAATATTTGGTATAACTTAAGCGTGATCGTTACATGTAGGACTGTTTTTAATCGTCATTTTTGCATTGTCTTCTTCATCTCCTTTAGGTTACATGGGCTCTCTGTCCAGCAGGTCCCGTAAAAACAATGTAAGTAAAGACACGATTTTTTCTGTTTGTTGGTTTTTTGGGCTTTTTTTTTGGCTGTTATTACAAAATAAATACAAACAAATAATCAAGTCTACAAGACATGCAGAGGTTTTTGATTGGGAAGGAGTAAGTCACGGATCTTGGCTTAAATTCAGACCATTTTAGTCACATTGTCACGTGCCAGAGTTAAACAAAAAGAGGACCAAAAGAAGGATTTATTGAAAAAGAACTAAATGAATAAAAGCAACCAAAAGAGAAAAATCCAAGAGGCAATATCCCCAAAAATTGGCATATACACACATTGACAAATAATAAACCAACAAGGACAGAGGGGAAGACAGAGACTATATACACACTAGGAAATGAGCAACAGGTGAGGCAGACGAGACACAAGTGAAACTCATGGGTGATTAACGAAGGAGGGAAAACAAGGGAAGTAAAACCCAACTAGAAACACAAGGAATCATCTTAAAGTGGAAAAAAATTAGAACAGGAGGGGAACAGGGTCAAACACAAACTGAAAACTCACAAGACAGGATCAAGGGGAACAGAAACACTTGGGAAAACACAAAGAAATACACTCAAATAATAAAACCAGGAAAACACTTTTGTGGGGTGGGGTGTTGAAGATTAGGCTTAGCACCCATAGTCTGTAAGTCCAAGACCCACCCTTGGACGGATACTCAGTTCATTACGATTCGTCAACAGAAGTAGCAACAAAAAGTGCCAAATGCGAAATTACTAACAGTCCACCTTGAAGAGTTTCGTTACTTTCTGCCTAACATAGAGTTCCTCTTTTCCCCACACAGGTTGGATAAAATTTGGCACAGGAGCCGTGCCGTCACCTCATCTGTAGCCTTCATCAGCAGCTGCGCCAACCCAGTGCTCTACTTCTTCGCTGGAAAGTCCTACATCCGACGGGAGGGCCTGGCGTTCATGGCCCGCCTGTTTGAGGGCACAGCGCTGGAGTCAGCCTCCAGGAAGATCCGACAGAACAGCCAGAATTGCAGTCGGGAGAAAGAGAAAGACGCGGATGCCGTCATGCTTAAGGACAAAGAGGCAGACTCTGTTACCAACTCGAGTTCAAATGTTAAACCAGTGAAGAACGGCAAGTAGGACTACAAAGCAGCAGACCTGGATATAGTCTAGTGTTGGTCCTCTGGACTGGAAAAGTGAACTTCTTAGACATTTCCAGTTAAAGTCAATTAACATTTTGATCAGGAACCAATCAGAGGATGTGTCCTACACGACCGGTCAGCATCTGCAGGAATCAGGCCGCCTCTGTTTTGTACATTGGATGAGATATGGGCTTGTTCTGCCCAAAACTGTCACACAAAAAAACACAGTGTAGTAAAATCCAGGACCAGAGTCGCTGCCAGGGATTTATGGCCCCATGACTTTACTTTTAAGTATTTTCTACAACCTTTGGAAAAGTCCTGACTTTCCTCCCCCAAACACCCTTAACCAGAACACCTGCTCTCCTTAGTTTGAAAGAGCATCCACCCTTAAGGAGAGCTGGTGTCATCGGTTTAATGTATATGTGTATTTGTTTATATTGCAACTGTTTTTTTTTATTTTTTTATTTTGTACAATTTAATGACATTTTTACACATTTTTATACATTAAAATTCCGACATGGATGCAACAAAACGATAAGAGTAACTGATTTATTGGTCAAATATCAGGAAACTGAATGAGCAGCCAACGTTGAGCAGCTCGGTTTTGGTTTTAACCGGCTATTTAAGGACACATCTGTCTTTTCTGAGCTGCTAAAGCCGCCCTCTTCTGCAACCAGGCGGTCACTGACTTTGTCCATCAGATGTTGTTTGCCAAACAGAGGCGTGTCTAGAGTTTTTGGACCCGGGTGGCCCAATTTGGACACTCACTCAGGCAGCAGAGGCAAGAAGTAAGAGAACACCAATGACTTTTTTTTTTTGTCTCTACTGATCATATTTGAATCTAAAAGACAATCTATAGATTACCACCAACGCTATTTTGACAGTTGGACATGCAACATATCACGAACCGATTGCTTTCCTGTGTCAGTCTTATGAAAACACAACTTTGCACAACTTCAGTTCCACAATAGTTGGAACACTGTGTCAATAAGAACAGAAGCTGATGGTTTAGAAATCCTTTAAACCTCATTTTGAGTTTTAAATAAACATACCAATCCTTTACCGATGGATTTGATGCCAGCAACAGGTACCAAAAGAGATAGGACAAAGGTATGTTTACCGATTTTATGCATCATCTCTTCCTATAACAACACTTCATAGATGTTCGGTAAACAAGGAGATCAGCTTCTGAAGTTTCAAAGGTGATTTTTTTGTCCCAGTCAGGCCACTATAGTAGGGTGACTGTCCAAACAAACACTCGACCAGACCTGAGGAACTCTCAAAATCTACCACACGCGACTCCATGACTCTTCCTCACGTAGTTGTGTCCTCTTTTTGGGGATTCAGAATATGGTCACCCTAACTATAGCACATGGACTCTTCTACTACAGAGCCATAGTGTTGTAATATCGGCAAAATGTGATTCAGCATTGTCTCAGTGAAGTATGCAAGGCCTTACCGGAACAAGAATCATCTGGACGGCAGCATATTTTGCACCAAAACCTGTTTATATCGCTCAGCATTAATCTGCCTCCTTAGGCCCCCAATATCACAGCCATCCAGTATCAGTTTTTGTACAGAGATTTCTCCACAGTCTCTAACTATTCTAACTAATCCTGTAATATCTGGGATGCCCTTTGAATGTCTAGTTGTCTTACTAACCTGTTGCCGATTCCTTTTTATAAATATAATGCGTGCACCAAGTTTAAAATGAGCAAATACCTTTAATGAAACTGTAAATTTTTTCAGTTCCAACATTTTAAAAGATTTTCTTTGCACTATTTTCCATTGAATTTGGTGTTTAAATGATTTGCAACCGTTTACACAGTGTCCCGACCATGATCAGAAAAAAATAAATGCCACAATATCACCAGACGGGGAAACGTCGCTGATGTGAACACTTGTATTGATATGATACAGGTTCGAAAAAAAATATTGATGTCCGAAATAATCGCACGACAAAAACGGTCCCAGTGTGAAAAGACCTTAAAGGTTCGATGGAAGAAGCTGCGCAACATTAAGGGCAAAGAAAACTACTAGCTGCATGTAGAAACACAGCTCACACAGTAACCTCTGACGAGATAAACAGCAAATCCTCGTTTAAGATTAAGGGGTTGCACCTGAGTTTGGCTGATCTGCTCTCAAAGGGGGGCTGTGCCGCCCCTGCACACCCTTCTGGACATGCCCCTTGTACCTGAGAGATTAACTCAAAAGATAAAGCAGTGTGGTGTAAAAAAAATAAAATAAACAATGAGCTTGAAGTTGCCAAAACACATCACAGCTCAGACAGATATGGCATCAATCCAGGCTTTAGTCTGTGACGGTGATCACCCACATAACAGCGTCATTACTGTTATTTTAACCGTGTCAGATATTGTTGAATTCAGATGTACGGATAACCTACACTTCCAAAGAAAACCACATAATGTTGTAAAGTCCCTTCTCCTGAAAATGTGACACATCAAAACTTTGTTCATCATTAAGAGTTGTGTCGAAAGAAAAACTATGAATCTGCCAAATGTGTCTGGTGTAAGAGAGAACGCAATGGACTCAGCAGAGACATGATTTAAAACTCTTGTATCAACAAGACCTTCAACATTCACCCCCTCACTTATTCACCCTCATGACTTGCTTCTTGTGTTCATTCCTGCACCTCCTTGAAACTGACCCAAGAAGTTTCACAACATTTCAGATGTTTTCTCTCTAAAAATGAGCTGCTGAATACATGCGCTGATGTGTTTTTGATGCAGCGGCTCTCTGATTTTTCTTTGCTGTCAAAATATTCTAACTTATCCCAATCAGCTTTGTAATGTCTGTGAAGTAAACGCTGCACTGAAAAAGCATGCAAAGATGTTTTTTATCCCCACATGAGCTAGCATGCACACCTGCTTTCTAGTGTTTTTTTTAATATACATATTAATGAGCTTTAACAAAAGGGGAACAGAAGCTGTATGGTGAGCTCGACTTGGTTTCCTGTCATCACTGGGTTTCCCCTGATACGGCCCGTCTTACTCAATAAAAGGGTGGATGTTAGTATTTCTACTCTCACAGTGTTTTTACTGAGCCCAGAAAGTTCTCAATAAATCAGACAGGTTGTCGAGTCAGAGAGCGAGTTTTGGTTTTCCAGCTGAGATCTGCAATCAAAGGTCGGTATGTGACTTTTAATAAGCTCATTTTTTTAAAAGTTTCTTTTGTATTTTGCTAAATTAAGTTTTCTCTTGTCTCAAAGTTTTGTGACAAAGGACTCACAAAAGCAGAAAGCTTAAGTAAGCTGTCAATCGATTGTTGAGTATGTTTGAGTTGTTTTTTTGTTCAGTCATGAAAACTCTCTGAAACGCGTATCCAGAGGCCCTTTTTGGGAGGAGCTTTTTCCAGTCTATTCAAGATTCAGAACAAACAATAACCTAAAATTAGGTCAAATTTGCTGTATGTGTCAGCTTTGTGCTCTGTTAGTGGATCGTTATTTCAACGCCAAAGGAAAAGGAGATCTTCAGGTTGTTTCGCAACTTCAGACCCAAAATGAGCTGGCTCAAGTTTCAGTGGTTCATGCTCACGATCATCCAGATTTTAATGAGTTAAAGTCTAAAAAATTAGCAGGATCACATTTAATTTTTTTTTCATTCATTCTTCGTAAAAAATTACTGAATAGCCGTGTGCCACTACTGGCATTAAAGCTCCTGAAAGGATTTTCTAATATGTGTCAGTTTTTGGCACAAAACTGTTTAACTCCTATATAAATTATTTCGATGTGTTTCCTGAGCCTCATTATTCTGAGTCTCAACCACCAAGTTTATCATTTACTGTGGAAATTTAATCCAAAATAAAGCTGCTTGACAGGCGCCTTCCCTCTTGCACCAGTTTCAGGCATTAAAAATCACAATATAAGAATCATCCATCATGTTTCTGACGTTCTACTTTACTTTTGTATCTCATAAATCAATATTAAATTCAGTCTGTTTCACAAATGCAAAAATAAATCCTCACAGGAGCTTTAAGTACTTAATTTAAGCTTCTGGCATGTCTATGTAAGCATTTTCTAACATTTCTGTATCGTCATGTAGACAACAAAATATTCAAAAACACCACCAGTTTGGACCTCTTGTGGGTTTTTTTTTTCCAATATGGAAAGAAAAATGATCTGTTGAATAAAGATGTCCAAATCTGTGCGGACATAGCCTCAGCTACATACATAAAACTTTAGTTTTTTGGCTGGATATTTGGTGAAAGGTTACAACTTTGACACCCAAATACACCAAGAAGATCTGGTTTTTATATGTCAATGTTGCTGGGATAGTTTTGAGATCCACTTAAATAAACGGTTAGGGGTAAAAATTTCGCCAACTAGGCCGATACGGGTTATGAATGCTTCACAAGACCAGTAGCTGATATTTGATAAGCTTAAAACTTTCAAGTAAAACAATGACACAGATAATCCGCCAAATGCCAATAACTGGTCAAACCCAAATAAATGTGAGCTATTCTCCGTTCTCAAAAAGCTATGCTAGGTTGTTAGCCCATCGGTTTCAGTCGTGCGTTGTCCCAATAATAATTGTTCACGTCATCAGTATCACCAAATCTATTACCTGATTTACTCACAACACAAAAACTAAGCCATGTGCTAAAACAGATCTGTACGTTTTAAATGGTGTAGCCATTACAGTCATACTGTCATTTGCTTTGCAACAGATGTCAAAATAACCGACATCCACTAGAGGGCGCCACTTGAGAAGGCGAATTGGATAAGGGTAGTTTTAAAAAGTGGTAAATTGGAGGTAGCTCTTCAGGTGGATTTGGTCATTAAAACTTCATGATAACTGGACGTAGACCTGCCTTTTTCAAATGGCATTTTGTTTTTTGTTTTTTAATCAATTTATTTATTTTTTACAGTCAGTTTAAACTGTTGGCTAAGTGAACCGATTCAGAATCAGAATCAGAATCAGAAATACTTTAATAATCCCCAGGGGGAAATTGCTTAAAAGATTATTAAAATATTTTTTAATGCTTGGAAATTCTTGAAACATGTTCAATATTTTGGATATACTCTTAGTTGTACAACACCAAAAACAAGCCAAGTCAGTTGCACCACCACCTTTTGTTGGTAATTTTCAAAACGTTGCACAGATATCTTATGAAAGTAACACGTCAAATGTGTGATGTTCGTTGATAACAGGATGCTTTGCCTCCCACTAAGTTTCAGACATCTGCTGTTTACAAAAACTTCTCTAACATGAAATATAGATACTTTTACAGCGTTGTCACACATTCACTCTAACCTTAATACAACATTTCCTGTTTCCTGCCTCTTATGACAGGTTCTTGGTTCACAGTTGTTGAAGCCAGTCAGATTCTTCTTCTCGATGGCGTCCAACAACACCGAGGTCACCCTTCCTCTGCCCATCAGCACCTCAGCGGCGGTCGGCATCGCCATCCTGACCTTGGCGTTTGTGCTCGGATTCCCTGGTAACCTGTTTGTGGTTTGGTCGGTGCTGTGCCGGGTGAAGAAGCGCTCAGTTACGTGCTTGTTGGTGCTGAATCTGGCTGTGGCGGATGCTTTGGTGCTGCTCAGCGCCCCTCTTTTCCTACGCTTCCTGGCTGGAGGGCGAGGTTGGGAGTTTGGCTCGGTGGCATGCAAGCTGGTGCATTACCTCTCAAGTGTGAACATGTATGTGTCCATTTACCTGATCTGCCTGATGAGCATGGACCGCTGGTTGGCTGTGACGAGGCCTTTCCTGTCCCAGAGACTGAGAACAAAGCGTACCCTGCTGGCTATCCTGTTTGGGGTCTGGGTGTTGGCGTTTCTCCTGTCGCTGCCGATGCCTTTCTACCGAAGGTAATGCCGAAATATCCTTCTAAGATTTCTTACTGCACTTCACCTTGAAATCCAGAATAAAGTCGATGAACTTGGACGACACCCTTGACTGGAGTCTTTGTCAAACTGTCACCAAACCCAAGGAAGGGCAATCACCATGGAGGCAAGACTCCATGATGTATTGCCTTTAGTTAGTGAACTAACCCAGGAACTCAGAGTGAATTAAGGCAGAGTGGGACTCATAATCACACAAGTAGAGAAATGTAAAAATGTAAACTATGAGTTAAAACAGTAAACCAACGCACAGTTGAACAAGATAGTCAACACTTAAAAGGTCATATCCCCTGTGAACAAAAACAGGCATTTATTCATGACATGAATGTTGATTAAAACTTCATTAGTGATTTGTTTAATGGTATCAGATTTTAACTAACGGTTTCAAGATTACAACTGAAAGCATAGACCCACTTACCAATTCCGGAACTGGGGCCAGCATTGTAGGCAGTGCTTTAAATGAGCTGGTACTGGGACTTTTTGGATGCCTTGGTTGGTGCATATTTTAGGGATCAGATCTAGAAAAAAATACATTTGAGACTTGGGTTTCATCTCATTTTGTGAATGTTTCCCTTTTCTTTCCTGACAGAAATCTGGAAATTCCACTGTCAAAAACCATCTCTATAAAAGTATGTAAAGTGCACCACAACAGTAAAGGTGACCGCATCTTCCAGTACGTGTTTGAGACCGTCATGGCTTGCATAGTCCCCTTCTCCCTCATCAACACCTGCTACTCCTCTGTCATCTGCCGCCTACAAAGTGCCAAGTTCCAGCGCAGAGCACAAGGCAGCCGCCTCATCCTGATGATCATTTGTGCTTTCACAATATTCTGGCTGCCCTATCACATCGTCAACATCATAGAGGTAATCTCACAATGCTACTTTTTTGGGTAGAAGTAATTTCATGTGATTTAGCGAGTTTGACATGTTTTTCTTGTCACCACCTCTTTAGGTAGCTGGTCTGTTGCAGGCCAGCAATTCAGTGATCAGTGCTGCTATCAAAGCCCGTCCAAATGTCACCGCCTTTGCCTACTTCAGCAGCGCCATCAACCCAGTTCTCTACGTGTTCGCAGGCAGCTCCCACATCCGCCAGGCTGGATTGAGTTTCATGGGCAAGCTGTTGGAAGCGACTTACTCGGAGAGCAGGACCACGTCTACCTTCACACGGAGCGGTCGCAGCAGCTCTTCACCAGATGAGAGTTCTGTCCTTCATACTTTGTCGGTCAAACTTGGGAGGCCTTTCAAAAGCAAGGATAAAGAAAGAAGCAGCAGCGTGGCTGGCAGGGAGGTCGACGAGCCAGAACTCAAGACTCTGGCCACCGTTGAGCAGTTAGAGTAGTGCTTGATCCATCCTCGAAACCCCAGTCCACACATACTGACTCTGCTATGTCAAACTAAAGCTCTTCACGATTAATTTATGAGGAACCAGTTCCCAGAAATACCACTCTCAAGATGGCCTCATGCATGTGTTGATCAGGCCCTCTATTTTTGAGTAACTATTCAATTTGACTGGATGAAAAGCTGTTGGCATTGGCCGCAACATTGGCACGAATGGGTCCCCCACTTTGGCGTTAAACCTTGGGTATCCTCAGAACCACAGGATGGATTGGCAGGAACTTTGGTGCAACAATGACTGATTGTTCCCGCAAATTTTCATGGTTCTCTCATCTTACTCTCATCTGTTTCTCTCATGGTTTCTCACTGGACTTGAACCACAGTTTCCATGTGTACTGATCTGTAGGGTCGAATTTGCCAACCTTGGGAAATTTGAAATATGTGCACACAGATTTTCACATCTGCTTGTACCAGTTACGAATTTATCATGGCCTGCAAATTGGGACATACAGTGTTTAAGCTGCACAAGGATTTACTCATTGCTTTTTTTTGTCTTGATCTGACTCAGTCATAAGTGACTCTTGTTTGATTTTCTACTGTGTCATAAAAAGATTTGCCCAAAGCTGAAAAAAATGGAAGAAGATCGTAGATTTGAGTGTAAATGAAAGAAATTCACCAAGGGCCTCAGGAGACTCAGATAAACCAGCGGACAGCAGCTTCCTTGACTTCTCCACATGCACCATCACCAAATGGGTTTAAAATTGTTCGGCTTCATTTGTACTGTATATTCTTGAGCTATGGCTGGTTTTATCATGAGATGAAACAATGGACAGAACGAGAGTGGAAAATGACGTGCTGAAAGGTTCATGTCCCGGAATCAAACCTGGGCCACATGCCATAAGGAGTACAACCTCTGCACATCCAAACTGAGCCAAACCAACGCCTTCAAATAAAATAAAATCGTCAAATTCAGGGTCCAAATATGGATAAAACTTTTGAGTTTTACAGCATTAACTTTTTAGCCCATTGATATTTTCAAACATAGTTTAAGTTATGTAATTCACAAATATGTACTTATATGTGTGTGGGATTCTTTTAAACTCTCAGTGTGCCTTTTGAGAAAATGAATTCATTGTTTGTACGATAAGTTGTTCTTTCATAGATGAGTGGAATTATACTAATATCACTTATGTAACGTCCTGCAGTTGAACAGGACCTTTCAAAATAAAGATGTCGTCAAAGCATCCTGCCTTTCACCCTCACCACAAAGTTACTCAACCTGATTCTCTTCGTCCTTTTGGGTTAAGAGCTGGTCTCAGATCTGGAGTTAGATGAATCAAGTATGAAACAGAGGGACAGATTTTTTTACAGGAAATATGAGTCACAGCTGACACTAGCTAGTGATAGTGCTTAGACATCAAAATCACAACTTCCTGTGTTCCTCAGAGTTGAGATTTCCTCATCCATGTTGTTTGGTGACTCAGTTACAGAATAAACTCCCTGCTTACAGCAACAAGCAGGTCTGTTGCCCCATATTGTTAACCCTAACCCAAAAACAAGCAATCAACAAACCATAAACCTCAGTCAGACTGGAGGCCGGAGCTTCGTTCTACTTTTGCTGAGGTCGACTCAATCTCTTCTGATCGTCTTTTTGGGATGTGTTTGAGCTCAGTAGACGGGACTAAATCTAGTAATAGAGCAAGAACCCTTGAATTCATGCACATTGCGAGGGACGCCATTGTGTTCACGTCACTCACAAGAAATTGATAATGATCATTAATGAGAAAAATGTTTAAAAATCTAAGACGAGGAATTTATTTGTTATCTGCGCACGTACGAATATCAGCAATCGCTGCTATCGGCTTTTATCACTGTTCATAGGATGCTGCAAGTGAAGTTGTTGCGCTGACTAACAGATAAATAGGACACGGCAAAAGTGCAGATGTAAAGTTGTGGCTTTTTCTGACCTTATTTGGGTCATAAGTGGTTGGAGTCCTTCTGTTCAAAACCGAATACTCAGAAGTTTTTGAACTGTTAACAGGAAAGTTGACGACAGGTGCAGTTCTGTGGTCTTACAGAATGTCCTGATGTTTCTATTTACCGAACAACCAACAAACTCAACACAACACAGGGACAAACAGTGCAAAATAGACAAACCCAAGGCACAGGAACCGACTCACCCTTATTCTTTTTACAGGGCTGATCCAACTACGTAGCATCGTTGATTGTGAAAAATATTGAGCAGAGAAATACTCTAAATTGACCAGTCCAAGAGCTGGAAGGATATGTTGCAGGCGAGGGCTAAAATACAACATAACAAGAGCTTGACAAGAAGCCATTCTTACGTCTGTATAATATTAAAATGCCTTTTTTGTAAAAAAAATTTGCAACTCTTAATAACACCGAAAGAGCTATTTTAGTCAAATAGCCATGCAAAGCAGCACACCATGTCTGAAAAATTCAACCCCATTCGTTTTCTGTTGCAGAATGAATCAATCGGTCGATTATTTCATGTAGTTCACAACAAGTGTTAATTTGAGAGGCTTAACGGTATGATGTTTATGTTTATGAATGTTTATGACGTTCTTTTTAAACATCATAAAGAGCACATACAAGGACATGCAATGCCAAGTACTCCACCAGGGACAGGCACAAGAAACATTCATGGTGCTCACTGGGGTGAAACAGGGATGCCTGCTTTCCCTCTTCCTCTTCCTCCTCTGCACCAACTGGACCATGAAACAAACAACCCGTATTAAAAAAAGAGTGGCATCCAGTGGAGCCTGACACAACATCTTGAGGACCTCGACTTTGCGGATGCCATCGCACTAATCTCACATAACCACCAACAGATGCAAGAGAAATCCCAACTGCTAGAAACTTGGGCTCAAAATAAGCGGACCAAAAACAAAAATAATGCGCATAGACAACAAAAGCACAAACCCCATAACCATCGGGCACCAGACACTGGAAGAGGTTGACACATTCACATATTTGGGAAGTGTTTTAGCTGTGGACGGGGGGACAGAGGAGGATGTGAAGGCAAGAATAGGGAAAGCAAGAATCACATTCAACATATTAAACAAGATCTGGAAAACCAAGCTCAAAATCTTCAACTCCAATGTCAAATCCGTACTCCTGTATGGATCGGAAACCTGGAGGACCACCAAAGACATCACCAATAAACTGCAGATATTCATTAACCACTGCCTAAGACGCATCCTCAGGATCTTCTGGCCAAACCGCATAAATAACACCAACTTGTGGAAAATTAGACTCAGGAAAGACAAAACTGCAATAACCAAACAGGCACTAACATGGAACCCACAAGGCAAGCGGAACAGAGGAAGACCCAGAAACACCTGGAGAAGGAGTACAGAACAAGAAGTGAAAGAGAAGGGACTGACGTGGAAACAGCTAGAGAGGATGGCCCAAGACAGAAGAGGGTGGAAGCGATTCACCAGTGGCCCATGTTCCGAAAGGAATACAAAGGCCTAAGTAAGTAAGTAAGTAACCGTATGATGGGATAGGCTTGAGTCCCATTTTGTTAGATCATATCCACCCATCTTCATTTACCTTGAGTGCAACATCTTCATCAAGTTAAGAGAAAAGGCAGAAACCCTGAGCAGGACCAGACTCTTCTTTCAGCATAATTAAAGATTGTAATACTCAAGGAGACTTTTACTGCAAACAGACTAATATGTAACCCTCCGCCAGAGGTCAAAGCCAGGGCGTCCATGCAGGATCTCTCATTCACTCAGCTGGTGAAGCTGTGCACAGCAAGAGCGCCCTCTGCAGTCAAGGTAGAATACAGGCGCAGAGTTCTTCGTTCCAAATTCATGGCATGGAGATGACTTGGTGACTCCACAATTCCCATCTCTGACGACTCAGCAGCTTGTGAGCTAAGCCGGCACACTGTTATACTGTCTCTATGAAACCAACGACAGGTGTTCAGTTTTTAGACCAGTTTTACTTTGATGGAGCCGAATAGTCCGACTACAAGAAGTTTGAGTTTGTGCGATTTCACATGCATTTCAAGCAATAAATCGACAACATTTATACACATTTCCCTTATATCATCAGCAACAAATAACCATAAATCATGAGGTGTTAGAATAGAGAGAGTTCTCATTTACAATGGTCTGCAGTTTTCGATGACGGTAATCAGATAAAGTATAGCTCCAGATTTGACAGGCAAATACGAGGAGCTTTCATTTCCTCACAGAAGCTCGGCTTTCTGAAAAGATGCTTTTAGTCTAGGCGCCAGTTCGCTGTCTGTCTATGTTTTTCCTAATGCGGTATTCAAATGACCTTCCTCATAACAGACGTGGTCTTCTCGTCTATCAAAGGATCCTTCTAAAAGAGAGGAACCTTTCAGCAGAAGAACATTTGAATGTTGGCACTGAGTGGGTGTGATATGTTAGATAGATGTGTTAGATAGATGTGTTAGATAGTCAGCTGTTGTAATTCGAGAAAGCGCAGTCTGCGGGAGACGATCGAGGAGGAACAACGCCAAGAAGTTAAACAGCAGATGTAAGGTATACCTTTGAAAGTTGTCACAGTTTAGGATCATTTTTCTATGGCACAATTTTTATGAAAGTACTTTTTGTTCAACAGGTTTAATGTTACAATGTTAACTAGTTTCTGATTTAAAATTTTTAGCCGAGTCAAAAAATTACTAAGTTCAGGTTCAATCTGCTTACAGTCGTTGTCGAATCATTGAGAGATATTTCATTCAAGAACCAAGAAAATTCAAGTTTGTCTTGACATGGGAGACAGCTGCCGTTCTGAAACGGTTATTTATTGGGATAAATTTTAGCTGAAGGTTGATTTTCTTTTAACCTAAATACATGAGACAAAAAATCTGGTTTATAACATTGACAATGGGCAAAAAATCCTCTTAAAAAAAAGACTGAACAAACGAAAAACAAACGTTTGTGAATTATCCTCCAGTCTCGAGAAATTGTACCTTTCTGAAACCGTGTCGGTTCTTGGTCTGTTGGGATCCATCCTGATGTGTACGCTGAAAACAGCTGGCTTCATCAGCACTACTTCACACCAAACATTATTACAATTTCAACATTTTCATTAGCTTTTATTTTTATGTTGTTTTTACTTTTTGTTCCAGATTTCAGTTTGACTTCAGATTAGTTAGATTTTAAAGCTCAAATTATTTTTTTTTTTGACAGTGTTTAGTTTAAGTTTTGATTTTATAAGTTTTGGCCATCTGGTGTTTCATTAAAGTTGCAATAATCAATGTAATATACTTCATCCCCCCATTGCAGTTTCAGTGCAGGGATTGGGGCACCCCTGTCAAAAAGTCTGGACACGACCCTGCCTTTGACAGTTTGCGCACCATCTTGTATCCGTCTTAGTTATTATTAGATTAATTTTAAACACTGTAAAAGTGATGCAGTTATGTTAACTTCCCCTTTAAGTTGAGATGTATTTCTTTGTGATGTTTGCTTCACAGCTCATTTCAGTTTCTGACTGAGTAAAGATGAAGGGGGGCTTATTTCTGCTCACTGTGACAGGTAAGTGATCGTCTTACCTGCTATGGTGGTGGTCTTTTGAAATCACAACATCAGTAGTCTTACTGTCATCATTACAAGCCTTAATCCAAGAAAACATGATGAGAAACTTCACTTGTGTACCAGCGGTTAAAGGGATATTCCGGTCTAAAATTAATTTAGGGTCAAACACACCGTCATCATTTCTTCATCATTTCCTTGAAGTAATAATCATCATATTCATCATTGGTTTTTGTGTGGTTCCATAGACCCCTGTGTATTGCTATTGTGCAGTCGTTTCTAAAGTTGGTATAACTAGAGAAGCAAGCGGTCGGCAACATTCATCTCTTGATGGGTGGTGTTGGATGTGTTTGACCATGACATACGCCGGAATATCCCTTTAACTTCAAATAAATCAACAAATGCTGAATTACATGAACAAGATTCAGACAGAAAAATGACCTCTGCTGTTTCTCCTTCTCCACATTTCCTCTGTTTTATAGTTTTTATATTATAACCACAGTAAAGACAACCAACAGCAATGACTTCAGTACTAATACACCATTTTCTGGTTTCAGTTCAGCTCTCCTTTTTCTCCTGTCATCCCCATGAGTACCACCTTATTAAACATAACATGACCTGGTCTGAAGCTCAAGAGTACTGCAGAGAACATTACACAGACCTGGCCACAGTGTCTAACATGACAGACCTGAGGAGACTCCGAGATTTGACGGATAAGGAAGCCTGGATTGGGCTTTACAGTCAGCCTGGAAAGGACAACAGGATGTGGCACTGGTCTCAGCCAGGGGTGGAGATCGGTGTTATCAATGAGCTTTTTCATAATAGCCAGCCAAATGATAATGGTCGTCTTCGAAACTGTGGTGAAATTAAGAATCACAGGATAAATGATTTAAAATGTGAAAACAAACGTGAATTTATTTGCTTCAAAGGTGAGATTATGTGTAAAACAGAAGAGCTATATTTTACCTTTGAATTGAGTCAATGTGTTTAATAACAATGGAGAAGTTTCAGTCTGTCTCTAAGTATTAATTTGCCTGTAGTGACTTATAAAGAGGATAGTGTGCTGACTAAAGAATTTTGTTTTTCCTTTTAACATGAACTGTAGAAGTGGGATCAGACAAACAATACGAATGGATCAACGAGGAAATGACTTGGATACAGGCTCAAAACTACTGCCGAAGAGAGCACACTGACCTGGTCAGTGGAGTTGATCAGTTAGATGACGAGAAATTCAAGGAAGACTTTAAGGATAAAGAAAATTTGTGGATCGGTCTGTTCAGAGACACCTGGAGGTGGTCAGACGGGAGTAACTCCTCCTTCAGAAAGTGGAAGGAGTTTAGGGATGGAGTCAAAGAAAAGAAATGTGCAACTGTGGACCAACATGGAAACTGGGAATCTGATGATTGCAACGCGAAAAAACCCTTCTTCTGCTATGATGGTAAGTTGTAAAAGTCTGTCTTTTCTCGCCTATATTTATTTATAGTTTGGTCATTAACCAGCCAAGGAAGTGGACATGGGAAAAGCCTCTGAATTGTTTCTCTCGCTCACCTGCTGAGAATATCAAGTTTTTAAGAACCAGTTCTTCAACAGTCCTTCAACAGTTCTGTCCTCTCACCAAAGGACAAATAACAGAGCGGTTACTTTTATTCACTCGCCCTCTTTTGTTTTGGTGATTTTTCTTTTGCAGCTGAATTCAAAACTTTGCTTTAAGACAACTGGGACATGTTGAAAACACTGAAAGTGTTTTTTTTTTTCTCTCTCCACGACAGATAAAGTGATTCTGATTAAAGAAAAACTGCCCTGGGAGGACGCCTTAAATTACTGCAGATGGTTCCACAGCGACCTGGCCTCCATTACTAACCACCACCAGCAGAAATGGGTCCAAGCCAGAGCCAAGAATGCCTCAACCTCCCATGTGTGGCTCGGTCTCTATTACACCTGCATTGTGGATCTGTGGTTCTGGGTCAGCAATGATCTGGTCTGCTATGACAACTGGAAAGAAAATGATGGAAATAATGATCAGGATGACCTGACTGGAGCCATGGAGACAGATGACCCGCATAAGTGGTTCAAGAAGAACGACACTGAAAAGTTCAACTTTGTTTGTGCTACAAAGGCAGTCAAAAACCCAACCTGAGCTTCTTGCGTGTTGTGTATTTTTCTTCAGTGCCACAAGCTAAAATGATAGTTTATGATGCTTTTCATTGGTTGTAATATGACACCTTTTCTGCAGCTTCACTGATAGCTTATTCATAAATATGTAAGTCATTGTATCGGTGTTTAAAAGTATATCACATCTTTACCTGTATTTTGTTTAAGTATGAAAATGTCTTTTTTATTAAAGGTACATTGTGTAGAATTTAGTGGCATTTTCCTAAGGATGAGGAATCTATTATGCAGAAGTGTAATTTAGTTTGTGCAATTTCACATGCATTTTAAAAGTCCAGTTTCAAGCAATAAATTGACAACATTTATACACATTTCCCTTCTTACTGTACAGATCAATATTGACTTGTAGATACACTGCCATGATGACTATGTGTCCTGTGACGGCCCTGCCTAACTGGGGTCTGGTGGACTAATCCTGGTGGAGCCATTTCATGTTTTCCCTGCAGGGCTACCTGGGAGAGAGTGGGTGTGGCAGATAATTGAAGCACCTGTGCCTAATGCTGCTGCAGAGCATAAAAGGCCCTTCTCCAGTGCGGCTCTCTCTCTTGCTCTGACCCTGCCACAGGACTGCTGTCTCAGGCTTTTTGCTTTGATTTGACTTTGGTTTATTTTCACCCCACAACACCCTACACTTCATTACTCACACATCCACACTTACATGACTGATATCACTGACTAACACACCCCATATTTACAAATAATTGTTTAAGTATCTAATTTGTTAAAATAAATCTTTACTTCTCGCCCTACACTGCGTCCGTTTCCATATATGTCATGGCTTGAGAGCCGGGTTATGACAGTCCCCAAATCATCAGCAACAAATAACCATAAATCATGAGGTGTTAGAATAGAGAACGTTCTCATTTACAATGGTCTACAGTTTTCAAAGGCTGTAATAAAATAAAGTATAGCCCCAGATTTGACAGGCAAATACGAGGAGCTTTCATTTCCTCACAGAAGCTCGGCTTTCTGAAAAGATGCTTTTAGTCTAGGCGCCAATTCGGTGTCTGTCTGTGTTTTTCCAAATATGTTATTCAAATGACCTTCTTTATAACAGACGTGGTCTTCTCGTCTATCAAAGGATCCTTCTAAAAGAGAGGAACCTTTCAGCAGAAGAACATTTGAATGTTGGCACTGAGGGGGGTGTGGTATGTTAGATAGTCAGATGTTGTAGTTTGAGTAAGTGCAGTCTGCGGGAGAACATCGAGGAGGAACAACGCCAAGAAGTTAAACAGCAGATGTAAGGTATAACTTTGAAAGTTGTCACAGTTTAGCACAATTTTTATGAAAGTACTTTTCGTTCAACAGGTTTGATGTAACAATGTTAACTAGTTGTTGATTTAACATTTTTAGCTAGGTCCAAAAGATAACAAAGTTCAGGTTCAATCTGCTTACAGCCGTTGTCGAATCATTGAGAGATATTTCATTCAAGAACCAAGAAAATTCAAGTTTGTGTTGACATGGGAGACAGCTGCCGTTCTGAAACGGTTATTTATTGGGATAAATTTTAGCCAAAGGTTGATTTTCTTTGAACCTAAATACATGAGAAAAAAAATCTGCTTGATAACATTGACAATGGGCAAAACATCCTCTTAAATAAAAGACTAAACAAACGAAAAACAAACGTTTGTGAATTATCCTCCAGTCTCGAGAAATTGTACCTTTCTGAAACCGTGTCGGTTCTTGGTCTGTTGGGATCCATCCTGATGTGTACGCTGAAAACAGCCGGCTTCATCAGCACTACTTCACACCAAACATTATTACAATTTCAACATTTTCAGTAGCTTTTATTTTTATGTTGTTTTGACTTTTTGTTCCAGATTTCAGTTTGACTTCAGATTAGTTGGATTTTTTAGCTCAGATTTTTTTTTTTTTTTGACAGTGCTTAGTTTAAGTTTTGATTTTTTAAGTTTTGGCCATATGGTGTTTCATTAAAGTTGCAATCATTAATGTGATATAATTCATCCCCCCTTGCAGTTTCAGTGCAGGGATTGGGCCACCCCTGTCATAAAGTCTGGACACGACCCTGCCTTTGACAGTTTGCGCACCATCTTGTATCCGTCTTAGTTATTATTAGATTAATTTTAAACACTGTAAAAGTGATGCAGTTATGTAAACTTCCCCTATAAGTTGAGATGTATTTCTTTGTGATGTTTGCTTCACAGCTCATTTCAGTTTCTGACTGAGTAAAGATGAAGGGGGGCTTATTTCTGCTCACTGTGACGGGTAAGTGATCGTCTTACCTGCTATGGTGGTGGTCTGTTTAAATCACAACATCAGTAGTCTTACTGTCATCATTACAAGCCTTAATCCAAGAAAACATGATGAGAAACTTCACTTGTGTAGTACCAGCGGTTAAAGGGATATTCCGGCCTAAAATCAATTTAGGGTCAAACACACCGTCACCATTTCTTCATCATTTCCTTGAAGTAATAATCATCATATTCATCATTTTGCATGGCAGATGCAGTAGTTCTTCTTCCTTAGTGTCTTAGTCTGATTGCATTTCCATGAAGAAATGATCATAAATGTTCTTCCTTGAGCTGCGTCACCCCACTGTAGTCCGTAATGGACTGGCCTGAGGTCTCAACAAATAAGCGGCTGCTGGAAGAGAGTAGGTGAGTTGTGTTTAGTCTCTTTGCTGAAAATTAGGCAAAGTTAAAAAGATGTTTGGTTTCTAGTACTATGGCTGGGACCCTATATGTACTCTTGATAAAGTAATGTGCTGTTCTGAGCATTATTTGTGGCTATAGAGTGGCTTTTTGATTGAGGTTTGTTTATGGCTCTATAGACCAATGTGTATTGCTATCGTGCGGTCGTTACTAAAGTTGGTATAACATTCATACATTCATCTCTCGATGGGTGGTGTTGGATGTGTTTGACCATGACTTACGCCGGAATATCCCTTTAACTTCAAATAAATCAACAAATGCTGAATTACATGAACAAGATTCAGACAAAAAAATGACCTCTGCTGTTTCTCCTTCTCCACATTTCCTCTGTTTTATAGTTTTTAAATTATAACCACAGTAAAGACCCACGACCACCGCTGCAACCAACAGCAATTACTTCAGTACTAATACACCATTTTTTGGTTTCAGTTCAGCTCTCCTTTTTCTTCTGTCATCCCCATGAGTACCACCTTATTAAACATAACATGACCTGGTCTGAAGCTCAAGAGTACTGCAGAGAACATTACACAGACCTGGCCACAGTGTCTAACATGACAGACCTGAGGAGACTCAAAGGTTTGACGGATAAGGAAGCCTGGATTGGGCTTTACAGCCAACCAGAAGAGAACAGGACGTGGCACTGGTCTCAGCCAGGGGTGGAGATCGGTGATATCAAGGATCGTTTTCGAGTCTCAGGAGAACCTCAGTTAAACGAGCCAAATGATTATCGTGGTCTTGAAAACTGTGGTGGAATTGTAATAAGTAAATGGGCGGATTACGATTGTGAAAATGAACATGAATTTATTTGCTTCGAAGGTGAGATTATGTGTAAAACAGAAGAGCTATATTTTACCTTTGAATTGAGTCAATGTGTTTAATAACAATGGAGAAGTGTCAGTCTGTCTCTAAGTATTAATTTGCCTGTAGTGACTTATAAAGAGGATAGTGTGCTGACTAAATAATTTTGTTTTTCCTTTTAACATGAACTGTAGAAGTGGGATCAGACAAAAAATACGAATGGATCAACAAGGAAATGACTTGGATAGAGGCTCAAAACTACTGCCGAACAAACTACACTGACCTGGTCAGTGGAGTTGATCAGATAGATGACGAGAAATTCAAGGAAGACTTTAAGGAGAAAGAAAATTTGTGGATCGGTCTGTTCAGAGACACCTGGAGGTGGTCAGACGGGAGTAACTCCTCCTTCAGAAAGTGGAAGGAGTTTAGGGATGGAGTCAAAGAAAAGAAATGTGCAACTGTGGACCAACATGGAAACTGGGAATCTGATGATTGCAACGCGAAAAAACCCTTCTTCTGCTATGATGGTGAGTTGTAAAAGTCTGTCTTTTCTCGCCTATATTTATTTATAGTTTGGTCATTAACCAGCCAAGGAAGTGGACATGGGAAAAGCCTCTGAATTGTTTCTCTCGCTCACCTGCTGGGAATATCAAGTTTTTAAGAACCAGTTCTTCAACAGTCCTTCAACAGTTCTGTCCCCACACCAAAGGACAAATAACAGAGTGGTTACTTTTATTCACTCGCCCTCTTTTGTTTTGGTGATTTTTCTTTTGCAGCTGAATTCAAAACTTTGCTTTAAGACAACTGGGACATGTTGAAAACAATGAAAATGTTTTTTTTTCTCTCTCCACGACAGATAAAGTGATTCTGATTAAAGAAGAACTGCCCTGGGAGGACGCCTTAAATTACTGCAGATGGTTCCACAGTGACCTGGCCTCCATTACTAACCCCCACCAGCAGAAATGGGTCCAAGCCAGAGCCAAGAATGCCTCAACCTCCTATGTGTGGCTCGGTCTCTATTACACCTGCATTGTGGATCTGTGGTTCTGGGTCAGCAATGATCTGGTCTGCTATGACAACTGGAAAGAAAATGATGGAAATAATGATCAGGATGACCTGACTGGAGCCATGGAGACAGATGGGCAGCATAAGTGGGTCAAAAAGAACGACACTGAAAGGTTTCACTTTGTTTGTGCTACAAAGGCAGTCAAAAACCCAACCTGAGCTTCTTGCGTGTTGTGTATTTTTCTTCAGTGCCACAAGCTAAAATGACAGTTTATGATGCTTTTCATTGGTTGTAATATGACACCTTTTCTGCAGCTTCACTGATAGCTTATTCATAAATATGTAAGTCATTGTATCGGTGTTTGAAAGTATATCACATCTTTACCTGTATTTTGTTAAAGTAGGAAAATGTCTTTTTTATTAAAGGTACATTGTGTAGAATTTAGTGGCATTTTCCTAAGGATGAGGAATCTATTATGCAGAAGTGTAATTTAGTTTATATTGAATGGGATATCATAATTTCTACAGTAGCTTCGAGTGGACAAACTAGCAGGAACCAAACACAATTTCTCTTGATTAGTACTGTTATCATGTCTCAGATTTTTCTCAAAACTACGATATTTTTAAATAATTTTCTCATGACTTTATTCTCATTATAATATGATTTTGCTATGACTCTATAGTCTGTAAAATATGCTCCCCTAATCTCATTACTTTACAATTATTTACTCAGCCTTAGAAAATTAGTTTAAATTGAAAATACCTTTGTAATCACAAAACTTTGGGTATGTTCAGCATTACTTTGCTAATTCCACTTTGTGTACTATTCTACTTTAGGTTAAAATGTGGTGGTGGTGGCAGTTTGTAAAGGATATATTGTCATTATTTTATTGTTTGTATTTTCAGTGAGAAAATGTTCCTCTCCAAATTAAATAAACTGAAAAAAACAACACATAATTTCAACCTCACCTAAATGTTTTTTAAGCACTTTTGTAAATGCAGGCCTTTTATCATTCTTCCAATTACTTTTCAGGTCAGCCTGTTTTAGAGCCTTTGCAGCAGCAGCATCTAGTGGGCATTTAGCAAAATGATATTATTCATTATTAAAACAGGAAACTAGGTCTGCTGACACGCTTTTCGTCAATTTTTTCCTAGTTTTGTTGCACAAAGTAAAAATCATATATGAAAACTAAAACTAAATAGTAAACTATGCTACAAAAATCTACAAAGACACTGAAGCTTCTTCTTAAATTGTTAAAGGGATATTAAGGCGTAAAATCAAGTTAGGGTCAAACACACTGTAACACCTAGTTAGACACCCCCTCCAAAGATGAATGTTGCCGACTGCTTGCTTCTCTAGTTATACCAACTTTAGTAACGAACACAGGATAGCAATACACAGAAGTCTGAGGAGCCATAGACAAATCTCAGCCAAAACACCACTCTATAGCCACAAATAATGCTCAGAACAGCACCTAACTTCATTAACAGTACATACAGGGCCAGCCATAGTACTAGCCATCAAACATCTTTTTAACTTTGTCTAATTTCTTTAGCAAAGAGACTAAACACAACTTACCCTCTCTCTTCCAACAGCCGCTTGTTTGTGTGGGTGCCCTGATGAGTTGATTATCGAGAGCAGCGGAGTTTCACAGCTCAAGGTAGAACATTTATGATCATTTCTGTAGTGAAATGTGATCAGACAGAGACACTAAGGCAGAAGAACTACCGCGTCTGCAGTGCAAAATGATTAATATGATAATTATTACTTCAGGATAATGATAAAGAAATTATCATAAATGTTCTTCCTTGAGCTGCGTCACCCCGCTGTACTCCGTAATTGACTGGGCCGAGGTCTCGCTACAAACAAGCAGCTGCTGGAGGAGAGTTGGTGACTTGTGTTTAGTGTCTTTGCTAAAGAAATTAGGCAAAGTTAAAATGATGTTTGGTGGCTAGTGCTGTGGCTAGGACCCTATATGTACTGTTGATGAAGTTAGGTGCTGTTCTGCTGTTATATTTGTAGCTTTTTGATTGAGGTTTGTTTATGGCTCCTCAGACCGCTGTGTATTGCTATCGTGCGGTTGTTACTACAGTTGCTACAACTAGAGAAGAAAGCGATTGGCAACATTCATCTCTTGATGAAGTGTCTTACTCGGTGTTACAGTGTGTTTGACCCTAAATTAATTTTACGCCAGAATATCCCTTTAAATTAATAAGTACAGCCTGTTTTTGTATCACTGTTGTTAACATGATGAGCACTGACAGGCGCTGTAGGAGCTCATAGCTGCCTCCGACCTGGCCCATCCTGGGACATGGGGTTACCAGCGTTGGTTAAAATAGTCTCTCCAATGAGAACAGCCCACGTTTCTAGACCAACACGGATGTATGCTGCGTGGACCAACCACGGAAATGTAGGGCAGGAGGGGAGGGGACCACGATACAGGAGACAGAAAGGTTTCGCGAACTAAGTCGAAAGACCGTGAACTCTTCAACTTTTTGTGTTATCTTGTTACGTGAAGGTGTTTTAAGTCGAAGTTAAGACAGTCTAGGCCTTGTCAAGGCGGGAAAGTGTTGTTAACGGTTATCGAATAAGAGTGGAACCTTCTATCTGCGTCCCTCATTTCTAGCCGGAATACTGTCACACCGGGACCGTAAATACAGCCGCCGTCGTAGGAGCTTCTGCTGTCCGACCGGCGGAGAGAAACAATGAGGATTCAGTAAAAAATATCGCCGTTTCAATGACACAGACCTGTGCTGTCGGTGGACTCGAAAGCAGAGCCGCTGCGGAGTTCGCGGGTTTGGGTGTGCAAAGGTAAACAGCTCCGGGTATGGATTCGTGTCGGCGGGCAGGACTCAGCGGGGTCCTGTGCTCCCTGTCTCTGCTCTGTGTCATCCTGGACATCCAGCTGGACGGTAAGGCTGCCTTTATGCTCTATAAACACCTGTGCAGACGTAAATTAACGTAAACAACAACAACGTAGCGGGTGTTGGTGTTCTGGGCTGTGTTATGTTGAGCGGCGTTCCTAATATTTAGTCAGATTCGTTAACAAACAAACACGATATAATACACTACAGAACACCCCAAACATCCACCACAACTCCAGAACTACTACAACCATGTAAAGAAACACCTGAAAGTGTCGAAGCTTCGTGAACGTCAAATTTAGAATGTTCGATTTTAAGTTTGGGACGATATGCTTCTCTCCCGATTCGATTCTTCTCCGATTTATGGATGCCGATTCGATTTAAATCGCGATTCTACGATATTTTCTTGATTTTAAAGGTCCTCAACAGCCGGGCTGACACGAATATAGAACACGAAAGTATGAAATATTCGGAGGGGAATTTTGACGCGCCTGGCTATACACATAAAGGCCGATGCGATTTTGCGACTTTCTGGGGGAAAAAGACGCATCCCGGGGAAGACTTTTGCCAGGGAAAGTCCCGCCTCCTTCGCCTCTGATTGGCCAAAAAAGCTGGAAACATCATCACACGCTCAAGCCAAACGATCAGCACTTATAGCCAATCAGAGGCAATAAGATAAGCACATGAAACTATTGTAACAACCGTTAGCATACGTTAGCACAGGTGAACGTTAAAACAAAGACGCATAGCAAACTGTTAAAGCACACAAACCATCGTCATATGAGAGATCCCACGCTACGACTCTTTACAAGTTGTCCTGTTTTTGCTTTTTCTACATGAAATATCACAGAAAATGAATACATTTCACTGTCAAAAGTCATAAAAGTAGACTACTTAGGCATGTAGAAGATGAGATAAGCAAAGACTGTTTTGTCCAGATGGGTAACCAAAACTAACATGAGCAAACAATCAACATGGCATCTGTCCTTGTACTCCAGCAGTTTGTTCACATCTTTATTAAAAAAACCTTTGAGTTATTTAACACTTTGTCCATCAAAATCATAATGTGAAAAGTTGTGTAACATACAGACAAATTGAAGCCCCGTCGTGGTCTTATGTTGTATTTTTATCGCTGTCTCTCTCTTAGTCTTATATTCCAGTCTGACTCAGGCTCCGTCTTACATTTCAGGGGTCCTCGGGGCAACTCATGTGGAGATCGAGCACCACTTGGAGATGGGCCGCAAACTTTTGGCCGCTGGGCAGCTGGCTGAGGCTTTGTCCCACTACCACTCTGCCGTGGGTAAGGTTACACACATACATAGACACACACGTACGCAGTGACACACATTTATGCTCTCTCACTGTTGGCTGACACTATGATTCTTTGCTCCAATCATGTCTGCCCTCTGAAAGACTGAGGTTTAGTCATGAAATCCAACTTTGCTTGTGTTTCATTTCACAGAGGGAGACTCTAAGAATTATCTGACCTACTATAAACGAGCGGCAGTGTTTCTGGCGATGGGAAAATCAAAATCGGCGCTCCCAGACCTGACCAGAGCGATCCAGCTCAAACCTGACTTCCTGGCTGTAAGCACAGCTGATCACAACCAGAGGAACTGGTTCAAAACAGTTCAGACGACATTAGCTCACAGGTTTGCTCGTGTTTCATTTTCTCATCACCTCTTCATGTCCCTGCTCTCTTTCAGGCCCGGTTGCAGAGAGGGAATATCCTACTGAAGCAGGGCAACACAGACGAGGCTGTGGATGACTTTGAAGCAGTGGTAGGATCAAGTCTTAAAGGGATATACCGGCGTAAAATTAAGTTAGGGTCAAACACCCGGTAACACCGAGTTAGACACCACCTCGAGAGATGAATGTTGCCGACCGCTTGCTTCTCTAGTTATACCAACTTTAGTAACGACCGCATGATAGCAATACACAGCGGTCTGAGGAGCCATAAAAACGCCACTCTATAGCCACAAATAATGTTCAGAACAGCACCTAGCTTCATCAACAGTACATAGGGTCCTAGCCACCAAACATCTTTTTAACTTTGCCTTATTTCTTTAGCAAAGAGACTAAACACAACTCACCTACTCTCTTCCAGCAGCTGCTTGTTTATAGCGAGACCTGGACTGGTCCATTACGGACTACAGCGGGGTGACGCAGCTAAAGGAAGAACATTTATGATCATTACGTTATCATTTCCTACACTGCACTACAGACGCTGTAGGTCCTGTGCTTTAGCGTCTCAGTCTGGTTGCATTTCCATGAAGAAATGATCATAAATGTTCTTCCTTGAGCTGCAAAACTCCGCTGTAGTCCCTGATAGACTAGTCTGAGGTCTCGCTACAAACAAGCGGCTGCTGGAAGAGAGTAGGTAAGTTGTGTTTAGTCCCTTTGCGAAAGAAATCAGGCAAAGTTAACAAGATGTTTGGTTTCTAGTACTATGGCTGTGACCCTATATGTACTGTTGATGAAGTTAGGTGCTGTTTTGAGCATTATTTGTGACTATAGAGTGGCGTTTGGTTGAGGTTTGTTTATGTCTCCTCAGACCGCTGTGTATTGCTATTGTGCGGTCGTTACTAAAGTTGGTAGAACTAGAGAAGCAAGCGGTCTGCAACATTCATCTCTCGAGGGGGAGTCTAACTCGGTGTTATCACGTGTTTGACCGTAAATTAATTTTACGCTAGAATATTCCTTTCAACATGCACTTCATTTTCAGTGGAAATAGTGTAAAGTATTATAAATAAATAAATGAAGGATCTATCTGTTTATTGGTGTTTGTAGCTTCTGCGCTCTCCGGCCCATGAAGAAGCTGAGGAGCAGGTGAGAAAAGCCAGCGAGCTTGTGGAGCTGCGGGAAGAGGCGCACGCCGCGTACCACCAGGGAGACTACAGCACTACAGTCACAGTGCTGGAGAGAGTCATTGAGGTGAGTGACGCCAGCTTCAACACGTCAAAAAAATACTAAATAAAAGAAGCAGGAGATAGCATGAGTATGTGTAGGACCTACCAAAGAAGAAGAGATAAGGTACCATCAGCTTTCACAAGAGGAGTCCTGAATGTTTCCAGGAAATTTCAGGATAGCTTGACAGCACCACGATTATTCTTATTTTCACTTGTCGTAGAATAGGAATTTTGCACTGTGGTATTAAAAATGAAAGGATCTGAGCTCTTCAACCAGCCTGCCGATCTTTGCTCATGATCATTACAGCCTTTCCCTCGTCCCACTCTGTCCGTCCCACTCTTTAGATCTCCCCCTGGGACCCAGAGTCCCGTGAGCTCCGCGCAGAGTGCTACATCCGCATGGGGGACCCTCAGAAAGCCATCCAGGATCTGACGCCGACCACGCGTCTCCGCAACGACAATCGCGCCGCCTTCCTGAAACTCAGCATGCTGCATTACAGCCTCGGCGAGCACCACGAGTCTCTTAAGTAAGCCCTCGGTCAAACAGGCGAATGCAAATCCTCCTGATTTTCATCTCATTTAGAAATCTAAACTCTGTCGGTGTCCCTGCAGTCACATCCGGGAGTGTCTGAAGCTGGACCAGGATGACAAGGAGTGTTTCAGCCACTACAAGCAGGTGAAGAAGCTCAGCAAGCAGCTGGATGCAGCAGAGGAGCTCATACACATGGAGAGGTCAGAAAAGAGAATAAAGGATAAGTGGAAATGTCAACCACCTACTCTTCTTCATGAGATAAAATCCAGTGTGTGCTCTTTTAATATCTAAACTGAGATAACTACTTTAACTGGATTTCCTCTTTTATAAAACTAGGTATGAAGAAGCCATCGAAAAGTATGAATCTGTGATGAAGACGGAGCCGAATGTCCCGTTCTACACCAACCTGGCCAAAGAGAGAATCTGCTTCTGCTACGTCAAGGTGCGCCTCACCCCCCAAAAAACACAGACTCTCTGTCGGAAATGCTCATCATCAATTCTGTTTTTGAAAATTCTCTGAGATAGTTTTTCTTCAGTCGACGAAATTTCAAAATCCACAAATCCTGTTTTGATGATTTTTAGATCAAGTTGGCTCACAAGGCCATAGACGTTTGTTCGGAGGCTCATCAAAGAGATCCACGCAACGCCAACATCCTCCGAGACCGAGCTGAGGCTTACATTCTCAACCAGGACTATGAGAAAGGTAGAGTGTGTGAAACTTTAAATGCATATAACACATTAGATCATCTACACTTATAAGTAGTAAGATCTTTTCTACAACAAAACTCAACTGTATCGACTTTACTACATGGGAACTTTACTGTCATATATGTTTATTTTACATGTCAACGTTTTTTTAAAATTATATTTAAATTTGTTTTTTTGCAGCTGTGGAGGACTACCAAGAGGCACGAGAATTCGACAGCGACAGCCACGATATCAGGGAAGGGCTGGAGCGAGCACAGAAACTGCTGAAAATCTCTCGAAAGAGGGACTACTACAAAATCCTGGGTGTCAGCAGGTAACCGTTTACGTACAAGATCTGCAAAAAGCTGTGAGAATTTTGAAAAACTAAAAATTTTTTAATGGAAATGTTCAGAATCTTTTTGTGGAAAATTATAGAAGTTATACTAGTTTCTGGAAAATGTCGGGAAATTTCTGTTAAAATTTTTGTGTAATTTTTTGATAAACTATACGGGAGTTTTAGAAATAGATGGAAAACTCCTCCTGTAAATATTTAGTGTTTTTGTGAATTTATATCGAAAAATTTCAGATATCAGAAATTTTCAACTGAGAAATTTCAGTAGTTGTAGTTTTGGAAAGTTTTGTCAATTTTGCAAATTTTTACAAATTTTACAAATTTTAAAAGGAATTTTTTTTGGAAACTTTCTGGTGCCTTCTATGAAAATTGATAGAAAATTTCAGGAATTTACCACAAAACTTTTCTCGAGACTTTTTGAAATTTTTCATTTAAATTTGTAGAAATTACATTGAACGTTTTCAGGCATTTTAAAGAGAAGTTTTCACTGGAAAATTTTAATATTTTTTAATGAAAATGTTTGGAAAATGTCCTCATAAAATACAGTGAAAATTTCCAGATATCCATTTATTCATTTTTTTGTTGATGTTAAAATGTGAACAGAAATGTCGGTTTCATCCGACTTCATGCCTCTAGTCTAAGTTTTGAATGAAATTGGATGAAGCGGGTAAATTTCACAAACTTTGTTTTTTTTTAGGAGTGCGAATAAGCAGGAGATCATAAAGGCGTACAGGAAGCTGGCACAGCAGTGGCACCCCGACAACTTCCAGTCTGAGACGGAGAAAAAGGAAGCGGAAAAGAAGTTCATCGACATCGCTTCAGCTAAAGAGGTCCTCACTGACCCAGGTCAGGAGCTCTTAGTGGGATTGAAAAGACACGATTTCAAAGTAGCTTTAAATGTAGTTTCAGTCTATTTTTAATTCGGCCCACAGTGAGTCTGGACTCAGCTCGTCAAAACTGCTAATATTTGCTTGAAAATTTGTAAACACGTTCACATTTGTGGCAACTTTCTCGAGATCATGTAACATTTATCCCAGTCCACAATTCACATTTGTCATGTTAGCCATGTTATTTCCCTCCTTTAAGGCTGTTTGTGTAAAAGTCTGACATCAGTCCGAGCAAAATGCTACTTCCAGAAGCCAAAATACAAAAACCGATGTAATCCACCTATCATGTTCAAACTCAGTTGGCTTTCCCCTGTTTTAAATTTGTCTGCCTTTGCTTACCGTTGTCTCGACAGAAATGAGGCAGAAGTTCGACGCTGGCGAGGACCCTCTGGACCCAGAAAACCAGCAGGGCGGCGGGGGTGGAGGAGGACAGGGCTGGCCTTTCCACTTCGACCCCTTCCAGTCCGGCGGCAGCTTCCACTTCAAGTTCCACCACAACTAAAGCGAGTAGGACTCAGGAACTGGAGTAAGAGGGGATTTATGGAAACGTCTTCCCAGGAACTTTTTGCTTTGGCTTGGACACATTTGTGGGTGACTCGAACATTCAGTTTTTTTTTTACACAGCAGAGGCTTGATACAAAAAAATTGTGACTACTCTGGACAAAAATGAAGGAGCTTACTGCGGCTACTGCTGGAGAAAGAAAATGAAGTCTTGTTTTAACACTTCAGAGCCTTAGGAAGGGGAAGGTTGGTGATTGAACGCGGTTGATTTTGGACGTTTGGCGTGTCTGCTCTTAATATTTCTTTCTTTGTGCCATTTTATTGAGGGACTCTCCTTTTTTTAATGCAGTAGCTCATTCTCAGACATCACACAGGAGGGCTGTCAGTGTGCCGTTTACTGATCTCAGTCTGAATTTTCGACAGTGTCAAACCTCCTCAGCTTTTCCACACAGCGACCGCAGTGTGACAGGAAGTAGTGAGACTTGAGCACTAAGGAAACTCATAGGAAACGTTTTGAAATCCTATGGATCTTAAATCATAGCCACTCTGTGATTGTTTTAACGACATTCTTGAATTTATTTGTTTTTTTTACAGCTATCTAAAAGGAATAAGATGTGAAATCTGTGCTGTAACTTCAAAAGTCTATTTATGCAGCTTCAAATGTTAAAGATTTAAGTTATGATTGAACTCAAACCTGATCTGAACTGAAAAAAGGAAAAAGTCTCTTTTAGGATAACGGTGAAAAACAGTCTGACTGAACTTTTCGTTTCACTCCATTCAAAGCGCGTCTTTGAAAACTTGCACTTTTATCCTTGTTAGCCACTCCACTCCTGAATTGTTACTGCGGGCTTTTAAACGCCTCTCAAAGACCCTCTTCTCAAACCAAGTGCGTCTTTAGCGGTCATAAGCGCCTAGAGATGCAGCAGAATAACTTCTGCGATGCACCGGGTTTGATTCAGAGGCTCAGTTTGAGACAAATAAGTTTCTATTAAATATTAATAATTATTATTTAACGAGGGCGGTTTATCAGGTTTTCACATAAGTTATTCTGTTTGAATCCTCGACTGTGTGAAGGGAACGCGTCAGGCTTCTTTAAAAGGACTTAGCTGGACCTTTTTGTTTTCCGGGTTTCTTTCTATTTGGGTTTTTCTTCTGTTTGTAGCTTGAATTTTATTGTTGCCAAACTGAATCAGCAAATATGCTAAAGCGCATAAAAATATTAAAACAACCATACTTTGTCTGAATGCCATGATTTTTGCTAAAGCAGATGAAGTATCGTGCTCTTTTTCAGGATTTTGGTCGAACTTCTGATCGTCTGTTAGCAGCTTTACACGATTTTCTCCTCTTGAAACTATCTCAAATATCAGCTTCTAAAACAAGGCACTCTACAACCCTCCTCAACTGTTGCCATGTTCCAAAATTGTCGTTGTGAGTTAACCGGTGTTGGCGAAATGATTTGGACTTCGAATCTGAACCAGGAAGTTTGGAAAAAGCCAGAAAATCTCTACTAATGAAGAGCAAAGTGAGTATGACAATTTGACGATTTTCACCAAATTTGTGATGTCACAAATTGAGCAATGCATGACATCATCTCTTGAGTGATATTTCAGGTTACATTACTCAAGCTGATTTCTTGAACTTTGCTCCCACACTTGCTAAAAATACCATATTGGATGTCTCCAAGCTTACTTGAAAGTTTAACATTGGTGTAACACTCCTTTAATAGACATGTTTGACGTTGCTATGAAACTTAGAAAAGGGCCAAAGTAGCAGCAACCATTCGTCACTTTTATTTCCTTATTTTGTCGATGACAATAAAAGAGTCTCAAACACTGGAAAACATCATGAAACAGACATTATCTGAACACCATACTGAAATATTCCCCCAAACACACACACTCACACACAATGTACCTGCAGTCTGCTCACACTCTGCCAGTCAACACCCATCCTATATCGTACAGTCATCACTGTAAATATCTTCAAGAAGCAGCAGGGAGCGTCAACTCAAGCAGAATCCTGACGCTGGAGTTCTGCATCTGCGTCTGTAGAGGTGAAGTGACAAAAATCCTGCAGTGAACATGTCCACTCTGCTCCGAGCTCTGAGAAACAGTCCCAATCCATGTGCAGGTCTTCGTCAACAGTTGGCTCCAAATCCTTGTGCATCCTCCAGACTGTCTGCTTCCACCTCGATGGACACCACGTGGTGACCGGGGATCATGGCCAGGCCGAGGACTCTGGGTTCACCCTGAGAGAATGTGTCTGAGAAAAAAACGTGACATGAGTCTGAAGCAAACAAGACCTAAACCCTTTGCTTGACAACTACCTTGAGGCAGCGGGTTCAGACTTTGACATCAGCAAAGAAATCCTCTGATTTGTTTTTGTTGGTCATAAAAAGTCATTAAGGTTAATTTCAGTCTGTTTCATGAGCAGTTTAAAAATCCTCAGATGTTTTAATGTTGAGGTTTTTTTTTAATTATAGTGAAGGAGCCATTCTCAGAGTTCACCTGTGTGGCGCTGTAGGTGGCGCAAAAGGACATTTAAGGTGCCCACTAATTGAGACAGGTGTGGCGCACAAGTAGCCTTTGTTTTTTGACCACAGGCTAGGCTGGCAGCTTGTTTGTTTTTTCACTTATTGGGTTATGAGGTCATTGTTTCTTTTGTTTTTTCCTCATTTTATTTTGTTTTGTTGTTTTTATGTGTGTGCTGTATTAAGTGGATGTAGATTTTGTTTTGTAACGTAATGAACGTACTTTATTTATAAGTATCAGGTACATCTAAAGAAGTTGCAAGGAAGCTTGGTGTAGGTAATCATTATTTAAAGGCAAGGGGTTGTGGATATAAATTATTCTTCTTCTCACTCCTTTTCGAATATGTATTTCTATGATTTGTTTCCTAGAGTCCCTACACTGTGACTCAGGTAATGAAGTTGTGTACGTTGTCCACCACTTTTCCTAACCCACCTGTAGATTTGAGGAACTCCTGAGCTGATCCCAGGATCACGTTACAGTCTCGGTCTGTGCAGAGGAAGAGCCCCACCAGTGTCCGTCCATCTGTCATGCGGATCCTCATGTTCTTGTTCAGCAGACCCTCCAGTTTCTGTCTAGCCTGGGACGAGGAGGACACTTCAGACTGCTCCTGTGAGGGGACAGAAAGGTAGCAAATAAATACACTAACAAGTTACGTGGACTAGCACAAGTTAACTTCCACCTGTAGGTTAGTGATGGGCATGGCAGTTCTTTTAGATATACTGAATCACTAGAATCAGTTCACTAAAAAGATTCGTTCAAAAGATTTGTTCACCAAATCACAAAGTCATTTAACGCTTGGCGGGAGAGGCCTGCAACGCCGACCTCCTGAACTGATACACAGCTGAACGTTTCAGGATTCAGTTCAATTCACAGTCTCAATGCGTGATTCGTTCGCCAAGTGATTCAGGCGTTGGTGCATACAGTCCCTGGTTTGCTGGCTGCTGGCCTGGCAATGCTGTTTCTCACTTCAGCTCAACTGAAGAGAGAAACGAACGAATCACTTGAGGAAGTGATTTGGTTCTTTTTAACGAATCGTTCGCGAACGACACAACACTACTGTAGGTGAAGGGTTTTGAGCCTTGAATACAAACAGTAGACCGTTTACTGATTTTGAATATGTAATAGGCTTTAAGGACAACGACTATTTATGTTATTTTTACAATAACAGTGAGAATAAAGGCAATGGTTTTGTAGTTTTGAACAACATTAAACACATCATACTGCACCTTGTTCGTTAGCTACCGGCTAATGCTAAGCTACAACTGAAGACATAATCTACCAAAATATGCACCAGGAAATCCGTAATTTGACACTTTGACTCTTTAAATAATATAAAGCATCATGTTGAGTATTAAAACCAAAAATCATTATGACATACATGACTCGAAGGACCGTTTTCCTCGATCATTGTTGCCATTATTTCTTCTCTTTCTCCCTACGTTTGCTTACGGGGGTATTAAAGTGACGGACCAGCAAACCGGAAATACACGTTGTTGTAGTTTTAAAGGGAACGGCACCGTCGTCGTAATAATCGCAACTACTGATTTATGCAAATACTAGATAATATTATCGATTAAACACCGGCTTTGTATCATTTATTTTCTATATTTACATAAAGTGTAATATAATACATAATTAAGCTTCGAAGGGTAACATTTTAAAGAGTGTTGTTTCAATAAACAAAAACCTATTCGTTTATTTTGATTAGTTTAAATGTTATTGGTCCTAGAAAGTCATGGACAGACTATATTGAATTATTTGTAGCACAGTCAGTGATTTACCCGTATAAAGGATATTTTTAACAAAGTCAGTGAATTACCCTTACACAGGACACTTTGTTGTGGTGGTTCTGTAAGTTTGCATCTAAATCAAGAATAGTTGTTTCCGCTCCTTTAAAGAAAACCCAAATACGTGATTATAATAAACACGATAAATAGTAAGCATGGTAGATTTCTTGTATCCTCTATTGCGGTTTTAATGCAAAACAATACTGTTTTCTGACCAAAGCAGTGATTTTGAATGAATATACTGTGCCTCTTATGTTAAGTATTATTAAATTTAACATATTCATTCTCAGTAAAGGCTACAAAAGTGAGCAAAGCTCTCAATAGGGTGGAAAAGAGGAAAACATGTCGTCCCTGGGTGGGCTCGAACCACCAACCTTTCGGTTAACAGCCGAACGCGCTAACCGATTGCGCCACAGAGACGGTGCTTCAGGAGAGGGGCGTGGTCTAAATTAAACGGAACCACTCCAAGATTTTTGATAAAAACCTTTAGATATTTGGTAATATCGCCTAGCTGAAACTTACAAACAGACTTTTAAAATCAGCCTTTTGTTCATAGATGTAAAATATTTAAAATTATTCACAATTAAGCATTCTCTGTCTCAAAAACTTCATGATTCTTGGATGTTTTACCTGGAAGTGGAGTCCATTAGTCAATTGTAGTTGGTTAATCAGAAAGAGAGGGCGGACCCCGGTCTGAAATTTCTCCTGTTTCAGCTCTGATATGAATTATTACAGGTAGAAGACAACATGTGGAAACAAACTTTGCAGATCCTTAATACGTGAGTCAATTCCGAAGTTTTCATAGGGACAAACACTCAAACCATCAACAAGGATGCTATTAAAATGTTATTAATAAAGAGAGAATGATAACATATGGTAGTTTTAGTTGTGAACTGCTCACCTGTCTCATTATAAAAATAATGATAATTATAATAATTGTTATTATATTAATTATTATTATAAAAAATAGAATTGTGTAATTCTACAGTCCTGAACGTTACTGTTCAGAGTAAGATGGACCATGCTATTGACAGTTAATATATCTTTTAATGTACGATTTTAATTTGTTTATTTATCCTTTTGTCCATTTTGCGGGGAAATTACAGCCTTGTATCATAAACTGAGTTCATAAGTATTAATTTCAGACAATATTTAGGCTGTTAGGAAGCTAATGCTGAGTTTGAGTTACCTCGGAAATCAGAAGTGAAAATGACGTCACACCTGAGTTACCAGCGTTTCAGTTACCAAGTCAGAAAAAAGCAAACTCGAAGGCGGAAACAATATGGCTATATCTACAAAAGTTATTTTAGTGTTTGCCTTATATCTAAACACAGCAAGCGCTAAAATAACTTTAGTAGATGTAGCCATCTTGTTTCTGCCTCCGATTTAGCGTTTTTCTGACTCGGTAACTGAAATGCTGGTAACTCGGGTGTGACGCCATTTTCAGCCACAACATCTGACTTAACTCAAATGCAGCATTAATCTTAATACTATGGGTAATTCAAGATAAAGTTGTATTAACAAGTTCCTTGTCATAAATATTACATCCTTTTTTAAGAATAAAAGACTGTTGCTAAGGAGTATTGACCAATCAGAATCAAGTATTTAATGCAGCTGTGTCAGGAACTGAATTTTTCAGAAGCGTTATGTTTCCAAAATTAGAAAATCATCATTTGAACCTGTTATCCAGTTGATGCAGGGTTTAACACAGCAGGGATAAGTCATAGTTTCACTTTAAACTCTTCATAGTGATGCAAAAAGCTAACTTTTCCTCTAAGCCCCCCGCTGCTGCCGCAGCATTAATTCAGCGTGATCTTCTCCTCTTCTCTATGGGCTGCCTGGGATTCAGACAGCTCAGCACTGAATGCTACACAGGCGCCGGTGTCTTCTCTGTGTGTCACACTGCATAAAATCTGGGTTAGCTGGAGTGCAGCACCCAGGGGAGGCGCTTTTCCCTCTCATCCTCTCATGTCTCCCTGCCAAATGGACACGAGGGGGGGTGTAGTCACAGCGGAGTAGTGCAGTGTGTCAGAGCCTGCGGCGAACAAGACACAGGCCTGGCTAGTTTAACCCTTGTTTTCTCTTTCCTTTTTTTGGCAGACAGTTACGGTCATGAATACAGAAACCTCTCTCTCACACACACACAAAGATGACTGGTAGGTTGAGATGGTATTCCCTGTACACACACACAAACATCTCCCCCCTCCCTGTGTCTGTGTGTCATCCCTCTCTTGGCAGATGTGTCTCTCTTGGATCGAGCGCAAACAAATTCCTGTCTTCTCGTTTGTAGGCGACCGGAGCAGCTCAGACACCTGTTGCAGCAAAGGGAGCAGATCATTGAAATGGATGTTTTCACCAAAGCAAGTTCATACGGTACTAACAGGTCTGATATGTAACCAGGAGACAGGCCATTAAGGGCTTTAAAAGTAGTGATAAAAAGCTTTAAATCAATGTTAATAAACAGAATTGACATGATCATGTTTTCTTATTCTAGTTAAGGGCCTGTGTCCACTGAAGGCGTTAAATCCAGTTCAGGTCAGTGATTCCAGCACCCTCAGTGCAGAAATGCCCTCAGGTCAGCCTTTCTTGTTTGTTTGTTTTCTGACAGAACTCTAAGTTTGATATTTTGTAAAATTTTGAACCCCACAGTAGTGACATTATCATGTTGTTTTAATCTAGTTAAGGGCCTGTGTCCACTAAAAGAGTAAACTCCAGTTCAGGTCAGTGATTCCAGCACTCTCAGTGCAGAAATGCTCTCAGGTCAGCTGTATTATAATTTTGTTTTTCTTACAGCACTCTAAGTTTGACATTTTGTAAAATTCTGAACCCCACAGGAGTCACATGATCATGTTTTCTTAATCTAGATAAGGGCCTGTGTCCACTAAAAGTGTAAACTCCAGTTCAGGTCAGTGATTCCAGCACTCTCAGTGCATAAATTCCCTCAGGTCAGCCTTTTTTGTTTGTTTGTTTTCTACAGCACTTCAGAGTTGACATTTTGTAAAATCTTGAACCCCACAGGAGTGACATGATCATGTTTTCTAAATCTAGTTAAGGGCCTGTGTCCACTAAAGTTGTAAAATCCAGTTCAGGCCAGTGATTCCAGCACTCTCAGTGCAAAGATGCCCTCAGATCAGCTTTTTTTTTTATGTCTGTTTGTTTTCTCACAGCAAAACAAACTTTTGACTTTTTTCAAAAATTTTGAACCCCACCTCCAACTGGCCAATCACATTTAAGGAGAGGCGGGCCTTTTGATATTAACAGATGAAACTCCCTCCTGCTTTTTAGAGGGTACAGTTCCAGGTGTAGACCCGCTACTAACGCTTCGACACCATTTCTATCAATTGTTTCTGTTTTATTTCATAAACTTGATCAAATAAAAACAAATATGAAGCACACAGTTATACTAAATCAGACTAAACAGTCACTACCAAGAAAAGAAGCAGTGCAGCAGGACAATATTCATAACCTTACAATCATGCGCACCAGTGAGGAGCTCTCTGGAATTGAACATTAAAAATGCTATCAGTGGACAAAGGCCCTAAAGTAAGGCTCTTATTTATGATGTATCCTCTTTAATGAATTTTTTAATAGTTGCTGCAGATATCAAGACTTTGACATGACCCTCTTCTCTCTAACAAATAAGGTAAGAGGAAGAAACCTTTTAGATTTTTCCTGATAACAGCCTCATTATCTTGTTATCTCAACTGCCCATTTTCTCAAGATAAGATAAACTGAATGAAGGGAGTTTCTAGGCTCCTGGGGAATCCTCAAAGTATTCTGCAGAAGCATTTTGGATGTGTAAAGCAGACTTTTTGGATAGACTGAGTGTGTTTTACTCACTGTACTTTTTCAAGAACTCTACACCTGTTCGATAATACTAGAGCCAACATATTTTTGTGCATGGAGACACATTTTTCTCTGTGAAAGAAACACCTACTCATCTTTTTATTAAGAAACTTTTGAAGCTTTTCAACTAAGTCTCAGTCTTTTGGTTTTCCGTAGAAAAGGCACCGGGAGCTGCAGGTAAGTGGTCCTTTTGTTACTCTTCTCTTTTTTGTAAAAGTATTTTCAGGGTCAGGACCAAAATTTCAGCTCAAGTGAGTGAAATATTTTATCACCAAGGAGCTCATTGTCAAGCATGAGTGAGATGTTCATGTGAATAATAGAGAGGAAGCCCTATTTAAGACAAAATATCTCATGAGACATGAAACAAGGGGGCTGTAGAGGTTGGACATCTTTTTATGGAAGCGGACTTGTATTTCAAGTAGATTTCAGCTGTTTCATGGGATATTCTAAAAATATATATATATTTATCTACCTTATTATTTTGGGAAAATGAGCTTATTTTCTGCCAATAATGTTATAACAATCTGACAAAGTTGAAATCTTATCAAAGCAACTACATTTAGAGAGAGAGATAGTTTATTCAATCAAATACACATACAGGGGGGGATCGAAAAGGAGAAGTAGAAGCTATTTAGCTCATTTATACCTACCCTCATTCCTTCCTATTCGTCGACCCTGTACATGTCTCTCAAATTTTAGAATTTCTGAAGTTGCCAAAAAGTTTCCAAAGCTCCAAAGTTTAACATGAATATGTAACAAAACATTAATACTGAAACAAAGACCTTATATATACATCTATACCTATACATACAAATGTGTATATATATATATATATACCTAGAATACTTCAAAACTCTCATTTTTACCATACCCATATACAACATAATAAATGTGGCAAAATGAATATCACTTACATACGTATTTTTCAATCATACTCTACTTTAATTTACTTTTAAACTGCACTGTTGTTTTGCTTTGTTTAAGTTCATTGGGCAAAGCTGTTCTACAGCTTCACCCCTATAACAGACAGACACATGCTTTTTAGTGTTGTACAAACTAAATTTATCCAGTTATTGCAGGAAAAACTGATAAAAATGTGTTGATGCATGTTTGGATAGTGATTCTGTATAGCATATTTTGGTTAAAATTCCCCCCTCTTGCATGAAATTTCCCTAAAGTTCACCAAGCAAAGTCCTTTTTTTAATTTGTGCCACAATTTCTCTAGTCGGAGCCCTTTCAGCTCTATCCAAGGTTTAAATATGAGCTGCAGACTTGACTTCATGGTCTCAGTGTTAATGTGTTTCAAGTAGATTTCAGCTGTTTTCATGAGATATTGACTCCTTTTTTTCTTTATTACAAGTCAACAACAGCGAAAAAATTTAAATACCTTGTTATCTTGGGAAAACAAGCTTATTTTCTGGCAATAATGGAAAAATTAAGCCTGTTCCTGTGTCTGTTTTGGGCTTTTGCAGCATGGGGATAGGAGGACAAAGTTGAAATCTAAATTAAACTGCAGATAAAAGAGATAAAATTGTGTGGATGCATGTTTGGATAGTGCTTCTGTATTGCATATTCTGGTTAAAATTCCCCCCTCTTGCATGAAATTTCCCCAAAGTTCACCAAGTACAGTCCTTTTTTAAAAAATCTGAATTTGTACCACAATTTCTCCAGTGTATGCATGTTCAAATAGTACTTCTGGGTTTTTTTTGTGCTTTTGCAACATGGGGATAGGAGTTTAACTATCTGACAAAGTTGGAATCTAATCAAAGCAACTAGATTTAACTGGTTATTGCAGATAAAAATGTGTGGAAGCATGTTTGGATAGTGCTTCTGCATTGCATATGTTGGTTAAAATTCCCCCCTTTTGCATGAAATCTCCCCAAAGTTCACCAAGTACAGTCCTTTCTGTGCCACAATTCCTCCAGTCAGAGCCCCTATTCAGCTCTATCTAAGGTTTGAATGTGAGCTGCAAATCAAAATTCCTTTTGTCAAAACAGAAAGTGCCCTGAGCAGCCACTCAGGGCTGGATGGGGATCTCGGGACTCCCATGGCCTTATTGCCATCCAGCTGACACAGAACTGCAGCTTCAGATTTTACAGTAAGCGTGCACAAAAATGCTCGTGTCGGTGTGCAAACCTCGGTTACAGGGGTGAATTTGGCACTTTGAGTTGTTTAATGTGGTGGTTTTAAAAGAGGGGGGTGCAGTTTGAACACTCTGAGTTGTTTTCATCCCCACCACAAGTAGTTAATTTTTAAGCAATACAATCTGATGTAAGTCTGGGCATGGCTGCGGCAGATTTTCCCAACCCCCCTCTCTCACTCCCTCCCCAGCACTCATACACACACATAAAAACACATGCACATGCACGCACGCACACACACACACACATCCCTGCTGCTCCAAAATACTTTTTATACGACGGTGGGGGCTCCGGAGAATCTAAGGTGGCCATATTTGATAGATTTGTGTCGGGCTCTGCAATGCAGAAAGCGAGAGTTGTCGCGTGTGATCTTGCAAGTGACAGTGACACCAGGCAAGTCTGTCGGATTCGTGACTGATCCGGACTTGGAGAGAGAGGGGGGGGGAGAAAGAGAGGGAGCTAAAAAAGAGAGGAAGAGAGAGAGAGGGAGAGAGAGAGAGGGAGAAAGAGGGAGGGAGGGGGGCAGACAGAAAAGAAACAAACAACTAACAATGTAACTTACATGCAGCCACACACCCCTTTTTTCTTGTAACAATGTGTACGTTTTTAAGGAGGGAGGGGGCGCGCAGAGGGAGAAAGAGAGACGGAGAGAGATAGAGAAAGGAGGAGGGGGGTGCGTTCTGAAATAATATAGTCAGCCATTTTTTATGTAAGGGGATTTTTTCTTATTGGGGGGGTTGTTAAAAAATAAATATAAGAGGGCGGCCATCTTTGTTGCTCTGCCTAGTGTAAAATATTTCAAAACGCCCCCCACTTTTTTCCTGTGCCGATTTGAATATTAAATAAATATCACACATTCGAGCAAGAATACGCTTTTTGCATACAAGGACGGCGCCAATGACAGGAATATAATGTCCTCTCCTCTCCGGTCCTGTGAGGAAGACGAGGGCATGGTGGTTAATTCCGAGGGAGGAGATTTTGATGAAGAAGACGACGACGGAGACCTAGACGAGAACGCAAGCGACATAAACTCGCCGGCGGCGCCACGGGAAACTGCAACACCAGCCGCGCCAGGTACAGTAAAAGGAAAAAGCTGGCGGACAGGTCGGGACGGGAGCGCGCACACGGAGAGATAAAAAAACCCCACGCTAAAAAATGTTGAGAAATGGCTTGTTAGAAGTAGCCGCAGTTTGTGTGTGTGTGTGCCATGTCTTGCTCCTTGCGCGTACAGTAGACAGCAGCAGAGTCGGGTGTGCGTAAAAGAGAGAAACACACTTAATAGTCGAGATTTGGAGCGAGGAGGCAAGTGTTAAAACCCGCTACTTCACCCCGTTATTCCTCCTTTTTTATGCTGTCATTGCTGCAAAACAGACGAGCGCGCTCTTTCAAAACACTCAACGGAGCAACAAAAAACACCCCAAAAAAGCCAAAAATGTGTCTCATTTCTGCTGCTCCACTTCCTCTTCACCTCCTGCACATCCCAACAAAGTTTACACCAACTCTCTTTGTTGTTGTTGTTGTCCCCCCACCACCATCAAAAAGTTGTCCCTTAAATCCCTTTTGACAGCTCCAAGACATGTCATGACATGTAAATGAGCTCGGTCTGCGGGGTAATAAGGTCGCCCTGAAGGGTACAAAGCTCACGGCTGGCATAGAAGAAGAAGAAAAAACATGGACTCCGCTCACTGGCCGGAGGCTACATTTATCTGGTACCCATCATGGGAGGGGATGATGCTGTTTTGCTGTGCAGACATGAAAGCTGGTGTGAAATTGACGGAAAAGTTGCCCCCTCCCCGCTACCCCTCATTGTCTCCATGTCAGGTCAAAATAGGACACTACTACTGCTGCATGCTGCTCACTTTCAGGGCCAGGAAGGTGTGACTATTCAGCACCTTTTTTTTTTTTTTTTTTTAGCTGAGCATATTAATAGACACACACACTATGCAAAGCAAACAACTGTTCCTGCTGCAGTATTGATTTTGTATGAATATGATTGACTGGATTCTGTCATTCTGGAAGTTTCTGGTGCAGAAAGTAGATCCAGCTACGATAGAAGTTACACTTAATTTTCAATAACTTGTAATAATGTGGTTTACATGCATTGCAGTGGTGGTAGAAACTCGTAAAAGCCCCCCTGCGTGATAAAAATAAGAGATATTGCGTGAATACAGTGGAGTGTGTGTTGTTTTCTGCATGAATAATACAGTTATCATCCATTGTCTGTGGGCTTAATTAGCTGTACTCCGGACCCGCCGCCATGCCGGTGCCAGACAGATAGATTACACTCCGGCTTAATTCACAGGAGAACCTTTTATTTAACCCCCTGACGACCCCCAGCTTCTGTGGTGGTCGGGGGTCCCGGTGTGGGAACAGCTCAGCGGCAGATAAAGTCGTTCCAGTTCACCGCACCGTCCCGCTAATCTGGCGGCCTCTGAATCACCGAGCCCTGCGTGCCTGCTGCCGCCGCCCCCGGCGTGTGTTCGGCGGCTGCGCGCTGTACAGACGCGCGGGAAAGCGGGGTTGTTTTACTGGACGGGGGTGGGCGCAAAGAGGAGGTGGAGAGGGGGGGAAGAGGAGGTGGTGGTGGGGGGCTTTTGCTGCTCCTACTGCTGCTGCTGGTGGTGGTGGGTTAGCGCTCAACAACAAAGGCAGGCAGACAATAAAAAGGGAGAAATTGCAGCCTCTCAAACAGACTGGTTGCATGGCGGAAACCGCAGCCCATATTTCAGTTATGCTTTAATGCTCTGCTGCAGTTTGCACTTTGAAGCAGAGAGCTGCTGCTGAATCTCTTTAATACTCCAAAGCCAGGTCAGGTTACGGGTTAAATTGCTTTTCTTGTGGTTGTGATATTGCACAGGTACCGTGGGGAATAACTGACCTGGTATTTTCACATCATCTTCTCCCTGCAAGCAGAGGTAGTCATTTATTTTGGACACACTGTGCTTGAGTGTTTACAGCAAAGACTGTATTTACTAAGGACAACTTGTTTCTGCCTTCGGCCAGTATACGGATTTGAAGCCAAAAAGCTCTCGGTAATTCCTCATTTTTTCTCCATTTCCTGAAAGTAACATTGCGCAGTAGCATTGTGCGCATTCGGCGGGAGGGTCGCCGAAAGTCGCTGTGAGCTAGCAATCTTTGTACGCCCGTAAGCTGTGTCAAGTGTCAATCATAGAAGACACGAAACCCTCATAACTTTTAAAAATTGAGCTGTACAGAAAAAAGAGGAATTGAGCACAAACCAGTCTTATGGATAACAAAAAAAAAGCCACAACGGAAGTTAACGACGCAAGAAAAAAGTGCGATGCAAAAAAAGAAAAAAAGTTACTTATTGTGAAAATAAGCCACAATGGAAGTGAGCTGCCGGGGACAACTAACGATGATGCACCGGTGTTTTATGATGTATTGTTTAATTTCGCTTCGTAAACTTTTCAACGTGTCATTTGGTTAGGCTATGTTGCGCCTATGCCGATTAGCTAACACTGCACCAGCATCCTCCAGTTCAACTTCATATTTACTCAGGCGCTACATGGTCTAACCAAATGACACATTTAAAAGTTTACAAAGCGAAATTAAACAAAAACATTTCCACTTACTTCTTCACTTCTTGCTGTCGTCTTCTGTGCCTAGATTGTAAAACACCGGTGCATCATCATTATTGGTCCCCAGCAGCTCACTTCCGATGTGGCTATTTTTTTATTTGCATCTTTTTATTTTCGCAGTAAGTAACTTTTTTTTTCCATTGCCACTTTTTTTGCGTCGTTAACTTCCGTTGTGGCTATTTTTATTTTTTAAACTACATCATTTCTTCTTTATTCGCAGCGGGCTTCGGTTTCTTTCCTTTGCGTCAGTAACTTCCGTTGTGACCTCTTTTTTTTTTGCATTCTTTTTTATTTGCATCAGTGGCGGTTCTCAGCCGCCATAATATAAAACAAGAGTAGAGGCTTAAACTCTTTGTATTTCTACTTGTTGTATTTCCTTAAATCAAAATCCAGACCTTTTAATTCTGCCTTTACTTGTGAGGATTTATGGGAATTTTTTTCAGGCTAAATCAGCGGATGATCACCCCCTGAGTAACTGGTCACACTTTTCCCCACCACTATAAACCAATTATCTCCATCCGATGGGAAACCAGCTGTCAAATCTACTTATACCCCTCTGACAAACTGTATCTAATTTACCATGTGTCTCAATTCAGAGGAGGTCAGAGGTCGCCGACGCCGCCGTGGCTATCACGCAGCTTTTGTTGTGTGTAATTAGGTTCAGCGGGGATTATCGCAGGGTGTTGGGAAGCGTTTGAAAAGATAATCGCTCATCTGATCTTTCTTCCTTGCTTTCTTCTCTGCTTTTTCCCCCCTTTCTCTCCCAGACGAAGAGCAGGAGTTATCAGACAGAGAGGTCCCGATCAGGAAGAAAGGGCGACCGAAGAAGAAAAAGGACACAAAGAAGAAAGAAAAAGAAGGGAAACCAGTCAAAGCAAAAAAACGCAAGAAGATTGTAAGCTCGAGAAGCCGTCATGCCTCGGCTTTTCTGATATTAATACTTCATTATTTTCAAGTGTCTCTCTTTTGTCTTATCTCCAGGACAGTGATGTTGAGAGGGACTCAGACAGAGAAAGAGACTTTGGCGAGAACTCAGACAGTGTAGCCAGCGACTATGGCTCTGGGGAGAAAAAGAAGAAGAAGAAGCATAAAGAGAGGAAGGAGAAGAAAACCAAGAAGAAAAAAAAAGGTGACGATGGGGACCGAGACAGCAGTCAGGAGGAAACAACAAAGGTACAAGCATGTGAATCAAAGTTGATGAGTTGAGTGTGGTCTGATCTGTTATCTCTCAGCACTGATTGGTGGTTTCCTCACAGCAACCGATAGAGCAGAAGACTTCGGCCCAGCTGGCGAAGGAGTGGGGTTTGGAGGATGTTGATCATACCTTCACAGAGGAGGACTACAGGGAACTCACCAACTACAAAGCCTTCAGCCAGTTCATGAGGTACGAGATGTGAGAGAAAGAGAGGAGAGCAGGGAGAGGAGGAGCAGGAGGAGGAAGGTGTGTGTGTCTGAAAAGCCAAGGGACGAGAGAGAGAGGCTGTAGAGATGCATGTACGCTTACAAGCCAGTAATAGGCCTGGGCGATTTGGCAAAAAAATAATCACGATATATTTTTTCATATCATCAAATCTTGATTATTATCACGATTTGCTTTGAAACCGATAGTTTTAAAGCATCTGTACTAAAAAATGAAAAAACTAGAGATTAGTTCAACATTTTATTAAACAGATCTGTTGTGTTGCCAGTTTTAGAGGGCACCGACCGCCGACATACCTTAAACATCGGCGTAATTTCTCAACGTCACTTTGGAGACATCTGAACAGCCACACAACCGACATTAAATAATTTTCGTTCTTAACAATAACATCTTTAGAGGATGATTCACAGTTATCGCTGACATCTATTTTGCTGCCCTCAGCTCCTCGTTTAGCTCCACATTCTGTCATTACCTCCGCCAAGCAGGTTATGTTTTCAGTAGCGTTGGTTTGTTTGTTTGTTTGTCTGTTAGGAACTTTACAGAGAAAGTAACAGACGGATTGACCTGAAATTTTCACCAGAGGTGCGTCTCAGCCCCAGGAGGATCCCATTACATTTTGGTGGTGATCCGGATCGCCCTCTGGATCCAGGAATTTTTTTGAAGGATTCTTTATCATTGTGAGATAGGGCAAATTTTGGAATTTTTGCATTTAACTCTGTAAAAATGGCCAGAGACTTAAGTAAAAAATTACACAAAAGGATCTCAATGAGTTTTATGAGGTGTCAAAGGTTGATCCTGATCCAGACAAAATTCTGGATACTGTGAGCTGCTTGGTGGAGGTCTGCGTTCTCCGAGTGCTTTTCTAGTTCTGTTTACTTCTCCGACAACTTACAGAAGTGAGCAGGATCGACTCTGATTGGCTGTTGTGACGCACATTTCCGCCATGTTCGAACTGAAATTTATCACGATCATTTAATCGCCCAGTCCTAAAGTGAAAGATACCATTCTGAATCATAATAAGATACAAGCGAATTAAGGATTCAACATTAAACTGCCACAGAATATTTAAAAAAACAAATATTCGTCGGTCTCAACTTCCTCCAACAATCCAACAACAAATCCCACAGATACAGGTGTCGCTGCTTGTTTTCGTCGTCCTCCAGCAGCTGCATCTTTATCACTGCAGCTGGTTGCTGTTTTCTGACAGCAGTGCTGTCAGTGGCAGCCTGAGCCTTGGCCTGTGTCTGACTCATACCCGCTTTGACTCTGATAACATTAAGTAATCCATAATGTCTGCTGCATGTTGATGTCGGGAAGTAATTGTCTGTTTCCGCTCCACTGGCAGACGGAGCTGTAATGGATAAAAATTATCTCTCCTCAGCTATACTGCGGATTATTCTAACTATTCCTCTGACTAACAAGCAGAAGTATAAAAGAGTGTTTAGTCCGAACTCGTAGATATTCAGATTTGTGTTTGTTGTTAATGTCTTTTTATTGCTCAGGCCGATGATAGCCAAGAAGAATCCCAAGATCCCCATGTCCAAGATGATGACCATCCTGGGAGCCAAGTGGAGGGAGTTCAGCTCCAACAACCCCTTCAAAGGCAACGCTGCTGCCGTCGCTGCCGCCGCCGCAGCTGCTGCTATCGCTGTCGCTGAGCAGGTCTCCGCAGCGACTGCTTCCCCCGAGCCGCCGCCTCAGCCGCCACCAATCAGAAAGGCGAAGACGAAAGAGGGCAAAGGTCAGCAGTCCTCTATCCTTCTTATAAAATCTGACCCTTGAGTTTTAAAGGAGCATAAACAACAATCCCCAACACAAGCTAATGCCTTATTAACAGTTTTGATAGGGTGTACAAGCCATAAGGATACAAAGTAATACAAAATTTACGGCTGTAAGACACTGTAAAAAAGGGCTGAAACAGAAATTTATGCCTTATTATGGTAGACCTTAAGTAACAAGTTTGATGATTTTCACATCCTGATTTTTAATGCCATGCACAAGGGGGTCAGTGTCAGAAAAGACTGCGTTCTCCACAAAATAGTCGCAAATGAAAGTTCTTTACAGGAGCTTTAAATTTCTATTGATAAACAAGTAAAGTCAAAAATAACTGAGATGTTTAAAAGTGGGCCGTTCCTGACAAAAACTGTTTTTGTCTTTGTGATGGTTGAAGTTGTCTGGAGGAAAATAAATCAGTTAAGTATTTCTTTGAAAAGTACTTGAGCGTTTATGAGGAGCACTTTAGTGAGGAGTTCTGTCAGTGTAAAAAAATGTAAAAAAGCTAAAAATCTTGGGATATTAAGAATATAAATAATTGATGTTATAATATTTCAGACCTATTTAAATCAGGTCTTTTTTTGTCCCGGCTTGAAAAAAGTTTTTAGAAATCTTGGTTTGAGTTTAATTCGTGAGCAGAAACCCTGAAGGTAGTGATGGGCACGGTAGTTCTTTTAGTCGTACTGAATCACTAAAATCAGTTCACTAAAAAGATTCGTTCAAAAGATTCGTTCACCAAATCACTGAATCATGTAGCGCAGATCTGTAACAGATTTGTAAAAATGAACTTGTTTATAAGTCGTGATGTTTTAAGTGTGCTGTCCTATAGTGTGCTATTTATCAGGTCTGCTCGGTAAATTGGGCTCAGTGAGTGATTCGTTCGCTGAACGTTTAGAAGAATTCACACTGAACATGTACTGTTCCCTTGCAAACCGCTGCAATGATATGATGCTGCAGGTTTAATGCACTACTTGTTACATGCTGTGAACTATTACATGCAAGTTTTTGTGGTGGCAATTTAGCGGTAAAAAAAAAAAAAAGAAAGGTAGTTTTGTCCAACTAAAATGACTCCAGAGAGTGTAGTTCAATGCGTGATTCGTTCACCAAGTGAACCAGGTGTCGGTGCATGCGGTCCCTCGTTCGCCGGCTGCTCAACTGACAATGCAGTTTCTGACTTCAGCTCAACTGAAGTGAGAGACGAACGAATCACTCGAGGAAGTGATTTGGTTCAGTGCGTTCACTTAAAAGATTCGGTTCTTTTGAACGAATCGTTTGCGAACGACACAACACTACCTGAAGGTGACTTAAAAAAATTTAGTAGGCTAAAAATCGTGTTGTTCTTTTATTTATATACTGCCAAGAGTACATGTCAATATTTCATCTTACCTTATCTAAGGCCACACTGGAAGCATTTATGATAATTTTTCTGTTTGGACTTTTTTAAAATCAGTTCTTTAATACTTAAACAGCAAGTCTCGGATTTTTATTATTAAAAGATACACATTTAAGATGTCATTTTAGATAACTTTACATTTCTACTAGACCTGCATTGAGAAGTTTTGCTGATTTTTAAGGCTAATATTTGTGTGTTATCTACTGGTGTACTTACTCATACCCATCCTTTCATTTAAAGCCACACATCCACACCAGAGGGGCTGTAATCACAAACATCTACTCTCCTTTTGTTTACTTCTGTGTTTAATGTTGCTCATCCAATCCTAACCTGTCCAGGTCCCGGCTATAAGAAGCGCAGTAAAAGTCCTCGAGTCCCTGACAAGAAAAAGGCTTTGGCCAAGGCTAAAAAGATGGCCCCCATCCGGATCAAACTGTCGCCTATAGGAGCCAAGAGGAAGAAGAGCTGCTCCGTGAGTACAAATCTGCCAGCTTCCTCTTTTTTCTTTCCTCTTTCTCTTACCTGTCCACCTCTTTTTTTTTCTCTTTATTTTCTTTGTTCATGTCTTCGCCTTTGTTTTGTTGCCTGTTAGAGCGAGGATATGGACGAAGATGAATCGGAGCAGGAGGACTCCAGCGTTCACAGCTCCTCGGTTCGATCTGACAGCTCGGGACGGGTGAAGAAGAATAAAAGAGGACGGCCAGCTAAGAAGAAAAAGAAAAGTAAGTGCGTTTCATCACGTCCACGTTTATATCTTCTGTGCAAAGTTTATTTCACCTTTAAAATGCGTTTCTTTTTTATACATTTCAGACGTTTCTGTCTCGCTCCCTCCAGTCCCAGGCGAAGAGGAGGGAGACGGCTACGAGACAGATCATCAGGACTACTGCGAGGTGTGTCAGCAGGGCGGAGAAATCATCCTGTGCGACACTTGTCCCCGAGCGTACCACCTCGTCTGCCTCGAGCCCGAGCTGGATAAAGCCCCCGAGGGCAAGTGGAGCTGTCCGCACTGCGTGAGTCCCGCCAACCACACACACCTAGGCCTGGTTCTGCTTTCTATGTACGACCCGATTCGCATATTTATCTCAACGTCTGCTGGAGTGAAACCAGAGTTAAAAACAGTTGAAAGCGTTTCGTGTTTACTTTGCTCGGAGCAGCAGGATGAAATGCGGCTTTGTAGCTGCATCACAAATCTCTGCGGAGAGCGAGTCGCACTCAGACAAACACGGCACAAAGACGGATACCTGAAGGGCCGCTGTGGGTGTAGATCTATTCAGTAATAAAAAGCCAGAGCTCATTTTATGTTTCCACGACACGCTGCTTTGTCTTTATGCTGAAACAAGTGAGATCAGTCAGCTGCTTCAGCACTTCCAGGAAAAGGTGGTTTATCGCAGCTTCCAGTTTATCCTGATGGCATTAAGTTTTATTCGTTGAAAAAGTGAGCTCTAAAAACTGGGACAGGGTGCGTTGGGTTCTTGCGGAGTCAGCTGATGCACTTTGACCTGCCTGAACTAGCTCTATGTTATTGAAATGTTTCTCTATCAGGAAAAGGAGGGGATCCAGTGGGAAGCGAAGGATGAGGACTTTGAGGATTTCGAGGAGGACAGCGAGGACAGAGTGATATCAGAGGTCTGCGCGGGACTCACCGGCGGCGCGGGGGCGGAGGAGGAGGATGACGACCACATGGAGTTCTGTCGGGTGTGTAAAGACGGAGGGGAGCTGCTGTGCTGCGACACCTGCACCTCCTCGTACCACATCCACTGTCTCAACCCGCCGCTGCCCGAGATCCCCAACGGAGAGTGGCTGTGTCCACGATGCACAGTGAGCCACTTCGTTTTTTACTTCCGTCTTCTTCATCGGGAAGAATTACAATAAACAAGTTTGTGTTTTTCCTTCTTAGTGTCCGCCAATCAAAGGTCGAGTCCAGAAGATCCTTCACTGGCGATGGGGAGAGCCTCCACCCCCTATACCTGTCCCCCCTGCCCCTGACGCCCCTCCTGATGCCCCTCCACCTCCTCCGATGAAGGGCAGAGCCGAGAGAGAGTTCTTCGTCAAGTTAGCCGGGCAGTCGTACTGGCACTGCACCTGGATCACTGAGCTGCAGGTACGAAAAATCCTCAATGATTATGATGATCGAGATGGAAATTTGAGGAGGAGGTCAAACTCTTCTCCTTTCCTTCTCTTCAGCTGGAGATCTTCCACTCGGTGATGTACAGAAACTACCAGAGGAAGACGGACATGGACGAGCCGCCCAGCCTGGACTACGGCTCGGGCAATGAGGACGAGAACGTGGTGGGGAAGAGCGAGAAGAGGAGGGCGAAGGACCCCCAGTACGCCATCTTGGAGGACAAGTACTACAGATACGGCATTAAGCCTGAGTGGATGATGATCCACCGAATCATCAACCATAGGTGGGTCTGTTTTTGTTCTGTTGAGGTGTATCATGATTATTTTGATCAGCATTGATTTCTCTGTTAGCTTACTGTTTGTTTCTTTCACCAGTGTGGATAAGAAGGGAACGTACCACTACCTGGTGAAGTGGAGAGACCTGACCTATGACCAGTGCACCTGGGAGAGAGATGACATGGACATCCCCGACTTTGGGATCTACAAGAGCAACTACTGGAGGCACAGGTTGGGAAAACGCAAAACAAACGCCATCAAGATAACAGAGAAGCTGTTTTTAAAAGCCCATATTCACTGATAACTTTCTGCTCAACAGAGACACAATAATGAAGGAGGACCCGGACAAACCGAGGAAGATAAGGAGCAAGAACCTGGACGGAGAAGAGGAGGAGGAGTCGCCTGCGTCACCCGTCACAGACGTGAGTTTAAATCAAACAGACAACTCACACAGGAAGTCAGACTACAGACTACTGCGATCTTAATTAAGAGTAGTTAGTCCTTGTTAAGTGTGTGAAATCTTTCCTCTGTGTTCCTTCTTTTTGTCCTCCCAGCCAACGATAAAATACGAGGAGCAGCCGGACTTTGTCACCTCCACGGGTGGGACGCTGCACCTGTATCAGCTGGAAGGTCTGAACTGGCTCCGCTTCTCCTGGGCTCAGGGTACCGACACCATCCTGGCAGATGAGATGGGCCTCGGCAAGACCATCCAGACCATCGTCTTCCTGTACTCGCTCTTCAAGGAGGTACCGGAGCTTCTTATTATTCGTCTTGTTCAGGCTCCTCCATGAAGGTCGATGCTGACGGGTTTGTGTGAATCTTTAGGGTCACACCAAGGGTCCGTTCCTGGTCAGCGCTCCGCTCTCCACCATCATCAACTGGGAGAGGGAGTTCGAGATGTGGGCACCGGACTTCTACGTGGTGACGTACACGGGCGACAAGGACAGCCGAGCTATCATCCGAGAGAACGAGTTCTCCTTCGACGACACCGCCGTCAAAGGAGGGAAGAAAGCCTTCAAACTGAGAGTGAGGGACCGGAAGTGCGCTATGAAAGGCTGAAGGATATTTAATGCTGCGTTCAAGTTACTTTGGAAGTCAGATGTCCGAGCTGGGAAGGACGTCACACCCGAGTAACCAGCACCAAGTTGGAAAAAAACGTAATCGGGAGGCGGAAACAAGATGGCTACATCTATGAAAGTTATTTTAGCGCTTGCCTTGTCCTTGCTTATATTTGGACAAGGCTAGCAACAAAATAACTTTCGTAACTGAAACGCTTGTAACTCGGGTGTGACGTCATTCCCAGCTCTGACTTCTGACTTCCGAGGTAACTCGAACGCATAAGTAAAGAATAAATGACAACATCTAAGTGAAGAACATAGAGTCGCAGGTCTTAAACTTAATCTTTGTTTTGCGGAGTACCTCAGGGGTCAATCCTTGGTCCACTGCTTTTTCTATTTTTAATTTTACCTTTAAATCATTGAACCCAAAAGTTATATTTATACCTTTTTTATCTTTATTCTTAAAATATGTTCAGTTTCTGTTTTTAAACTTTTTGTTAGAAAAGCGATCCGAAATTAGAGTTTCTAAAAGTTGAACATGAATACTTTGATTTACTGATGCTATAATCTGACCTGCATTAGTTCAGATTCTCAGTAATATGCAGTGATACTCAGAAGGCTTGAAGCAACATGCAGGAGAAAACCAGAGTATTGTGATCACTTTTTTTAGTGCATTTGACGAATTTAAACTCGCCAACACAAACATTATATTGTATAAAAATGACAAAAACTTAAAATAATCTCTAAAAATGATGGGAACTAATCTTCTTTCCCTCTTTGTTCCTCTCTTCCCGTCATGCAGAGAGAGGCTCCAATCAAATTCCACGTGCTGCTGACCTCCTACGAGTTAGTGACCATCGATCAAACAGCACTCAAGTCCATTGACTGGGCCTGTCTGGTGGTGGACGAGGCTCACCGCCTGAAGAACAACCAGTCCAAGGTACTGTAATCTGACAGTGTGGGTAAACTCTCATTAGATGTGACTTATTTGTATGTTTCTATGTGTCTTATTAAGGGAGTGTGAAAAAGATGTGAACTGGAACTGAAAAGTTGACTCATCGGCTCCCTCTGGTGGACAGACTGTTTAATGACAGCTCCATTTCTAATGAAACTGTTGTGTTAAATATTTGAGAGCTGAAGTTAGTTTTCTTGATTCAGTGCAACATAGTTTACCTAAAAGTCTTTTAAAACACAGGACTTTAATTAAGTTTAAGTACTTTAAATCTCTTTATTCACATAACAATTTTTTCGAACTGTTTTCTTGTTTTTGCAGTTTTTCAGACGCCTGAACGATTATAAGATCGACCACAAGTTGCTGCTGACGGGAACTCCTCTGCAGAACAACCTGGAGGAGCTTTTCCACCTGCTCAACTTCCTCACACCCAACCGCTTCAAGTAAACTCACACTCACACGCAGACTCACACATGTACGGCGTTTAATTCCTTCAATTATCAATCTAAGTCTTTTTTTTTTTGCCCCCTGCGTCTCTCTCTGCGCAGTAACCTTGAAGGCTTCCTGGAAGAGTTCGCCGACATCTCCAAGGAGGACCAGATCAAGAAGCTGCACGACCTGCTGGGGCCTCACATGCTGCGGAGGCTGAAGGCCGACGTGTTCAAAAACATGCCGGCTAAGACCGAGCTGATCGTCAGAGTGGAGCTGAGTCCCATGCAAAAGTAAGAGAAAGGTTTCTACGCAAGTATGGAAAGTATTTCAAGGTCTTAAAAAAGTACGGAAAATGAAAAATAAAGTATAGAAAAATGTTTATGTTTCCAGACTATTACCACAGTTCTAAAATACTGTTTTCTAAAATAGAAAAGTAGGTATTTCCAAAAAGTAGGGTATGGAAAAGTATGAAAGTTCCAACTGTGTTGGAGCCCTGACAGAGGAAATGTGGAGAAACATGGTGATAAAATGTTGTTCAGCTACTTTATTTACCATTAAATCTTCCTAGTGAGACCGAGATCTGAGTTTAAAGTCAAAGCCTCTAGTGAGACGTAAAAATAATGCTGGTTTAACATTAATCACATGTAAAAACTGGGCTTTACACCAGAAGACAAAAGTTAGAGTCATAATTGTAAAAATTTAGCAGCTGATTGTAGCTAAAAATCTCTCTGTATCAAAAGAAAAATAAGAAATAATAGCAAGGAGTGTCAAAAACATAAGAAACCATAGCTCAAAGTACTAAATTAATAAGAAAAATGAGCAAAAAAGTAAATAATTCAGAAGATATATCAGCAAAAATGTACACGATAAATGAGAACTATGAGCAAAAACTACACATTAAAGAAGAAATGTTAGCAAAAAGTACAAAATGAACAAGAAATATGATTTAAAAAGTATCAAACAAATGAGGACTATGAGCAAAAAGAGCATTTGGAATAAGAAATATTAGCAAAAGTAGGAAATGAATGACAGGATTACATGCTCAAAGTGCATAATTTGGCTGAAATGTTTGCAGAAAAGACCGAAACTATAAAAATAGATACAGTGCTCTTCAGGATGTTTGATATTTTCACAGTGGCGGATGGAGAGAGAGATTAAAAGGAAGGAAGTTGATTTCTTTCTTTTTGTTTTTGTGTTTTTAAACAGGAAATACTACAAACTGATCCTGACTAAGAACTTTGAGGCCCTGAACTCGAAAGGTGGAGGAAACCAGGTCTCCCTGCTCAACATCATGATGGACCTGAAGAAGTGCTGCAACCACCCCTACCTCTTCCCCGTCGCCTCCATGGTCAGTTCAGTTGTGAGGATGTGTCTGCGCTCCATTATTTTATTTTCCATCGTTATAGATCGAAAAGCTTTTGGTTACTTACATTCACTGTTCTGTTTTTGAAATATTAAAACAAACTCAACCTAAAACCTATTACCTAATCTGTTTCAGATGCTCTTTAGTTTAACAGAAAGTACAAGTTCTCTATTATTTCTTCAACCTGCAGAACAGTGACCTCTTGTGGTGACTTCTTGTAGTGATAAGGAATCTCATTTATGCTTTTGATACCTGAAAAATGCTTAAAATAAAAGGTTAAGATGTGAAAAGTCTCTATGAAATGCTTTTTTATGTTACTATAGGAAGCACAGAAAACCCCCAGCGGTGCGTACGAAGGTTCAGCGCTCACAAAGGCTTCTGGGAAACTGACGCTGTTGCAGAAGATGTTGAGGAAATTGAAAGAGCAGGGCCACCGTGTGCTGGTCTTCTCACAGGTACGAGCACACACACACAGACACACACACACACACGCTAGATTCGCTCTCCTCTCCACAGATGGTGAGTTATCCCCACCGCAGTGCCGACTCCAGCTGTTTCTCCAGATGAAAACACGCTCACGCAGCCAGCTGTCGCTCTCTCCCTCCTCCTGTTTACAGATGACGAAAATGTTGGACCTGCTCGAAGATTTCTTGGACTATGAAGGTTACAAGTACGAAAGGATCGATGGCGGCATCACGGGAGCGCTGAGACAGGAGGCCATCGACCGCTTCAATGGTGAGACGCTGAATCAGGACTTTAAATGCTGCTTCATTTTTATCAGCTGATCAAAAACATGATAATTTTTTGAGTAAAAGTGAGATATTTCAAATCCTCTAAAAGATTTAAGAATCATTTTTTAAAAAGTACACAGACATAATTATGACAGGGAAAATAAAAACTGTCTTCTAAAAAGATGGATGACCCGACAGCTCCCTAAAAGTGAAGCCAAAAGAAGTAAAGCACTCCCTACTGATTTCATTTTCCCTCTCCATGTTGACAGATGGGACATGGGTTCAACTTACGAATTAAAAAACACGACAAATTAATTTTCATTAAACATGTTTTTGTCACCACAGCTGTTTTTTTTGACGATGAAAAAGTGAGCGATTGACTCAGCGGACAGTAATACCATGTAGCTAATTGGTTAAAAGTCACCAGGATGGGTGAGATCAAGACAAATTCCGACTATTCCTCCTATGTACAATGTATGTTAATGTGTTAAAACTCAATAAAAATTGTTAAACAAACAAAAAAAAGTTCTCACTCTGTAGTGGAACTCACCGCATCAGCACAAAATAAGGTGTCATGAGTAGCATCCTCTCATAAATTATTAAAAATATAATAACTCTGGATGTGTGCCTCGTCTCTTTCAGCTCCTGGTGCGTGTCAGTTCTGTTTCCTGCTCTCCACCAGAGCCGGAGGTTTGGGCATCAACTTGGCAACAGCGGACACCGTCGTCATCTTCGACTCGGACTGGAACCCTCACAACGACATACAGGTACCACAGACTGGTCGCTAATGTGAAAGAGCATGACTCGATGTGACCTGAACTCAATCTCCTTCTTCTTCTTCTTCTCTTTTCTCAGGCGTTCAGTCGAGCCCACAGAATCGGGCAAGCCAACAAAGTGATGATCTACCGCTTTGTGACCCGAGCCAGCGTGGAGGAGAGGATCACACAGGTGGCGAAGAGGAAGATGATGCTGACACACCTGGTGGTCCGGCCAGGCCTGGGATCCAAGGCCGGCTCTATGACCAAACAGGAGCTGGACGACATCCTGAAGTTTGGGACGGAGGAGCTCTTCAAGGATGAAGGAGAAGGTGAAGACGAGATGATTCAGATGTGTGAGGTTCGTTTTGAAGAATCAGAGAAATTAATTCAAATCTTAATGTTGAAGGCATGAAGAACAACTCCGGGGACAAAGCCGAGGACGAGGGCAACGTGATCCACTATGACAACGTGGCCATCGAGAGGCTGCTGGACCGAAGCCAGGACGCCACGGAGGACACCGACGTCCAGAACATGAACGAATACCTCAGCTCCTTCAAAGTGGCTCAGTACATGGTCCGAGAGGAGGACAAGGTGAGGGTGGATTTCAGGCCAATATCACGGAGGGCAGCAGACATCTAAGATCTTCACTTCTTCCGTTGAATCGAAAAAATAAACCTCTTTCTTTGATCGCTTCGGTCAGGAATGTCATTGGCTCGTGATGAAAATATAGAATTCATGGGAATAGGAAGCGTGCTCGTTTTTATTTGTCGTACATTTGTAGTCCGAGAATTGTTGACTTTTCCGTTTCAAGAACTCTTTGGACTCAATCCCATTTAACATTTTTACCCATGCCCTTCATTTGTGAGTGCCCCTCTGCTCTTTGGCACCGAGTTCAAAGGGACAGCGGCGAAATATGTCCCCACAAATCAGGACAAGACCCGCTATCTATGCATGCTATCTATTTACACCAAGATATCAACATACTTCCGTTTTTTTAAGGCTTGAACTAATCAGCGTTTACATTTCCGTTTCCGCAGATCGAAGAGATCGAGCGCGAGATCATCAAACAGGAGGAGAACGTGGATCCGGATTACTGGGAGAAGCTGCTGCGGCATCACTACGAGCAGCAGCAGGAGGACCTGGCCAGCAAACTGGGCAAAGGGAAGAGGAACCGCAAACCGGTCAACTACAACGACGCCGCACAAGAGGACCAAGGTAGGAACCGGGTCTTGATCCGGCACTGTGTGGACATCTTTGTCTCGAAAGCTCCGGTAAGCTGAGAAAACTGCTTCAAGCTGTTTTATATCAATTACACTTCGGTATTAAGATCATGTTGGCTGTGCGAGATCTCTCCGGGATGCCCTGGATTTCTCGAGATTTATTATGACTCCTGTAATCTCGGTAGAGGAAGGACTTTGGATGATTTTCTTTGTTTGAGTTATTGCTTGCACAGTGGACGTGAATGGGCCTGGCCTATTGACAGACCACCATGTGCTGTTTCAGAGTGGCATGCTGACATTTCAGATAACCAGTCCGAGTATTCAGTGGGCTCTGAGGAGGAGGACGAGGACTTTGACGATCGGCCAGAAGGTAAGACGATTAAGAAAAAAGGAGAAAAGACACGAATGAAAGTTATAAAAAAACAAAAAAGAAAAGTGCCTGTTGTAGCACACACGCAGGGGAAGGTCTGTGTTGAATTACAGGTCGAAATTGATTTAGTTTTTACAGTTGCCTGGCAGAGACAAAGACTGAGTGAGTTAGATTGTCAGAAATGCAGAACACCATCCACGTCTTCCTCTGCGCTCCAAAAAACCTCGGAAAAATGCTAGAAGCAACTTTTACTGGTTGACAAACTTATTATTCACTTCTAACTACGAGTTTCAAGAAAGTCAGCAAAATTTAGTCACACACGCTTAAGTCCATCTGTGTGTTTTTTTTCAGGTCGAAGGCAGTCCCGTCGCCAGTTGAGGAATGAGAAGGACAAACCTCTGCCTCCTCTCCTGGCCAGAGTTGGCGGGAATCTGGAGGTTTGTACAACTTGCTGGAACCAAGCCCGCTTCATTATTCTTCAGAATCTTTTATTTTGAAATCCATCAGCTTTGTTTTAAGTGGAGTTAGACTTGTGAATATTCTTCTAACAGTCTTTAAATGAAGAAGTCAAAGAAGTCCAAGCTGGTCCAAGCTGACTCAGACTTGATAACACTGGATTTTAAAGCAAGGGTTCGAGGTTTCTGTCCATTCGGACATTTGGAAGGTCTTTAAAACTGGATCTCTTTTTAGCACCTATTGACTCTTCAATATCTTATTCCCATTTGCAGGTGTTGGGTTTCAATACCCGACAGAGGAAGGCGTTCCTGAACGCAGTGATGCGCTGGGGGATGCCGTCTCAGGACGCCTTCTCGTCTCAGTGGCTCGTCAGAGACCTCAGAGGAAAGACGGAGAAAGAGTTCAAGTAAGAATGAACACTTTCGTCTTTAATCTGAGATTCTGAGTCTGTTTTTGACTCTGTGTTTCACTCTCCTTCTTTTCTAGAGCATACGTGTCCCTCTTCATGCGACACTTGTGCGAGCCGGTGGCTGACGGCGCCGAGACGTTCGCGGATGGTGTGCCAAGAGAAGGGTTGTGTCGTCAGCCGGTCCTCACCCGCATCGGCGTGATGTCGCTTGTCAAGAAAAAGGTCGGCGCAGATACGACACTGAGAGATGTTTTACTGAATGAAATTGTATGGGTAGATTTTGTGACACCTGTGAAACAAAACTTGTGAGACGCAGCCAAGACTGACGGTTGGGGTATTTGGGGTATAGGTTGGCGTCCAAACCCAGTGTTAGTTTGACCTTTAAAACCCCAACCCTGACATGGGTTCACATCAAAACCATGTCGAACCCAATATCCCTACATGTAAAAAGGTTTTGAAAAGCAATGAATCCCGAAGACAACAGAACCTTCAGGTCCCCTATAAATGTCAGGGATGTTTTTCTAGCCGGGAATCAATCAAAACGATGTTCAGATAACCTCGGGGCTCGCACTTTGCCCGTTCGCTCGAAGTTCTCCAAATATGAATCCAGTTTTCAGTCCAGCTTGTTGAAACCTGCTGACATCCTGATCTGCTATCTGAGCCAGAAGGAGTTTATGAAACACTGCCAGGCAAACAGGGCATGTGGGTGGTGAGTTTAAATAAAGTGCTATTAGGTAAAAGGAGCGTGTGCCAAGGTTTTTATGACTGTGTGTGTTTTGTGTCCAGATTCAGGAGTTTGAGCACATCAACGGGCGCTGGAGTCTCCCAGAGCTCAAACCTGAGGTCTGTGTGGACAAATCCTCCTCCAGGGCATCCTCTCCTGCCGCGAAGACCGCCACGCCCACCCCAGATGCTAGCTACAACAACACACCGTGCACCTCCAAACCAGGTAACCACACTGGCTCAGCCACCCTCACATGGTCCACCAGGGGGCGAACTATTCAAAGGGGGCAGCAGATACACTTAAAGTGGGATCTACAGTTATGTGTTTGTTAATTTATTGAACTTTTACAGCAACTCCTGCTCCTTCAGAGAAGCTGGAAAAGAGCAGTAAAGAGGGAGAGAAGGAGGAGGAGAAGGAGGATGGAGAGGCGATGGCCGACAAGGAGAAAGGGAAGGAGAAAGAGAAGGATGAAGGGAAGGAGGCAGATGGGGGCAAGACTTCTGACCCTGAAGAGGTGAGACAACTATCTTAAAGGGTTTTAGAGAAAAAAACAATTAATTTACTTTTTTCAGTTTGTTTGTTTTGGGTGAGTGAAGGCACAAAAGGTTAAAACATGCATGTAAAACAAAAATAAGTCAGAAGTTTAACAAGCTATTAAATTAATAATTTATTTGAATAGAAGATTTAATTTGAACATCATTTATTTCATGTTTCATCATTGACTAGAGGAGTAAGAGCATTATTTCATAGCCGAAGCTTTAGGTTTGTGACAAAGACTTCATTACCCAGAATGCACCTTGATGTCACCAGGATGTTTGGCGGGAATTCGACGAGAAAAATCTGCTACGCAATGTATATTAAAAGTTAACGTGGAGTTTTCATTCAGGAAAGGAAGTTTCTACTTTTAAGTCCGAAGTCAAGCCAAAAGATTTTACGTGTTCTTGAATATCGACACGTTTGTACAGGTTGTCACGCACTATTTAAGGTTATTTCAAGGTGATATCTGGGGAGACTCATGCTCCCGTTCCAATTACCTCGGATGTAGGAGCTGGGAATGACTACACTCGAGCCGACGGCGTTTCAGTAAACAAGTCGGAAAACCAAGATAGACTCCTACTGTTAGCTGCCGTTAGCCGTTGTCAGTTGTTGTTCGCGGTTGTCAGCCGTTGTTAGAGATTTTCAGCCGTTGTTATTCGTTGTCAGCCGTTGTTAGAGGTTTTCAGTTGTTGTTAGCCGTTGTCAGGCGATGTTAGAGGTTTCAGTCGTTGTTAGCCGTTGTAAGAGATTTTCAGTTGTTGTTAGAAGTTGTCACCCGTTGTTAGTGGTCTTAAGCCGTTGTTGGGGTTTTCAGTTGTTGTTAGCGTTTTTCAGCCGTTGTCAGAAGTCGTCAGCCGTTGTTAGAGGTTTTCAGTTGTTGTTAGCGGTTTTCAGCCGTTGTTCGAGGGTTTCAGCCGTTGGTTTTTAGTAAGCGTTGTTAATCGTTGTCAGACGTTGTTAGTCGTTACAGTCGTTGATCGCTGTTGTAAGTCGTTGTTCGCTGTTGTCAGCCGTCAGAGGTTTTCAGTTCGCCGTTGTCAAAGGTATTCAGTTGTTAGTCGTTGTCAGCCGTTTTCAGTTGTTGTTATCCGCTGTCAGCCGTTGTTTTTTTCAGTTGTTAATAGTTGTCAGCCATTGTTAGTCGTTGTCAGCCATTGTTAGTCGCTGTGAGAGGTTTTTCAGTTGTTGTTTGTGGTTGTCAGTCATTGTCAGCCGTTTGTCAGTTGTTGTTAGCGATTGTCAGCGTTTGTTGTAGCTATACCAGTTGTAAACAACGCATAACACAGCATTTTACTCTTACAAATACCATATAGCACCGTGTTTACAGTTAGATGTTGGGTAGTACAATATATACCACTTATCCCGACTTCCGAGTACAACTGGAATGCACATCAGATACTGAACTTTGACTTTCCACAGCTGTCAACCTCCACAAAAGAGGTGTCACAAACATCGTCCCCCAGTCAGAAAAAGGGCAAAGAGGAGAGTGACCTAAAAGAGGAGGAGAAGAAAGAAGCATCTGATGCCACCGCCGCTGCTGCAACCGAGGAGAAGAAAGAGGAGAGCAAAGACGAATCCAAACAAACGGGAAAGCAAGACACAGACGTCAAAGAGGAGAAATCAGGTAAAAGCAGTTACCTACTGGTGCAAACGGATATGGAAGATATGCCTGGAGACAAAAGGGGCAATGAGTATCACATAGTTTAAGTCTGTTTTATAAAGCTTTTAGTAAAATCACTTTTTTTTTCCTTGCAGAAGGAGAAAAGTCTGCGGAGGAGAAGGACAAAGACAAAGAAAAACGAGAGGAGACGCAGACGGCAGCAGAAGCTACTGATGCAAAAGACAAGAGCGAGGCAGCTGATGTGAAGAAAGGTACGTCTAAACTAAACAGGATGACTCACTACTGCGAACATGATCTGAGTTTATTTGCTGATTAAAACCATGGCTGTCTTTATCCATCACAGAGGAAGTAAAAGGTGAAAAGGATGCAGGGAAAGAAGTCAAACCAGCGAAGGAGGAGGTGCCACCTATTCCACCTAAAGGGAACGGGAAGCCTCCTGCAGAGCGACCTCGCTTTATGTTCAACATCGCTGATGGCGGATTCACAGGTGAGGAAGTCGTTCAACTTATATTTGGCAGAACGGGTTTCCTCAATTCTTGACTGTCCTTTCTGCACGAAAATCTTCACAAACACATTCCTCTGAAAGGAAGGAAGCAAAGAGTAACGAACTCTTCACTGATGTGTGATGGTTTTTAAGACTTTCAGACGTTCAAACTTTTACGTTTTAACTCTTGGAGAGGAGGGGAAGGTGAAAAGGTGAAAATAACTCTTTCAGTCAGCCAAACAACTCTCAAAGCAGTCCAAACAACATGAAATTCACAACCAATGTAAAATCATAACATTCCCCCCGACTCTCCAGAGCTCCTGTGCGGGAGCAGCGAGCAGCCAGAATTATCTCCACCTTGATCATAAACCTTGAAAAGCTCTCCGCGCCTGTGGAAACACCTGCAGCCAGGTTTCAGTGAGCTAAGCACTTTGACACAAACCGCATTTTATAACCTGTGTCGGCTTCACCCCTGCAGAGCTGCACACTCTCTGGCAGAACGAGGAGCGGGCTGCCATCTCCTCGGGGAAGATGAACGAGATCTGGCACCGCCGACACGACTTCTGGCTGCTGGCGGGAATCGTGATGTATCCTTGACAGCGGTTGCCCAAGCAATGACCCTACTCTGTTTATTTTTCTATCAGCCCGCAGAAGCCGAGTGTAATAAGTCAACAACCCAGCAAGAGCTCAGTAAACAACAAACCGTGTCTGGTGGAGACTGATGTACTGGGTCATTTAGTTCATGCTGTTCCCTCTATTATGCTAATGAAGGGCTTGTAGCGTTCGCTTTAAACTCTATGTTTATTATTCTTCGAGCTAATGTCGAAAACGAGTAGAAGTGGAATAAAAAAGGAGAAAAGCTTCGATTTTGTGGTAAACTAACTGCTGAGCTGCATTTTAAGACAATGAAAAATGAAATCAATCTTCATTCTGGGAAAGATTAACTTCAGATTTTGGGTTGTAAACTTTTTTACTGCTCGGCGAAGCAGGGGGAGCGGCTGGAATTGAACTGTCATCGTCTTAAAATAACAAGGATATGAAATTGTTGAAGCTTTTCTGTTTTGAAATGTCGTTAAAAGTCCTCCAACTCCTAAAATAGACAGATGAAAGCAAATTAACAGCATATCTTCTAGAACTTTTCTTTTCTTTCTCTGTAAAAAGGTGATTTTGTTTGATTTTACCCTCACTCTTAAATCACCCTTGACCGCTATGCCAGTCACGGTTACGCCAGGTGGCAGGACATCCAGAACGATCCGCAGTTCGCCATCGTCAACGAGCCTTTCAAGTCGCAGGCGAACAAAGGCAACTTCTTGGAGATGAAGAACAAGTTCTTGGCTCGACGGTTTAAGGTAAGACGGCCCCACCTGGTTCACCTGATTCCTCAGAAACAAAGACACATGATTTATTCGTCAGTTCGGTGTTTATTGACGTTTTTATTGCCCTGCTTGTGCTTCAGACGTGTTCAAAAAAAAAAAAAATCCCCAGGTTGAGAAGTCAGCCCTTCTTCCATGCAGACAAACTATTTCAGTCACATTAAGTCGTGTCTTCAATCACCTGACTTGTTTGATGGTTGGATGACGGATGCCCCTAGACCCACATATCGGCCGGGTGGTATTGCTGACGGCTGCATTTCTGGAAAAGCTCTCATCCTGTTTTGACCGGCTCACATGTTTCAGATCCTGCCTTCAACATCCTCATTTACTGTATCTCCTTCTCTCTGTCCCTCATAAATACGATCTTGCTCTTTAATCAAAGGTTTTGGTTTGATACACAACTTTTTTATAAAAGAGGGAACAAAAAAAATTCCCAGGGTTTTTTTGGTTTTATCGTCAGTGCAGCAGGTTTGCGGTGTTTCTTGTTAGAGAAGTTATTTTTTCTTATGTAAATAAAGTGGTACATTTGAATAGTGGACTCCAACTTCAGAGAGCTTCTCACAGCTGTCAATCTAAAAATTTGTCTAGCATTATAATCCAAGAAAAAAAAACATGTTAAAATTCCGAAGTTTCAGGTTTTTGTCTTTTTTAGAAACAAAACAAACAAACGAGCTTAAAGCTCTTGTGAGGTGTTTTTTTTTTTTTGGCTTATATGAAACAGATTGACATTCATCAGCTAAAAGACTGACACACTGACTTTAATTGCAATTTTCAATGACTGAGAGGTGTCAGCCGAGCAGCTGGTTGGACTGTTTCTATGTTAAATAGTCACAATAAATAACAAGACTGTTTTGTCCACAGGGGGGCGCCAAAACCAGGAGGTACTCACTGGAGCTTTAACTAAATTGATCACAAACTTTAACATGTGTTAAAGTTGCAGTGTTCAGCTAGGATAACAACATTTTTAGATGCTCAAAAAGACCAGATTTCAGTTTCGTAATGTAAAGTTATTTAAACGATTACAAATTCATTTTATACATTTTACCTGAAGTGGAAATTTTTACAGTGAAAAAGCAGTTTTCAAATCGAGTGTCGCATCCTGATACGTTTGTTTCCTTCTTGTTAAAGCTCCTGTAAGGATTTGTTGACTTTGGCGCCCCCTGTGGACAAAGTGGATATTGCTGCTGATTTTCTCTTTTCCTTATAAAAATGGTGTTGATGACAAATAAACCTCCCTCTGTTGTTTTTTAGTGTCTTTTTATGGTTTGAGCAACTAAGGCTGTTTCTTCATTCTACTTTCCCCCGCGTAGCCATTAAAAAAATAAAAAATTACAATAGAAAAAAAGTCGGATTTGTTATTTTGTTGTTTACATTTGCTTTTGTACCTCAAACAGATGCATCGCTGTTTGGTTCAGTCTGTTTCATAACTTTTCCTAAAATTCCTTATAGGAGCTTCAAGGACAGAAAAGTAAACACACTTTGTCTTTTTCTTCTCCTCCTTCAGCTACTTGAGCAGGCTCTTGTGATCGAGGAGCAGCTACGACGGGCGGCCTACCTGAACATGACCCAGGACCCGACTCACCCGGCCATGGCACTGAACGCTCGCTTTGCGGAGGTCGAGTGTCTCGCAGAGTCACACCAGCACCTCAGCAAGGAGTCGCTGGCGGGGAACAAGCCGGCCAACGCTGTGCTGCACAAAGGTGAAACTCTGATGCCACTAAAGGGTTAAAAAATCCCCTTATTTTGAAAACCGTCTGCAGTAATTACACAAACAAATCCGCTGTTAGAGAAATAAGCCACAGACAAACTCATGAAAGATTGTCAGTCAGATAATCAGAGGCGCACAATGAAAGAGATACACATAAACACGTTTTACAGCCCTGTTTTGCAATCTCTCCATCACTCTGCCTGGAGCTGAGTTTAGCGAATCAAACAGATAAGCTTGTTTGGAGATAGCTCCAAACATTCCCTCTCTGGCAGGCTTGTGTAGCACTTTGTGTTCTGCTGAAATGTGGAAGTGTTGAGTTCGACACTGCACCGCTTGTTCTCGATCCTGTCACAGATTCTCTGAACGAAATCAGATTAATGGCACGATGACAGGGCGCTGAAATGATAACAAGACTTACACACATATTTGTACTTAATTGATAAGAATACTCAGAGTTATCACCAGAATAACATCTTAAGTTCCCAGAAAAACATTTGGATATAGTCTTTATCACTTACATCCTTTGGTCATTATCATGCTTGTATTCGCCACAACACTGAGGAAGAAGTTGCTGTTATTTGTGTTTTTATTTCCTGAAAATTTCTAAAAGCAGACCAAAAAATTGATATCTTCATGCAAGGACACCTGAAAAAACAGATCAACGTTTTGACAAATCTGTTTGTGGTGTTTAAGCCAATCAGCATTCAGATTACTGATAACCAGAGACACATCAGTAATGATCAATCTGACCTCTTTTTTTTTATTTCAATACAATGCAAATTTACGTCCAACAATTTCAAATATATGGGTTTGCATAAATCTAATCTTAACTCCTTTTAATGAACACGCATAGAAAACTACCTGACAATGTTTAGATTTTTTTAACAGATATACGTTACAATGTCTTTTTTTTTTCTTACAAATCTACATTATGTCTTTTTTTTTTTTTTTTTTTTTACAAATCTACAATAAAATTCCATTTTTGTTTTTAAAAAAATCTACATTATAATGTCTTAATTTTTTTTTACAAATCTACATTGTTTTTCTTTTTCAAATATACATTAATTTTTTGTTACAAATTTAACATTAAAATTTCTATTTATTTTTTTATTTTTTTCCAATTTTACATTAAAATTTCTTTTTTTTCTACAAATCTACGTTGTAATGCCTTTTTTAAAACAAATCTACATCATAATGTCTTTTTTTTTCAAATCTACATTATAATGCCTCTTTTTAAACAAATCTACATTAAAATGTTTTTTTTTTTTTTGCACCCACCAGAGTCAGTTATATTTGCACTTAAGGGGTTAACGGAGTAAGGACTGATGGGGGGTGTTTTGCCTCCCATTATTTCGCACCAATCACTGGCCAACCACTAAACCTCTTTATTGATGAATTATAAAATATCTATGATAGTTTCAAGTACAAAAGATGCAGAAAGTGTAAAATGTGCATTAAAGCGACACCTTCATTGTTTGTTGTTGTTGTGACAGTGTTGAACCAGCTGGAGGAGCTGCTGAGCGACATGAAGGCAGACGTGACCCGGCTACCGGCCACGCTGTCCCGAGTCCCGCCCATCGCTGCCCGGCTGCAAATGTCAGAGAGGAGCATCCTCAGCCGACTGGCCAGCAAGGGCACCGAGACGCACACACCCCCGGTCAGCAGCCTTACTTTGCCTTTCCTCACACACACTAGCACACAAACGTATGTATATGTGTATATATATATAAAAAAGCTGCCACAGTCACAAGTCAAAACCTGCTGAGCTGCCTGCATTCAGTGGAAAAATCACAGCTGGAGGACAGCCAATGAAAATAAAGAACCCATTATGTTGTCACCCACTTGTGGTTTTTTTCACTCCCCAACTGTTTAGTCAGCACATTTTTGTCTTTGTCGCTTACGTAACTTTGAAGCGTCTCATTGTTTTATTTTCTATTTCTAAAATTCACTCAATTCCTTAAGGATAAACTCCTCTCTCACTTTTGCGCAGCCCATTCCTCCAGGACCCTACGCTACTCCTCAGAACTACGGCGCCCCCTTCACCCCCGCACCCCCCAGCGCTCTGCACATGGGAGGAGCCAACTACAGTCAGATGCCGCCCGGATCCTTCATATCAGGTCGGTGTTTGAAGCTTAAATCAAAAACTTGGCTCTCAATTCAAGACTTGGAAATACATCTCAAAGAATAGTAATAATTGAGCGGATACGCTTTTAATTTGAAGGGGCACCACTATTAAGTTTAATGATAATTGTTCAGAGCAGCTTTGGGCAGATTTGTCTTCACCTACCCATGCAGGATGTGAGTCTGTGAGGGTGTGAGAGGTGAGTGTGTCACAAGCAGTAATAAAAAAAGAATCATAGGCATTACAGCGGCCATAATTATAGTATTAAAGATGATTTACACAACAATGAGAGCTTATTTCAACTTCCCAAGCCGGCAATTTAAACCAGATTTAAGCTCGGGCTGTTGAGTGATTCCTGTAAAGTATCCAATAATATCCTTTCTTATTTAATGATGAATATCTTTTCGCAACTGGAACAAATCTGGTGATGTCGTCAAGGACGTTTTTTTCGAGAAAACTGTTCCTGAAGTGAAGGACAGTTCATAAAGATCAAAATGTGGTGGTATGACTTTGATTCAAGTGTCTTACTCTTATAAAGGTTCTGGTTTAAGATTGTGTTGCATTATGGGAAATGTAGGATGCAGTGATTTTGGAGCATCGCCTGATTCTCAGAAACATTTCAGTTTGTGCTGCTTTGATTTTTACTGTTATTTCAACAATTTTTACCTCTTCATGGGGTTAAAATTGTAAAAAAAAAAAAAACACCTCAGTGCTCCTTCAAGGTTCTTTGTATTAACTTATATGAAAACTTCTAAAAACAAACACAAAAAAGACTTAAGTAGTTTCAGAACATGTAAAAGTTGCTTAAAAAAAAGAGAGAAAGTTTTATATTGAAGTTTTATAAGAAGCTGTGAGAGGGCCTGTGTCCACCAGTGACGCGTGATAGGTAGGTTTTTTGACACTTCTGCTTCCCTGTTAACTCGTTGTTTGGTGTTTGTAGTTTTAGGAGAAAAGGTAAAAACAATTGATGAAAGTAATGTTATATCTTTAGCAACTTTAAACCTGGAAAATGTTTCCTTTTGTTTCTCTGGCTTTGTTTTTCATCCCGCCTCTCCTCGAAACTGTTGGGTTGTTGACAGAGAAGGGAAACGGCAGTGTTGCAAAAGTTGAATTATTTTTAACTGAGAACAACAACAAACATTTGAAGCCAAAGGCATATTTGTGTTTTAAACGCTGAGTTTTGTGTTGGTTTTGTTGGGAAACAGCTGCTGCCCGCACAAAATAAAACAGTGATAATGGAAACAGGCCCTTAATGAGTCGAAAACTGGTTCTGGAAGAAGATGGGCCAGACTAATCAAATTTTATTTTCTCACTCCTTTACTCTTTAAGTTGTCACAGTTTTAAAGCTCCTATGAAGAGTTTTTGAGAAAAATAAAATTGACTCAGATTAACATGATATCCAAAAACAAACAAGTTAAACAAACTTTCTGAATTTTAAAGCCTGAAGTTGTCAGTCAAGCAGCTTAATTCCTGTTTCTACAATTTCAATATAAATTATTCACAATAAATGATTTATCTGACTTTTTAGAGTCAAAGTTTTGAGGACAAAAAAAGAAAGTCTGTTTTGTCCACAGGGGGCGCCAGAATACACACAAACTGAAAGTTCCTCATGGGAGCTTTAAGAAAAACTCAAATTTTCTTTCCAAATAACCTTTTCTAACCTTCAAAACAGGTGACAAAAAAACTTCCAGGACTGTCTCTTCGAGTTACTTTTTATTTTATGTGTGAAGCAGATGGCAAATAAAAGTTTTAGCAGGTGTTTTTTTTTTTCACTGGGCTCATCTTTCTGAGTTTTTCATCTGGAAATCTTTTTCTTTTACAAAAAAATAGAAAAATTCCAAGGACTTTGGAAAGATTAACCTGGCAAAACTTCACCTGAACATTAAAAAAAAAAGTGGTTTTGGTGAGAAGAAAGAGAATCAGACCTTGAACTCCTTTTTTATTTTTGCCTCTTGGGGCTTCCGTAGATCTCTAATAAAGAAAACCTGTGCGGACTGAGCTCACTAATGACAGTTCTTTTAATCTGTGCAGTAAAGAGAGAGGAACAAGTCTGGCTTTTGAAGTCTGGACTTGATTAGTTGGCAACTTTCACTGATGAAGGGCGAAAACCCGTCCAAAGAGTTGCTTCTATTTAAAGATATCAGAGGAATTCCAGCTTTATTTGGTTATGTTGTTGTGGAAATATTTGGCAGAGAAAGGGTCAGGCTTCATCAAAATGACTGACTCTGGGAAACGGGTGTGTCAGGAAAACATTGATGCATTTATTTCACGGCGGGGTCAGCGTTTTAAACCCCCAAATCCTACTTTAATCTTAAGTGGTGCAGAGAGCTACTTGATGGCTTTAAAGCAGCTCTGTTTCGCACTCTTTGAATGGACACTTTATCTCCTCGAGCAGCTCGAAGTTGTGAAACCTTAAAACTCCAGACAGGACTCCATATTGGAAAATAACGTGTGCAGCAGAGTTTCTGATGTGGCTGCCAGACAGACACCTGAAATAGACATTACCCAAATCAAACACATAACGTGCTGCGCGGCTATATTAAGGCATTTTCATCTCTTAACATGTCCAACCTTGAAACCTCAATGCTGGGCTCAGCAGTAATGACATATTGTGCAACAATAAAAGCACAGTCTGGAGCGCTATCAGACCTGTCTGAGGAGTGTTTTCTTTTCCAAGCATGTTTATTTTCTCTTTTGAAGTCCGATTGGCGCTCTCATTACTCTCAAATCCCTTAAAAAAAAAAGAAGGCTTTGGCCTCCCCCGGCCTGCGGTCTATCATCCCGCACTGGCAGTTTGTGAATTTATTTTCTCATAATTAGTTTGGTAACAGCATATGCTCTCCAGGCGCACTGCGTGTGTATTCGTGTTCGGGGATGTTTAGATAGCAGAGATAACTGGTAAAACCTGATATTCCCCGGTAGCTTTGCCCTAAAAAACCACAACAGCCAGCTCTCTGCTCGCCTCTCACTCAGTGTGTCTTGATTTATGTAATTGTAGACTGAGACATCTGTCAAAGGCATTGCATTCTCGCGAGCCAGAGCCTATCTCTGAAAATGTCATTATGCTCAGCCCGTCTGAATCTGGCCGTGCCAAGAAAACATTCGGACTTTGTGCCGAGGTATTTTGAGAGGGACAGAAACCACAGAAGGAGTTTGGTTGTGTAAACGTCGTGTTGTGACTTGTGAAGCGGCGGAGGGCTGGGCTGAGCAGAAATAGTCGCGCGCGCGGAGTCGGGTTCCTCTGTGAGGCTTTTTGCTCACGGGGGCCTCGGTCTGAACATCCTGAACTCTGGCGGGGCGGACGCACGCAGCAAACGAGGCCACATGTACGGTCCTGATTGGGGTCGCGCTGGTTCCCGGTTTTTTAGACTCAGCCGGAGAGGAGAAAAAAGAAAAAGTTACAACAACAAAAACTCTGATTCTGTGACCTCTGAGCGTCCCTCCATTAATAGCCCTCTCCTGAGAGAGAAAGTACAAAAAACATCACCAGAAATATGCATGTCTGCTGTGGCACTCTTTAACTCCACATCCACGTTTGTAGCTACACTCTGTGAACCCTGATGAAAAATGTTAATGATGCATCAAATGCTCCAATAAAGGATTGTTCTGTGCTGTCTCACACATGGCGAAATTCCGCATTCTCACAACATCTTGAAATGCATTTTGGAAAAACCTGTTTCTGCCATCAGTACTGCAAAGAGGAAGCTACTCATCTGCACTTAAAGGACTCGCACATAGACAGAGCTTCATCTGGTAGGGGCGTAGAAATTAGAGAGATTGCCCTTCCGATGGAGCGAGCCCTGACTGCAATCGCCTGCCGTGCTGAAGTGAATCCTCTGACCTTTGACCTCCGTACTTAAAAACAGAACCCCCTACGGGGACGAGTAAAGTGTCACTTTTTCCTGCTCCCCTCTCCGAGTCTCCACTACAGTCTGCCGCTTGTCTGCCCCCACAGAAGCCGCCGCCGCTGCTGGGGCCACCGGGGGAGCCGCCGGAGGGTCGGCCGCCGCTTGCCAGAAGACGAAGGAGCACGATGTGGGGCAGCGGCAGCGGGTGGTGGACCTGTGGAAGGACGGCAAGTCGGAGGGCGCCATTGGGCAGGAGCTGAGGATGCCCAAGTCGACGGTGCACAGCATCATCGTCAAGTACCGACTCAGCAACACGGTGGAGAACCTGCCGCGCAACGGGCGACCAAAGAAACCCTGAAGAGGAGAAAAAAAAGAAACTGAATCGAAACAGAAAAGGAAATAAAGGGAGAGATGAATGCCCAAGGACAGAGCGCTTTAACTCTGCTGGAATGTGAGGAATAAAAAGAAAGATGTAAAACAAACTTGATGGATCGATCAAAGACCAAGAGCCAGAAGGAGCGGGCATAAAAAGTGAAAAAAGTGGCACCTATTAAAAGAAAAACACGGGGAATGAGGAGGGAGAGGTGCAAAGCTGGCCCTGAGATCAAGCGCTAATGAAGCGTGGGGGGAAAAATGAAGCCGAGAGAGAAAAAAGGGGGGAAAAAAAACAGAAGGAAGACCTGTCTGGAACAAACAAATCCTCGTGCAGAGAGAGAAAAGACGCCGCTGAAAGGAATCTGACGTTAATGGAAAAGATGCTCAGCTGAAGAGAAAAAAAGGCGGCATGTTAATGCAATCACAGGTTTGTTAGGAATTCAGATGCGACGGCTGCAAAAGGAGGAAAATGCAACAGAGTCTTCTTCCTTTTCTGTTTTTTGTACCTCCTCAGACGGACTTCTTCTCTCCCTCTGTGCCGAATAAGATTTCCCCCCGGATCAATTCTTCATCCGCCGGCTGACTGAACAAGCCTGTCCCCTCACGCCGACCCCGAACTCCCTCATTCCTCCACAATCCTGCACTCCTCCGTCTCTCTCTCTCTTGCACACTTATACAGTATATATAAATATATATATATATACACACTTTGGACCTCACACACAACCTAGAAACCTGCAAAGAAGTGAATTTATCTGCTGAGCAGAGGCAGATGAAGGCCAAACTGAAAATAGAAAGGGACAAAGAGGACGCTTGAAAAAGGGAAAGAATGCAAAAAAGGAGTTTTTTTTTTTCTTTTAGTAGAAAAGAGTTTTTCCCATGAACTCTTTAACTGAAGTCCAAACAAGCAAAGAAGTAAAAAGCAGAAGCGTAAAAAAGAAACTCAGATGTTGCAGCATGGAAGCCGCACCAATCTGATGAACTGAGATAAGGATTTTTAACGTTTTATGAAGCATATTTGCTCTAGCACCTTTATCATGGGGGTCTCTTAAAGGGAAGTATGACTCCAGTGATTTTACATTTCCTGGTTTTATGCCTCATCACAGAAAATATCAGAATTTATGAGCAGCTCTACCCCAAAGTTAAAGACTGTAATCCGTCACTGAAAGAAAAAGGGAGCCTCACTTTGAAGCCCGGAGAGACTTTTTTTTGTTCTTTAAGCTTCTTTTATTGTGACAGTGTGATGGATGCCACGCTGGAAAATGTCCCCCGATCCCTGAGAAAATAAAACACTCTGGACTGTGTCATCGGTTTTCCAGCTCGGTGTGTGTCTGTGTGTGTGTGTGTGTGTGCAGTAGAGCTGTACATCAGTGTGACATCCCAGACTAAAGTAGCTGGACAAACTCCTCTGCCTCAAGAGACGTGAAAAATCGGTTACACGGTTCATACTTTTCTAAGACGTCTGAGTATTTCTAAGCTAAAATTTTCTTAATTATCTGATATGCTTGAAGGACAACAGATGAGGCGTGTGGCCTGCACTGAGATCTTCACTGTCTGTGTGTGTGTGTTTGTGTGTGAGTGAGTATGTTCGTGTCTGTAGAGTAACCTTGAATTATCTCGAAGCCAGTCCTCCTTTGAATTTCAACGACTCACCTCACTTTGATGAAGAAATAAACCTGCATTTAAAGCTCCTGTGCAGAGTTTTTAAGTTGGTTATGAAACAGATTTAAACTAATACTGATAATCTTTGTGGGCTACGATAGCGAACTAGACCATCCACATTTAAATAAACTATTTCTTCAAAGTTCAGTTTCTTAAAGACACTTAAAGGAGTTTTATTACCTCCAGAAGTAAACAAGACAATCGGCAAGAGGGATGATAATTTCGCTGTAGCCATTTTTAATGCTAAGCCAAAGTGAGTTATGTATTTAACTCTGATGAGGTTTTTGTCTGAAAACGCTTCTTTTGACGGGTTGAGAGGAATCACTGAGTTAACAAGAGGTGCCGACATAAATACGAACTGAAAGTTCCTTACAGCAGCTTTATTAAGTCCAAAACAACAGCAACAATGGAAATGTGACGCTGATGAAACAACTGCGCAAACAGAAAACACATGCTAAAGAAAAACTGTGCAAATTTAGATGTGAAAATGTAGTTGGCTGGGCTTGCTAACTACCAGTCAACGGCATTACAGAACGTATTTTGTATCAGTGAATGTTTATCATTCCTGAATGGAAATGTGACGCTAATGAAACAACTGCGCAAACAGAAAACACATGCTAAAGAAAAACAGTAGAAATTTAGATGTGAAAATGTAGTGTGCCAGGCTTGCTAGCTACCAGTCAGCAGCGCTACAGAACATATTTTGTGTCAATGAAAGTTGATCATTCCTGAATGAAAATGTGACGCTAATAAAACAAATGCACAAAGAGAAAACATGCTCAAGAAAGATGGTGCAAATTTAGGCGTGAAAAGGTAGTGTGCCAGGCTTGCTAGCTACCAGTCAGCAGCGCAACAGAACGTAATTTGTGTCAGTGAATGTTGATCATTACTGAATGGAAATGTGACGCTAATGAAACAACTGCACAAACAGAAAACGTGGTAAAGAAAAAAGATGCTAATTTTAGCATGAAAACGTAGCGCGCCATGCTTGCTAGCTACCCGCCAGTGGCTTTACAGAACGTATTTTGTGTCAATGAATGTCAATCATTCCTGAATGAAAATGTGACACGAATGAAACAACTGCTCAAACAGAAAACAAATGTTTAATAAACGGTGCAAATTTAGGAATGAAAAGGTAGTGCGCCAGGCTTGCTAGCTACCAGTCAACGGCTTTTATTGTGTCAATAAATGTCGATCGTTCCTGAAATTGAGCACTTTTTTCCTGATGAAGTTAGCTCTGTTCAGCTCTGTTGGCATTGCAGTTCAGTTAGCTTTGCTTGCCACTATACCTTTGAGTTTGAAGTACTGGTCCAACAACAAACAGAGTCAGGTACCAGCTGAGGAAACTGTAGTTTTTGTCAACTTAAGAATCAACTGATCCTCCCATTTAGATGGTGGAGACCAAAACTTAGTTAAAAGGAAGGAGTTCTGAAACGGCAAAGAGCTGGTGATCCAGTTCCAAATTTCTGTATCTATCTGCTTGAACTTAATTTAAAGTATGCAACTGTTTGCTAAAATATCAAAGACTTTCAAGATCGCTGTTTTTGAATGTTCCCATGAAGAGAGCAAAAATTGATTCGAGAATGTTAAACGGAGAAAGCATCAGATCAAAAAACAAGTCAGTGAATAAGAGACCAAAGGGAATTGCTTTCTAAAAAGTACATGATGTGCTATATTTGGCCTCAAAAGAAAACACACTCACGCAAACACAAGAGTATAAGAGGCATACATGAAAATGACCTTTTTCATGTGGAGTCTGGTGTCAGTTTTACCCCCAAACTCCTGCAGCACATTAAGAATCAAACCATTCTTGAGTCTCAGCTGGATAGACTCTTCATTCCCAAACCAGACTGGAGCTTTTCAAGTCCCTGAACAGTCGACAGTTCAGACATAGAGGGTTGTTCCTGATGAAAGGGTTTGGCGTAGATTCATTCCTGCAAAGCTTTTCAGCATGCAAATATGCTGCATTTCCTGCCAAGATGGCAGCGCTCACTTCTATCAGATAGTAGGCAGGACCTACAGGGGAGGGACACAGGCTGTCAGGTCAGCCAGGAATGAAATTTATTGCCTTTCTTGACTTAAGATCATCCAAATAGTGAAGTCCCAGAGTCTGAGGCCTTGTAGATGATAACAGCAGGGTGAAGATTTATGGGATTATTGGAGATGTGTCCCAGCGTGGGCTGCTCGATTGATCATATTCTAACTGCAGCAACAAAAGTCACTGCCAGCCTCATTTGGGACAAAAAATGTTGATGTTTCTAACAACGTCTGCTGCTCATTGAAGCTGCAGACGATCTGAGGAGAGTTCGCAGGAGGAGTTTGGCTTAACAGAGGTGAAGTATTGCAGCAGAGTAAATTTGGCGGATCTGTTATCTGGTTTTATACAAGAGCCTCATTGAATTTCCCTCCTGTTTCAACTTCAGAGCTTCTTTACCTTATATGCCCGGCTCATTTTGGCCTTTTTTTCTATGTGAGGCTGTTATTGATATTAGATGTCAAAATCCAAAAGAAGCAGAAGCTCTGCCTAAAGTACCGCTAGTTTAATGGTTCACAGCGCAGCCAAACAAACGTATGTTGTCGTGGTAAAACAGTGCGTTAAGGTGCCAATAATCCTCTCAAAGTGTGTTTTTTTTTGCGTGCTGAGGTTCAATTCCAAGTCAAAAAAGTTGCCTACAGACTTTTTACAATGAACTTTTTTCTCTCCGTGAGGATAACCTCGATGTGCATCCACTTTATAAAACCTGGGCGCCTCTTTGACGCCACAATTTTAACGGTTTTTGAAGCCCAATGTCCGGGGTCCACCATATTGGAACGTCAATACAAAAGGAGTTTTGATCAATCTAGAAACTGGTGAAGAAATGGTCAATTTGGACGCACATTTTTATGCAAATCCAACTTTGATATTGGCTTTAATCTGGATTCCTTGATGTTTGGGCCAGCCTCTAGTGGACACTTGAGGAACTGCACTTAATTTCACCCCCTCGTCGGCTTCATTTGTCCACTTGTTACAAAGTTGGAGAACACACTTGTGAGCTCTCTCTGGTGGGGGAAGTTTATAACGTGACCCTGTGTCTACACAACTTCAAACATCATCATTCACGTCTTTTACTGCCGTGTGTTGTCGTATATATTTATTACCGGCGGTGTCTTATCGCCCAGATCCTTCTGTCCTTCCAGAAGACTCTGCTGTTTTTATTTCCATCTGTCTTTTTTATCGTCCTTTTCTTCCACGTCTCTATCTTCTGCTTCTGCATCTTTTTTTTTTTTTTTTTGTACGCTTTGCACCCGTAATTCCTCCTGCTCTTTCACCCAGTCTTTACCTCGATTTGTTTTGCTTCTTATCAGATTTTGTCTGCCGCCCCACACACACACACTCGCACACACACACACACTCTAACTCCGTCTCTTTTCCTTCTCTCTGTTCCCCTCTGTTGGCCTCCGCTGGCCAAATGCCATACGTTTTCCCAAAAGTGGTCCCCCCTCTGGTTCTAGACACACACACACAGAGTTTTAGCCCCCCCAGTCATTCCCGTCTCACTACGCTCCTTATCGTACCTTTGATCTGCACAGGGGTGTTATGACAGTTTATCTTTCCCTGTGGCGCGAGTGAGAGAAGTACGCTGTTAGTCTATTTCTGGCTTTGTTTTGAAAGGAGCGCTAAACTCGCCGTTTTACTCCCCGAGCAGTTTCACGATCGCGCACAAATGTGGAAAGCACAGATCGTTTGGCTGGCCAGCTGTGCAGTTGTGTAGAAAGAATTTAATATTCATTCGTGTGTGTGTGTGTGTGTTTGTGTGTCCGTGACCTTATTTGCCTGTGTGTGCGAGACTGAGTGGATGTGTGTTTACTCGTGCCGGCCTCACTCTCTGCAGGTAAACAGTCGTGAATTCTGAGGGTTTCTCATCTATGTAAACAAAGTCCTGTATACGTAACATGATATATCAATGTACTGTAATATGCAAGTTAAAACAATAAAAGGATTATTGAGATACGAAGAACGACAGGAAAGAGTTTGTTTGCCTGTTAAGTCAAGACTTTATTTTTATTCATACTCTTGATAAACAATTATGAGCTTTAGTGGAATTATCAAGATTAGAAGACTCACAGTTTTCTGTTAGATGAAGGAAAAACACCAAAAGTTGACATAACTTTGCAAAAGAGGATGTTATAAACCAAGCAAAGACTTTCACTTTTGATTCCCAGAGGGGAGTGAATAAAGATCTCATTTCTTCTGACATATCTAAAGCCAACAGTTATGACTTCAATCCACAAAAAAGTATGAAGGAGTAATCATTAAAAGCAGGTATTTACTGTGTGTGCCAGATGTTTTATGAAAGCGGCATTTCTGATCCAAACGAGAGGTTCAAAACAACAGTGGTACCTCAGTGGTGTTCGCTAATAAATGTTTCAACATCAAATAACATTCCTGAAGGTACAAAAGACCAATAAGGTAAGCTGTTGCCCATGAGGGCCAAGTAGATGGTCAGATACCATTCACTTCATACTGCGAACCAGCAGGTGGCAGTATATGCCCATATAAATACATTAATGAAATAGATAGAGCAAGATTATTACATATAACATGCTGTCATCCCATTTGTTAAACTATTACCACAATTTTCTAAATTAGCGTCTTATTACGTTCAAATTGGCAGAAAACTAGAGAATAAGTACAATCACTCATTTATATTTAATAAATGTTCATTGAGTTAAAAAATCGTACCCGGTTTATAAAGTCTAAGCTGTTTTGCATTAAGCAAAATCGCCCCCTAGTGGCCATTCAAAAAACGCAGGTTTGAGGTACTTAAGGAAATACCAAATAAATAAACTCAATCAACTCAGTTCCTCCATGCCGGCACAAAGACAGTAGCCCTCTTAAATAGCCCAAACAAGCTGTATCAATTATTTTAAATGTTAATGAAGTTTCTAAGCTTTATTTATTTAACCCCAAAATTTATCAGAAAATAGACACTCAAGCATGGACTGGCACAATAATGGATTCAATGTGTAGTTTGATTTTAAAGTTGAAACAATGTCCTATCTGTCAACATGGAGGAGGTTGGCTCTTTGATTTGTACTGCCCCCTGCCAGTAGGGGGAGCTCTAAAAGTTAAAGCTTCACTTTTAGGGAACTGTCATGTCGTTCAGTCTACTGGTATGTGTCAGGGCTGTCACAAAATCACACTTTCATCTCAAGATTCACCATGTTTTAAGACTTGTAGATAAACAATATAAAAATTTAATTTGAGGAAAAGCAAGACAAGGATGGGGCAACACATTACTTCATAAACTCTGCTAATTAACGTAGCTATCTTACATGTTATTACCTATTTCTAATAATATTGAAATTTGTGATTAATCCACATCATTAGCTCGTCATTTTAACTGCTTTTATCACGCCATATGCTACTTCTGGTAGATCGCAAGTGACAGAGTTGAATGAAAACTGTTGAAAGAGCTGTCAGAAAGTAGAAATGTTGCATTGATTAGAAAGCTCTTACATTGTTTTGTGATTCACGATAAATCTTGAAAGTAACTAGAAGAGCCGAATAATGTCCCACTGGGGCTGATTCAGTGAGCTAGCTAGCAGTTCTTCGTCTGTCCTCTCTTTTATTGCGTGTGGCAGCCAGCGACAAGAACGACTATTATGAAGTCATGGGATTAACAGGATATTAATATTATAGCTTTTTAAAAAGATGATATGCGTCAAGCTTCTTTTTTGCGGCGGTTTGGTAAAGAAGCCCCCTGGTGGACACATGAAGAAATGCAGGTTGTAGTTACTTTTTAGGAGCAACATTCACTTTTTAAACCTTGATTTTTTAAAGCAGAATTGTGAAAATTTCAACATTCATTCAAGTGTGTTATCAGGAATTTTCCATGAATGAAAAAGTAGAAATATGAATTTAGAAATTACACTCTCACCTCTCTGTCCCCCTGCAGTGTTGAACGGCCCTCCCATGTCCGTGAAGAAGGAGCGGGAAGCAGAGCTCCTGATCAACCGGCGGGAGCAGCGCAGCGGAGAGGTCATCTGCATCGACGACTAGACTCCACACACACACACATGTATACACACGACACACACACAGAAACACACACTGAAACCCATCTGCTGCAAAGATATCTCCAATTCCTCTCTGAGAAAGTTCTCAAACTTTACTGTCTCTACTGACTGGTACTCTGCTCAAACTGAAATCACACACACGGACACAGACACACAAACCCCTGCAGTACATATTGTCTCATAACTTCTTGTGACCTTTTCTTGTCTGCCTCAAACCATTATACTCCTCATACGCGGCCTCCTCACACAGGCCTCCTCCTCCTCTTGAGATGCTTCTAACCTCGTCTGCACACATTTAACACACGCAAACACGCACTCACACACAAACACACACCACCTCAATTCTAAAAAACCTTTAGATCTCTCAATAGACCATGTAACCCCCTCTCCTCCTCCTCCCTCTCCAATCTCGACAGGAAGCTGCATGTGAAAATCATTTCTCCCGCCGCACTCCATCCCCTGAAGCATGCTCGAATCACGATAATGCTGTCTCGTGGAAAGGAAAAAAGAAAAGCTGTGCCTACGGTCGTTTTATTTCAAATTCTCAGAGAGCGGCTGACCCCTCCGATCTCTGGATCCGAGCAGCTCCCAGCACAGCTCCATCTCTTGTGTTTCAATCTTCATATAAACACACGCAGCAAGACGTGATGATAATATTCAGGAATTGTTCGCCCACGTATATACGAGTATTTCCCGCCATCCTATCTCGCTTCTATCTACGTTCAGATTTCTGTACAGAGCTTTGAGGTATTTTGGGGGGTTTGTTCCAGAAAAAGCCTCGTGCTATTTTTCAGAAAACCTCCTTTGAATGTTTATAACCTTTCATAAGCAAGTCAGTGTTATTAAAACCGATTGATCGACCCCAACACTCCTCCCCCCTTCCTCTCTCTCTCTTCTTTATCAGTCCTTTTTTTCCGTTTCCAATTTTTTTCTTTCTCCAAACCTGTGATATACTTTGCATATTTAAACCGCTCATTCGTGTTCTCTTTGTGTTTCTACTCTCGCAGTTATGAGTATCGTTGTCGTTGATGTTGCCGTTGTTCTCGCTGTTGCTATTCGAGGAAGAGCTTCTACCAAAAGAGACATTTTTTTTTCGTGTGCGCGCGTGTGTTTAAAACGATAAAAACATGTGCGACACACGATGCACCTCCACGCCATGTTTGTCCTATAACTACAAGAGAACGCAAACGAAGAAGTTGAGCTAACTTCAGAGGTAGATATATTACAAGAAAGCTACTTTTTTCTCGCTTATGTTTTAGATCTGGGGCTTGCAAATGACATATACACATGTAGAAAATAGGCCATATGTAACCCTTAAAGCCTCCCTAAGCAAAAAACAACTATGTATACTATCTAACCTGCATTAAAATACAAGATAATTATCTGAAAAATCCAAGGCTGGAAACCCATTTTGTAAACCGTATCATTAAAAAACGCCTTAATAAACTTAGCTGAACAAATGTAAAATAATGAAACTGATTTAAGACCCTGATGTCAACTGTTAATCCTCGTCAGTCTGCTTTGAGTTAAAAACGGAGATAGTAATTTATTCCCCAATCCCACTCATGTAACGCTAATCCTCCCCAGGGAATGCTCAGTCCATTTTCCAAAACTTTGTTCCATCGAAAAGTTTTTGCAACCCTTGAACTAAAACGTTGTAAAAAAAACAAAAAAACAAACAAGCACTTAGTTCTTTTTTTTTTTCCACTTCTACTTTGTCCTTTTTTCAGATTTTTGTGTTAATTTCTTGGTATCTCGTGTCACTGTGTATGTAGTGGTGCCGATCAAATGATGAGTGGCAGTTAAAACATGTCAATGATGACGCATCTCCTGTTTTTTTTTTTTTCTTTATTTTTTTTTTGTTTGTAATAAAACTGAATCAAATGATAAAGAAGGTGAGAATTTCTTTATTTTGACTTAATTTGGCATGATGTGTCGCCGGCATTATTGTTAGCAACTTTTGGTGTTGAAAACGAAGCCTGTAAAAGGGTTAAAAAATGTTTAAAAAACTCTTCACAGGAACTTTAATGTAAAAGACTAAATCCATTTGTGGCCCATTTTTTGGTTAGGTCCTTTGTGTTTTCAACCTTACCTAAACCACAAATGTTAGCTCGTGGTATAAATTCATCAGAACAACACAGTCTTTGTGAAACAGTTTCTCTGCTAAAAATGGTCTCTTGACTGAATTTTGAAATCGACACTATTAGCTTTCACCTACTGTGAAGACAAGAGATAAATGCTGCGTTCGAGTTACCTCGGAAGTCAGAAGTCCAAGCTGGGAATGACGTCACACCGGGGTTACCAGCGTTTCAGTTACCAAGTTTTTTTAGCGCTTGCCATCTCCTGGCTTAGCAAAATCGGAGGCAGAAACAAGATGATTACATTTATGAAAATTAAATTGGCGCTTGCCATGTCCTTGCATATATTCCGACAAGGCAAGCGCTTGAATAACTTTTGTAGATGTAGCCATCTTGTTTTCACCTCTGATCTTGCTTTCTTCCGACTCAGGCTGGCAACCTACTGTGAAGCCAAGAGATGAATGCTGTGTTCAAGTTACCTCCGTAGTCAGAAGTCTGAGCTGGGAATGATGTCATACCCAAGTTACTAGCGTTTCAGTTACCAAGTCAGAAAAAAGCAAAATCAGTGTCCTTGCTTATATTCGGACAAGACGAGCGCTAAAATAACTTTCGTAGATGTGGCCATCTTGTTTCCACCTCCGATTTTGCTTTCTTCCGACTCATGCTGGTAGCTCGGGTGTGACGTCATTCCCAGCTTGGACCTCCGACTTCCGAGGTAACTCAAACGCAGCATTAGAGCTCCCTCTACTGACTGGCTGCAGTATAGGTCATAAGCCCCGCCTCCCCATTAAATGATGTCTCAGATGTGGTTTCATTTTCATAGTTAGTCCTAAAAATACTGCTTTATTTCCAATCACTCATTTTTCTAAGGTGTGAACTTTTGATGAGTTATTGGATTTTTTTTTTAAAAAGAGGGTGTGGCATCATGATTGACAGCTCTATTGACAAATGAGGAGTATAGACTAATCATTTTTTAGCCCTTCACACTCGAGCTGCTGTTGAGGCTGTTTCACGACACAATTTGGAATAACTTTAAAAAAAAAAACAATACGTTTATTCGACATGAAGACGAGCAGGGTGAGAAGAAAATAAAAACAGTCAAGGCATTGTTGCGTACATCATGATTTTCAAGATTACTTCACACAAGACTTCACACGAATTTCAAAAGTGTTAATAAACTTTGACATATACAAAAATAGGAATTGGTGCAGGGAAGTGTGCAAGACTGAGCGTCCGTGTGTGTGTGTGTGTGTGGAGGAACAGGCATGTTTTTCCTCAAAGGCCTTCAGCTATGTGGTTCAGGTTCAGATTCAGGAAGTGAAAATTTAGATGGCTGCTGGTGTGAGTGTGTGTGTGTCTGTACGCAGAGGACACTCAGGGGACTAAGTGTGTGTATGTCTGTGCGTGTGCGGTCTGATCGGTGCTGACAGGGAAATTTGAGGTACACGGGGGCGTGGGGTTGGTGTGTGGGCGAATAGGGTACTGAAAGGGAAGAGGAAAACTATGAGGAAATCAAACAGGATATATCGTCTGCTCTTAAAAATCAGACTTTTCTTTTTCTCTTTTCTTTTTTTTTTTCCATTCGCAAACATGAACGTTTGGCTCCAATTAAAAACACAACGTTCGCTGCAGTAAAGTGCTGAGGAGAAACCAATGTGGTCTGTCCACAAAAACTACTTATAAACAAGAGTGGGTGTGCTTAACCCACTGCTAGAAATACACACTGTTTGCATTGTAGCGAGGAATATTACAGAAAGCAGCAGCAAAATACAAGAAAATGGAAAAAAAATCAACCGCCTTTAGAGAAAGATCGTCTCTACTGACGTTAAAAAGGAGAGTACGTACGAGAACTACGGGTGCGGGTTGGGTTTTGTCGATATTAATCCAGATCAGGTGTTTGGCTTTACCTAGGTTCGATTTCGAAAGTTTTCTTTGGTGATCAAAAGGTCAAAACTATCACTGAAATATCTGGTTAAAAGTTCCTTATCCGTACTGGATGCGAATGGCTAACTCGCGATAGTTTTAAGATTAACCAAACAATGTGAAAGTGACGATTATTGTGCCGTTAGAAGGATAACAAAGTCAGAAAAGAGAGAGGGACAGAGCTATATTTAAAGCTGTAATAACAAGACTCCATCAGTTAAGCCAGAACTATACACAAAAACACCTTACAATCAAAAAGAGCACAAATTCACATCCATGTTTCTCAACGTCCCCTTCCTTTCTATGCTCCTTCTTACTTGATACGTACGTTTATAAAAAAGTGTGTGAAGTACATACAGAGTATTTGAAGAAGAGACAAAGTAACTTCACACTTTTTTTTGCATTGAAAGATCATAAAATCAGTAAAAAAAAAATGCTTGATTCATAAGATTTCACAAACAAAATATCACTGACGACTCATGTAGGCTGTTTATAGTGTTGGGATGTAACATTTGCAGACGTGCTCTCAGCTTCTTCAGGCTGATGATAAAAAAAGTGGAAGGTGCAGCTTTACTATCTTATAAAGAGAGTGTAAGCACGTTTTATGACTTGATAAGAAGGCTGTTTTCCTTTTCATAAGAGGTTCTCTCTCTACATCCATCAACTGTTCTCCCGGCAGACATTCATCGAGGCATTTTTTGTCCACTTTGTGTCTTGGTTTTAATCCAAAAGTCTGTTTTTTTTCCGTTCCAAAACAGCACAGCTGTCCAGAGAAAGAAAATTCCACAACAACTTCCACAAATGTCGGGTCTGTCTTTCAAATTAACGTCTTTGGGAAGAGACTGTGGCACGGTTTTATGTCCTGATTGCTCATGACCGTTTCAACCACGAAGAAAAGAATGTCATCCGCATAAAAAAAAGTGACTTTTCCGGCCCCAGCTGAGACTCCAAGGTTCAGTTGACTTTAAAGATGCTGAAGATGTGAGGCGAGGCTGAGGGATTGCTCACAGTGTGGAGTCTGAAGGAGGGGCCCGTGATGGCCTGGAGCTCGGTGCCTCGGTCCAGCCGCAGCAGGCCGGACACCTGGCACGGCTTCAGGAAGTGGAAAGGGTGCGGCCCGGCGGAGGGGGTCGTCCCGTATCCCTCCATGCACTGCAGCTTCTGAGGCCTCTGTCCGCTGGTCACCACGTCCAGCTTCACATACTGAGACTGCTGCTCATTGAACAACACCTGGAGAGACACAGAGTACAATCCTCGTATGATTTATCCGGTTCAGCAGAGCAGAACTCGAAAACTAACCAGACGTCCAGGATTTCTAAAGTCCCTCTACGGTTGTTTTGTCTCTCTGTCTTTGGAAAGAGTTTCACTGGAGGGCTGTCAACTTGACAAAACCAATGTCTGGCTACAGGAGATTAGCCACAACATGATATCCCAACTCCAGGAAATATGACACATCGCAGTGCAGTGTGTCTTAAAAGGAGGCTGTTTGTTATACAGCTGCACAGAAATTAAAACGACATCCAAGAGTCTGTGGATCACACAGGAAGCTTCTCTGTACTTCTGGAAGCGAGGAGCATCACTTTCTGTCTTTGTTTCTCTTTTTTTTGAGTAAAGGTCCTTACACACCGGGAACGACAGCCTGACTACATATCAAGCACAATGCTATTTTGAGACTTTCCGGGGGGAAAAAAGACGCGTCCCGGGTGGAAGCGAGAAGACTGACACAAAAGTAGACTGACTGTTTTTCAGTTCTGATTAGACACTAGTGTTGAGATGTCTGTCTGTCATGATAGCATGTACTGAATCAGGAAAGTCGTAGAAATTAAAATCCATAACTGTAAGGTAACAACCAAGACCTAATGGTGCTGTGAAGGGAAAATACATATGGTGTGTTGTATCTGAACAGGTTAGCTTACGAGCTAAAGTTACTTAGTACAGATGAAAGTTAAAACAAAGACGTTTAGCAAACTGTTTAAGCACATAAACTATTCTCCGACATGTAAACAATCAGCCGGTCGGCCATGTTGGATATACCAGTGAATCTGATGTCGCAACAACACGCAATCTGATTGGTCAGAAGTGGACACACAGTACGCGAAACTTTAGAAAAATTGACTGTGATACGAAAAAATAAATGCTGCAATATCGCAGGACGGGAAAACATCGCTGATTTGAACGCTTGTATTGACAGGATATGGGTTCGGAAAAAAAATATTGACGTCCGAAATTATTGCATGAAAACAACGCTCCCGGTGTGAAAGGACCTTAACTGAATCAAAATGAAATGCAGATTTAAAGCTCCCATGAGGAACTTTTGGTTTGTGTCATTTTTGGCGCCCCCCTGTGGACAAATCTTATCTTGTCCTCTTAATTAGACATTCATTTTACAATATAAACCTTGTATTCGATGGTCTTGCTTGCCTTTTTATATATGAACTTAAATCTATTCCATGAACATTAAAAAACTCCTTATAGGAGCTTTAATGGTTGAATTGTTTTTAGGGCCCTTCAGAGACACTTATTTGAGGTATTCAACATGTGTTAGGACTATTTCATGCCTCCTAAACACCACCTACATCGAGAAATCTTAAAATTAATTCTTAAGAGCTTTTTTTTGGAAAACAGCTTATTTGACCTACGCGTTTCGGCCACAAGCCAAATAAAGCTGTTTTCCAAAAAAAAAGCTCTTTTGACCTCTTTCAGATCCTTTCTCTCTAAGCACCTTGGAAGTTGGTGAAGTCAAAGAAGCTTTTTTCCCCTCCTTTTTCAGACATGTACGCTGCTTTGTCTGAAAAACATCATCTGCTTGGCTTCGTAAATTGTGATTCCTCCCTAACTGGTTCAATTTACTTATAAAACACACTTTTATTCGATCCATTCCTGCAGCTTTTACATCGACAGGGTGATTGTAGTTCAACGCCGTTAAAGAAAACTACATCTCCCAGCACAAACTCACCTGACAAAACAGGAAGTAGACCCCTGCTTTCTCCACAGTGAAGGTGCCTTGGTCCTTGTTGTACCTCACCGCTTTGCTCATATTCAACGTCCTCTCCTCCCAACCTTTGATCACACCTCCTTCTCCAACTAAAACACACACACACACACACACTCCAGGTTAGACCTCTTACAGGTAGAAGTCTCACAGGTAAGCCTCATTTTTCCACTCTTACCTTGCTGAGAGGAGACTTTGGTGACTGATGGAGCGAGGGGAACAAAAAAAAGAAGAGACACGGACAGAGAAAGAAAAAGGGAAAGTCAATTAAGATTTTACGAGCGCAATGGTATCGGGGTCTGTGATTGAAAACCACTTCAGCAGATGCTACACGAGACGGCTGTGAGGGATCTGCCAAGCCACTTACTCTCGAAATGAGACGCCGCTTTCTTTCCGTTCCTTCCTCGCAGCGTCCCCCCTTCAGGAGGCAAAAGAGAGACACAACATTAGTTTGACTGGCGGGGCGCATACTTGTGGCTTTTTTTGATAAAACAATCATCCTCGTAATAACGCTCTGTGTGTTAATTTGTGGGCGCTTCCATTTTGGCCGCTTATAACGCGGCGAGCAGATGGGCAAAGGATTTCCTTTCACGTGCTTCGGTATATTTCCTCTAAGTATTATTTTCAGGCAGGAGCGTGTGCCTCCTTTTTCCTTTTTTTTTCTTCTTTCCTGCGGGGGCTAATCTTAGTGCCAGCTGGTCGCAGTCATGTAGAAAATACAGCAGACAGAGAAAGAGAGAGAGAGAGAAGAGGGGATGGAGTGAAGGAGGAAAGTGAAAGCTTTTAATACGAGACGAAGCTAAATAAGAGAAATGAAGTGCCGGAAAAAAGGGGGAGTCAAAAAGGTCTCTGGCTCGGGAACAGAGTGAAGCAACTTCTTTTGGATAAATACAATAAATAAAATACAAGTCTGAGCTGCAGGAAAGCTGCTCTCGTTTCCCCTCTAAAGAGCTGTTTTAGCTTCGGCCTACTGGGAGCTTTCAAACACTGATACAACTCATACGCCGAGCGTACGAGCTGTGAAGTAAATGCTTTATGTTTCGAGCAGGAGCAGCCAAACAGGGGGCCCCTGCCGTCAGACTCGAATACTGAGCCCCTGCTGAAATAACTCGCAGGTGGGTGACCCTGTAGATTCAGGATTCGCTATGGCTGAGCGTTAAGCCCTCGGGCTGGCCTGAGTTTCCTGACTGGAGCTGTCAGTCAACTGGAGGGAACATAACAGCAGTGTCCTGGTGGTCAACTCTCTGCAAACTGGAAAAAGCTGCTCGGGTTTTCTCCGTCTTGATAGCAGCTTCGGAGTTTCAGAACTTTTTTATGCATTTTGGAAAAGAAAGAGAGGATTCAGGATTTCTCTCTATAGGTGTTTTGGCAGAGAAGGGAAGATCTTTACGTGATTCACTTTCTCGAATTTTTAGCTTTCAGCAGAAAAAAAGCGCCTCAGAGTTCACTCTCGGCCAAATGTGAACAATCGAGCCATCTCGTGACGGTGACGCAAGCACCGGCCTAAAAATATAGCAATGATAGGTCATCAAATACCACCGCTTTCACAACAAATCATAGCTGTGTCAGTGGTGTGCTCAGAGGGGGGCGAAAAAAAGAAATCAATTTCACTGCCCAGAAGCGTGCAACAAGGCCCCGCTCCCGCGCCAGCTGGTTTTGTGGGCTCCGAGGGCCGCTCCGGTCAGACCTGTAATTTCTGCAAATCCAGCTGCCTACTTTTTCCTGTGTCAACTTTTAGCAGCGGGTAGTGCCTGCTGCGGCCCCGCTAGACCTGACCAAAGTGGCATGTGGGCCAAGAGTGGCCGGCGTTTGTGTTAAATGTCCTGCCCAAGAAAAACAACACAGTGCATTTGGTGAGTATTGTGTCCCTCTGTGTCTCTAGGGAGGACTTTTAATTTGAAATACCGTCTCTTTTCACTCGCTGGCCCACGAGCAGCTCCCGCTTCTCCAGAATGAGCTGGACGATGGCTTTCCTCTGCGTGTTGACCTGCAGGGAGAGAGAAAAGCGCCATTAACACACTCCACCAATGAGTTTATTATGACTTGTCTCTGACTCCAGCCCCGCAGAGACGCATAAACAGTCAGGGTGGGAGGAAAATCGGTTCGCATAGGTATACTGATTTATGTTTTACAATTCAAAAATCGATTTTTATGTTCAAATTTGGCCATTTTTGACGACTTTTGGTTTTCTTTACCTTGCCTTGCTTGGTGTCATTTTTTTCAGCACAACCTCACCTGTGTGGATTTACAGTTTTATCATTTTTGACATACTGTATTAACACAGAGGATCTAAATTCACACTCAAAACACAAAATCCAAGTGGGAAAAAAATTATATGTTTTACTGTGAAAACCACAAATATGTTTAACGAACCATTTTCATAACTTAGACTGCAAATATAAATTGTAAACTCTGAAACATATGTACAATTTTAGCAAATATCAGGATAAGTATGACGTACATAATTTATCATAAGTCTGGTTTTGTTTGGTCTATCAACACGATTTAAAAAACTGATATATAGTTTGAGGTCCTCACTTTGGAGACTAGTGATGGGCACGGCAGTTCTTTTAGATGAACTGAATCAGTAGAATCAGTTCACTAAAAAGAGTCGTTCAAAAGATTCGTTCACCAAATCACCGAATCATGTAGCACTTGTCGGGAGAAGCCTGCAACTCCGACCTCCTGAACTGATACTCAGCTGAATGGTTCAGGATTCAGCTTCTGCGACCAGGAGACGAGACTGTTTTGCTGTGTTGCTTTGGCAAACAGGTTTGTAAAAATCAACTTGTTTATAAGTCATGATGTTTTAAGTGTACAGTCCTATGGAATGTTATTTATCAGGTCTGTTCGGTAAATTGGGCTGAGTGAGTGATTCTTTCACTGAGCACTACTTGTTACATGCTGTGTCCTATTGTATGCGAGTCATTGTGGTGGCAATTCAGCAGTGAAAAAAAATGTAGATTTGTCTGACAAAAATGATTCCAGAGAGTGTAGTTCAATGCGTTATTCGTTCAAGTGATTCAGGCGTCGGTGCATGCGGTCCCTCGTTCACCGGCTGCACGACTGGCAATGCTGTTTCTCACTTCGGCTCAACTGAAGTGAGAAACGAACGAATCACTCGAGGAAGTGATTCGGTTTAGCATGGTCACTTAAAAGATTCGGTCCTTTTGAACGAATCGTTCGCGAACGGCACCACACTATTGGAGACAAGTTGAAACGGAGACTCAGCGAGGCTCCGTCTTGCGGCTACATCCACTTAAATATGTCACGTGATTTTGACGCTCCAGAGGGGTACGAATAAATCTTCAAAACTGACTTACATATAATGTATATTTTTTGGGGGGAATATGGTTCCTAAAATAGTCAGCAGACAATCATAATCATTCAAACTAAAGACTAAAGATCGAGAAAATCGACAATATCGTAAAGGAATCGAATCAGGAGAAAAGCATATCGTCCCAGCCCTAATAAACAGGCCTGTCTTTACCGTTTCCCTGCCCCTGCTAGTTTTAGCATCAGCCCACCACTTCCTCAGAGACCGGTTGCGACATCTAATGCATGTTTTCGGTGCTTTGCATTCCTCACATGTCTTTACTCCCTTCTTTCTGATTTCTTTTTGTCAAGGCAGCAAAGTTTTGAATCCTCTGGCAGAGGGCCCGCTGAGTGACCAGAGGAGGCCTTTGAGGAGTTTAGGAGGAAAAGAAGAAAAAAAAAAAAAGAGTGTGTTTAAATTTACTGCTACTGTGGAAATAAAGGCAGCGAGTTGCTCTCCAGACGTTCACTCGCTGGCTCTCATCAGGAGTTGGCCAACGGTCAAATGGACAAGACGGGGGCCCCTTGGGAGAGCTCCAGCATCAACACTCCACGTGGCCAATCTTAGGGTGTTAGAGTGTGTGTGAAGAAGTGAGAGAGAGAGAGGGGAGAAAGGTGTATGTGTGTGTGTATGTGAGTCCAACCTGTCCCCCTGATCTCAAATCCAGCACAACCTGGTTTTGGAAATATTTGGAAAGCAGAAGAATTTCCATCAGCTCCTCTTGGCTGAAACGATTTGCCGCGTGATGCAACTCATGCTGGAAAGTAACACTTCTCTGCAAAGTGCATGAAAGCTCTCAGCTGCACATGCATGACTCTGCAGAGGCTGAATTCTGCACATTTCACCCATCCTGCCTCTCCATGCAGCTCTGTGATTTACACTTGCTGCACTCTTTTCTCCTGCTGCTGCTGCTGCACTCACTTGAGTATATAGTGCTCACGTGCCAAATAGTTGAGGCTTTCCAGTAAATTGAGATAAAACTGGAGCACAACTGGCACCAGACTAATTAAACATGGCGGGAGGAGGAAGAGGAGGAGGAGGAGGAGGAAGGAAGGGGGGCAAAAATAAGCTGTAACTCCACCACAACTTGACTGCAGTTATTGGTAAGCAATTAAAGTGCCAAGCAGAGAAATGGTGCAATAAGAATAGAGTACGTGCAAGAGAGGGGGAGAGGGTGGGTGAAGTGTGTGGAATTGCATTTTTCCACGCACTTAACCCCCGCGAAGTCTCCACGCAACCGCAGTCATGAAAAGTTACATAAAGAGTTTAATTTCTGCAAAAGTTTCAAGAGTTATTTTACGCACAAATACGCACGCTATTAATCCCGATTTAAAGTGTGATACTGACCTGCTCGAGTCGGTCCTGCAGGACTTTAAAGGACTGCGACAGGTCCCGCGTCTGCCGCCAAGTCCACGCCGTAAACAGCGCGCTGCACGCGGCCAGAGACAGCGCCACCAGGGCGAGAGAAGCCCAGACGACCCGCAGCTTGCGCACTCGCCTCCTCTGCAGAATCCGATGCATGTTGCTGCAGACCGCACTGCTCCCGCTACTCCTCACCGACCATCCGAAACCCTCTCCGCTTCAACTCCATTCCAGCAGCAGCAGCAGCGCGTGAAGTCCCTCCACAAGCGTCTCCGTCCAAATGTCCATTTTGGCGACGCGCGGCTGGACACGCTACAGCTGCTCTTTTTTCCCCGAGACGCGCGGATCCCTCTGATGGATTTAATATGACAGATGAGGGGTTTAAAGCAAGAAAACATCCGCTCCTTCCTCCACGCACATCAGAGACACCATCATCCGTGAGCGCGCGCCGTCTCCAAACGCCAGAAAAACTGGGCAACTCGCGCACATCAACTGTTGCATCCTTCTGCTCGCGATTCGTTGACTCAGCTTTCTTGTCTTCCCTTTAAACTGCGTGCTGGGGGGTCACTCTATTAGACAGGCTGAGCACACACACACGCTGACACACACTTACACACACACTCACACTCATATAAACACACGTCGACTCGGAGGTGAACTTTCCGCGCGCCCTCAGACTACTTTAGATGTAGAGATAGCCGCGTGCATCCGCCGTAAAAATCCACACGGGGACCGCAACGAAAACATACGACGCGCACCGGAGCTTCCTCTGCTGCTCGAATCACTTTCATCAAGTTGCATGCCGTGAAAATATGTGCCATTCACGCGTGTGACACTTCCGATTGTGTCCACACGGTGGCAGTGATGTATAGGGAGAAAATCAGCAGACTGGTGTGTTTGGGTGATGAGTATTGAGTGTGTGATCTACAGGTGGGTCAAAACTGACATTTATCCCAACGAAAAAAAGGGGGAAAGGCTACTATTTTATTCATTTTGTTAATTTTACATTTTACTCATAGAATATTTTTTTATGTCATTATTCACGTCTCAATACTGTAAATTTGTCCTTTTGTGCGGTGATAGTGAATGAAAGGGGGGCATTATTTCAAATATGTCCTACATACACTCTGAAAGCAGCAGGGGCAAAGATAGATTTTTCACGGGCCATGGGCCTCAATGGATAGGGGCCCCCCTTTCCCCCATAAATACTGTAATGTTGTATTTCTTTGCATGCTGCTGCCTCTATCGTACTAGATCTTGTATTGAAGCACAGTCTCCTTTCTCTTTTGCTGATTCCTTGATTTGATTTCTCCTTGTAAAAACCGAGTCTATTGACTGCTGTGGGGTGATGCAGCTCAAGGAAGAACATTTATGATCATTTCTTCATGGAAATGCAATCAGACTGAGACGCTAAGGCAGAAGAACTACTGCGTCTGCAGTGCAAAATGATTGATATGATAATTATTTCTTCAAGGCAATGATAAAGAAATGATCATAAATGTTCTTCCTTGAGCTGTGACACCCCGCTGTAGTCTCACTACAAACAAGCGGCTGCTGGAGGAGAGTAGGTGAGTTGTGTTTAGTCTCTTTTCTAAAGAAATTAGTCAAGGTTAAAAAGATGTTTGGTGGCTAGTGCTGTGGCTAGGACCCTATATGTACTGTTGATGAAGTTAGGTGCTGTTCTGAGCATTATTTGTGGCTATAGAGTGGCTTTGCTATCGTAACTTAAGTTGGTATAACTAGAGAAGCAAGCGGTCAGCAACATTCATCTCTAGAGGGGGTGTCTAACTCGGTGTTACAGTACGCTTGACCCTAAATTAATTTTATGCCGGAATATCCCTTTAAAGGAGAAACAAAATCTCCCTCGTTTTACATTAACAAGAAAATTATCTTAGAATTATAAGAAAGTTTCATGGATAAAAAATTGCTTTTATTTTCCTATTAATTCAGAAAAATAGACGTCTTCCTCGTTGATATACTTTAGCGTGGGGTCGTTTGAGGTCCTCCAAAGAGTGATTGGGTCGTATTTCTCACAGGGATGGATGCTGGTCGGCTCGGCCCCTCTGTTTGAGAAACTGGAATGTAAGCAAGGCTCCTCTCATGACTCTCCGTCCAACACTTCTGTGAGTACAAGTGTACGGTCTGCTCTATTTGGAAATTTCTCAGGGCTTTACTGATCCCTTCAATAATCCCATTAAGCCTATTGTCAAGTGAACTCAACACAACGACACAGTCACACCACAGATCACTTTATTTAACTGCAGTCTGACAGATTTTATTCCTCAGTGTAAACTGAACAGAGCAGTCAAACAAGGACATTGGTAAACAGTGAAACACACTCGTAGTGTTCAGGAATGGGTGCCAACAGGTGGCCTAGAATACAACAGACTCTCATGCAGGTTCTAGTTTCTAAATGTGACGTGTTTTTACTCTTTCTTAATATCCGATCATGTGAAAAACCTGTGAATCCATTATCGGGTCAACCTTAATCAAAGAACTGCTATGCTTTTTAGTAGTTTGATGACATTTGTATGATGTTATGAAGCCCTTTAAAAACTCAGTGGATGAGGTGATTTTAAAGTCAACTTCCTGGATTCATAAGATTTTCACTCAGCTTTTCTTTTAACTCTTTCAGGGACGAAATCAGACCCATAAAAAAGGCCTCTAACTCCTTACAATATCAACTAACACATTTGAAATAGTGATTTGTACAAAGACCTCACAAGTCGCGGAAATAACCCCACTCTCAACCTTTCACCGTCTGTTTAAAAATTATACACAACCATCACACTAAAAATCAAAGTTTCAAACAGTTAATCAGCCTCGTCTTTTGTACAGAAACATTGCTCTACTCGTGAAGTTTATTGCAAATATTTGACAGGAATCAAGGTTGAACTCCAACTCTATGCATCCACGCTGAGAGCGAGTTGTATATTTTTATAGCTGCGGGTTTGGCATCGAGTTATAGTTGCAGACAATGGCAGCTATAAATATCCCTTCATGATCCCTTGGGCTGTATGTTGATTTTTTGGCTCACGCTCACCCTGTAGCACATTAAACAAACTTGTCTGTATATATTGCACATTGAATCAAACATACCTGAATATTTCACCACCTTACACCCATCGTTTAAAAAAAAAAAAGGAAATTAAATAAAAACTGCAAACTCTTTGAATTATTTTGCGAAGGAAGTCTAAAAAGACACGAAAATTGCAAAACCTGCAGAGGAGGGTCAGCGGTTCTTGCTTGTTTAGAGCTCGAGAAAACAAACTAAATATAACCCGCAACTCAGACTGTTTTCATTAAATTTCTGGAAATGGTACGAAGAGTTAAAAAAAAAAAAAAGTAGACTGGATATAAAACAGAAGTACAGACCAGTATTATTCCCCTAAAGACACAAACTCAGTCCACTCAAAAACCTCTTAAATCTCCTCAGACGCATACCTCTGAAACCAGGTTGAACCCGAGTCACTCTAACTCTTTCACTAAGTGAGGAAAACAGTGCAAATATCAACATTGTGCTTCACAACAGCTTCACAGAGCTCCTCATCTGGAAGACGATGGGAGAGATGACTAACTCTTTGGTTGCTGTTGACATAGTTGAAATGAATTTAAAGGGATAGGACACCCAGATCGTCTATCTTTACAGACACTCATACAAAGAATGTACAACTTGGCTTTCCAGTGCATAATCCTTTCATAGATGTTTGTGCAAAACAAGGTTTTAATTGTGGTTTATGAATTATTACAATGAACAAATCTCTCCATTAACCCCATTCACGCTCCTGTCAGACCCTCCTCATTGACATTTATTCTATATTATTAACACTTATTTGTTTTAACACATGAATCAAAGGTGCTCTAGGTCGTAATGTGTCACATAGGTAAATACAAAACACACGTTTAAGTGCCTCAATTGTGTACTATTGAAATGTATTGCAAAGGCCCCATTCCAATACTTTTTTTTTGTGTGCATCCTTTCGCTGAATGCTCAGCTAAATGACTGTTTCTTAACCCCTTTTGTAATCCCAACAAAGCAGGTCAACTAAGTTTTTTGTTGAGGCTTGTAGTGACATCTAAAATATCAAAAATGCAGAACTTGAAACTCCTGTGAGGACCTTCCAGTTTGAGTTCACTTTGGCGCCCCCTGTGGACAAAACAGGCATCGCTTGTCTAAAGGTCCTCTCACACTCGGAGTTTTTTTTAATGCCGTTATTTCGGACGTCAAATTTTTTTTCGAACCCGTGTCCTGTCAATACGAGCGTTCACATCAGCGACGTTTTCTCGTCCTGCGATATTGCGGCATTTATTTTTCGGTTCATGGGCGCGTCAAAATTCGCCTCCGAATATTTCGTAATTTCGCGTTGTATATTTGCATCGTTCCCGGTGTGTAAGGACCTTTAGACTAAAACTGACTTTATAAAAATGGTCAATTTGGTCACTGATGGTTTTATTTGCCTGAGTATATCATAACAATGCATCAATATGAATTTCAGTTTGTTTCGTTTACTTCAAAAAAACTCCTCACAGGAGCTTCATCTGCAAGGACAAAAACAAATACTGCCCAATTATTTCAAAGTAAAGCAACCAGGGCATCAAATTTTACAACTCTTGTCATAATAGTGGCCAAAATACTCAAACAAAAAATATTGCAAAAGGAATCCCTGTGACAAGAACTTTCCAGAGAAATAAATATGATATGTAATAAATATATTTTGATATTTTAACTGTTTTGTGTTTAGGCTGCTTTCTGTCCAGTCATGTAAAAACATGCTTTTATTTTGAAATAACGCAAACAGCCTCATGTAGATCTGAATGTAAACAGCTAGAGCCGTTAAAAACTATAAAGGACTAATCACTTTCACAGTGTTAGCACATACTAATTTTTGTCATAATATTCAGACTGTTATTATTAGTACTATTTAGGTGAGTTAGCATCGGCTCATTAGCCATTAACAGATGCTACAGTTACAGTTACAGTCAATTATTTCCTTAATCTTCTTTTTTTGGGCCATCACTTTATTATCGATTGTCATGGATAAGTATTGGAACGGGGCCACTGTATCCCTGCACTGTGTATGTCAACCTTAACGCCAAAAGGTGTTGCCGTCATCAGCCAGGTGTTGGCTTAAGGTTGGGCCAGGTGCTCCAGCGCTTCTCCCTTGCAACTCATGTAGTGGTAGCCCATGTCGGTCGTAACATCGGTGCAACCCTGGTTGAGGTAAAAGTCCATAGATGATTTGTTCCAGTCCAGGACGGTGAAGTTGAGCTGGCCACAGCCGGCGGCCAGGCCAAGCTACGACACGGCAAAACGAAAGGGTCAGGGTTAGGACGAACGAACCTTAAATTTGACTGTTCCAGTTTAAAAACAGATCGACGTTTCACTCACCTGCGCCACCTTGCTCATCAGGGCTTTACCGATACCCTTCCCTGAAAGACACAAGCTTCAGTTAACTTCAGATTTTACACTTTGACTATTAATCTTTACTCTAAAACAACAATCAAATGTATTTCCGAGACAGTCATAGTACCTCTAAACTCTGGCATCACGTACAAGTCCTCCATATAAACAGCTCTGCCTGACCACGAGCTGTAAGAGTAGAAATAAAGTGCATAGCCGATCTTCGTATGACCTGAAAGCAAACAGTTAAAAAATGTAAAATTTAGTGAGTTTCAGATGTCCTTTTTGGAAGAAGTGGTATTTTTGTGTTTACTGATTTTGTCCTGTACACTTGAATTGTTTTTTTTTTTTTTATCCGTCTTTATTTAAACACTCCGAAGACTCGCTCGCTGAAACTCTTTGTCATGTAAAATGTAAACAAAGGCTGTTTTGCTTCAACTGACGCCTACCCTTCCCGCCAGTGGTTTCAGACGCCAAAATTAACTTTATAAAAATAGTCGGTCTCTATTTGGACGGTTTGGTTTGCTTTTGCAGGTTATAAAAAGAAGTCTGTATTCATTCCATTGTTTTCACAACAAGCTAAAAACTGCTCAGAGGAGCTTTAAAAAGAGCGCTTAACTCGTTAAAACTTTTGACCACTTTTGACCACTCTCTTGTTGTTTTCATAACAAAGTGTGAATTGTTCTTAAAGTGTATTTTTGACCACTAGAGGGCAGTGATAAAACACCAACATTAAAAAATAGCATTCTTAGCCTTGTAAGTAAATATGGCTAACAAGCTAGCAAGACATGCACACATACCATGTTTGGTTTTTGCGCAACTCCTTCGATTGAGCTTTAGCTACTTATTACTTGATTTTGCTAACAGCTGGTTGCTAACTCGTCTGACGCGTGGCTAGGCAGCTTACTTAAAACGGTTAATAAGTCTGTTTTGCCAAAAAACTAAAACAAAGCAGACGATTTGTACGGTTTAAATACAAAACTAGCTTGAAGATGCTACAGACTATTTAGTCGCAAAAACGCAGATTTTCATCATCTTGTTTCACCGCTAAGTCCTGCTGTCTCATCACTTCTTTTAAAGCCCCCGTGAGACATTTTGGGACATTTATAAAATAGACCAAAGTTCATGTTGATGCCTTTTTATGATGTACAAAAGCAAAAAAAAAAAAAAAAAAGACCTTTAGCAACAAGCATCAAAAACTGTTAGTTAAGCATGTTAAGGACAAGATAAACAAAGACTGCTATGTCCACAGGGGGCGCCAAATTGACATAAACCAAATGTTACTCACAGGAGCTTTAAGACAATACTTCACCTGAGCTGTACGGTCCAGTAGGACTGGGCGATTATATGATCATGATAAATTGCAGTTCGATCACGGTGATCAGTTGTGAACTTATTTACTCGACATGGCGAAAATGTGTCGAGCTTCGCATTTCTGTAAATTGACGGAGAAGTAAACAGGGACAGTAAACAGAATGACCAATCGTGGAGCTAAACGCGGAGCTGAGGCCAGCAAAATAGATGTCAGCTATGACTTTGAATCATCCTCAGAGGATGCGATCATTGAGACGAAAAGTTATTCAGTGTCGGTTGTGTTGTTATTGCACATCGGCTGTTAATTAAGCCGATGTGCAAGATATGTCGGCGGTCTGTGCCCTTAAAAACCAGCAACACAAACAGATCTGTTTAATCATTTAAAGAGTGATTATGCGAAAAGCATGAAAATGGGAGCAGAGTCTGTACAGCCTGTCACTGCTGACGGCTCAAGTCGCATTCGCAGTTTAGCCACAACTAGCGGTGCAGCTACTAGACCAAAGCAGCAATCAATGGTATCATCTAATGTTTACATTTAAGGCGTCTTCATTATCCCTGAAGAACAATTTGTTTATTTTGGGTCTTGCAGACCTGCTAAAACACTCAGGACTGTAAACTAGTTCACTGTATTAGTTAATACTTATCTATACTTGTTGTGCTGTTGAGTTGGAATGGTATTTATCTTATTCTTTGTTATTTACTTTGTATGTCAACAAAATGTCTCTAGTTTCTTTAGTTTTTAGTACAGATGCTTTAAAACTGGCATTTTAAAAAAAAGCGTGAAAATAATCAAGATCGGACGCTATGACAAAATATATCGTGATCACTTTTTTGGCCAAACTGCCCAGGCCTACGTTCAAGTTTATGATTTCAAACAGGATGTGACTCCTGATATGACTAACATCTAGAAAACTGATCAGGCCAGAGCTGGCTGACTAGGACAACCCCCAAAGAAATCTTTCAACAATGCTGGAAAACATAAAACAGGTTTTCCGAAAGAAGGCTTCTCTCGAGGTTACCTACAAATATGAGAGTCAACACGACTCTGTCAATATGAGTTTCTCAGAGTCATGGGACGTAGTGAGTCAAACTCGATTACACATGCAGCCAGGAGTCTGATATCTGAGGCCAGCAGGGAGCAGTAAGAGGTGACGGTATGGAAAAAAAAAAGAGCCGTGTCATGGAAGAAAGAGACCCAGCTGAGCAGCAGAGCGTACGTTAATGTTCCCTTTACGGTAATCTGAGGAAAAGTAGCGTGTTAGCCTCGTTATGTAAGGAGTGTAAGGAGAGAGGTCACATTGGCATCGTGCTGACACATCAACCAGGGATCATAAATATGGGTTAATGTACCTGTTGGCGTGTCAAATACAGAGTGTTGATAACGCTTTAAATTGAGAGATCTTTTATGGAAGTTTTATGAACAAAAAAGGTAAAAAACTCATAAAAAATCAACTTTTCTGTTGTGCTACAGTCAACATTTATTCATGTAAGATAGCTCCCATATTAAGCTGTTGGGTTTGGGTTGGGGACAGAACAGAATAACAGTATTTATATCCAGAAATCAGTTTGAAACAATAATTTTGGTTGGCTAGATTTGTGGTTTATCCAAATGAGCCACTTTGGGCTTGGGAAATGCTCAAACATCCGTAGCTGCCATCTGGCTGCAGGCCTTGAAATTGAAACTGTCATACTTGATTAGAGAGAAAATCCAACAAAAAATAAGAGGCTAATCAGTGCCAATCACACACGGTGGTAGAGTTAAGAAACTGCTGATGTTCAGCTCTTTTTTGATGGACATATCGATGAATGTTTTGCTTTTTGCCCAGTTGAAGAAGTGAAGTCACAGCAGGATAATAAGTCACAGTTGGAAGTTGAAGCCCACAGAGTGACTGGTTGTTCTTTCTCACCATCTTTGGTTTTGTGTTGTTCTGGCACCTCAGCGATGATCCCATGAAAGAACGGGTTTTTGGAGAAGCCGTCCTGCTCCAAGTCTGCGTAAAAAAACACAAAGACACTGGTAACCCTTATAAAAGTGAAATACTGTCCTACTTTCATTCCCTGTCATTTATTTGCTCCGGTAAACAACCTCAACGTTAGCTCCACAACCTCAGCTTTGTTCAAACTGATGCTTTTTTAATTTTCGCTTCCAGTTTCATATTTCTACCCAGAAACCACAGAGATGTTTTCACTCTAGCAGATGTGCCTTGTCTTTATCCAGTTCGAACAGATTCCCACCTGACCTGCGAAGAAATCAGGGGGTCTCTTTGTGTTTTCATTGTGCTAAATCGTTTAGTGGATAGAGTCGAGAACTGAAGTGATTGGAAATGACGTGCAGCAAAGGGCCTTGGGTCGGAATCGGACCTTGGCTGTTCTTTTCAAGGACTCCAGCCACAGCTGATGGAGCTCGCAATTCAACAACAAAGCCAAACCAGCATCCCGTCATGAGACATTTTAGTAAACAACAGAGACGGCTCCTGCTGACGTAGACCACGCATATTAAATGAGCTTAGTGTAAGTCCATTTTAAGTGCTTCATTCTGATCGGTTTGAACTGCAAACTGACCAATGTCAGTATGCAACTTTAATAACAGACTCTGGAGGACTGACTCTAATCGTGTCGACGGGCAGAGAGAAGACCGTTTCTTTGTGGTCCAAAAACCAAGAACACTGTAAGCGACCAAACTATGAAATTCCAAACTGACCTGGATTTTAGGACTAGCTACATAGCCGAACATACCGCAACTGTATCACTAATTTAAGTCCTTTAACTGGCTGCAGTCGGTTGATCGTAACACCATTTGGAAACAAAGAATGAACTGAGAGTTTTACGACTTAAACACGCAAGTTAAACTAAAACCGCATTGGATCAAACATCCTGTAGTCGGACTAACATGTTTAGATAATACGGTTGGGGGTTGATTCGCACGAAACTAGCTAAAGTGTTCCACTTTCGATTCAGTGTTCGTAAGCCAAACTTAAAGCCAGAAGTTCAATCGCACAGATGCGTTTCTAAGAAGCTGGATGGTAAAAAATAAAAACAAAGATGAAGAGGGAAGTTAAAATAACAAAATTTTCTTATCATATGAACAAATGGTGCAGAGCCCTAAAACTGTAGGTATTGTTTGACGTAGATCTCATCAGCTTCTAGCAAACTTGCAATTCAGACATGGCAGACATGCTTCCGTCTATAATTTGATTTTTGCCCAGTGAATTTAAACTTGGAAAAAGGACAGTGTCATGATATGTTCTGTAAATTTAGTTTTTTCCTGGTTTTGTTTATTGAGTGCATTTTTTGCGTATTTTACCCAGTGTTCCTGTTCCCCTGTGGTCCAGTCCTGGTTCCCTCCTGTTCTCTGTGTTTTATTCTTTAGATCAGTTTTCAGTGTTTATTTCCTGTTTTATTTTGCCGTAGTTGATATCTTGTGTTTCTAGTCTGGTTTTCCCTCCCTCGTTAATCACCCATGAGTTTCACCTGTGTCTCGTTAGCCTCACCTGTTGCTCGTTTCCCAGTGTGTGTATATAGTCCCTGTCTTCCCTTCTGTCCTGGTTGGTTCATTGCGTGCATGTTTGTCAGTCAGTGTCAGTAGATGTCTTGGTCTCCTTGTGATCTTTTCCCCCAGTCTCTTTTGAATCCACTGATTTTTTTCCCCCAGTACCTTTTTGTTTCTTTGGTTTTTCTCTTGGATATTTTTTCAACTTAACTTTTGTTGTTTTAAGTTTCGTCTTTTATTTATTTATTTTTTCCTGCATTTTTGGGTCTTTTTTCCTTTGTTTTGTGCACCATTCATGACAGAGTACTCCTGTTAAATCACCTAAGCTTGACCTACTGTAGCTGTGCTTGTAAATATACAGTTTGATTGACTGACGAGAATATTTAGACTAAAGGACTAAATGGACTCTGGTGTTTTCAATAACTAGGTCATTATCTGCTTTGGTACACCCATATTCAGAGTAGTTATTTTATCATTTTAGTGTTGAAGCTGCTTCGTCTGCTTTCAGTCTCCACTTGTCTTTGCTTTATTAAAGTAAAGGTCACCACATCTGTACCTGAAGTCAAGGTCCTCAAAGATACAAGCCTAGAGGAGATAACAGATACTGTACCTCTCTGTGTGATTTTAACATGCTGTGAGATCTTCTCATATTCAGCCAGTTCCTGTGAAGACAGAAACAGCACCGGTTTCTTCTCAATAGTCTGACATGACACATTTCTTTCCCCAGTTAAAGCCTCAGTCTATTAGCTTCAATGACCCTGTTTGCACTGACATACATGACCGATATTAGCTGATCTGCTGCTCGAATAATAATAATCCAATAACATCCGAATAATCGAATAACCGCTTTACCGTGGCTCTCCTGACGTCAGCATGTGACTCACAGATTATTTAACGTCCCCCCCCTCACTCATTCACTGCTGACCCCCCTCCCCAATACAACACAGCCATGGCTGCTCGCGCTCGGCTCTCCTCGCGTTGACGCACGTGTCCGCTTCGCTCACCATGATCATCCGCGCGATGTCCTTGCAGTCCTCCACGTTGGCTGCTCGGATGGAGAAGTCCATGTCGGGGTGGGTGGTGGATGGTCGGGATGCTCACAGTGGGTCGGTTCTCCGGTGGATCCGGTTGGGTAGACGGCTGCAGCTGGAAGTGTTCAAATCAGAGGTCCAAATCAGGCTGAGGAGCGAGAGCGCCCCCAACCAGGAAGGCGGTGGAAGGAGGAACAAGTGAAGGGTTATAAAACAGGAAGAGTTGATGTGTCTCAACGTGTTAAATATTAACTAGGTCAACTGCAGATTTCTAGAGTTGGCCTGTGTTTACAATCTTCATACAGAGACTCAATTTGCTCCAATTATCCAGGGTTCAAATCTGCTGTGACCCCATTTGGACCCTAAGGCATGGGGGTCAGAGCCAGCCCAAGCCTCAGTGGGGCCCTAAGCAAAATTTGACTTTAGGGCCCTCTATTTCTGCCAATAATATTGATTGTTGATCATTCACACACTTACTACAGTATACATTTAATGCGCCTGACATGTCTTTACACATTTAAGGGGGTGGCCTTGGAAATAACGTAAATAATACCAATGCAACCATACAAATAATACCAATGAATGACTGATGAATGATGTTCAGGGTGCCACATATGGTTTTTAATCTTAAAATGTAACATATTCAGGATGCTCAGTGCGCATTGCACAGCAGGAGGCACATAACGGTAGCGTAGCTTTGGCCGACATCAGCAACAGCACTTAAATTTTTGACTTTATTTTATTTTTGATAATGAACAATATATATTTGATCATACAGAGAGCATCAAGTATACATGCAAAAAAAATATATATATATCTATATATATATATATTTTAAAATTTTATTATTGTTATTATTTTTGATTGCTCTTGGGGGCCCCCTACTGGCCGCAGGTCCCAAAGCGCGTAGTTCGCTTATGCCTTGGGCCGGCTCTGATGGGGGTAGTAATATAGATTAGCTTGCAGCAAATTTGAATTAGAAAACACCTTTTGCTCCTTTTAAACACTACTTTTGGAGGACTAGAAACTATTGGACTCCAGCTTTACTTTAATCTCAGAGTGACAGAAGTGGTCATTTCTTCATTATAATCCTGTGAAATCTGTAAATGTGACAGATCAGCTGTTAAAATCCCTCATATTAATGAATTACTTTTATCATTACACTGTGATAATCCACTCACTGTGACTGATGTTAAAATAGCCCTCAGATTGAACAAGCTAAACTGTTTTTAAACTCTGAGGATTTTACAGAAAAGTGTTAATTTAGACACAACACAGCTTCACAAATCATTTAATTTTACTTCAGATGTTCAGTAAGAGGCCACAAGAGGAAACCTTGAACAATCTCGCAACCACATAGTAATCCGTGTTTATTAATTCAAACCATAAATTAAGTATATATAGGAAATACCACAGAAAAGTCAAACAATATTCAGTTAAAGGATGCAATACTAAATGATTAGGAATAATGTATTTCTACATTTGTGTTATTTGTCTTAGTTGTTGGTAGGAGAATAGAGAAGTCAGTGGGTTATGTGTATATATAAGGTTTCCTCTTTGCATAGTGTGGTTTAATCTGTATTTGTGAATGGAGCGATGACATATGCAGAAGCTGTTCTGAGCCCACGCAGTGACCTCCACAACAGAGTCATTTCTGATTTTAGTCCGGTACAGACTCAGGGTCCAAAGATCATGACTGTATCTGTGGTTGCTTTGAGAAGCTGGAGATGATTAAGTCTCCAATTCTATCTCATCCTACAACCTTTTCAGTGTTTTTTAGCATCAAATTTAAAATGACCATACATTTTTATACAACAATAAAAAAAACTAAAGATGTAATATGATGTATTTAAATTATCTTAAATGAAATAAATCATATAAATTATTTGTGAATTTCTAAATCAAGGTATAAGTTATTCATATTTTGTTTGCTTTATCTGCTCAATACCAGTCTTTAGTTTTGGAAGTGTGCAATACAATTTCCAGCCTCCGGGGGGCCCTATTGAAAGGACTTTCAGCTGGTGTGTCTCAGAGCAGCCAGACGTCTGTCTGCATGTCTGTGGGATCAGTCTAAAATAGTGAACTTCTTCCCGTCAATAGTTTGAATCTGCTCAGAATACCTATTTATACCAGTTTCACTCATATTTCAGCACAAACAGAATTTGCTTTAGAGGTTTTAAGACCCTAACTTTAAAGTGAAACTACTAAAAACCCTTCAACTATCTAAAAGGTGTTTAACAACTAATATTTAAGACAAGCTGAAGTTGGTTTTGCTTCAGATTAAAAATACTTTTGACCTTTTGTGAGTATTTTTGTGTAGGATGGAGGGCTGAATCACCGAACTCTATCAGAAATATACTTTTTCACATATCTGAAATAATTGCAGTTCACAACAAAAGCCAGAGCAGGAGATGTCATGTGGAGTTAAAAACGTCTGTGGTGACGCACTCTGTAGACATGTCATCAAACTGTGAACTTCAGCGGCAGAAATAAGGATGATCTCATGGATTTACAGTGTTTCACAGGCTTTACAGCAAGTCCCCAACAGACAGACAGACAGACAGACAGACAGACAGACAGACAGACAGACAGACAGACAGACAGACAGACAGGGAAGTTTGAGGAACTGAGAACTCCTGATGAAGAAGAGAAGTAAACCCACCTGAGCATAATTCTCCTTTTTTTGGTTTGTGTCATTATAAATCTTCAAAACAAAACAAACAAAAACGGGAAAGAGAAACAGGGCAGCTAACTGTGCCACCAGTGTTCCCAGCTGGTATTATTGGGATGTTTTGATCACATGGTATGCCTGTTTTATCAAAAGCCTGTGATACACCCTTGGAAAAAATGTGCCTTACAAGTTTACCCTGTTGTGTAAGACCCACCCCATAAACAACTGCAAGGGTTGTGAGAGAGTTTGAAGGTGTTATCGCATAAAGTTGATGTGTATTATGTTGAGTTAGTACAGTGTGCGTTAAACAAAATCTGGTAGTTGTGAATGGTATGTGATACACTAATAAACAAAGAAAAAGGTGACAGTTAACATCTATACAGTCAAACAACAGAGTCAGATTTCCTCATGTGCTTACTATAAGACAGTATAATATTATATGTTATCAAACGGTGTATATCTGATCCTTATAGCCCTACAGTATTGGATCACCAGGTCATGAAGTAAAATGTCATTAATTATCATATCATGTCTTATTATGTTAAATTGTATTTTGTATCATATTTTCATATTCAACATTGTCATATCTTTTCAAATTGTACTATTTTATAGACTATGGTAGACTATGGTATTTTATAGACTATTTTATAGACTATCATATCATATTGTATCATATTGTATTGCATCATTTCATATCATGTCACATATCATATTGTATTGTATCATATCATATCGCAACGTATTGTATCGTATCGTATTGTATCATATCATATCATCATAATGTATCATATCATATTGTATCGTATCATATTGTATCATATCGTATTGCATCATAACATATATCATATTGTATCATATTGTATCGTATCATATTGTATTGTATTGTATCGTATCGTATCGTATCGTATCGTATCGCATCATAACATATTGTATCGTATTATATCATATCATATCATCATAACATATCATATCATATTGTATCATTTCATATTGTATCGTATCGCATCATAACATATATCATATTGTATCATATATTGTATCGTAACGCATCATATCATATTGTATCGTATTATATCATATCATATCATATTGTATCGTATCGTATCGTATCATAACATATCATATCATATCATATCATATCGTATCGTATCATATTGTATCATATTGTATCGTATCGCATCATATCATATCATATATTGTATCGTATTGTTTCGCATCACATCATAGCATATCATATTGTATCGTATCATATTGTATTGTATCATATTGCATCATATCATATTGTATCATATCATATATTGCATCGTATTGTATCGCATCATATCTTGTGTTATATCATATGAGATTGTGTTGTATCATATCCTATTGTAACAAACTGTATTGTATATCAGCTTATCACATTGTATCACATCATACTGAGTTGTTCCTTGTGGTTTGCCATTGTAATGTATTGTATTGCATTACATCATATCCAAATGTATCTCATTAGATAGTATTGTAGCTTCTCATACTGTATCATATTATGTCATATTGCATCCTATTATACAATAATGTATCAAATCAAATCCTCTTGGATCCTTATGTAAAAATCCTGAACATATTGTATGATATCATTCCGTACTGTAAATTCTCATAACGTCAAATCATATCATATTATATTGTATCATGTTTTGCTTCTACTTCACCACATCATATGTTTCTTAACTTGTCATACTGTACCATATTATATCATACTTTATCATATTGGAGTTGTATCTCTCCCTTAATCCAAGGAGGTTTAGTTACGGTAAACTCTGTGATCCTCTGGTCAAAGACTGTAAGTGAAACCAGACTAGGTAGGACTACATCTGGAACAGCCATGTGTGAAGTCTGCTTCGAATTAATGATTGGCAAAAGACTCAGCAGCCAAATATCTGAGGAAGTCTCCCTGACGATTCTCACACCAGGATTTAACTTTTTGACGCGTAGAATAATGAAAAACGTACAGCCTTTGGTTATTTATGTGCTGATTCGATGCATAAATCACAGCATCAACAGCCCAGTGTAGCTGCTCCAGGCTAAAAATAACTTTATGAGATCTGTCACAGTACACGGCATTCTGCAGAGCACAGGGTGGGGAGGAAATGAGCAGGGAAAGGGGGGATTTCAGCCAGCTTTCTCCTGGAGAAGAAAAGTAATGCTGCCTGTGTTGCTAATAATAGCTCGAGGAGGATGGTACGGCTCTATAGGACTGAATAACGGCTCCTTTTCATACTACGCAAGCAGAAAAAGCAGAGCGGTACTGTTGTTTTCATCAGCAGCCTCCCTGGCTCTGCTGATGACGTGCGTAAGACACCGCTGACACTTTTTACAGACGCACAAGAGCACTCACAGGCAGCGGGAGGCTGAAACATTGTAGACTATATTAGTCAGTGCTGTGAGTAAGAAAGTGAGGCCTCTGTGGGTTTTACGTCTCTAAAATGTCACCCTGAAAGATGAAGAGTAACGTGTTTAATGTAATATGTTTGTACACATAGGCAGCAGCTGTTGCTAAAGCGGTCATTGTGCAATTGTAATAATGTGATTTGTATGAAAAAGAGGGTGGTGTAGTCTGAGAAGACACTTGTGTGTCCACTGAGGGAGGATGTCTGATTGTGAAAGACGGGAAACTCCACATGACCCAAGGCCGGGTGATGGACCAAATACCGAATGTATCCATGGATATTTCATACTTTAATGATTTGCTGTCTGTCTGTTGCAATGCTGTGGGAAAAAAGCATCTCGTCTTCTTCTGTTAATGTAGAGACATTCAAAAAGAAGATTGATACCATTTTTTGGCTTTAGCTACCAGCTAGCCTAGCTTAGCACAACATGTATTTTCGTAGGCTGACCATACGTCCTCTTTTCCCCGGACATGTCCTCTTTTTTGGAGGCTTGTAAAATCCTTTAAATGTCTGTGGTTTAGTATGAGAGTTTCAATTTTGTGTCTCGCCGACTTACTGAGTTTGGAGCGCATACAAGACACTTGATACGACCCGAGAAACTCTCAAAATTAACTTCGTGCGACTCCGTGACTCCGCCCCCGTGTAGTTGTGTCCTCTTTTTGGGAAGTCAGAATATGGTCACCCTAATTTTCTGTTTTATCTGAAAGTTACAACAAGAGTCCAAAGTGCATCCAAAGATACAAATCGACTCAGAAATGTTAGTATTTTTAGAGACGGAGATTTATGGCCTGGAGCAGTGACCTATCTGAGCTTTGCTAACATGGTGCGTCTACCACGGACGAGCCCTCTGTAGTTATTTATAGAACTATTGAAGAGTTTTTAGGCATTTATGAAATAGACAAAGACTCATATTGATGACTTTTTATGATATCCTAAAGCAAACAAGACCATCAGCAACAAGACTGATGCTTTTGGTAGCATGGGGGTTCGTGTCAGCTGAACTCCTGAAGAAATAAAGAGTTACTGGCAAGCTAATGAGCTAGAATTACATATTGCGGCTTACCTTTGAAAAAGTCGTTTATTTGTGTGACATGCTGCTGTTGTTCCAAAGAATCATCCACAGTTCATCGAAGTTTTCAGAGCTTTAATAACAGAAAAATCGCTTCCACAGTCGCCAATGGTGTACACGCCCATTTCAGATAGAATATGTGTGCACTTTGTGACGTGTATCATTGCAAAACAATAGTGTTGTGTCATTTACGAACGATTCGTTCAAAAGAACCGAATCCTTTAAGTGAACGTACTGAACCAAATCACTTCCTCAAGTGATTCATTTGTTTCTTACTTCAGTTGAGCTGAAGTGAGAAACAGCATTGCCAGGCCAGCACCCTTTGAATGAGGAACCGCATGCACCGATACCTGAATCACTTCGTGAATGAATCACCCATTGAACTGCACTCTCTGGAATCATTTTTGTCGGACAAAACTACCTTTTCTTCACTGCTAAACTGCCACCACAACAACTTGCATACAATAACTTCACAGCATGTAACAAGTAGTGCATTAAACCCGCAGCATCCTATCATTGCAGCGGTTTGAGAGGGAACGGTGCATGTTCAGTTTGAATTCTTCTAAACGTTTAGTGAACGAATCACTCACTGAGCCCATTTTACCAGTTCAGGAGGTCAGAGTCGCAGGCTTCTCCCGACAAGTGCTACATGATTTGGTGATTTGGTGAACGAATCTTTTGAACAAATCTTTTTGGTGAACTGATTCTAGTGATTCAGTACATCTAAAAGAACTGCTGGGCCCATCACTATGAAACAAAGAACATAAAGCGCAGTCAACAAAAATTACAGCTACCTAGGCTGACCTCTCCACCCAACTGCAGGTGAGACCGCCCCTTATATAACTTACCGGCTTTCAAACACAGTGACCCAAATCTAGCAAAACAGACAAAAGTAACTGAACACAGGATAACCGATAAGCAAAGCAACATTACAGCTCCTACAATACACTTAAAAATACTTCAATGACTTTTAGCCTCTTAAAAGTAGCAAAAACTTTCATTCATGCTGAAAAGGGTTTAAACTTCCTCTAACTACTTCCTCTAGATATCTTCTCAGTACTAACATAACGCAGCAACTGCAGTTAAAACCAATGAATCTACGCCTCCAGAACACTTGATTTTCAATCCGTTAGATAATCTCTGACACACACACACAGTATCATCATGGCCATGAGCCGCCTGATTGAAAACACAGCCAAGCTCTTTGAGGAAAGTCAAGGTAGCGTCACTTCAATTCAGCACTTATGAAAAGACCACTTATTACATAACGCTGACATTATTCACACCTCCTTAGAAATAAAAAAGATGGTGTTTTATGTTCTCGCAATTGACGGCCAACTTCTGTCCGCGTCATTAAAACGCCCTAATATGCTTTTGGATCAACTATCCTGGCTTTTAAACAGAGAGGTAGAGGGTTCGAGTCCTCACTTTTAACTCTTAGTAAAAAGATGAACTGCAGATGACATGTTTTGGACTGAGCGAGCTGGTGTACTTCAAAGTCTTTCTTCTTGTCTCGGAGAGAGTTGTTCTGACACACCATTGGGGGTCCACTCGTACTTTCTAGCTCCCCCAATCCTGAACAGGAAGCCACCTCCTCTTCCTGTTTAGTCTAGATTCTGATTGGTCCCTGAGCTTGAGAGCATTTCCACAAGAAAACAGTCAACGCCGCATTTATCAACAGCTAAAAAGAGCTGCAAGTGGCTTAAAAAGAGGCCTCTGAGGGGACCGAGATACAGACAAAACAAGAGAGAAGTCGCTGTGGACAACTTCCACCCTCCTTCAGCTTCCATTATGGCCTTTTTTGGACATTATTTAACTTTCAAAATCAGCGCCCACCATAATTAGCAACGAGCTACTGTGTCTGAACATGAATAGAAAGCACAGCAAGGCATTGTGAGAACAACTAACCGAACATGAATGAATGGCTTATTTTGGAAACAGAAGAATAGGACTCCTGGTTTTATTTGAGGTTTTTACGTAACTGGAGGGTCTCTCTTTCTCCCTGACAGAAAAAGCTGATCTGACGTCTTCATCAAATCACACTTCAACTTGAAAAACTAGTCTCATAAATTTAAGGAATTCCCCCAGACAGACCCTTCCCCCTGTCTCAAAAAGTCACCAGCCGGCTCAGGGGAAAAAAAGGAAATTAGCTCATCAGCAGACTGACGCAACCCTGGTGCAAAGATAACTAGGAAGAAAAAGCAGACACGCTGTCATTCTCTCTGCTTCACGAGAGCCCATTAACATGCCATATTAGGACATCTGCGGCCGTAGAGCGGGAGCCGTCAGACAGGCCAGAGGTTACTCTTTGTTTTCTGCTTTTTACTCGTCCCTTACAGTCAGAGTCATGTGATTCCTGAGAGGGTCAGGTCACTTAAAGAGATTAAACAATAACACAGCAGGTACTTTTTTCCCAAAGATAAATAAACAGCTAGCTTTCCCGCAAGGACTAGACAGTAGTTTATAACTCTGGCACGGCTCCATGTCGGTGTTCGGAAGCAGTTGGCAAACATCCTATCTGTGTGTTCAATCTGGGATGAATTATCCTCTTTGAAGCTCAGTTCAAACACCAAAGTGACATTTACATATACACATCATATTTCTACTCTATACTGTTAACACTTCCACTGAACACTCGACTTCCCTTTTTTTTAACACATTGTGAAACATTTTAGCCGTAACTGCAGGTCACAGCTGAGGTGAAGTTTACACAAAACACAGATTTACTTGTAAACCTGTCCCAACTGCAAACACACACACACTACTTCTGAATTGTTTGAAAGTGGGATAGTACTCCAAAAACGCCTGCAAACATAGACATCAGCACTTCCTCTTCAAACTTTGAAAATTAAACTTTCAAATGTGTTTGTTTTCCATCTAGTGTGACTTGCTGACATACAGTAAATATTAAGTAAGAATTCTCCTCAGGCAGTTTAGGAGTCAAATTTAACTCTAAAGTTATGCAAGGGGGTCAGAGAGGCTATATTATAAAGCTCATGCGAGGAATGTTTAGTTTGTGTTGCTTCTGGCGCCCCCTGTGGCCAACAACACCTCTGCACTTGTTGATTATTTGCTCCTGGTCAAAAGAATCTTCTCCAGCTTACTTGTGGTGGCCAAAGATAATTCAAATAGGAAAAGGACCAGTCTAACACCATAGACGGTATTTACCATGGACAACTTGCTTCCGCCTTCTGTCAGTATACGGATTTGAAGCCGAAAAGCTCTCAGTAATTCTGCATTTTTTCTCCACTTCCTGAAACCAACATTGCGCAGTAGCGTTGTGCGCATTTGGCGGAAGAGTCGCCGAGAGTTGCTGTGATGATGCTCGGCTCAAACAGGGTATCCCCCGGGTGAGCTACGCAATCTTCGTACACCTATAGGCTGTATCAAGTGTCAATCATTGAAAACATGAACCCCTAATAACTTTTAAAAACAGAAAAAAGAGGACTTGAGCACGAACCGGTCTTACAGTAACTACATGTCAACATCGCAACTGGTTATGTTCTGTGTAACAAAATGATAAAGTTTGTCCACAGTTCCGTAAGCTTTGCTGGCAGAGGTGGGATATATGACCTATACTGCAGCCTGTCACTAGAGGGTGCTGTTCTAGGACATATAGGGTCCCAGCCATAGTACTAGCCACCAAATACCTTTTTAGCTTTGCCTGATTTCTTGTTTCACACAACTCACCTACTCTTGCAGCAGCCACTTGTTTGTATGGAGACCTCCGGGCAAGTCCATCGACAGCGGCGGGGTGTCGCAGCTCAAGGAAGAACATTTGTGATCATTACTTTATCATTTCCTTGAAATGATTATAGATGTTCTTCCTTGAGCTGCGTCACCCAACAGCAGTGGACTCGGTCTGATTGCATTTCCATGAAGAAATGATCAGTGTTATGGCGTGTTTGACTCTGACTTCATTTTACACCGGAATATCCCTTTAATGCTGATGGTCTCATTTGCTTCCTCATGTCATTTAAAATCATTGGTATTAACTCTTTCCCTGATAGTCTGTGTTTTCAGTACAATACTGTAGGTGGCGCTGTGATGTACCTTGTGGACCGTCTATCTCAAAAGTTTTAAATTCCCTAAACAAGAACAGACCAATCATCAGAAAACTTGTTTGCTAACAGAAAAGAGAAAAATTTAACAAAAGTCGTTATAACTTACAGCTAGTGAATTTATAACAAGGACTGCACAACAGACCCCCTGCAGTTAAGCTGTTTTTGTCTGCTGTAAACCCTAAATTCACAGAAATAGCATTTTTAAATCTACCATGTTCACCATCTTCGCTTGGCTAGTTAGCATTGTAGCATTTACTCATTAGCACTTCCCCTGAATGAGCGTCTTACAGGACTTTAAGAGTTAAATGCTGTAATTTTATCCCCCGTAAGAGCCAGGATCTGTTTGCTCTTTCTCGATCCTATTATTAGTTATTTGTTTACTCTCTCAAACTTCTCAACAATTGTTATACATAACTCATGCATGCGTCCGGTAATCTTTCACCTCCAGTACAAACAGAGGTCTACTTTAACAAAAGTATTCCACTTTTTTTGATCCCTCATCGTCTCCAGGCTGTTTACTCGGCAAACAAGCGCTTGTGTTCACAGCACACAAACACCAAACAAACAGAGGACTCCACAGAATCCTGTTTTTCCACTAAACCAGTGGCTTATTAGAGCATGTAGCTTCACTAAAACTCCAAACACAGAGAGGCACTCTGCAGCAACATCCTGAGGAAACCGCTCTTCTGTGAAGCTTTACAGTAATGAGGCCCCAAATCTTGGGCTGCAGTCACATACGAGATGTGTTTGTTGGATTAAGTTTCTTATTAAGTGGAAATTAAAACCCTGTAAATGTATGAACAATCTCTCAGACTGATTCATAATGTTTGAGAAGTACTTGAGCAAGCTCCAAGTTCTTCCCTTCCTTCGTTTTTTTGAGCGATTTCCTCAGATTTGATTCCTTTGAATTGAGGTGAATAACAGGAAAACTAGACTATGAGGCCAAGAGATCCAGAGAACCCCTGCGGATGACTTCTCCTTTGAGTAAGCGAGCCGTTTCCTTCTCCGAAACCAGAGGCCTGCTGTACTTGTTTGGGAAGGTGTCACCAGGGAGTGGATGAAGACCTGGATTTACATAATACTTAAATCTGCTCACTCTCACTGGAAAAGCAGGTACGATTACTCGAGATGACGTGGCGTTATCCGCTCCCATTGTAGTCCCACTTCTATTTTAAACAAGCTGCAACATTTTAAAGCTGCAAAACAC